AAATTTTTTAGATCTATTTAAACTTGATTTTGTAAAAATATAATGATCTATTAATGGCATTATTAAAACACTTGTTAAATTTAAAATTATAATAAAAATTAAAATTCCATAACAAGTATCACTTTCCATATATATAAAATACTTTCCAATAAAATCAAAATAAATAATATTTAAATCATCTTGTGCAATATCATCATGTTTTAATTTTGTAATCATGTGAAATAATTGTAAATGTAAATTTTCACCTAAATGTTGAATTGAACCTGAATTTTTACCATTTAAGGAAATTGAATTATTAATATTTGAATTAAAAAAATAATTTGAATGATCATATTGTGAACCTAATACATAGGAATCATAAACAAACATTAAATCCATTCCATTATGAATTTCTTTTGATAAAACATTAAAATCTGTTAAAAAATTTGTTTCCTGATTTGATTTTTGACTTTTGATTAAAAACCAAATTAATTCTTCAATTATTACATTGGCATATGGAAATGGAACTTTAGAATATTCTTTAAATAATTTCATTGATTTAGTTTTTGATTGAACAAGTGTTGATTTTCCACTTCCACCTAAAGATGAAAGATTTATAAATCTTTTAATTCTTCCTAATATCATTGCTATTAATGTATTTGGTTTACTATATTTAGATATAAAATCACTAGCTCCACTTGAATCTAATTCTGCTCCATTAGTAAATAAAAATGCAAGTTGATGTGTCATTTCATTCATTGAATGATTGGAAAATAAATTTTTAAAATTGGATATTAATTCTAATGAAAGTATTGTTCCAATCATGTTATTAGAAAATCCAGGTGAATTTTCAACTGTATCAATCTATTATAAATTAGAATTTTAAAAGAGTAGTTAAAATTGTATGAGAATATTTTGTGAGAATATTTGTAAAAATTGTTTAAAATTATTTAAAATTATTGTAAACATACATGTGTTGATAATAAAACAGATGTTGTATTTTGATTATCACAAGTATTTTCATCACATAAAATTACTAAAAGATTATCAATTTTTTGAACAGGTTCTAAAAATGGTGATTTGATTATTTTCATTTTCAATTTTGAATTTGTTTCAACATCTTTTTTCATATTTAATAATTTCCTAATTAAAATTTGAACAAATTGAACATTTTTCCCACTTCCAAATTCTCTAGATTCCTCATTTCCATTTATAAACTCTTTCCAATTTTGTAAAGCTCTTGTTTCTGAAAATTTTGATAAATTTTCCAAATTATTATCCAAAGGAAGTGAATCTGATGAAAATGAAATTGGTATTACAATTAAAAAGAATATAAATGGTATTAAAATTGCATAACTAATAAATAAACAAATATTCGAAGGAAAGAATGAAAAACAAAATTTTTTGATATTTTCCCTTTTTGATGATTTTAAAGCCTTTTTTCGATGAGATGATGATTAGAAGAATTTGATAAATTATTTGAATGATCACTTCCAAATCCTTCATTATGATGATATTCATTGTCATCCTGTGTTATCGGAGATGTTGGTGTAAATGACATGTTGAAGGCTAAATGATGATTATTTCCTTCCTGTCTATTTCTATTATTATTATTGATCAATAAGTGTTGTTGATGATGTCTACTATTCGGAGGTGATGTTAAGAGTAATTCACCATCTTCATCACCAGAGAGATTAATACTCTCTTCTGCTGATTGTTGATAGTAAAACATTTTTTTGATGGCTGAAAATGATAAATAATGGACAAAATTGGTTCACAATTAATTGAAAGCAAATGGTTTGTGAAATATCTTCAAGTGGTGACCTAATTCAATATTGAAAGAATAAAAATTTCCACACTTCTTAAGGATTCTCATTTTCAAACTCAAAACTCCAAAAACTAACTAAACAATTAATTATTTGAAAGAAGAGTGTTTTTATATTAATGATGGTGATGATGATGATGATTTTTTAAAAGATTCTAATCGTGTTAAAGTTTCACTATCAGCAATGGATTGTAAAAATAATTTAAAATCATTTGGATTTCCAACCATTTGAGCCATTTCATTCATTTTAGCATGAAGATAATCATAAAAGTCCATTTGAATGAGAACATCATTTCTGGCAGATAATCTCTTTCTATCAAATTCATTATTCATTGTAATTCCATCTTCTTCATCTTCACCTGTTAATCTCTTTGTTAATTCACTTTGTTTATCCATATCATACAAAACTTGAACTGAAATATTTAAAATCTTTCCAAATCTATTTAACAATTCATTATTATTGGTTGGATAAAGTGATAAAAGTGCCAATGTACTAAATTTTCTATGGAAACTTGAAACAATTGAATCAAATAATGAAATCCACAAATCAATGACATCAAGTGAAACTGATCCTTGTTGAATTGATTTTTCTTTTTGAATTGTTTCTGAAATTTGGAAGAATAAATTCTTGTTAAAGAATAATAATCTAGAGAATACGCAAAGGAAATTAACTAAAACTTCATTCTTTTCTTCCTTTGCATAAAACATTTCCATCATGTGTTTAACTGGAACAATAAAATGTGTTGAAGCTTCAAGTGGGAATTCAGTAAAAATCAAATCAATAATATTTGTACAAATGTAAATTACTTTTGGTTTGGCATTGTTTAAAATATTGAGGAAAATTTCATTCAATTGACTTCCAAATGTTCCTAAAAATTGTGATTTACCAAGTAAAATATAACTTTCAATAATTCTTAATGCTAAAACAAGGTAATCGTAAGATGTATCAATAATTTTAACAAGATTAGGGAAAATTGACATTAAACCTTGAACTGGTTCAGGAGCATATTGAACAGTTGAATGCCATAATTCTAATGCGTCTTCAATAAAATAGGCATGTTCTTCTTGCTCAACATCAGTACTATAACTAATTAATGGTAATAAAAATTCATATAAAATAACTGAATTACTTTCTAGTAATTTAACAATTTTAGATAATGCAGAAATAACTTGAGTTTTAACAAGTGTAGAATCAAAACATGAATTCCATAAAACTGGTAACATTTTAACCAAAACTTCACAATATGGTAAAATCTTATTGTCCATCTTTTCAACAACAAAACTAATAAGTGTTAAAAGTGATAATTTTGTATCTTCCTGTTCAACATTACTTAAAATGTGAATTAAAATTTTCATAAATGGTTCAAGATGTTCAACAAAATCATTTGGTTCAAAATCAATATCTTCACTAATGATTGTTTTTAAAGTTATCAATGAAGTTAATTGTAAAACAATATCATTACTTGATGTTAATATTGTCATTAATGTTTGCAAAATATCTTTTCTAACTGTTGGATCAAATCTTTCAACCCATCTTCCTAAAATCCACATACATTTTCTTCTAATGACATTATATTTTGGATTGAGTGCAAATTCTTCAGTTGGTAATAATTCCTTCCTCAGCATACTTGCATACCATTGAGGAAATTGAATATCATTATAGAGATGATAGGATGCCCAACCAACTGCTGAATAACAAGCATCACGCAAAATTATCTTTTGATTCTCAAGAGAGCCATATGTTTCTTATTGATATGATTTTATCATTGTATTATTGTGTTATTGATATTGGAATTTTGGAATATTTGAAAACATATATAAATTAGAATGACCAAGACAAACAATAAATAAAACAAACCTTGTAACATTTGTTCAGTAAATTGAACAACAAATTTTGAAATTCTCGATTCAAAAGTTCCCATAATAGCTAAAAACAAATATTCTCCTGCTGCTTTTAAAGTATCATCTCTATCTAATTCTTGTTCCTTTACAAATTCTTCTGGATCTTCATTCCATTTATCTAATTCATCTCCAGAAGCAACCATATATTTAGTAACGAGACATGAAACAAAATTTCTCAAAACTTCATCAGTAAAGAATTGATTATGAACAATTTCAAAAGCTTCAGCACCCTCATTTCCATTATCCTTATCATATTTTGTGCATTCAACAACAAATTTTAAAAATGTTAAAGCTCTAAAGAAAACTTTAAAATCTGTTGTTGGAGCGTATGGATCATTTTCAAAAACCATTTTAGAAAATATCATACAATATGGTAAAAGTAATTTTCTAAATCCTATTTGATGTTTAGATTGAACTCTTAATGGTATTTTAATAAATGAAGCTAATAAACAAATAATCTTATCAAAATTTTCAGTTCTATTTTGTCCAGAAGTAATTAAACTCTGTGAAACTTGATAATATTTAGAAATTATATCCGAAAGTGATCCTAAAAAATCCATAATAGTACTATTTTTATCAATTACAGAAATACCCATAGCAATTAATCTCCAAATAATTCTCGAACAAACTAAACAATTATTATATTCCAAATCATTAATATTACCAATTGATTGATAAATTCTATTGGCATAATAAAACCATAATTGACAAGTAAATCCAACAATATTTTGTGAAAACTATCAAAGTTAATATAGATCATAAGAAAATACATACTTCTTTAAATATTTTCTTTGCTTCTACCAAATTTTTAGATGATTGTTCTTTTACAAATTGTTTCAATACAATTAAACATTTACTTCTAACTTGTTCAGAACTTGATGATGTTATGCATTGAACAATATTTTCAATTAAATCTTTCCAATCAGTTGGATAATCAATTCTTGCAATTTTAGCAATAGATAAAGCGAATTGAATAATGAATTGGTTATTATTTAACAATTCATCATTATTATCTGAAATTATTAATTTTAATAAACCTTGTTTAACATATTCCTTTTCTTGATTAGAAATAACACTAACATTTTGATTAGCATTTTACATAAACTACTACTTACTAATTAGCTGATGGTCTCCAATAAGTATCAACTGAATTTTTCAAACAAATAAGTGCTAAATATCTAGCCTGTTGTTCAACTGTTGTTTTTGTTATAATTTGCTACAAATTGATGATGAATAATGGTGAATTATTTTAGTGATGTGATAATATTGATGATGAATTATATATTATAGCATTTAAAGGCTTTAAAAAATCACATATGAATATTATAATACTCACCAACAAAAGTGACAGATAGCCATTTCTCTTTTCAACTTGATGTAAAGTGTTCTCGGCAATTTTCTGTTCTTCCGTTCCTCCATTAAGTGATTTGGTCAAGACTTCAACAAGTTGAGCCTCATCGTTTGGACTCAGAGATGGAAATTGCTCTCGGGATTGCACAACTTTATTGTTCAACATTTTTTTCTCTCTTCAATTTTGTTAAAACCAAATTCACATTGTTAATATTATAATATCTAACAATCAATTCATTGTTAACTCGAGTATTTGATTCTTGTGAAAGAAGTATTGGAACATGAATGAGCTATATTGTGGAAATAATTTATTATTCGTCTACTATTGAGTAGAGGTCAAAAAGTTTAGGGAATGGATTGTTCTTACTAAGAACAAGTATTTGTTTTTCGTGTGACATGTATCCTCTGACATAGCCTTGTGAAATTAAATTACCAATCATGCATTCTGCGTGATCGATAGTGACTGGATCTTCCTCTACAAATTTAAGAGCTCCCAAAAATGATGAAATGTTAATTCTTGAAGACTGTTCATGATATTGATGCACTCTTCTCAATAAATTTCTGTAAACAACTATTTGAGCATTCTCCAGCATGAGATATGTTCCGTGCTTTATGAAGAATTCCATATTATCTCTCAAACTCTTCCTATAACTCTTTAAATCTCCAGTTCTACATGCCTTTGAGAGGCCTTTAAACTCAATCAATCCATGCTTATCACACAGCCATGAAGTTGGATATTTTCCTAGCATTAAATTTACACAAGCCAAATATTGAATAATCATCTTTTTGTTTTTTACATAATCTTCATGACAATTGTCTAAAGCAAATTCCAAATCCTCTTTAGCTTTAATAAATTTTCCTTGGAAAATGGCAACTCTTCCAGAGAAAAATTTGAAAGTAACTTGTTGACCTATAGGGAACAAGTCAAGCTCAGGAAGAGTCTTACTTGTCTCTACAGTGTCAATCAATTTCTTCATTAAACCAATATTATTCAATTTGAAATATATTCTCATAAGTATATTTACAAGATATAAAGCTCCCCATTTCTTAGAAAGACTTAAATCACCTCTATCTTTTACAGAGGTGGCATAAGCTTGTTGTATAGTTGGAACAGATTGTTCAAGTGGGCTTTGTTTTACCATACCAGATGAATCTTCATTTCCTTCATCTTGTTCAAAAACTACTTGAGCCTTTAATCCCATCCTATAAAGTGCATTACTCAAATATTGAATAATAGGACATGTCCAATTATTTTCATGTTCATAAACTTGTAAAGTAAATTCACGAAGTGTATCTTTCATTGAAGAAAATGCTGACATGTAATCCTCTTTATCAAAACAATAAATTAATGATTGATAATAATTTGTTATATAGGTTCGATGTTTTTGATGAGAAACATTCTTATTAACTAGCTGTTTTACACTATCCAATGATGGCATACTTTCCACTGGATCTTCCTCTTCCGATCCTTGTACAAATAATTCATAAAAATAATTTTCATCCAAATAATAACACACTTGACTTCCATCAGCGCTGGAAATGGATTCATCCAACTCTTGCAATAGTTTTTTCATATTTTTTTTAAAGGCTTTTTTATTTTAAATTATTGCAATAACAACACTTGAATATTTGCAAATATTATCATCTTGTAACATATAGATGTTTTATATAAACATCCAATCTCGAGAAAGACTAATTGTCAATCTAATAAATTAAATCCTATTGTACAAAAAATTGAACATCCCGATATTTGCTTGTCCGCTCATATTTTCATCATATTATCAATAATTAGTATTATTACTAATGGAAGAATGTAATATTGGTACAATTTTCATTCTGTAATAATTCCAATTTGTTAAATCCGTTTCTTAAAAACCATTCAATTCTTGTTGTTTCATGTTTAGGTATGGTTTTATAGGTTTCAAATTCTTTACGAATAAACTTTCTCAAAATTTCAGGGTTTTGCTTGTTTTTTGTTGCTCTCCAAAGCTGTCTATACAGTCCAAGTACTTGTTTTTGAAGTCCACTCAATTTAACTCCTGTGGAGGAAGCACGAGGTCGGAATGCACCCAAATTTACCATTTTTTTAAATAATTTTAAATTCAATTATCATTAAAGAATCAATTTATAATTGACTTGATTTTCGGCTATTTATTATCAAGATAGTATATACTCAGACTACCTGCCACTTCAACATAAATTGATTCTTCTATTATCTTTAAATATTTACTTCAATCCCTTCATGTTTTTCAAAAATTCAATCCAAAAAAGCCTTTGAAAACTACGCACTCCATTTTCTTCTTCCATCATCACAGATTCATCAAGTCAATAATTAAAATAATAAAAAATGTCTTCATCGCTAATCAATCCTAACCCTGAAATTTATGCAACACAAAGTATTTCTAGAAATGATTCGGAACAAGAAAATAATGAAGAATATATTGATGAATTTGATGCTTTGGAAGTTTATGATCTGATAAGAAATATTAACGATCCCGAACATCCACTTTCTTTGGAACAATTAAAAGTTACACAACATGATTTAATTACTGTAGATAATAAGAATAATTTAATTGTAATTTATTTTACTCCAACTATTACACATTGTTCAATGGCAACTTTAATTGGTTTGAGTATTAGAGTGAAATTACTGAGAAGTTTACCAAAAAGATTTAAAGTTGACATTTTCATTACACCTGGCACACATCAATCTGAAGATCAAGTTAACAAACAATTAAATGATAAGGAAAGAGTAGCTGCTGCTTTGGAAAATGAAAGATTATTATCTGTTGTAAATAGATGCATTGCACAATCTTAATAAATTTCACATCTATTGATTTCTACATCAAATGCTTTAATCACAATTTTTTCAATTTTTTCAATTGTGAATGTGATTTTGGGTAACGGTTTAGGCTCTTTACATGTCTAAATAATATATTTTAAGATACTACTTGTTCTTATGGAAGATGGATCTGTTTACGGTTTGGGAATGAATCAGATCAACGTGTTCCTGTAAGAATTAATTTCTTTGACGATAAGAATGTTCGTGGATTGGGAGCTGGTGGCAGTAGTAGTGCTGCTGTTTGTGCTCACCAATGGGTTCCTGATAAGGATGCTGATGATTGTATGAGTTGCAAGTCAATGTTTACATTCCTCAGAAGAAGACACCTGCAATTGCAGATATTGTGGTATTTTCTGTGGAAGTTGTACTGGTAAAAGAATTACTCTTCTTCGTTTTGGTTTTGATGAACCAGTTAGAGTTTGTGACAATTGTTATCAAAATCTTACAAACGCTGCTCAAACCTACAAGAGGTAATTTGTAACATATAAAACTATTTATTTAAAATTTTTGAAGTCTGGTGTTGTAAATTTACTTCTTGTCACTTATCGAATCTTTAGTACTGTATCCATAGTTCAAATCAAGATTTTACTCAACTTTTACAAAGATTTTCTCCATTTTTGACTTTTATTCCTAAAAATGTGATTATCAAACCCAATAAAAAAAACCTGTAAGCGGATCATATAAAATATCATTAATAATACGTTATTGTTTATTGGAATTACCGAACCAACATTCATTTCCTCAATCACCAACTTATATGATGAAGATTATTGAAAAAGATGCCAAAATTTCAATAGAGAACTGATTGTTGAGATTCATGACGAAAATATTTTGATGCTTAATAACAGTACTCTCTTTTCGTCATGCTTTTCAACGTTACACTATATTCGTACCATATTCTTGCCTTAAATTGAATTGTATTTCCGTGAGTAAGCGAAATGGCTTTGGTTCCAAACTAAAGTTCTTTACCTATTCTATACCCTATAAATGCAACTGTTTTCATAACCAACTGTTTTTCCAATCAAGAAAAAAACAATTAATAACAAATAACAATGCACTCTATTCAAGCTTTAAAGTTGAACAAACTTAATCTCGATCCTGCAATTTCTACATCCAACGATGACTCAGATTCGAATAAGAAGAAATATATCAAGTTCTCTGATAGATTTGGAACCACAGAACCTTTCTACAAATTCATGGTCACAAAATTCGAGTTGGTACACAACCACCTCTTAAACTTTTGTCCAGTCATTCTCATGGTTTTGGTGCATAACGACCTTCTGTCACCATTCTGGGCAGTATTAATTCAACAATACTTGACAATTATATGGACACTTTCTCTGCATTCCCTTCTCCATGCCAAGACATGTGTCGATTCCAATCAAAACTATGATTTGTTTACTGACATTCTTATTGGAATTCCATACTTTGGTTTATTCACTCCTTCCATTGCTAAATTTGGTCACGACACACATCACAATTACACAGGAACTGAAAAGGATTTGGATCACTTCTTCTTCAAGACTGAAAATCCAATTCTCCTCTTTATTTATTCCTCATTCTTTTCTGAATATTACATTTTCTGCTATTTATGGGAGAAATCTTCAGAAAAGATGCAAATTTTAAGAAGTGTTTCAATCATGCTCGTTAAATTGGTGATTTTATTGACAATGTACAAGATTTTGGGTAATTCCTTCTTGATTATCTTTTTGAGTTCAAGATTTGCAAAGAGTTACATTTTTGCTTCCTTTACTCAACTTGTCCACAAGATTGATTTGGAATCAATTTTATTCGATTTGGAAGAAAGATTGAATTTGCCAATTACTATTGATACTATTTTGCATTACACTTTCGGATACAATATTCATGTAGTCAAGTATCATGATGATCATCATGCTTACAGAATGATTTGTCCATCTGCTTACTATCCAGCTCTTCATAATTATTATAAGAAACATCAAGTGAACGAAAATAATAATAGAATTGAAAGTCCTGGAAGAAATAAAGCAATATAAAAAAAATTAATTACTATACCTATTTGAAACATTATTAAGATAAAATCCTAAAATTGGTAATTTACGTATGAACTTGTATCTTTTATAAAATGACTTTTAGCGAAAGTGTTAATAACAAATGAAACCATTTTTTAACTTGTTTTGATATGAAGTTGCTCCTGAAGTTTCTGCAGATGTTTATGATTCACATTTCGAGTAAATGAATGGCTACGGCCATATCACGATGAATGCACCTCATCCCGTCCGATTTGAGAAGTTAAGCATCGTCGAGCCACATCAGTACTGAGGTTGGAGACAACTTGGGAACCTGTGGTGCTGTAGTCTTTTATTTCTTTTTCTCATGGCTGTAAACAGTTGAAAGTTTCTAAGTTGGATTTAAAAAATAAATAAATGCAATGCAGACAGACTCACAACTTTATTCTAATGTTAAAAGCAAAATTGATTCAAAATTTTGAACTTTAAGGAAATTGTTTCAATTATTTACGCTTGTAGATGTCAACTTTCTTATTCTTCTTTCCACCTCTTCTATTCTTTCTATTCTTTCTATTCTTCTTTCTATAAGTATCAATTCTTCTCTTCTTATTCAATCTTCTCTTCTTTCCATATACATCAATCTTCTTTCTGATAACTCTCTTCTTTCCAAATCTCTTCCATCCTCTTCTCTTTCTTCCATAAGTGTCAATGTACTTGTTGAGCTTTCTATTGTTCTTTCTCTTCTTGTGTCTGAATCTCTTGAGATTTCTCTTCTTGTTATTATTCTTTCTAATGTACAAGGAAAGTGTTGAGGCAGCAGTTGTTGATTCTTCTGCAGAAACTCCTGAAGTGAAGGAAAGTGCAAGAATTGCCAATGACAAGGCAATCAATAAGATTGAAACGAATCTTTTCATTTTTTGTTTTTTTGATTGTGTTCAAGAAGTGAAACATATCCCAGTATTTAAAGATATGAAAAGAATAGTATGTTGATTTTTTTGGTATAGAAGATGAATGATTTTCCAAAAAGAGAGTGGCCACAGATTTTGGACATTGTTCATTTGGTCTTTGTTAATCCATGCGGATTATTGAACAAGAACAGATGGAAAGAACTTCAATGGTTGGATTGTGCATAAAGATGTGGAATATCTTGGAATGCAAAAAATTCCAATGTTTGAAGGACTGTAAAGAAATACGGCTGGTTACAAAAAAGTCCATTTAATTTACAAATCTCTATTCAAAGATTGGTATAAGTGATCAAAGAAACAATAAAGAGTATTGAGAAGAATTTCTGGTACCTTGAAAATATTGAAATTCATCTGATACAGTATTCTTGATATTAATTGTGCTGGTATTCGCTTGGAACATTAAAAGCAAAAGTAAAAGGAAATGCCAGCGGTGGGGTTCGAACCCACGAACCCATTCGGGATAAGATCTTAAGTCTTACGCATTTGACCACTCTGCTACGCGGGCTGGTATTCATTAAGCTTTTGTATATCTTAAATATGCATTTACTTGTAACACTTTGATTCATTTAATAGACTTTTATTTCCGCCATTACCTTCTTGTCAATAGATGCATCCTCAATCATTACTTCCTCACTCATCAATAATCCAAATAATAGAGGGAATTGAATGTAACATCTGGCATCAGTTTTGCAACTTAGCTCAAAATATTGAACTTTCAAATCTTTCAATGAAATACCACCATCAATAATGGGTACAAACTGTTGGAGGAGATTTTCAATTCGACTCATTTTCACCTTTCTTACTAAATCTCTCTTCAATCCAATAATTATCATACTTGACCTTTCACATTGTAAATAATCATTCCAAGGAGTATTTTGAGGTTTTTCACTATTATTGTCAATAAGTTCCTTCATTCGATCAAAAGACTCTTCATCACTCAAATCAAAGCAATAAATGATTGTCTTGGAACCTCTTTTATAGGCTGATGCAATTGATTGAAACCTTGCATGTCCACCAGTATCCCATAATTGAATTTTGCAATGTAAATTATTATTATACTCATAACCTTTTGAATAAAACTCAACTCCAATGGTTTGAGAATATTTTGAATCAAATAATCTTGTTGAATCTGAAAATAATTTAGCAAGTTCAGATTTACCACATTGATCGTTTCCCATTAAAACTTGTTTACAAATCATAGAGTTGGGTACATCTGATTTTTCTTTGTATGAACTTAAAATAGTTTGTATAAAGTGATGATAATATACAATACTATTGATTGGTGATTGCATAATTGGTTTAAAATACATGAAAATCTCATTGTAATCATCCAACAATCTTCCTCTCCATAAAAAACTATTTTGAGTCCAATAATATTTGAAATTTTTGGAAACTCGTTGTAATTTGAAAAGTTCATGATTCATTAAAAATCCCAAAATACAAATAAATAATTCATCAGGTAATTCCTTTTCAAAAATTGAACAATTTTCATAATTATAGACTGCATATTTCTCAACACTCTTCAGATCACTTTTTGATTCGATTAAATCATGAAAAATCTTGTTTGGAAACATTTTAGGATTTGCTAATTTGTTGATGAGAGATGATTTTTTAAGTTGTTCAACACGATCCGAATTAATGAAAGCCATTGAAGATGATGATGTAGATGAGGAGCAAACAGGTGGCGGTGGTGCAATTTTCTGAGGTTGTGATTGACCCATTTTTTTATCTTTGGAAATTAATTTGTCAATTGTTAGATGGAACTTAATATATTAATTCTGGTTACCGTTGGTTGTCATAATGTTAATAGGAAATTTAATGACGTCAATAATATTCGTTGGAAGATCATCATGTTCCATTAAATTCCATTTCAGATTTGCAATTCAACATTTTTTCTTTGAATTCATTTAATGTAATACTTTTGTTACAAAGAACAATAGTCATTGTAAAACATTCATACAATTAAATTCTATTCTTTAATTCTTTAATTAAGGATTAAAAATAATTAAAAAAAATGCCTTTCAGACAATTATTCTCTCAAAGCGAGCTTACTTTTTCTCTCGGAGGTAATATTATTCGAATATTTTAATTAATATTAATAACAATTAATCATAATTATTGATGATTTGATTCACAAATTGATTGGAACTGTAAACTCACTTTCTACGGTTTTTAATAATAATATTTGATTAATCGTCCAATCGGATTGAATGATTACAATATTGGATAAACCTTTTGGATGATGAAAATTACATTCCAAATTGCATATTGTGTCAACATCAAATTGGTTCATGCTCACTCCGGTTTTGTATAAAAAACGAATTTGTACATAATAGAAGCTAATGCTCTTGGCTTTACTGTTGTTTACATTTTCGAAGAGACTTCACCAAATCATCAAACTCTTAGAACAGCTTTTGAAATGTTGAGCAGAGAAGCTCAACATTCTCAATTCTTTACAATGTCTTGGGAAGATTGTGAAGATCAAGTATTGAGCGAATATGATATCAATACTTATCCTTCATTCTTAGTTTTCAAATCTATGAGATTGGTGAGTAATTTCTCATCAGAAACAGGTACGTACTTAACATGTGAGTAACACCTCAATCATGTTTTGGTCTGTTTACTTTTGGACATTAACGTGCATTATCCGTATACAATGATGGGCGAAACTTTCGTGTCATCGTGTGGTTCATTATCCAATCAGAACAAAACCTAAGAGCGCATCTAAGGAAGTTAGCCGTTGTGAATTGAGTTGCTAAAATGGCTGTCATTTTTGAGAGTGACATTTGGCAAGCGGGTTACACACTGAACTAGCTGGAACAATTGTGAAAAATCAGCGGTTTTTGTAAACTTGTGTTGAACAGCTGCCAATCAAAAGATCTATCAAGTTAACACACACATTGCGCCGTTTCAATAAATGTCAAACAGTTGTGCAACCATTCAACAAAATCGAACCTAAAAAAAACAAAATGATTAAAACAACTTTAGTGTTTGTTTTGTTAGCAATCTTTGTTGCTACCATTCAAGCGGCTAATCCTTTTGACACAAATAATAGACCATTCGTTATCGGTGGTAACTTTAAGAGAGTCGAAAAGAAGACTCCTTCTGCTTCCTTTGCCTGTTATAACACAACACTTGGTGATTGGACTGATTATAGATGGGTTGATGCTCAATACTCTGCTACCCAACCTGCCTATGTACCAATTGAATAATGGTCACACTATCTCATTGGTTAGAATTGGTACTACCACAAAGTATGGTCTCGTCTATTGGAATTTAGAATCCACTACTGTCCTTACCACAGTTAATACAGTTATGGATTGTGCAACAACTCCAGTCATGTATATGAGTTATGATCAAAAGAAGATTTATGTTGGTGCTATCTTTACCAGAGTTGGTACAAATAGCTATGCTACTGAAGTTCCACAAAAGTACAGAATCTTCTCCTTCGATATTTCATCTCTCCCAACTTTGGCTGCACCAACTGATGTTACCTCAAGCTATGGTTTGAGTACTACCTATTCATTGTCTACTCCAATTGCTGTTTATGCTGTTTCTAATGGTAATCAATTGCTTTTTGCTTACCCTGGTACTACTAATCCAGCTTTTGTTGTCTTTGATCCTGCAAGTACTTCATGGAAGGAAATTATTGTCACTGTCATTAGAAGTAATGCCAATGGTTATCTTGCTTTGCACTCTGGTACTGGTGAATTGTATGCCAAGTCATTCGATACTACTTCACCATATGCTTCATCATTCTGGAAGTATGATTCTACTAATTCTAATTACTTTGTCAATGTTAAGACTTTGGCTTCATCTACCTACGTTACAACTATCAATCAAGCTGCTAATTATATTGCTCAATGGACTGTTGGTACTGGTGGTTTATATTATACTGTTAACATTCCAAATCCATCTTTCACTAACTTTGAAAATGGTATGCAAAATGTTCAAAAGATTACCTTGACTCCATCTCCTTCTGATCCTGTTTCATTGTCAAAGAATCGTCTTACTATTGTTACTGATAGAACCTCTGTTGATACTCTTCCAGTTTCTGCTTCAATTAGTTACATTTATTATGATGAAAATATTAAGCAATTGGTTGTCGTTTTGGGTGATAATGGTTATCAAGTTATTGGTACTAGAGATTCTGATTCTACCAAGCAAAAGTATGAACTCACTTATAGATTCCAATCTGTTGGTAAGATTGTTGCCTACGATGCTACCACTGATGCTTATGTTGTTCCATACGGAGGTGCTTTTGAAACTGTTCCAACCAGATTCAATATCTATCCATCAACTGCTTCTGTTTCTTGTTTCTCTACTGCTACTTATTATAGAACTTGGGCTCCAAACTTTGCTGTTTATGATCAAGGAAAGGATATGTTCGTTGCTGAAAACTTGTTGAGTGGTCAAATTGATTATGATTGGCAAAATAATAAGGATGCTTCAGTTACTGCTGTTGAAAATTCTGATGATTCAAGTGTTGTCTATGTTGGTGGTTATTTCAGAACTATTAGTGGTGTTGTTTATAACTCAATTGTTGCTCGTACTAAGACTGGTTTGGTTGCTTTGGGTACTGGTCTCAGAGTTCATAACTTTGATTTCAATACATTCGATAATACTCCAGGTACTGTTAAGAAATTGGTTAGATCTAAGGATAACAAATACTTGTTTGTTTCTGGTACTTTCAATAGAGCTGGTGATTTGTGGGTTAATGGTTTGGCTTATTGGAATATTGAAAAGAAGACTTGGAACAAGCTTGAAACCAACTCAATGGATAGCATTAATGATATCGATTATGATGGTAGATATTTATATGTTGTTGGTTCTTTGACTAGAGCTGGTAAATATGTTGTTAAGAATGCTGCTAGATTTGATATGGAATCTCAAACATGGTTGCCAATGAATGATGGTTTGTCTTCTGCTGCCTCAGTTGGTGTTGTTGTTGATGGTAAATTCGTTGCTTGGGGTTCAAATGGTGGTTCTGGTGTTTCATTCTGGCAAAATTTGGCTGTTTGGTCATCAAACTCATGGAAGGCAATTGAAATGGATGCTGCTAACAATAATGGATGTTACTCTGATAGAGAAGTCTGTATTTCTAGTGTTCCATTGACTGCTGTCACTTATTTCAAGGGTAAGATTTACTTCTTGAGTGCTGGTACTGTCTATGTCTCTGATACTTCAATGAGTAAGGGTACTTTATATGCTAGAGGTTCTCTTGGTACTATTAATGCCAAGACTCAATTCTTCAATTATCCAAAGTCAAATACTATTGGTGTTGCTTCAATTGGTGGAGTTGAATTCGTTGAATATAACATTGATACTAAGAATATTCAACATACTAATACTAGAGATAGTTATGTTCTTGCTGATGCTCCAATTGCTCCAAAGAATGTCTTTGCTGTTGTGCTTTGATTGCTTCATTGATGGTTACATTGTTCTTTTAAATAAATTAAATTTTCCACTAGAAATTTGCAGTAGAAAATGATGATTTAGCTTTGCGACCAATCAAAAATTGGATTGGGTTGAAAAAAAATCGGGACGAACTGTTGCGGGTTTTGTATTGGTCAGAGTAACCGATTGAATTAGGTGCATCACACGTGTTTAATAAATTAATATATTATTAAATTTATTGGTTTTGTTGTTTATGTTTATTCAATGATTCCTTTTGATAGTCATCATAGAAGTCCATTACTTTACAAGCCTTGTGAGCAAAATAAACAAGTCCAAGTCTGGTTCCTGAAGTAATAGGAGCAACTTGATGTTTATATTTGTTGCCTTTGAACAATAGCAAATCACCAGGTTTAACAAATACCTTACAATTTTGCTCTGGAAACTCCAAATACCCTTCTTTCTCATCATAATCTCCCAAGTAAAATAAAACACTAGGTGTAGCATCACGGGTGTCCTTGTGAGCATTCTTGATTCTATGTTTCTCTATCTGTGGTTCTAAATAGTTAAAAGCAGTGGATGGATAAATACAATTATTCAAAATATGATATGGGTGTGGTAACGATGTCAAATAATTAATTGTTCTTGGAGAGAGTATTTCCAATGCAGCAGTAATTGTTTCATCTAGCATTGGATTTACAATTCCAATTAAATATTCTCCCAACTGTGTCTTTAGATCTGATGTAATATAATTCATAGGCATGTTATTCTCCAAAACTCCACTGTATCCATGATTTTTCTTTCTTGCCTCTTGGATTTTTAATAAATTTTCATTAAATTCCTGAATAATATCCTTTTTCAACACTCCCGGTAAGAAAGCAAGATCTATTTGACCATCTTTCGAAATAATAAAATGTGGACTTGTTATTTTAGTAAACCACTTTTCCGTGTTAAATATTAAATTACTATTACTATAATCAACATTAAATTTCCGTTTTAATTTCTTTAATAATCCTTTAAGTCTGGTTTTTTTATAAAGACCACCCTTTTCACCTTTTTTCACAGTCAATGATTCCTGCAAATTCACCGACACGGGTCCTAAGGAATGCGTATCAGTTAAAAGGCTAGTAGATGGCTTTTGTCTTTTGTTATCATTTTTGTTGTTGTTATTGTTGTTCCTTCTTTTCGTTATTGTTGTTATTGATGTTGTTGTTCTTGATGTTTGTTGATGACATTTTTTATTGTTATTTCTTGTTGACCGTTCTTGTCAACGCAGCAAACGCTGCTGTTGTTCTTCTGACTTCAGACACAGCTTTCAATTTTCCTCTTGTTCTTTGCTGTTCTTCATCTACATGTTCAGCAGCAGTCTTGTTAGTTGGGATGGTGTTTACCTTGTTTGTGGAAATGTGGTATTCTTCTAAATCTGCTGGTACAACAACAGTTCCTTGACAACATTGGTGTGGTTGGAAAAGTCTTGTATCTGCTTCTCTCTCGCATAGCTGTTGAAGAATAACTTCATCATTATTCAATTTTACAGTATAATCTTCCTTCAATTCTTCCAATCTCTTTTTCGTTAACGACCGTGGATGTGGTAAAAGGAAGGTGTTTGGTAGTATTGTTGTTAACAAGAGTATTCTAAGTTTTCGTAGTATCACTTGAGCAAGTAATTTCCCCTCCAATCCTAATGAAATGATGGTTCTCTCTTCAACAGGCTGAATACTAAAAACCTTCTTCAATAAATCTTTGTTTTCATCAATACCAAAATCCATTCCACTTGGAAGAACAACACCATTGGAACTAAACATTTGTGAATAATCTTTGGTGTTCGAAAATAAGGAATCATGGTAGGTGTGAAGATGACCACCACCTTTGCTAGAGCCGAAGTTAATCGTGTCCAATTCTTCAATATGACTACTCTCGAAAGCCTGTGTTTCGAAGAGTTTAACATGACCAACTCGTTCTTTCAATGGGATGATATGTTTCACCAAAATGTGTGCATACCATGACTTTCCAGGAAATCCTTGTACAGTAGTGATATATAATTTCCAGAATTTTGAAAGAGAATCGGAAAGAACATCCATTGGCTTATCATAATCAATGTTGTGAAATACCTGTTTCAAACTATGCCATAAATCCTTTGTTTTCTCAGATTCAAAGAATGGAGCCATTACATTAATGTTTTCTAAAAGAGTATTACAAGTATTGCCATGCAAAAATATTCTCACTTCGTTCCAATCCTCATCCTCCACCTTATTAATATATTCTAAACCCTTAATTTTTGTAACGGCAGTCCAAAATTTCTCCTTTTCTTTCATTCCACTCAAAGTAATTCTTAGTATATTTTCGCATAATCTTTCCTTTGCATGAAGTACACAAATAATAATATTACTCGCTGGTAATCCCAATATACATCCAAGCTCTGTTAGTGTTCGTGGTCTGTGATGTTTGGTGCAAATTGGGAATGTGATATTACAAAATGGACACCAACTATCCTGTTTAACTCCAGGACAAACTTCACCGAGAGCTTTCAAGTCCATCGTAAGGAAAACATCTACACTGCAATGATACGATCCAATAGTAATACCATTCTTTCTTATAATCTCAATCTCCTTTTTAAAATGCTCAGCTACATGTTTGATTTCTCCTTCATCTCCCTTCCAAATGGCCAGTGGTGCACATACAGCTCTGGACTGACCGGTTCCAAAACATTTACTGTTAATAACAGTAATATATATCGTTGTCAATTTAGAATTTGCTGCATAATCCAAATTCAATGCAACAATTAAATCTTTTGTTTCCTTTTTGTCTTGTTCACATAAAGGCCGTCCCTTATCTTTCATCCAACCAATCCACTTCTTATGTTGCAGAGCGTAACAACATAGTGTTGGGAAAATTGAATGGTATATTAATTTACCCTCTCCTTCTAATGTCAACACTTTCAAATTGAAAAAGTCTGAACAAAGCAAATCAGTTGATGACTGAGCATGTTGAAGAATACTTGATGAAGAGAGATCATTAACATTTCCTTCATTTCTAAACATGTCAACTGTTTTGTTGGAAACCTGTTGTCTATTCTTCACCACCACTTGCTTAAGGATTGTTGTATTAATTGTTGAGCTATATGTAGGTTTTCTTTTCTTCTTTTTGGGTGTTTCTTTTCCAGATTGTTGTACCTTTTCTATTTTTCTTTTTTGAGATTCTTCCCATTGTTTTCCCTTGATTTTTGAAATTTCTACTCTCTCATTCTCAAACACCTTGTCAGTGGAAGTGGTTTTTTTGGTTTGATGGGATGTTTCTTGTTTCGAAATAAATCCCTCTTCATGTAATCTCTTTTTATCCAATAGATCATTCCTTAGAAGGATTCCAAGAAATGAATAAATGTTAGTAAACCCCTCCATCTTTGCTAATAAATCATGACCACCTAATCTCATCAATAATCTTTCACCTTTTTTGTTTTTGGAAGTTATTTTCGAATAATCACTTTTCTTGTACTTGAATGAATTTGTTAAAATGTTGTCCTTCATCATGGTCAACCCAAAATGGTCCTTAATATCCATATAATACCTCAAACCATCTGGTTCCATGTATGTCTTATCGCTGGTAGATCCTTTTCCAATGATGTTTTCAATTGGTTTGGAATTTTTAGAATAATATTGATTTATTATTCTTGTGTTCCATTGGTCAACCATATTTGGAGAGACAATATTTTCTTGGCCTGAATTTGAGGTAGATGATATTGGAATGGTTTGAGATGGAGGAGGGTAAGAAAACATTGTTTGTGCAACAGTATGTGAAGTAGTTGATGGTTGTGAGTGGAATGAATTTTGATGAAACATGGGCGGAAATTGTGTTGAGTATGGAAAGATTGTTTGGGGAGGAAATGTTGGCGTATTGTAGTTAAAATAGGGATTGTGAAAGGGATTTATAAATGATTGGTCTTGTGATGGTTGTGGCTGTGATTCGATAATTGGTGTTTGTGACGAATATGTTGTGCTAATGTTATCCAGGTCCAATACAGAAGTCCAACCACTCTCCGATTGACAATCATCATGATGGCAATATGTCATTATGATATTTCTTTTTGAAATATTTGAAAAAACCGTTACAGAAATAATTTAATTAAATGTAAATTTTATTAGAAGAAATGGAATTCATCTTCATCATCGTACTTTATCTTCGTATCATAAGCAAAATGCATCGTGACTTCACCAGATTCAGTATCAAAAATAAAGGAAATGTTCTTCACTTGTAAAAGATATTGGGTAACAATGTAGTTGTCCTCTATCTGGGTGGCACTAGTAATGACTTGTTGACCCCAGTTATCAAATATATCCAATACAGGAAGATGAGATGTAAATCTATATCCAATACAAGGAACCTTATACTTAATGCCATGTCTTGTAACTGTTCTATCAGAGTGGAAAAAGGTAGCACCTAACATGCTTTGAAACATGACTTGAAATACACCAAGTTCAACAGAGCCACATCCAACGTAACTTCTTTTATCAATACCTCCCAACTTCAGCAATCTATTGATTTTCACTCGAGCACAATTAGCCAATACTTGGAATGATCTGGCAGCAAAATCTTTCTCACTTTCGCATAAATCGTCATATGTGGTGGAAAGAGGTTGGATTCTTGGTAACCCGTGTTCCATGATGATGTCTTTGAAGTCATATGAAGAAGTTTCCTCCTTTCGTTGTTGTTGGATTTGGAGGTCTACATGGTTGTTTGTTGGTGAAGTAATTGGCACATCAAACATATCGATATCACCTTCATCCAAGATGGTCTCAGTGATATATACTTGTTGTTGTGTATTCATTGTGTTTGTTGGTTTTTTTGTTGTTGTTGTTGGTAGGAGAGAGTGATAGGGTCGTTCATTTTATAGTCTTTTTTTTTGTAAGAAAAATCATCATTTTCTACCAGGCTTAGCTTGGCCAGGGCATTTTTAGCTTTGATGTAAATTTCTAGTGATTCATAATTTTGAACATTGAAAAGAGTTTATTATGTTGATAATTGCTCTGAATCCACTTACCTCTGAGGTGACATCTTACATTGGAGCAAATTCTGCTGCGCTAGTTGAAAGAAGATGGAAGAAGCAGTTGCTACTGAAATAATGGAAAGAAATATTATTAAGGAATTGTTAATAATAGATGAGGTTAACATCAACCATTCGAATACATAACATGAATTGCAAATAGAAGACAAATGGCTTCTAGGAGCACATAGAGAGAGCACTCCATAACATTTTAGGTTTTGAAAATTAAAGTTCAACATTGTTCGATTCTAATTAAAAAGTTGCAAACAATTTTACCTTTCAAATTATTCATAAAAAAAAATGGGCAATAAACAATCTAACCATCATCATCACCAACAACAACAACAGTCTTCTTCCACGAGCACCTTCACACCAACAACTATTCCGGTTTCTAATGAAGAGGCCTACAGAAGAGAAATGGAAATTTGTAGACAATACGAAATTGAAAGTAAGATGAGAGAAATGCATGAAGCCAAGTTTCATCAATATTCGGAAAATAAGGAGCCAGCATTGCAAAATCTTCAATTGGTATTAATAATTGATCACTCTGGATCAATGGGTTCTTTTGGTAGGTTTTTTTTGTGAAATAATTTTTATTCTAATTGGAAACTGAACAAGATGAGGATGCAACAGGTCAAAATCGTTCCAAGGGCTTGGTTGATTCTAATCATTGGACACGTTATGATAATGTTATTCAAGCAGCTAAATATCTTTCTGAAAGTATATTTCAATATGATAAGGATGGAAAGGTACCACTTATTTTCTTTGATTCAAATGTTAGAGAAGTGATTGTTGACAGTATTCCAAGATTAGTTGCTGCATTTGAAAAAAATCAACCAAATTCAAGTACCAATTTATTAGGAGCTCTTGAATTAGCATTTAAAAATCATGTTAATGATCATGAAAATGTATTATTTATTGTTTTCACAGATGGTAGTCCTAACGGAGGTCAAGAACCAAAAATCAAACAATTAATTCAAGACAAGTTGACCAAACCAGATCCTAATGGAAACAGATTGAATATTTTATTTATTCGTCATGGTGATGATATCTCTGCAATTAATTTTTTGAAACATTTGGATGATTGTGAGGCAATTGGAAATAATGTTGACACCAAGTCAGATAATGCTATTTATGCTCTTGGACCAAAGAATTTAATTCTCAATTCTATATTTGAACATATGGATGCTGAATTTTTACAATATGTTTAAAATAAATTGATTACTTTCATGTTTTAACTAAGAATCTGAAAATTGAATAGCAACAATAAAAAATGATATAAACAGTTTCGAATAGATTTCCAATATTAGTGATCGACCTTTACAATGATAAAAATACACAGGTCGTACCTTAACCTAGTCGTACCACTTGTCTCTTTGTAAACTCTCATCCAATATTCTGCTTCTTACTGATTTACTAAACAAGACACAATACCACATTAATCCCATAATTGAAAATGGAACTCTATTTTCTCTGCTCCTCAAATTCATTTCCATTTCTTCAATTATTATTTATAATTCAAGAAAAAAAAGTTTTTATATTCACTACTAACCCACAGAGAAAGGTTTTAAATTTCCAATTGTTTTTTATTGAGTGTGTTGATGTCGAGATATGCTTTAAAGCCACCTGAAGGTGATTTTTCCTATAATAATAATATTAATCATCATCAACAAGTTCCTACACAAGGTGTTGCTGTAGCCTATGATCAACAACAATTTCCTTCCAATACAACCATGATGATGATGGCACACCAATATAATAATAATAATAATTACATGATGAATGCTTCTAATAATAATAGCATGGTAATTCAACCTCCTCCTCCATCTCAAGCCTATGTTCCTCAACAAGAACCCTACATTCCATCACATTATATTGTTGATGGTGTTTATGGTACTGGTGCTGGAGGCTCGGGTGGTGCTAATACTGCTACAATTATTCAATACTCCTATGATAATGGTAATAATAATGCTAAAGCTCATGATTGGAATACTAATCCTAATGGTGGTTGTTGTACCATTTTGTAATTAAGAATTTAAATAATTAGTATTTAATTATTTAATAGAAAAAAAATGAATCATCATGATGATCATCGGAATGGCAATTATTCAACATTTTCAGGAGAATATGAAGTGAAAAAGGTTGTTAGGGAGAATCATAAACAAGATATTACTTTTATGAAAAGACATCCTGTATTGGAGTGTTTATTCTTTACTGCTAGTTCTCAAGGAAGACAAATTAATTTATATAATAATGATCACGATGGACATTTGGATTTGGTTTCTTATTATTTACATGATGATGATATTGGAGGTGTTTGTTGGTTAAATCATAATTTGGTTGGATTTTATGATATGAAAGGGAAGATTTATCATGCCTCTATAACTTATTCGAGAGTGGAAAGAATTTATGAGCCATTAATTGATAGTAACATTACAGAAAATTCAGATTATATTAACTATATGTGCTCATCATTTCAATATTATCCCAATAGTCCAAATTATTACTTATTCACAATATTAAATGAAAGTAAGAATGTACAGGTTTGGGATATCAATACTGATAGTTGTATTTGTAATATGAAAACAGATGATAATGCTCTATTTCACTTTGGTATGCCTATTGCCTATAACAAGTTCATTATTATACAATCCAACGGAAGAGTTTTACTATTAAGTATTGAACAAGCTAATGTTACTATTGAACCAATTCTACTTTCCAATGATAATGAATTATATGATGCTATATTAGATAATGATGTGAAAGAAATTCATTTAATCCAACAAACTAACAAGGAAACAAATTTACTTATTCAAACATCTTCATCCTTCATTCTATGCAATATTACATCTGAATATTCCAAGCTCACTCTCAAAACGATATCACATTTAGACTATTCATGTGAATGGGAGATTGATATTGCTAAATTGGAAAATAACAAATTTACAATATTAATACCAAGTATCAAAGATATCAAACTAATTGAATTTAATACGAGACGCTTTGAGGAAAAACACAAACTCAAACATAACAAGAAAGGTACAACTAATATCACTCATTCTCTTAATTTCAAGAATGGTTCCATAATAATTGCCATTAATAATTCCGATTCCAGCATATTGAGGTTTGAAAGAATTGAAAATAATTCGGAACCATAAATGAAGAAATAAATCTATCTTTACAAAGAGCTTTTTACATATTTTGACGAGAAGTAATGTACTGAAATACTGAGAATGATTGGCTTAGGATAACAGCATTCATTTATGAACAAGTCAGTTAGATATTATTTATCTTTGATTTCTTCCTTTTCAATTATTATTTTAAGGTTTTTAATCTTCTGATTTCTTCTTCAAGTTCCATGATTCTCCTATTTTCTGCTTCAAGTTTCTTCGTTAATTCCTTATTTAATTTTCGAGGTCATTATTTTCTTCAATTATTTGTGGAATATCTTTGAGGGGAGTAATTTCATTGTAACTTTCCATTTCCTTTTCAATTGATTCTATTGTTATTTTATCAGAGCCTTTAAGATAGAGAACAACTTTTGATATAATGGTCATGTGAGTGAAACAGTTCAATCTCTTTGAGGAATCTTTTTGAATCATGGTTATCAAACATTTAGTAAGAATATTATTCACTCCAAAAGATGGATCCACATATCGAACAATGGTTTTCTGAATTGCATGGTGTAATTTCTTCTCTCTTAATAAATCTGATAAAACTGAATAGAAATAAAGTCCATAATAGTTAAAGTAGGAATAATTTCCATCATATTTACAAATAATATAAATATGATGGAAATTATTCCTACCGGTACAGGTATCTATTTATTACATTCCTGAATATTTGAATCTTCCAAAAAGTTTCTATCAAGTTTCAATGAACAATTTGTCAATAATTTCAATAAAATACAGCCCAATGAGAATATATCACACTATGTTGAAATATTTCCAATATTATGTGCGAGCTTGTCACCATCCTTTAGTGATGCTTCTTCATAACTTTCGAATGAGACCTCAGGAGACATGTAATGATATTTTCCAACTGTCAAAGTTATGGAATTTCCACTTTTGACAACTTTTGCAATATCAAAATCAATAATTTTGTAATGATCTTTCACCTTAACTATATTCTTTGGATCTAAATCTCTATGCAACACATTTTTATCTTCAAGTGATTTCACAGAAAACAATATTTTTGTATATAAATTCATTTTGATAAACATTCATATTTCTATCAATAATCTTGTACTGTCTCTTCTCCCATTTCCATAATTGAGTACATAACCATCTATGAGATTACAGTCATAACATTTGATTTTACCTTCAATATCATCTCTTTTAAGAAATTTAATTCTCTCCTGCGCAGAAATTTCATCTATTTTGTCAAATTTAACTTTAAATGCAACAAATTCATTCAATATCTTACTGAAAGCTTTGAATGCAACCCCTTCTCCTCCGTGTCCCAGAAATAATTTCATATTGATTGTTAAAATACTTGTTGGAATAGTTTTGAAATTCTTTGAATATTTGAATGACTTTGGCAAGATCACCTCCAATTTTGTTTCTACAAGAACTTGCTTACGGTTTTTCTACATTTTGATTTTTTAATCCAACAAGAAATAAACAATAACACTAACCCAATCCATTTGTATTGATGCCATTTTTTTGATGTTTTTAATCTAGTCTAAGAAAGGCGATTGGTTGACCATTCCTGTAATTAACTTAATCAGATGTTTTACAATAAACTATTGACTTTGAACAAAGAGATTATTATTTATTCATCATCCTCAATATCTTCGATTTCTTCTTCTGTTTCTGTTGTCTTTTCAAGAGTTATCTTTTTCTTCTTTGGTTCAATATCACAACCAATAGATTTCAGTACAATTGAAACTTGATCGTATTTGATATGTCTAGAAATTGTAATATTTCCCTTAAAACCAATGACAACAATGTTGTCATGAGAATCTTCATCTTCGTCTTTAATCTTAACTAAAACACCACCTGGTTCCATTTGTGAAATTTTTTCAGCTTCTTCCTTTTGACCATTTTCTTCGAAAATCTTTGGTGAAACTTGAGGTTCAACTAAGAATTTGATAAAGTTTTCACGATTCAATTCAATTTTTCTGTGTGAGTTAGTATTATCCCAGAGTAATGTTGCAGCTTCTTGTGTCATTCTATAACGACATCTCAAAAATTGAGCCTTATTTCTAGCAAAAACTCTAATACCACAGTTGATAATGTTAAATTGTTGGCCATCATTCATGTTATGTTCAACAAATTTACGAACGGATGGAGAAATATACATAACTTTTCTGACACTGTCAAGTTCTGTGGCACTGTCAGTAGTTCTAAGACAAAATTGTTCATTCTTGAAGTTATCTCTATTAACACCATAAAAATCAAGAATTTTTTCAAGTTTTTCTGGTTCCATAGATTGAATAGTATCCTTTTGAATACCTCTTCCCTTGAATTGTTTGATTGTTTCTTCAGTATTTTCATTATATTCAGAAATTGGTTCATCCAAATCGGCAACCTTCTTAAAGTGAGCAATATAGAAACCACCAGTATTATTTTGATTTGGTAAAATTCTCATAGTGTAATGCATATTCATATCCTTAACATCATCTTTAGCAAATTCACTTTCAGTAATTCTGTTATCAGAGTTATATTTACGGGCATATTCGAAAGATGGTAATAATTCTCCTTTCTTTGAAGTAACAACCCAATTTGTCATACCTGGCTTGTACTTTAATGATGGGTATCTAGAAGATAAATCTTGTAAAACAAGCTTTCCCTTTGTTCTTCTAATAATTTCAGCAACTACAGCTTCATCTTCAATAGGATTTAATGTACATGTACTATATACAATTTCACCTCCAACATTTAACATATCAAAAGCTCTCAAAACACAATCAACTTGTAATTTGTGAAGACCATGACCCATATTTGCCTTCCATTGTCTCCAAACTTGTGGTGATTTTCTGATGGTACCATCTCCACTACACATGATATCACAGAGAACCTTATCAAATTTGAGTTTTGGTTCAGTAGTAAATTGTGGATACTTTGTAGCATCATGATTTGTAATCATCAAATGTGGGAATAAAAAGTTCAATCTTTGAAGTTGGTGAACTAATAAATAAGCTCTTTTAACATCATTATCATTGGCAATAACAAATCCCGAAATGTTCTTTGAATCTCCTCCACTACTTTGATAGAGTAATTCCACAAGTTGTGATGTTTTAGAACCTGGAGCAGCACACATATCAAGAACCTTATCAGATGGTTTCCAATTTGTAAACATCAATGGTGGTAACATACTGACAACTTCTTGTCTACAGAAATTACCCTTTTCAGTTTCTCTCATTAAAAAATTTCTAAATTCAGAAAATTCTGGCTGTTTTCTTAATAAATTCTTTGTAACATGGTCATGCATTTGCCACACAAGATCATCAGGAATAAATGGAACAGGTTTTAAAGAGGCATATTCTGGTTCTGTTTCAACCTTTGATGGTTCATGAAGATATTGAGAAACTGCACTGTCATCAATTCTGATTTTAGAAATAGCTTCAGCAAAATTCCTAATCTTTTGTTTTAATTTTTCTTGACTAGATTTTGGAATTGATTGATTAATTCTGAAAGAAATTGGTAAAGTTTTTCTAAAAGCATCCACCATATCCTTTAATTCCTCTTGTGAGTCAACAACTCTTTGTTGATCGAAATAATATTGTTCAAAAATTTTGTTTGTTTTTAAATCACCCTTTCTGGTCTTTTCCGGAACCCAAACATTCTTTGATTCTGTTGTTGTTGAAGATGATGATGTTTCAGTAGTGGTAGTCGGTTGTTGGCTCATTTTTTTTCTTCAAGTATCATTTTGAAATTGCACCATCTTCATCACACCTCTTCGGAACGAATAATAACAATAATAAATAAATAAAATTCATCATCAAATAATAATCATGATGAAGAATTTAAAAAGAGAATGCCATGCAACCCTCGCCAGTAGTCTGAATTGTGTTACAGCCCAGTGAGCTGTGTTGTACATCTAACTAAACTTTTGCGGTGTCATCCCAGCCGTTTCAATTGAGAGTTTCCTCCCAAGCCCATTTCTGGTTCTGGGATATTAGCATTATTGATTTACCAACCTCACTTCTCGTGAGTAAACAACACCTCAGACCTTCCCAGGAGTTATGGTTAATGTGAGTGTTCTTACTTGTTTAAAGTAATCTCGTATGTATTCTCCTCAATACGTCCAAGCTCAAGATGCAAGCAGACCCCGAAGATTAAATGTAATTTGCATCCTTGTGAAAGATTGGATATTTTTTAGGAGGTAAGATTTATGGTTTCAAAAAAGAGTTTTCTATATTTTACATAATTCAATTTCACTCAACTATTATTCAAGTTAATTACCAGACATTCTCACCAGATAGATCGAGTGTGATTGGCTTGTCAAAAACTTCGAGGAAATCTGATAATTGGAAACAATGTTCACATTCGTTTGATATTTCTTTAAGGAGAGATTCTCTTGGAATAATCTGAGGAAAATCTTGATTAAGACTGTCAAGGAAAAGTGACATTTGTCTGATACCAAGACCCATTACCTTCTTACCAAGAGTCACTAATTGTGTGACCATTTCCTGTATTTTAAAAATCCAAATTAATCCTGCTTTTTCTTCTTCCTTTGAGAGTGGATTTCCATTTGTAAAATCATCGTCATCGGTTTCAGCTGGATGGCCTGTTGGTATATCTCTACAGGTCCATCTAGGGAAACTCAGTGAACCTGAATCATCAGTGTACAGTAATATTTTGACAGATAATATTTTGTAATCAAATTCCTTCAAAAATTCATCATCCTTCTTTGCTCTGTGTAGAACCCTCAGAAAATCCAAGGTGCAATCCTTTGTTCCTTCCAAGAAATGTACATAATATTCCTGTCCTTCAAATAATATTCCGTAAAAATCGTCTTCCTTACGTCCAGTTTTATGAAATAAAGCCATATGATATTCTATCATTAATTAATCATCCCTATTATCCAGGTTCCCAAAACTTACGTTCGGTAAGACTTCCATTTGTTGTATCTTCTTGATGTTTCTTTGCTACATACAACAATCTGGAATGTGTCTTTTGGTCCTGTAAATTATTGTGTCTTGCCATAATAACATCCAACAATGAGGATCTTGCTGTTTGAGCAACCTCACTCATCGTTTCCTTTTGGTTGGCACTTGTTGAAATATTATTTGCGTTGTTTTTTGTTGGCACTGGAGTGGCCTTTCCTATCGATGGGCTTATATTGATGAGACTACTGTTATTGCTGTTCATTTCCAGAAAGTGTGGGTGATAAAGTGGTCTCTTTTTTTTTAAAGTTTTATTTGAATTTGTTTTCTGTAGTAAAATTGGGCGGGAATTGTCTAAACTTCAATATTAAATACAATAGTCAATAGGAAAGAAAAATTCTTATTGGAAAGTATTAACCAAATAACAGTCCATAGATTAGAGGATGTCATCTCATTATTTGGACTTTTCATTTGTTAAGGCAAGAAAACCGTTAAATTGGCAAGTAAAATTCCCAATATTTAACAGTCAACTCAATATTATTATGAATTTACCTTGTTGTGTGCATTAGAAATAAAGAATATTCCTTTTTTGTATTTTTGATGGGATGTCGGATTTTTAATAGTGTTGAATTGCCGTTTTTCTGATGATGAATTCAGCCTTTGAGTATTTTGTAAACGAGCTGTCAATGGTCAATCAGATTTTATTAATAATTTATTGGGAAGCAACCAATAGAATTGATGAAAGTTGGACGTTACAATGGTTTCATCTTGTCAGACAGCGCGTCAACAATTTTTTTGTTGACTGACAGTATAAATAGTTGAGAAGAAAAACTCAACACAAACATTCTCAAAAAAAACAATCCAACAATGAAGATTCTCTTCTCTCTTTTGCTTGTCCTTGTACTTGCCTCACTTGTCAGCTGCCAAACTTACCTCCCATATAATAATGCCACAACATTCTCCTCCTTCACCAAATATTTTGTTAAAGTTAATGGTGGTTTCAAGGCAGGAATTACATACACTCAAAAATCAAGTAGTATTTGCTTCATGTATGTCTACCACAGTAGTACTTCATTGAGTACTTCTAATGAATGTTATACAGCAACAATCAATTCTAATACTACAAGATATTTTGAATTGATACCTTTTACTGATGTTTCCAGTGATACTTTTACTATTTCATATAGTGGATTGGGTATTTGTGAAGGAACTATCAAGATTACTCAATTAAGTCAAGCAGCAGGTGATGTTTCATCAAAGAAAGCTGTCATTCCATTCGGTTATGCTTTTGAACAAAATTATGATATCATCTTGTATCGTTCAAGTGCATTCGCAATTCCTGCTGGTTACAAAGCTGTTGGTACAATTTATGGAATGAGTGGATCATGTGATCTCAAATTCAGTCATTCTGATACAAACTTTTTAACTTTGGGAATGACCAAGGGACAAACTCAATCATTTGAACTTATTCCACCAGAAAAGGCAACTTCAACTTCCACTATTTCAATTTCAGCCTCAAGTATTTCCGTTATTTGCCAAGTTCAATATAGTGTTGAACTGAAAAGTAGAACAGCAACTGATAAGGCCAATGTTGGCGAAGATTCCTCAACATCAGGTTCAGCAAATACAGGTGCTATTGTAGGTGCTGTCTTGGGTACATTGTTTGGATTGTGTTGTATCGTAACCATTGTTATTATTGCCATAGTTGCATGTATATTTGGTACAGCATGTTGTGCTGCTGGTGTTGCTGGAGGTGCAGCTGCTGCAGGAGGAGCTGCAGTGGTTGCTACAACAGCCAATCAAAATAATAAGGCTGAAGCTCAATATGTTTAGTTTGTTCCAATAAAAAAATTATGAATTTTAGTTCACGTTATTTTTGAATGCCAAATAGGATTTGATGATTAATTTTCCTGGAGAGGTTGATAATCTTTCCAGTAATGTTAGTGTGGTAGCTGTTCCATTGTGTGGTCTTGGCATGTTGGTGTTTGCTTGTTTGAATTGAGAGTTTAGTAAATTGGTCAGGAATGGTGAAATGGCTGAAATACTATCAGTTTCGAATCTGATATGCCATGAAAATTTGGAAAGTCTTTCATTGAAATCTTTCAAATCAATCAAATTACCATTATCATGTGCCATTTCAGCAAAAGTATCCATAAAAAACTTGCACAATATTTCGTATTTTTCTAAAATAGTCAAAAGGCCAGTTGAGTGGACTGAGTTTTCAAATGTTTGTTTGATTCTTTCCATGCATTCATGATCGTTGTGGCATGTCTTGACTAATTCAAAAATATTACTTTCTTGATCGTTGGATTGTTTCTCATTCTCCTTCAGATATAAAATGGAGGAATATTGAGGAGAAGGAACTCGAACAAAACCATTTCCATCGTAAACTAAACACTCTTTCACTTTGAAAGGATTACATGTATTAACGTAGGCTTTCACTTCACTAATATTTGAGAATATCAATGGACTATACTTGGAAAATACAGGACTGTATCTGGTTCTCTCAATAAATATATCTAAATGAGAAAGTTTAGACTTTTCCACATTAAACGATGTTAAAAGTAAAAACTCCATATTCTCATCCTTTGATATTTCAAATGTTAAGCTTCCAGATTTGTCAAGATTAATATTCTTCTCTGTAATAAATCCAATAACAAGCTCTTCGATTGATCTATTGAAGATAATTTCAGATCCATTAGATGTAGTTTGAGAGCATACTTTCATTTCTCTATTTACAATATCATAATATACACTAGCAATAATGCTATTATCATAAATTTCACAACATTTTGCTTTTTTCCAATTCATATTCTTGTAGGATTGGGCATGACTGTAGGGTAAAATTCTGAGAGGTGGCTTGCAAAGTATTTCATATGGGGAATCTAAATTTTTTCTGTACAAAACTAAACCATAAAATACTTCTTGAACAAGTGAAGAGTAAGTTGGTGATTCATCAACAGCTCTCAAATAAATATATTCATTTTCTTCTGTAGTATTCCAAAGGGTATTTTCAATAGAGAAAAATAATCTTAAATTTTCCAATAAAGTCTTGGAATTTGAAATATTATTGGCATAGGCCAGAATACTGGATTTGTATAATTTAGTTTCCTCTTCAGTTACTAGATTATCTTTCTTTGTAATTTCATTGAAAACATCTTTCAATTCTTGATATTTTGGATAATATTCCTTTTCAAAAAATTTCCAAGATGATTCCTTATGAAAAGATTGCATTATTAAATAGTAAGTGTTGTTAGCAGCTCCATAATCTACAATTTTCAAATTAGATGCTATCTGAATACCAAAAATTAAATCTCTAAAGGTATGGGCAATATATTTCCGTTCCTGATAATTTGGAATCTCATTTTCATTTTCTAATCGACCCCACTTTCTTCTCGCCATTTGAAAATGTTTACCAGCTTCGCCGACAACAGATAAAATCAATTTTCTGAAATAAATCTTGGTGTCAGTATGAAGATTTGGAAAATCGCATCTCCACACAAATTGTTCAGGTAAAAAGATGCACATTAAAGATTGCAACCAATTATCATTCAACTTGTTTTGGAAAACTGAATACTTGTACAAATTAATGTTCAATTCTATATCAGTTCCTTCTACTGAAATATATAAACATTGATATCCTTCAATAAATCCATCAAAAAGTGATTCAACTTTTGTTTCAATTAATTCCTTCCTTCCAGATTGATACCATTGAGTAGACAAACAATCATCTCTTTCAACTCTATAATATTCATCCATTTCTTCGTAGAGTTCATTAGAGACGATAATGAAAAAATCATAATCAGCATTTGGCTTTGCAGTTCCATACACTCTTGAGCCTAATAATTAATTCAATCATCATCAAACTAAAATTTCAGAATTTAATTACCTGTCTGATAAACATTCATCTGAGTTTTACTTTTAAATTTATCCAATTTCATACACTCAAGAATTGTATTAATATTACATGAGACTAATGATTCCGAAGATTGACTCGCTGATGATGAGTTCGCTTGATGTTGAGACATTTTTTTAGAGTGCATTTTAAAATTACATAAAGTTCACAGTTTCAAGTTTACTTGGTTCAATAATTATTATTGAATTATTGAAATTTGCATTGTTGGGTTATTAACATATAATACATGAATCCTTTTCCTTTGTTGGTGGAACTGTTTGTTCTTTTGGATAATTTGGAGAGTCAAGATTGTGTTTAGCAACCAAATATTTCTCCCACTGAATGGTGAGGAGATTCTTGTAAATGTCAGTGGATGGTTCCTCTGTAACAATTCTAAACTCTTGAGGTCCATTCATGATAATTTCTCTGTTTGCACCACTCCAACTGAATAGACACTATTTTGATTAGAGAAAGAATAAAAGATTCATTACTTACAGGGCCAGCTCCATTGTGAAATGGATTAATTTCAATAATTGTTACACCCTTAGTTGGTGAAACAAAGAAATCAACGACGAATGAAGGATGGGGAATTCTCTCAATGCAAAACCCATTGAAGAACTCATTAATTTTCTTTAAAATTTCTTCTTTTTGAGCAATTAAATCATCAAACTTGAAATCACAAAAGTATTGAGAAATGGCGTTCAATTTCTTTTCGTGTACGAAACATCTAAATTCAAATTGAGGCAATTCAATCATTTCTTCGTTCCACTCTCTTAAAATTATCTTACTTTCGTACAATTTCTCACCAAATCCAGTGTTCTTTTGCAAATCCTCATAAATTCTCTGTGATCTTCCCAATAATTCCATTGCAGATTTTCCACTATTAATTTTCATCGACTTGTTCATTGCTTTAAGGAAAGCAACACAAATATTATTTGGTGTCCTGTCAGAAACTCTTTCCACTTCCTTATTTAATTGATTTTGATAACTTTCATCATTATGACACTTCCATGGTACATCTTTTGGACTTCTTGTATTCAATTTAACAAAAGCTCCATCATTAAACTCTGTATGAGCTGCCAAACATTCATCAATTCTTTTTTCAACATTTTCCAATAAAACAACTTCTTCACTAGTTAAACTTGTTGTTTTTTCATAGGTTTTTGCATTCACTTTAAACAAGGATATTAAAGCCAAGGCTTCTTGATAGGATAAATCAACACTTCTAGTTTTGAAGGTAAAAGGTTCCAGCTCTGCAGTACACCATGATTCAATTCCGAAACAATTTTGATAATGCTTTCTTCTGTATTGTTCAATTTGATGATCGGCAACTCCTAATTCTCTGATTTGATCATCAGATAGTAAAAAAGGGCTGGAATAGAAAGAAGGTTGTTGTGACATTTTTTTGTTGGATAAAGTTCGTTTGAACTTGGTACTTTTACAAATTACAAGATAAGGTTATTGTATTATATAATCATAGAAAAATCCAAAATGAACACCAGCCCGCGTAGCAGAGTGGTCAAATGCGTAAGACTTAAGATCTTATCCCGAATGGGTTCGTGGGTTCGAACCCCACCGCTGGCATTTCCTTTTACCTTTGACAGAAAGAAATGGAACTTGAGACTTAATGTATCTTATATGATGTCTATTGACCAGAATTAATATTTTAAAGTTCCATTCTAACAATTTACAAATTAATTTCCAAAGATAAAAAAATGGGTCAATCACAACCTCAGAAAATTGCACCACCACCACCTGTTTGCTCCTCATCTACATCATCATCTTCAATGCCTTTCATTAATTCGGATCGTGTTGAACAACTTAAAAAATCATCTCTCATCAACAAGTTGGCAAATCCTAAAATGTTTCCAAACAAGATTTTTCATGATTTAATCGAATCAAAAAGTGATCTGAAGAGTGTTGAGAAATATGCAGTTTATAATTATGAAAATTGTTCAATTTTTGAAAAGGAATTGCCAGATGAATTATTTATTTGTATTTTGGGATTTTTAATGAATCATGAACTTTTCAAATTACAACGAGTTTCCAAAAATTTCAAATATTATTGGACTCAAAATAGTTTTTTATGGAGAGGAAGATTGTTGGATGATTACAATAAGATTTTCATGTATTTTAAACCAATTATGCAATCACCAAACAATAGTATTGTATATTATCATCACTTTATACAAACAATTTTAAGTTCGTACAAAGAAAAATCAGATGTACCCAACTCTATGATTTGTAAACAAGTTTTAATGGGAATGGATCAATGTGGTAAATCTGAACTAGCTAAATTATTTTCAGATTCAACAAGATTATTTGATTCAAAATATTCTCGAACCATTGGAGTTGAGTTTTATTCAAAAGGTTATGAGTATAATAATAATTTACATTGCAAAATTCAATTATGGGATACTGGTGGACATGCAAGGTTTCAATCAATTGCATCAGCCTATAAAAGAGGTTCCAAGACTATCATTTATTGCTTTGATTTGAGTGATGAAGAGTCTTTTGATCGAATGAAGGAACTTATTGACAATAATAGTGAAAAACCTCAAAATACTCCTTGGAATGATTATTTACAATGTGAAAGGTTAAGTATGATAATTATTGGATTGAAGAGAGATTTAGTAAGAAAGGTGAAAATGAGTCGAATTGAAAATCTCCTCCAACAGTTTGTACCCATTATTGATGGTATTTCATTGAAAGATTTGAAAGTTCAATATTTTGAGCTAAGTTGTAAAACTGATGCCAGATGTTACATTCAATTCCCTCTATTATTTGGATTATTGATGAGTGAGGAAGTAATGATTGAGGATGCATCTATTGACAAGAAGGTAATGGCGGAAATAAAAACTTGATGAGCACCAGCCCGCGTAGCAGAGTGGTCAAATGCGTAAGACTTAAGATCTTATCCCGAATGGGTTCGTGGGTTCGAACCCCACCGCTGGCATTTCCTTTTTCTTTGCCAGAAAGAAATGGAACTTGATCGAATATATTGCTAAATAATTGCTTTTATATTCAATTTTTGAAATGCAAGTGTGAAAATCCATTCCAAAAAAATGTTTCTAACTTCCTTCGCTAGTATGATCAGTTTTACCTTGTTCTTTCTGGTCATCGTCAAATCGTTGGGATGGATTTTGAAAAAGCAATTCCCAAATCTTCGGAAATATGAAACATCCATTAGAAAAATCATTTCTTTTAACAACACTCTATATGGCATACTTTCTGGAGTCTATTGCATATCATTTGTGTTATTCCATCAAAAACCACAGTCAAGTGATCTATTAATTTATATCTATTACTTGTCCAAAATTTATGAGTTTCTTGATATTGTGTTGGTGATTATTCTGAATCATGCCAAGAAGAGTGATGAAGGATTGAGTGGTCACTTTGCCATTCATCACATCACTACTCTCAGCTTGGTATGGGCTTGTTTCTATGCTCCTTCTTCAATGATTATGCAAGAAGACAGACTGTTGAACAAGAAGACTCTGTTGGGAGAAATTCATGTGGCTCCAATTGTAACTAATACTTTCCATCACTTTCTAATGTATATCCATTTGGGAGGTTATATTAAAATGTTTGGGAGATTGTTGCCTTGGAGTGGTGGACTTCAATTGGTTGTTGGTGTATTGGCAGTAGGATCTCAAGTATTTGAAAAGATTTTCCTTTATGGGAAGTGGAATATTCAAGCTGAAGTTTATGTTTGTGTAATGTATGTCATTTACTTTTGTTGTCACATTCGAGATGTGAGAGCCAGTAGTGCCCCACCTAAAGAAAATGATTCCAAATAAATATAAATAAATTAGGCAAGATCACATTATTCAACTAATTGTTGGTTAGTCCACTGGCCAATTTTAAATTGAGATTAAAGTGAAATTATCAAAATTCGAACATAATATCATTGTATGATTTTGTGGCAAGCTTAGAGAATTTCAATGGAGGTAATACAAATGTTGGAAGTTTCATTTCAAAAAATGAAATGTCATTGAACCCAATGTCCTTTTTTGCATTGTAAAGTAAATATCTCCTAATTCCTCCAAATAGCAAAATCCTATTTCCTGATCTGATTTGATAATGAGATTGAGGATTAATTCGTAAGAGGTTTTCTTTTTCTTCCTCTGAGCAATCAAGAGTAAAATGTCCAATCCTACAATTATAAAGACAATCAAATATACCAATCCTTTCTGAGTAAATCAATTTACCTCTATAGTATCCACAAAAACTGATTAAATACCGACCAGCTATGAGAACACTTGAATTAAAGGAAGCTTTTACATCTAACGAGGATTCAAAACCTCTTGTTACACTCTTACATTGATCACTGAAATCAAATCTAATAATTTTTGATGAAGTAAAGCTTGAACCAAACAATGACCCACCATATGATATCACACTTCCACTTCCTTCCTCAACATTATAACTCAATAACTGACAACCATGAGTAGAGGGTGAAACTACACCACCCATTCCTTCTTGTACAATTCCTGGGTTTGCTTGAAAGCAAGAAATTGATGATCTACTTTCCAACATTTCACTTGTTAAATTCAGTTTAAACATTGATTGGTGGAATATCAAAAAATCACTCTCTTTCAAAATAGAACTCTCTACTTTTTCTAAATCTTTCACAAATGTAATCTTTCCATCCTCATGAACTTTCATTAATTTGAAGCCCTTAAAATCATACAATGAATAACAAAGAAAATATGGACTATTTTCAATAACAATCAAATCATCAACCATTTCATGATCCTGAAAAACAAATTCAGATTCAATAATATATTCTTTCCTCCACAAGTCGAATAGAGCAACTCCATAATATGAAATCTGCCTCCATACACGAAACGACACCAGCAAAAATCTTTCATCACTTGCATTATTCGGCAATTTGATAAATTTTGATGATATTATTTCACACAACGTATTACAGGTATCTGAGGTTGGCCGTTCTTTCAAAAGTTGGATGACTATTTTTTCTTCTATTGGAAGGGAATTCTTGGGAAATTGGATAGAACAGAGAATATTACCGAGAAATTTATCTTCATCATGATCCCTGGGAGACAGGAAGTGTCTTGTTTCCATTTTTTTAGTTATTGCGTCCCTCAAAAAAATACCTCAACGTCTAGTACGTTTGTGCGGTTTTCTAGATTGACCAAGATGCAAGTAGCACAGCGCTAAACTATCGCCGTAACTTTCGGCATCGAGGTTTAGATGGATTCAAACTATGTATTGTTTATTCTTGTCTGTAGAATAACATATAGCTATCTTCTGTCAAAGATTTAAAGCAGGTTTCTTTAGTTTAGCACGGGCAAAACAATGTAAAGATACCGAGGCGTGGAGAGTAATGATTTAATTATGAACAGAAAGGAAATTTTATAAGAATATAATCAAAGAGAATAGATATTGTAGAACGTTACGTAAGAATTTTATTGCAGCGTAAGAGATGGTATTGGATCACCTTCTCGATATCCTTGACAGATATTTCAGATGCTTCCCCATTTAATTTTCTATTATTTCGCGATGTTTACTTTCCCTATGGTTTCCATTAGTCACGGTCTAACTCTTGATTAGTTTCCAACTATGCAACTTAAAGGCTAGGCGATAACTCCACTCCTAAAAGTCCCCGTCCAATGACGAAGCTGTGAATGAACTTTGTTCCTACGATACACACTCCAAAAGTACACCATCACAAGAGTGCTTGGTCGAGAATCTGAATAGATTCGAAAAATTGTAGTGTATAATAATCGGTATTATAAATTTTTTTAGTTATTGCTCCGAAAGAGATTTGTTTCAATATAAAATTTCATCAGCACTGAGTACGAGCTTAAACTTAATCTCAAACATTTTGTTTTATTTACAATTTACTGAATTATTTACAAGTTGTAATTTACATCTTTTTCGATTTGGTAATCTTCTTAGCTGTGGTGGTTGATTGTATTGAATTTTTCAAAGATCTTTTCACCGAAATTTGTTTACCATTTAAATTAGCATGATGATAATCAATATTATTACGATGTCTAGTTCCACTCATAATATTTGAAGTATCAATATCAAATAATGATAATTTTAGATAAATCAATTGGTTTAGATCTTGTCCTTTCTGTTTTTATTGGAATTCTATCTTTGGATGATGAAGAATTTGATGAAGTATTTCTAGCTGACATTTTGCTCTTAGTTTTTGTTATTTAGTTATTTTGTTTTGTTGTGTAAATTTCATCATCGATACCAGTTATCTATTTCCATGATGATTCCACTAATTTTATGATTCGGATTTTTGGATTTTCCACTCATCACAAGAATTTGAATTAATAAAGAAATTTTCATCTGGATATTGTTGTTTCTCCTCTTTGCGCACTCAGAGGTAATTAGATTTTGGTCAATAGAGGTGCATTCATCGTGATATGGCATTCTTAAAATATACAATTAAGGTTTCAATTGGATACAACCAACAGTGTGCACAGGTCATTAGAATTGTAACAATTAAAAAAAATGGGAAACTTCTTTTCGTCGAATAATCTTTCGCGAGTGAAAGAACTTCCAGATGAAATTTTATTTACAGAAATTTTATCCTATTTGCCTTTGAGAGATTTACCGAATCTTTTGGTTATTTCTAAAGATTTCAATCGGAAAGTGTTGTCATCACACAGTTTATTATATCAGTTTAGTTTGTATACAAATCCATTCATTTCACTTTCGAATAAAACTGATTTAAAAGATAGAAAAATGACCTATTCCGAAATGAAGAAGGAAATAATTGAATATGATTCAATGATTCATAGAATTAAATATTCAAAAACCGTAGAATAATTTTTTGAATATTTAAATTGTAAATAATTAAGAATATTAACTTAAATGTGTTACTGATAAGAGTTTATGTACCACATTTAATACTAATTAGTTCTTTATTCAAATTACTTTATTCGAAACAAGGCTATTCCAGTAAATTCCATGTACGATTCGCCTAAACGTATGTTAAAAATCTACCAATTCTTTTGAAAGATGTGATGGTTTCATTTGACTTTTGTTGACATTTCGAATAAAAAGCAATTATCTCTAAAATTATTCATCATTAATTCAATTTTCATGTGCACAAACCTGAACATTTAATCTAATCTCACCATTTAATAAAATTTTGATGGCCACGAAAAGTCTTTCGCTCAAAAAAGGAAACCTTCAAAAAAGGAAACTGGTTAAATAATTTCCAAAAAAGAATCTGAGCTCGTTTCATTTGTGATGTTCGTAGACTTTAAGGGTCTCTTTCAAGAAGAATCACAACAAGAAAATGGGTCAAAACATTCATGCTCCACGTGTTTTCATTTCCTCTAACGAAAAGCAAGGAGACGAATATGTAATTAGTGGAAACCTTTCGAATAACAGTTCAACACCAACTAATCTCCACAGTCATAATGTATTTGATGATGCACATTCTAATGGATTATCTCCACCTCATCCTTCTGGTCAAGCTCCTTTAATTATTGTTGGAGGTTCTTCAAGTGGCAGTAGTAGTGGAGGTGATGAAATAGTTTCGTCTCCTTTCCATTCACCTCGTTCTCCAAAATTTGTTAGAAATCATGACGATGTAATATTTGACAATCTTTCTGATTCTTCCTATTCTACTTCTCCACAAAATTCACCGAAACTAACCTCAAGAACCAAGAGAATGAGCTCTGGTCCAAACTACTCACCAAAACTTGAAAATTTTAGAAAGACTCAACAGCAACAAACTAAACAACCAACTGTTTGGTTTTCTTCTGTTTCTAATGAATCTGATTGGATGGACCATTCGAATAGATTTGCTCATACCAAAAAGCAAAAAATGGTTCTCATGTTAAGTTATGGAGTAAATACTCATTCTGAAGATTTATTTCAATATTGGTTTCAGAGATTTTTACCAAAAAGTGAAGAAACACAAACCAAAAGCAAGATTATGCAATTGTGTGCTTTATATTTGAGAAGATTGTGTTTTGCATATGTAAATAGAAGTTGTTCATCTCAATTAATTCAAGAATGTTCTACATCAACTTGTTCTAATGAAGGTGTTGATCAGATGGTGGACTATTCGAAAACATTGAAAAGGTTTGATTCATGGTCATTATCACCACTCACTAGAGAAGAAACATTTTCACATGATGATTTCATCAATGAACTCATTGACATGTTAGTTAACAATGATGAATCATTTATTTTACAATCACTTGGTCATTGGAATGCAAATATTCTCACAAATATGGAATTGTTATGGAAGAGTGAGGCTATTCAACGTGCAGCCTCTAAATTAGTTGAACAGCAGGTTTACATGGATGAGAAAGTTTATGCAGAGTACTTTTTAAATTCCATTCCTCACTTATTAGATTCTAGTTACAATTTAACAGTTTCAGATTTATCGAATGCACAGAGACGTAAATTCAAAATTAATGAAATTAAGATTGTCGATCAGGGAAATTATGATTGTCTCTATTCAGTATTGGATATTTCAAGTATGGGAGGAGAAAAGACGAAGTGGTTGAGATCATTCAATAACGTTGATGGATTTTTAATGATTTTTTCACTAGATGAGATAGCTCAAGACAAATCAGTCCTTCAGAAATCTTTGCATTCCTTCAGAGAAATGACTAGTTACTTCTTTGGAAATAATCAGCAACAAAATGGATGTAAAACTCAAATCTATGTATGCTTTTCCAATGTTGCTGAATTCTGCAAATTGGTCAAATCAGAAGAATTACCACTTCAACATTCACTCAAAGGAGATGTCAAGAATCCTTCCATAGTTTTCAAATATATAGTTTCCCAATTCATGGCCAGTAATGGCAGTTGTTCCAATAATTTAACAGAGAGAAATCCAACAAGTTCTCAAAACATTTCCTTCTATGCCATTGATAGTTTCTCAGACTATTATTCAATGTACGAATTTACGAGTTATTTACTTGAGGGAAGAAATTATTTCAGTGAACTGATAACAGGTGCTAAGGAGAAGAGAGAAGTATCGAGGAGAGGTGAATTGTTTTCCATGTGCAAATTGAGTCATGATGATAAATTGAAAAGGAAATTGATAGATATTTCATTTAACTTTGAGTAAAATATTTCAAAAATTGGATTTGATTTTAAAATTTTGAAATATTTCATTCAATTATAGAAATTATATTATTGAATTGATTTAAATAATAGAATAATAATATTAAATTGCTTTTTACAAAGGCCTTAATTTTACTTCTCTCCAATAAATTAATCAGCCTTCTAAAAAGCCTTCTTTGAGTTCCAAAAAAGTACTCTATGAAATTTCCATAACATCTAACTCTCCATCACGATCATATCGATTATCATCTTTTATTCATCACAATTCTTTCATTCATAACCAAATTGCAATATTACTAGATAATATTATCTTTTGTACAAACAACACATTTATGCTTGTAGTATTTAATGCCATAACGAGTGATCAATAAAGGGGTCCAAAAAAGAAACTTTTTTAATAAGAGACCACTCACAAAAAAATGAAGACCTTCCTCTCACGTGTTGCCTCTCAATCAAAGAAAGGTACGTAATTTATTCGGCTCTTTATGTTGTTAATTATTGTTCTTCTTCTTCTGTTGTTGACTAATTTAAATTGTGCAATGTTGGCGCGGATATTGATATTTTGTATTGAAATTTTACTTTGATACAAATAATAATAACAATTACATTATCACTTGTACCAATAATAATAACAATAACACTAATAACAAATAATGCTGCTGCCTAACTTCATCATGATGTTTCTTTCTACATCTAATACAATCACGAAAATATTTAAAAATGTTCTTTAATATTCAACTAAAATGATCTGTGAAATTGATTGGATTTTCTTCATCTTGGTAAATAGTTAATTCTATTAACATCAAGAATACCACACAACAAAGATGCCTCAACATTCACGAATATCAAGCTAAGGAACTCTTCAAACAATTCGATGTTCCTCACCAAAGAGGTATTACCATTGATAACTTGGAAGCCATTCCAGCTACTCTTGCTCAATTGAAGACTGAAACTGGTACCAAGAACTTTATTGTCAAGTCTCAAATTTTGGCTGGTGGTAGAGGTAAAGGATCATTCATTGAAAATGGATTCCAAGGAGGTGTTAAATTCACAAAGAACGAACAAGTTGCTGCTGATGTTGCTAGCAAAATGCTCGGTAATACTCTCGTAACTAAACAAACTGGTGAAAAGGGTATCAAGGTCGACAAGCTCTTCTTTGCTGAATGCTTGGACTTTAACAGAGAATTCTACTTTGCCATCCTCTTGGACAGAGCTGCTCAATGCCCAGTTTTCGTCGGAAGTTATGAAGGTGGTATGGATATTGAACAAGTTGCTGAAGAAAAGCCAGAAGCTATCAAGACTTTGCTCATCAGAGATCTCGAAAATGGTCCAACTCTTGCTGATGCCACTGAATATGCTAAGGAACTCCAATTCAAGAAGCCAGAACAAGCTGCTCAAATCATGAAGAAGTTGTACACCATGTTCCGTAAGACTGATGCTGCTCAATTGGAAATCAATCCACTCGTTGAACTTGATAACACTGCTGATCTCTCATGTGTTGACTGTAAATTGAACATTGATGATAATGCTGCTTTCAGACAAGCTAACATCTTTGCTATGCGTGATTGGGCTGCTGAAGATCCAAGAGAAGTTGAAGCTGCCAAATGTGAATTGAACTATATCGGATTGGATGGTAACATTGGTTGTTTGGTCAATGGTGCTGGTTTGGCTATGGCCACTATGGACATTATTCAATTGCACGGTGGTGCTCCAGCTAACTTTTTGGATGTTGGTGGTGGTGCCACTACTAACCAAGTTAAGCAAGCTTTCACTATCATTTTGAAGGATGAAAGTGTCAAGTGTGTTTTGGTCAACATTTTCGGTGGTATCATGAGATGTGATGTTATTGCTGAAGGTATTGTTCAAGCTGCTCGTGAATTGGGTGTCCGTATTCCAATCGTTGTTCGTTTGGCTGGTACTAATGTTGATAAGGGTCTCCAAATCTTGGAAGAAGCTGCCAAGACTGGTACTCTTAAGGTTATTGCTGCTAAGGATCTCGATGATGCTGCCATCAAGTCAGTTGCTCAATTGAAATAAATAATTTCTACTAATTTGCTAATTTAAATCACCTTAGATTAATTAGAAAATGCAAACAGTTCACATTTGTTCAACATCAAACAATATTAAAAAATGTCACAACAAGCAAACAAAGGAAAAGTTGCTCTCGTTATTGTTGGGTAGGTTTAAATTGACATTATTCATCATAACCTCCATCAACATTAAATTATCAAACGTGATCATCTGTTATTATTATTATTATCAGATCTGTGGGTTGCATCTCGGCCGTTTCCTTTTTATTCTCCTTATCAATGGCTATCTGGGGTTGTATGTAGAATTGTATAAAGATAATAATAATAATAATATATTCAATATATATTTAATCTTGATCATGATCAATATTAATTTCTTCAGTTACCGTTCATAATGATATCAAATTAGATAAGAATAGTACAGGTTGCACATCTGAAACTATATCCGATTTAATGTTAGCCTATTGTATATTACTTGTTATTACAGCTTGTGGAAGTATTTGTAATTTATTAACTTCAATTTTAGATCAATGTTGTTGTGGTAATGGTGATAACACCAATGGAGATGAACAAAGTAAGAAACCGAAACCATTTAATTCTCTATCACAATGTTGTTTTGCAATACTTGGACTTGCTGTTTGGGGTGTTTTAATTGCCTTGACTGTTTACTTGTAAGTTTTCAGAACAAGTTGATGAAGAATTTAAATTGTTTAACATTAATTTATTGAAATATTCAAGATATAAGGATTCTTGTAGAGAAATGAGAAAGGAAATGTATTCCTTAATGAATCCATTCATTATTACTCAATATGTTGCATTCCCATTGTTCTGTGTATGTGCAACTTGTTTGGCAATTTGTGTTCAATGTTGTGCAGTATTTGCTGTTGCTGCATTTGATGAAAGATATAGCAGAGTTTAAACATTTCAATGTAGCTTGAAAAAACTCCTGATTATTTATTTATCTATGGAATCTTATAAAGATTTCTTTTCCAAATCAACTCCACAGTAATATTTACAATAATCGTAGAGGATCTTGGCAAGATAATTGGAGGAGAATGATGGCATTGGATTTCCCTTCTCTTTGGCTTCTTTTACAGCTTTGAGAATGCCATTATAATTGTCCATACAGAGCTTTTTGGATGAAATTGGATTGGTAAAGACGAATTTCTTATTGAGGAAACCACCAAGGTTACAAGTTCTAGCTTCAACATAACGAGTTCTGTACTTGTCAACCATGTTGTAAATTCTGGAACCAACAAATGGACACTTGATCAAATCCTTGATTTCTTCATTCTTGACGAAATCACTTGATTTGAATAGGAAGGCGTTTTCAATAAGTTTCTCACCATGGAAATGAGATTTGCTTGAAAATACAAATTGAACTCCTCTCAATGAGAATAGCGGACCAAAATCAAACTTGGAAGTCATAATTACAGCTGGATACTTTTGAATGGAGCTTGCAGCATTAATTGGAGTATAGTAATGCCATTGGACATTGTGGAAACAATATTCAAGATGACTATCAAAGTGTGTAGATTTCACAACGTCATTAATTGGATGATCAAAATAACCAACAATCTTGGAATTTCTCAATTCTAAATTATCTCTGGAGTGATCTTCATCTGAATTCCATTGCATTACATTTGGCAATTTGGAATAGGTTAAATACCAATCACCACCATGTTCCCTACACATCCAATTTGAAAAGTTCCAATCACTGTCAATAACATGCTTGATATTCAAATCTTCATTATTGAACTTGAATTCTCTGTTGGCCTTCTCATTCTTCTCCTTCTTCTTTCTATAGATTTCAACAACATATTTTGGAAGATTTCCATCAACCAAACCATTCTCAAACCACTTCCTGACCTTCTTGTTTTGTTTAAATTCAAAGATTGCAAACCAATCACCCAATTCTAATAGGAACATGTTACAAATGAGTTTAATTTCATCAAGCAGACCAACAGTGAATCTATTCTCCTCAGAGATGGTTCCTCCAGTGCTATGAACCAACTCTTCCTTAGAGAGAAGTGCATGTTTTGGATCTTTACAATTCACACTTTGAGCTTGTAAGAATTCTCTCAAGTACACGTGTCTGAATAGTGGAGTATGATCCAATTGACTTGGTAGATACTTTAAATAGAACCATACCTTATCTGGTGATTCACTTTTAAGCTTTTCAATTTCAACAGATTCGTATGGCATCTTTAAAGCAATCAAAACTTTACAAAACAAATCCAATCGACTGAAAACAGCTTCACTCGATTTGAAAACCTTTGATGGAACTTTCTCATTAATTGGATCAAAGAAATGTTCCAAAAACATCAACTTGATCTCAAATTCATTTGCCATCTTTGCTTGATCTTCACAATAATCAAGGAATTTGTGTTTCAAATTTTCAATAATTTCATCACTGTTAGTTTTTGGAACTGGTTGATCTTGATAGTAAAAGTTTTGATGATAATATGGTACAGAACTGTTGTGAGTGGTATTTAGTGGATTGGCTTGACAGTTATTTGGTGAGATACTCAAGTTATTTGGATTAGGTTGAGCATTGTTTGGATCTTGTAAACTGGAGAATGAATCAGACGAATCTGAATGGCCAGATTCAGAAGAATCGTATAGATTCGAACCAACAATACTTGTTGGTGTGGTACATTCAGCTGAATTTAAACTACCAGAACTGTTTCCATACATATTTATGAAATACTCCTTATCAGTGGAGCCAATTGATGAAGTACTATTGTTGACAGGACTTCCAGGTGAATTTCCAGTACCATGATTAGTGACATTTAGAAATAAATTGCTAGAGGAAGTATCTTTTGATTTGGAACTACCTGATGAGCTAGTAGAAACTGCACATGAACTTAAATTAGTTGAGTTATTCAAAAGATTTGCATATACCACACGTGGGTTGAGTAGAATGGTGACTGGAAGGATGAGTGGTTGTTTGTTTGGAGTTAGTTGAGTAGTTTCGTTTTTGGTGGATTTTCTGTTGTTGGCCATTGTTTGTTGTTTTTTTTGTGATATTTTGTTTTGTAGTGAGGTGGTTTAGTTTCGAATAATGAATAAGTTGGATAATCTGCCATAGTATCATTTGAGCTTTATTCGAAACAATTAAATATTGTTTATTAAAGAGTTTATTTTCTAAATTGTAAAGTAATAATACTAAAATAGTAAAAGTTACGGTAACGGATTTGAAAAAATATTTCTTTATTCGAAACCAAAAAACAATCAAATTCCAAAAATTCTACTTTTAGGAAGGCAGTTAATGAAATTGGAAGAAACAGCCGTTGTTTCTAAAAAGTGTAATATGGTTGTATTATTCTTGGCTTCATACAAAATGAAAGTAATCTTCATTTCGAATATTATCTCGTGAAATATGAAATGGGTTAATGATCGAGCACTTGTGCTATCCTAACACCTTTTCGAATACAATGAAACTAAATTGGGATTTGTGAGGATTATATAGACCCCCTCAATTTCTAGTTCATCACCATGTTAAATTATATCACATTGTTGTATTAAGGAAACAATCTTCAGCAACACTTATAAAATGGTTTTCTGCAAAAATCATAAATTACAACTGATTCCAATAAATTACCCAACATTTCAGACTTAATTCTTTCCTTCTTGTTATATCTTAGTACTCCACGTAAAATTTGTTGTAGTGGCTTTATATCACAAGTATTTTCGTATACTTTGACGCCCTCAATTCTTTTTTCAATATCACCTTCGACACATCCATCTAAAATATGTAAACAAAACATTCCAAATGAGTATAAATCCGATTCTTGAGAGTAATCAATACCTTCTATCATCTCTGGAGGGATATATGAATCCATTGTACCAGCAACTGTCTGAATTTCGCTGCCATCACCCAAGTTACTCAATGACATGAAGGCTAATTTCCAAATACCGTTGTCATTGATAATATTTGAAAAATCCAAACACGTGTAAACCAAGTTGTGACGATGTAGGAAACAAAATGTCTGTCCTACTCTTTTAATTAATGATATTCTATCATTTGGGATCATTTTGGACAAGTAGTAATTGCTTAATGAGTCTCCATTTGGTGTCTCAATAATAAAATCGCCAGATTCACGAATTATTTTACATTGAATTGGTACGTATAAATCATTTCCTAAGTTTGTTCTTCATTTTACATTAATGAGATAATTCATAACAAAACTTACAACTGAAAGTATAAAGATTCAAACAAATAATCATCTGGAAAACTAATAAATATTGGAGAGGTATTTCTTTCAACGTATCTTTCATGTAAAATCAAATATGAAACCACATAAAGTCGTTTGAGATCTATTAAATCAAGGTCAGGTAGTAAGTGAGTTGCTAGTGGAATAGTATCAGGGCTCAACAAGGAAATTATTTGGTTGCAATTACAACCAATGACCAACTCTAATGCATAGTGATAACATGGTGCTATCGATTTGTCATTATCATCTAATAAAAATAGAACACTTACTGGAATAATATGCATGGGTTTTGATGATTGTTGAAATAAAATCCACGTCCCTGATTTCGTAACCACTCATCAACTCAGAGTTTCTAGAAATCTTACATACTACTTCAATATTTCCAATTACGACTTCTCCAAATTTTAAATTGACTTCATCTTCATTTATATTTTCCAAAAAGTCTTCACAAAATTCCCACACTATTTCGACATATTTCTCAATATCAGAAGCATGGGATAGTTCTTTACAACTAAAAACTGTTGCTACAATATTATTATTTCCTTGAATCAATAAAAGTTCGTGGATGTTTTGAAGATTTCCTTTCACTAACAGGATCATCTTGACATTATGATTTGCTTCAATTTGTTTAGGAGAAAATGACACTATCTGAAACAATTTTGACTTCATTTCCTGAATAATAATATCCCAGTTATCTGGTCGGTGTTCTTCTTCTCTTGCAGTGCATCTATGACATAAGTTGCTAAATTCTTGATCAATACCACAATATTCTAACAATTTTCCAAATGAATAAATATCGCACTTATAAGTATATAAACCTCCTTCTGCTACTTGTGGAGATCTGAAAAAGGTTGTACCTCCAGATGAATTGTCTTCTCCAAGACATATTTTACCGAATCCAAAATCTACAAGTGTAACTACATTCGATGATATCATAATATTTTTTGCTGAGATGTCTCGATGAACAATATTAAAAGCGTGAACCTTTTTAAGAGCATCAGCTATTTGAATGAGTATTTTGATTTTCTGAAAACGGCTTGGGTTTGTTTGATTCCATTCTGCCAAGTTTTGGTCTAATTCGTCTTGAATGATATAGATTGTGTTGTTTTCGTCTCGTAATATTGTTTCCACTTGGGCAAGCTCTTTAAGTTTATACTTAATATTGAGAAATCTTTACATGTTGGTGATTACAAAAGAATTAAAATACTTACATTAGTATAAAAACTTCTCTGTAAAACGGATAATCTTGCTTAGCCCTGGGTATTACCTTTACAACCTTATTTTGGTTGTTCCAAAATATTCTATAAACGGTGCCATAAGCTCCCGATCCAATCGGGTTTGTTAGCTCGGGTAATTTATCTTTGTAAAATACCTTATTAGCAAAGAAATAGGTTTCAACATAATTTTTCATCAATTCATCTAAGTCTGAAATGTTGAATGGTATTTCATTATTGCCAATATCTGTGGCACCAGAGGCTTTCAGAATATTGAAAGCTACCATTCTCTCTTGATATTCTCGATCAATAATAGACTCTGCCAACGTTTTCATCTTGCTCAACATGATATCCGGAAATAATCTCACTACAGAGTCGATTTGATGATCAATATCATCTTTTCCTACTTTCTTTTTCCTCTCTCCATTCCCGAAATGAGGCTGTTTAAGCTGGAAAAGGAGGCTGAAAAATCCTCCAATATTTCTTATTTTAGAAGAAATAGTTGATTCCCAAAATCCAAAATTAGTCAATTTGGATCTTTCGATAATATCATTCTTTTGATCTACTGGATTAGGGAGTTCATTTTTGGGATTTGCAAAATCATAATGCAAGAAATCTCCAAGCTTAGTAAGGAAAAGCAATTGAATAGATTGAATATTAACTAATCTCAGAAGTAAACAATTCACTACTCTTGAAACTACTCTTTCATTGTATTCTCCCACATCCAATATATCTTCAAAGTAAAGTTTGTCTTTGATATCAGAAGAAATTATATGACTATTCGCAATCTTTTTCTTAAACTTTTCACTATTAACAACCATAAACTTTTCAATTTGTTGGAAAAGCTTATTCTTGGAAATATTGATATCCTCAATTGATTTCTCTTCTATGATTGTTGTTATAATATTGTTCAAGACCTCCAATATTCTAGTGGAGTAATATTGTGGGAAATCTTGTAATTTTTGAAGGACTAATAGAAGAAGGTGTTCTTGAAATTCGAAAAATTCGCAATCTGGTATTTGGTTCCTTTTCATTTTGGATTCTAGAGCATTCTTTGCTGATATTCTAAATGAAGGAATATCTCCAAAATACTCTATTACTTGTGTTTGATGGTATTTTTTATACCTTTCAACGTTACTTTTGTCTTGTTCTTTGTCTACCATATTGTAAAGAATAATGTTAGGTTCAATGTTTTTTTCTTTAAGAATGGACAATATATTCTAAGAAAATTAATGAAATCTGTTGGAGAATACTTACTCGATCTGGATATTGAATGTTTGTAAAATCAACAACACAAATGACGACATCTGAGTTTTCAACAAATTCCAAAGTGTTTGAATCTATTGCCTCACAATTCTTTTGATTTATGCCAGCAGTATCACATAGATTAATATCAAGTTGTAATAATTCATATCCTGGAAGCTGAATGCTGAATATCTTTTGTTCAAATTCGTCATTCAAATCCTCACTGAAATCTGAATCGAAATTAGCATCACTAGAAAAGCTTTGTTCGTCTAGCTCAGTAACTCGTTCAAGTTGTTGGGATAGACGATAATACTCCACCTTGTTACCATTCTCACAAATAATAACTCCACTAGTTGATGGTAAAACATCAGAGTGTAGAACTAGTCCTCCAAGAATACTGTTGATAACAGTTGATTTACCTACTGATGAGCCTCCCACAAGTGTAATTTTGAAAGTGGAGTCCAACGGTTTTTTAAATGTCAATAAATGTTGAATGACATTATTAAAATTATACAACTGATTCGTAATTTCGATCAAGCTTTCTTTAGAGGTTCTCCACTGCGCCATCTCTCCTCTAATTAACTCATAATGAACGCTCAATTTGTCCCAAAACTTAGTGACAATAATCTCTCTTAACTTGATATCGGATGCAATGTTCAAAGCCTCTTTGTGTCTTCCTTGCAATGATAAACATACAGCATATAAAGGTTCTAAAATTGATTCATTCCCATTATTAGACATAGACTTAATAGTATTAAGCGCATCTATTCAAGTGTAAAATTAGTATCTCAAAAACAACCTACTTTTGCTCCATTCAATTTCATCTGTTAGAAAACCAGGATCCAAGTCTATAAAAGATGCAAGATAACGCTTAATGTTACTGGTGTCAATTGTATTCACTTGTTCTGAGGGATTCAACTTCAAAAAGTCCAAACATCTAGAACAATAAAATCCAGAGCTTGAGCCAACAACGTGACTGCCCAGTAAATCACAACATTTACACCAACGGCAACAAGGCGTTAAACGTTCATGGCATAGGCTTACTGCAAAGTTAATAATGTCAAGTGTTGATACCATTTTTTTGATTTGTTTAATTGAGTGCTATTGGCAATTAGTGATAACCTTGCTTGTTATGAAAGCTTGAAATCACGTTTGGATATTTATGGCAAGCAGGGTAGAATTTACAAAATAACCAAACGTGATCACTCTACAGTAATTTTGAAAATAAATTGTAGATGATCACTCTACGGTTGGTATTAAATATTAATATTGAATAATGCACTTTAAATTGAAAGTCGTAAAATGGAATCCTTTAGACAATTTAATTATCGGAATGCAATGGAATTTTAAAAATTCACAACATTTTTTAAAAAGCACTCGGCAAAACAACGCGTCTGCATTTCCATTTATTTTTTTATCAAATTTCAACACCGCTTAATGTTTTGAAGCTTCATAACATTTTCACCACCTCACCTCAGGCTTTACAAGACATTATTAAATATTAATAATTTGTACTGTTGGTTTTGATAAGCGATACAATTAATTGGCTAATATTTTTCTTTAAAGGCCACCATTCTAACATGTAACATCCCTCCGGAGTCTTTTAGCTACTATATTTTATAAAGATTTGGATAGTGTTACCAGAAACGAACAGTATCTCTCATGGCAATGAATCCAAACTAATCTTGGACAGTGCCTTGAACAAAGCCCCAACAATTACCACAAAAAAATGTTTCTATCATTCAACAAGCCCTCTGCACTTTCGTCTACTTTCGAATCAAACAATGCCAGCTCTATTGTTTTCACAATGACTGACTTTGATGATTTAATTTACTCGGCAATTGATCAATCCTTCTCCTTCTTCTTTATGGCAACTTTTATTTTACTAATTTTACTAATTGTTGGATTTTCCATAAAAAGCGATTGGAAAACATTAAAAAAAAGTCAAAAAAATATAATTTTAATGATTTTGACATTGTTGACAACTCAAATGATTGGACTGTCAGGGAGAACAAGTTATAATTTTATTGACATTTCAATTTTGACAAGATATGAAAATTATTTAACTGAGAATGGATATACAGAGAATGATCAACTGTATATTGATGTAATTGTGAATGGAAATGACACTTATTTGACAACTGACATGGTGGGAATACCTTATGCAGATGTAGTTGGATTATTTCTCTCCAAGTCAATTGAGGCATTTTTCATTTTATTTGGATTAGTGATAATTAACATGGTTTTACATTACATTTCACATTTATTCTTTAATTTAATCAAATATTCACAAGGAGTTTTGAAATCGAATAGAACTAGAGTTATTCGAATGATTTTTGACACTGTCATGTTTATTACTTATTTCTTTTACTTTTTATTATTGACTGCCATATTTATATTATTACTCATTGAGAATTTGAAGATAATTCATAACATCCAGTTAATTTTCTTTATCATTTCATTTGTTTTATTTGTTTTCCAATTGCTTTCTCAAACAATATTTTCATTGGTAAGTAATTTATTCCTACTTTCGTATAAAAATTATTGAAATAGATTGTAGCCATGATAGTTCTTTCAATTATTAATCAATCAAGAAAGAAATTCAAAGATCAAACAAATTATTCATGGAAACAACCAATTGTGAAAATTGTAATTTTACAAGCAATTATGATATTTTCATGTTTTATTCAAATTATTGCGATTGGATTTGGAGTTGTCATTTCTGCTTGGAATAATTCAGCATTGATTTATGACTTTTTAAATAATTTGGGAGTTTTGATATTTTCTATATTGGTATTGTGTTTGTATCATCCTTCGTTTGACTTTTTTAAGAATGAGAATGTTCGAATGAGGCTTAATTGTCAAAGTTTAGAATAAAATGAGAGATTTCCTTAATGTAAATGGAATGTTCCACCTCCATATGCATAATTCATTCTCTCACGCAACAGAATATCAAATTCCTCTTGACTATTGATGTGTGAAAAGTCAGCAATCAATCCATGATATTTAAGAGCTGCCATTCGATACTCTTCATCATGATTCAAATCAATAGCCAAATAAAACGCAGGGGATAATTTCAATGCCTTCATAACAAACTCTCTATTTTCTATCAGATTCTTTGGAATTTGTTGATAGGAGAATTTGTATTGATTCACTTTCATGGACGAAAGCAAAATTTCTTCATTGTCTGTAAGAAAGTTTGGAACTTGAGTGAAAACTACCTTTCTTTGCAATATCAAGTCAGCGATCTTCTGTTTGAAATCCAAATCTGAAACAAGTGATTCTGCTAGACTAATATTTGTGAAATTACCGAGGTCTATAACTTTCAAAACGAAATCCTTATCATTCTTGAAGAATGGAAAATATTCAATGCAATTCTGATTTACCATAACACATTCCATAGCAAACTGACTGTCTTTTAACAAATCTTCCTTTGCAAATCTCATTAAAGAAGCATCATTTCGAATAACTTCCAAAATTCCCTTTCTATCATTTTGTTTGAACAACAATTCGAAATCTTTTCGTTTGTTTGGTTTTTTCACTTCCTCTTCTTCAATAAACTCATCATTCTCTTCATAATTACCCACCATAAACATGTCATTTGAATCGTCTTCCAATTGTAAACTTTCTGATTTTTCATTTTCTTTAAAATTCTCAAAACTTTCATCCTTAATTAGTTCAGCAGGAATGTAAGGAAGAATTTTACAATCATGATTGAGTGCTTTCAATATAAATTGCTTATTATTTCTCAATTCTGATTGTTCAAGTAAGCTTGGATCATGTTGCAAACAGTTCAATAAGATTTCTTCATCATTGTTTCTAATACTTTCAGATAGATATCTGAAAGCTAAATAATTAATTTTCACTAATTGAAGGCAAAAATCTCTATCTTGCAATAAATCTATACCTTTAACATGATCCAGGAGGGTTATGTTGACTGGAGCAATTGCCAAAATTATTTCTCTATCTTTCTTCAATTCGTCTTTCATATTTGAATTCGAATAGACATTCACATTTCTTTTAATTGCTTCTAAAACCACATGTTTATCCTTAAAAAGATAAGAAAGTGAAGTGTTGTAATGCTGAACTAGATATTCTACAGCTATTTCAGGATATCTTTCGAATACAGATTCTTCCAAAGTTATTGAATCTGATTTGACAGCTGCCATAATAATTTCAGGATCATTTTTCAAATCCTCACTAGCATACAGATAAGCCCACCCATCATTCTTCACAGCAGATAAAACAATTCTCTTGTCTGATTGACATTCCTCTGACAGAAACGCCAAATGTCTTCCTTGAAATTGAACGAGCATGTGAGCAATGTCAAGATCTGATTTAGAAGTTTCTGAGGATTGAAGGAGAGGATCGCAGAACCATTCCTTGAATGCCAGTTCGAATAATGATTTTCTGTTCAAAATAAATGGTAAATCTCTGACAAGATTCGAATATTTTGGACGAATTGATTTCATTGCTTGAATCACCAAATAATCATCAAATAAGAATTCAATAGGAAGAAAGTTGACTTGCAACAGTGAATTTGAAACTCTTCTCTCACGTTGTTCTTTAATATATTTCACTTTAGCTTCAATCCATTTCGAATAACCTTTTCCCAGTTGCGTAAACTTTTCTTTCAACTTTATCCGAAAGGAATTTTGATTATTTGATAGATAAAACGGTTCTTCCACCAGAATGAGAATGCACTGCTGCTCATGATCTTGTGACATTTTTTAAATATATTTAATAATAATATTGAAGGTTACATTAATAATATTATTCATAATTATTGATCCAAATTATCCTAAAATCATAATCTTTGATTAGTGACGAGATTAGTTGTTCCAGTTCGAAAGTCTAGACCAATCAAATAAATTTCAATTTCTAGTGTTGAGAAATTTTCAATTCAAAACCTTATTCGAAACATTAAGGAATAAAATTCGAACCAAACTCTTAAACTCTTGAGAATCATCTAAATCATTTTACTTTCCATAAATGAAAATGGAGAAATTAAACTATTAATAAAAAACAAAAGTTTTGAAAAAAAATGATTGACCACATTGACCATATCGTGCTCACCACCCACAACCTCAACCAATGCATTGATTTCTATACTCGTGTCTTGGGAATGCAATTAGAATCCTTTGGAAATAACAATGAACGTAAAGCTCTCAAATTTGGAAATCAAAAAATTAATATACACGAATATGGAAAGGAATTTGAACCAAAAGCTCATTTACCAGTTCCTGGTTCGATAGATATTTGTTTTATTGCTTCAATTCCATTGGAAAAAGTTAGAGAAAAGATTGAAAGTGAAAATTGGGAAATAATTGAGGGTCCAATTTTGAGAACTGGAGCAATTGGTAAAATTACATCAATTTATATAAGAGATCCAGATTTGAATTTGGTGGAAATTGCTACGTATAATCAATGAGTCAATATTGAGAAATTAGTTTTAAATTTCATTCAGTAAAAATGTCAAGTTGTCAATTTTTTTTGAAAGTATTTAAAAATATTGAATATTGACACATGTGAACGAAGGAAATATTACATAGTGGAACATTTTCATTACAATATTACCGTGAAAATTAACTACTCAATAGTTTAATAAATTTAAATACCAGTTTACAAATTGGCAAGTGGAAACTATCAAAAGTCAAAATTAAACATGTCAAAGATTTGCAATAAAAGGAGAGGATACAAATTAATTGATTAGTGTCAGGCTTTGGAACCCTTTTTTTCGGATAAGCTTTTCAAATTTGGACGATTCTTGTCTTTGGTCAGAATTAAAAAACGAAACTTTCGAATAAATTGAAACAAAGAGTAGACAAGGATTTCATATCTTTGTTTTATTCACAGAGTTGCTAGCCATCATCATTAGTAAAATCATCATTTTCATCATCATTAGCGAGTAATAATAAATTTAGATCTCGGGAGATAGCAGATTCGAAACCTTTCGAATAGAAAAGTCTATCACAATATTAGGAAAAATGTTCTCTTCATCCTCTTCGTCATCCTCCAACAATAGGCGTTTACCTCTGGCCATCCTATTCCACACACCACCTAATCCTCTCATCCAACAACAACTTCCTCCAACACTTTCTCCCAATGTTTCGTCTAATTCTTCCATTCGAATAAACTCACCTCTAACATCCAGCAGTCTATCAAGTACCACTACCAATATCATGAGCAATATTAGTAGTAGTACCAACAGTTCCATTCATACTTCAACTCCTTCATTTTCTTCATCATCTTCTTTTACTCCAAGTTTAAATTCGCTTAGTTTCTCCTCATCTAATCCGAATCCGTTGAAACCAAGAAGTAGAAGTAATAGTAATTCAAGTTCTGTTAGTAATGGTGGTTTACATGAGTTTGTTTCGTCTCCGACTGCAGAAGAAGTCGAAATTGAAAATGATGAAGAAAAACGAAAGAGGACGAAATCAATGGCAAGTTTGGCGAAACAATTAAAAAAGATTTCGAATCAGCCAGGTGAAACAATTAATCAACCAATTTCATCAGAAAGTTCTGTCATTGCAAATACGCCACAGAAAGTTGAGAAAGTAGAAGAAACTCCATCCGAAACTATTGTTGTTGGACTAAAGAGAAGAGTTAGTTCATTTCTATTTAGGAAATCTTTAAATCAAGAAACATTAAGTGCTAATGGAGGAAGTTTTCGTATTCCAGCTGCTTCATCACCTTCTAGAAAATCATTGAATGTAATTTCTAATACGAATCCAAACGAATCCAACACATATACATCATCTTCTCCTCAATTTGGCAAGGCCACAGTTTCTAACAACAATCAATCTAATCCTATTCAAAGAACTAATTCAAAAACTAGAAGTTTCTTCACATCTAAAAAGAAGAAACATCAATCAATGGAACATGAAGTTTCTTCTAATGTTTCTAATAAGAAAAATAGACATTCATCTTCCAGTAATGTAGCAGGAATGTGTGAATCACCAGATACTGGTTCATTATTTTCATTTGATATAGGAACAGTTGATGCCACAACAAATACTACTAGCAATGATAATGTCAGTAGTACTGATGCAGATTGCATTTCGAATTTTGGTGGAAATAATCAAAAAAGTTTAGTTTTGGAAGATTTGGAACATGCCACTCCAGAGGAAATGGGAAATATTGATAGTATGAGAGTGAAATTTTTACAATTCATTTCGAATGAATTTGTGAGAAATCCAAATACGAAAGGTCTTCCAGAAAATGACTTTCTCGTCAAGTTGTATTTTATGGATTTTATGTATGATGGTATTAGTTTGAAAATTTCTAGAAAATTGACAAATCTTTTATCAATTTTACATCAAATTGATTCGCTTTGTAAATTTTTATTAACCAAATTTGACAAACATTCCCAATTATGGAGAGAAATTATTGAAGATCAAGCAACAAGTTTAAAATATCCATATCTAGAATGTATTGTAACTGACACTATTGAAAATGATGTTCAAAGAATGAGCCAATCTTACTGGTTGACTCATCAAAGATTATGTAAATTTTTAAAAGAAACCTATGAAGTATATGTGAAGAATAATCATAAACCATTAGAACAACTAGACGAAAATCAATCTCATTCAACCAATTTGAAGAAACAAATTCAGTTATTGTGTGACATGTTCTTTATTGACTTGGAAGATCAATTTATGCTTTTCCAAGCAAAGAATTACAAGTACATTAAGAAATGGATTGGTGAGGGTGTGAAAAATAAGACAATTCCAAATCAAGTGATTGAAATTTATAAGAGAGATAGGGAGCATAATGAAAAGATGCAAAACGAATTCAAGATTCAAGCCGAAGACTTTACAACTAAGCATGTCATTGATAAGGATTGGAAATTTATGAAATATTTCTCTAATGAACTATCTCACCATTGGTTCCTTACTTATAGTCAGCTCGGAAAATTGGCTAATTGGAATAGTTTTGCAGATTTTTCATCAGACAATTTGAATTTGAGAATTTCCAAAATGATTGGATATATTGACCAACCAATTGAGCAAGTTGCAAAATCTTTCAATTATGACAATCATTTACAATATCAATTTAAGAATATGAAATGGTCGTCGTACAATACCATTGATGATTCTAATTCACTGCTCAAATATCCATCTGTTCTCATGTCAGGTGTCTATGAATCAGGTTCTATATTCTCATCTAGAAATATGCAATTAGTATTCTCATCAAAATCATCGTTTGTAGGCGAAGAATTAACCGAAATGCAAACAATATTCAAATCATGTGAAACTGTAAAGGAGAAATCTAAAAAGGACATTATCAAAATCAAAATGCCACTACTAGGAATCAGAATTTTACTGAAAATTGATGAAAATAGAACTAGAGTTACAGAGCTGAGATTTTCCAATTTGGGTGGTTTCTTAAATTCCAAAATTGTAATTTTTAACCCAATCAGTACAAAGAAATCTTGCTTGGAAACTTATAATTCGCTGCTGAGTGCCATTGCAGCTCATGAAGGAAAAGGCATGCCCTCCTCACAAGATAATAATCTAATGAGATTGTGGGTTGACTATTGTAATCATTACGCTGGTATTAATGTTGTTGAAAAGTATAAATCAATTCGATAGTTTTTTGTTGTAAATTGTAACTTATTCACTTATGGTTTATTCTCTTCAAATATTTGATTTAACATTTGATAAACTTGTTCAGTGTTAAATGCTGAAATTACAAAATGCTTTACAACTCTGTTGTGCACATCCATTTCCATGTACTTTTTCACAATGAACTCAACAATACTGTCAACATTTGATTCGTCGCCTCCAAATTCTGGAACGTACTGTGAAAACGAAACTCCCCTCTTTATCCTATCTTCTAAAACATCTTTCTTATTGAAAATCAAATAGAGTGGATGTTCAGACACAAGTTTAGAGTCATACCATTTCTCAAATGAAGATAATCCCTCAACAAATCGATTTGTAATATTGTCTTCATAACACAATTCGTCAAATTCACTTAATGAAATAACGTAGCCAACTACAAGTTTTTGTTGAGAAAATTCAAAAACTTGTGGAATATGCAACCATTTCTTACGCTCAGTACGTTGTCCTCCTATTTTGTTTTGTTATTAATTGAGTAAATCAGCTATTAAATACGTACCAGTGTCCATGATTGCTTTTTTAGGATTTTTGATATACTTGAAAGATGGTTGACCAGTTGTTTTAATGGCAGCATAAAAGAAATCATCAAAATTCATTTCAACATTATCTTTTAACAACCTTTCCACATTCTCTTTCTTTGAATAATATTTGATACTTTCTAAAAATGGTAATGTTGCTCTATTTTCAAATAAAGCTCTTTGTAATCCTGGATCTTGATGCATTTTCAACACAACTCTTTTCACATCATTCCAAACTCTATCAGGTGCTAATAGATTCTTGTGAGATTGTCCAATAGTTTCTATCATTTCCAAATAGGCCTCTGAATTTTCCCTTCTTTCGAATTCATCTTTATATTTATCAATTTCTTCAAAAACCAAATTTAATAATATTGAATAAACATTCAAAATTGACTTTTCATGAGTGTGAGGCAGTTGAATTCCACTTCTTTTCACTATTGAAGCTAATTATATTATGCAGACGAAACTAAATGGCAAATGTCAAAAGGAATTAACCTACTTTTTCCTGCACCACCTGTTCCTATCAATGCAAGAGCAGTATCTGTACCTTCCAATGGATCATATGGAGGTGGAACTGTATTCACTGTTCGAAAGTTAAATAATTTACCAAGTTTTTTCATTTTTTTTTCTTTCTAAAATTGTTCATAAAAGTTCTAGAGCGATCTTTGAAGACACATGTCGAGTCAGTGATGAAATTATCCTAAACCACTTTGAATAGTCGCCAAGAGTTCAATATTTTGTAAAGTAAAAAGTTATAATTATTTGTAATAAATTTTATGAATTTGCACTTTAAAAAAATATGTCATCATCAGCTGCATCTTTTCAATCCCTATCTCCAGAACTAATCTATAGAGTGATTGGCTTTTTAGATTCCTTCTCCGTCTTTCGAATGGAAAGACTAAACTCTAAATTCCACAAGGCACTCACTCGGAATAAACAAGTTGATCGTTTAATTTATGGAAAATTAATATTGAACGAATTGAAAATATTACCGACATGGTGGAAGCTTCAGTCATCATGTGAAAAAATGATTGATGAATTATATGAAAAGAATCAAGATTGGAAAAATTGGTTGACTGAGGAAAGTTTATTAGATTTACTATTGAATGGGAAGAATGATAGGTTTAGGATAGTTTTGAGGGATTTTTATGTGGTTCCATTTAGTCTAGTTCAGGAAAATGTGGAGGGGAGGTATAGTACCGATGTTAGTAGAGATTATTTTAGAGTTGGAGGTGTTGTGGAATTTACAAAATGGAAACCATGTGGATTGATTGAGAAATTGTTACAAAATTTCAAGATAACTGAGTATTTTCAAACAAAAATTCATAGCATGCTAATGTTTTTCTCTATTTGTGATTGGTTTGCTGAGAGGAATGAAATCACTACCATTAGATTGGTTTTGAATGACAATTCCATTTTGAGGAAATTACCTGGAGAGTTTTTCTTGTGTTTTGTAAAGGATCAAAAAATGGAAAATGTTCAGAATATTAATACTTTCAAAAGTAGCTCACCAATAATTGATTTCAAATTGTTTAGAGAGCATTGTACAAAGTATGAAACCTGTAGTATTGATACAATCTTTGAGAAAACTAAAAATCCTCCTTATGGTATGAAACCAAATGCAGCAACTGTAGTGGAATCACTCAAATCAGAGCTATACGAATTTGACTCTTACTCTATTGATTGGAGTGCGACTATTGCTGTTAGTACTCAAGATTGGTGCAGTTACTGGTCTAGTGGACGTGAGTGGTGGGGATGTTATGCCATGACTTCATTCAATTCAAAAGAGTGTGCATTTATTGTTGCAACAGCATCTTGTTCTGATTAATAACAATTATACAATCAACTTCATTCTTAGGAGCTCATCGCTCAATTATTCTTTTAAAGACCTTGCCAACAATGATCTGTGGCTAAAATCACGTGACAAATTAGGTCTTTGGCTTAGTCGTTAGGGTACACCATAGTTGATCTGACAGGTTGTAATGGTAATTCAACTTCTCCACATTCACAAGTAGCATCAACCAAGTTATCTTGTTTCTCAGAGGTTTCAATCAATGTATTCAAAATACGTTTAGCCATTTCTGATGGAATATCTAGTGAAACTAGGTCAGAAATTTCAAGAGTTAGCATTATATAACCGTTTAGTCTATCCTTCTTGAGCTGTTTAATGTATTTCTTGTCGAAACCTTTGTATTTAAGCCACTTATAGAGTGATTTGTAATTCCACTTGTAGACAGGTTTCTGTTCAATTTTCTTTAATTTTCTTTCCTTTCTTCTTTCAAAGTAACCTTTCTTTTCTTCTACTTTCATCTTTTCCCGTGGAGAGTTAGTTTCTGTTGCTCTGGACAGAGGTTGTTTACCTCTAAACAAGATAGAAGACAATGAATGTCTCTTACTTATTACATTAGTTGTAGGTTGTGGTTCTAAAGGTTGTTGTTGTGCTGATCAATCTTTCGCAGAGTGTCTTGTTCAATACTCTGATTTGACCTACTCTTTTTAGAGAGTGTATGTACAAAGTCCATTTGATGATGTTCTTCTTGATGATTAACACAGTCAGCCGAAGTCATCTTATTAATCTTCTTCTTATTACTAGTATTGTTAAGAATAATATTAAAACTTTTTTGTTTTTAAAATTAAATCTTCTTGTTCAGGTCTTCTACTACAACACAATAAGAAGGCTTGTTTGCCAATGATGATTTTCTTTTTAATGATGAATTAACCGATGATGAGAACGGAGGCTTTTTTGTTTTTCAATAATTCATATGGAATATCTGAACGCAAAGTTATCGAATCGTCCAGCTTTTCATCGCGCAATAAAAAACCGCTGCGCTATTATAGAGATTTTTTTGGATAAATACACCTCAATCAAACATGGCGCCAAAATAAAATGTACCATTTCTGTGGAGATGTCAAAGTCAGTATGATGTGTTCATTGAATTTGGTATTGTGAAGGTAAAATGGTTGTTTAAGGAATATAAAGAGAAATGCATGAAATTATTTTAAATTTCAATAATGATAAAAACCTTACTTTATTTCTTTGTATTGCTTGTCAAGTTTTGTTTTTTGAAATCTGACCTTCACACACAAAGACCTAATTCATTGGAGAATGAAATTGTAAAATGAGTTTTATCATTCAGTAATAAAATCCTCTAAAATTGTTAAATAGAAATCCAGAACATGAAAGCGGAGAAAGGTGAGTAAGCCAGTGTGAGAGAATTTAACCTGAACCAATTAATTCATGTCCTAAATGTATTATTATATTCCAGTGTATCTTCAAATCTCTGAATGTAACCTTACATTGGTAATTGCTATCTCTCTTGCCAATCAAAGAGTTGCCTTGATGGTCAATTTACTTTCATCCAATTTTCACAATTTCAAACATTTTGAAATGGAAAATATGAAATGGAATCAAAAGGAATTGCAATCAAAAAACCAAATTCAAAAAAATGCTTTCAAACAATGAGTATTATTTTCTTTTACCCGATGAGATGATCACCAACATTATAGATTATTTGGATCCATTCACGATCGTTTCCTGTTCCATGCTAATTTCCAAACAATTTTATCGAATTTCTCACCAAGAATTTCAATCCCTTGAAATTTCATCACACCACGACAGAGTAATCCACTATCAATTCATTCATAAATGTTCAAGTTTTAGGACACTCACTAGTTTAGATTTGAGAAATTGTAGCATTGAAGTGGAAGATTTTACAAAATGGGTAAAGAGTGGAAATTTGAAGGGATTGAAATGCTTAGTAGCTCCAAACGATGGACAATTGGTTTTAGAAATTGGTAACATTTACAATGAGTGTATGGAAGAATTGAAGAAGGGATCAGAAGTGGATTATACCCTTCCCAACTTGAAGAGTATTCAGGTGGAAAATGTTTGTCGATTGGATTTGATTAGTCCTGTGGAATATTCTGAACAAATGACAAAGACTCCTGTTGGGGAAATTAAAAGTAGCCGTGGTGAATTATTTGGAAAGAAAAAGGCTTTGAGCACATTAGTGGAGGGGGTTTGTTTGCCAATGGCATTTCCACAATTATTCACAGGATCCAGACGTCCTCCAAGACAGTACCTGTTTTTTGGACCTATGAATAGTGGAAAAACGATGATATTAGATGCATTGCATGAATCAATGCCTTCCAATTTAATTGAGCCATTCTCAATTAATTACTATGATAAGGAAAGAGCTATCCGAATACTGTTCTCAATTGCAAGGTTGTTTGGGAAATATGTATTTTCCATATTGACCTACCATCAAAACCTGTTCCAGGAGGTGGAAACAGAAGGGGAGTTCAATAGGAGAGCTCTAACAGAACTGGTCATACAATTAGATACAAGACCTGAAGAAAATTTAATTATAATTATGTCCTCGAATAGACCAACAACTATTAATACCATCATTAGAAGAAGGCTCTATCCACGAATTTACATCAAACTCTTAACAGGAGATGATCTCAACATGTTTGTGAAATATCAACTTGAGGGTAGATTTGGAAGTAATAGTTTTACCACAAGTCAAATTGATCAAATTACCAAACTTTGTGAAGGATATTCGCCCTTTGAGATTGAGCAAATGGTGAAATCGATCAGAAATGAAAATATCAAGGGGACAAAATTAATTGATTGTTTTAAAGAGATTATTGAGAAGGCACCACCCCTTAATACAGAGCAAGAAATAATGGAAATTGAAAGCTTTGCAGAAAATTTCGCCAGCGAATATTAGTAATCTTTGTTTGGAAGATGGTGATTCCACATACCTTATTGCACAAGAATTTGTGATCGGTTCATTATTTGCTCTGAAATGGATTTTTTAATGAGCTCTATCAATTTGTTACTTCTCTGTTATTAGATGGCTTCCTCAATTAACACATATTTCAATAAAGTTGAAGTTATTTATTAGTTAGTCTGTAGTTGAAACTTTTACTGTCTTAATTGGTGTTCTCTTTTCTGAATTCTTCCCATTCTCTCAAACTCTTATTCTACAATATTTCTTTTTCTCATCACTTTCATCATCAATTTCTTTATCATTGTCTTTTCTTTCTCAAGAAAGTTCCCTCTCTTAAAAGATCTTTATATTTGCAAAAGAAACAGATATCCAGTTATCCATATGATTTCTTTCTTTTTTTCTAGCAGCAAGCCCAATTCCGTCGAAGTCAATTGATGTATCAATTAGAATAGAGACTAGATTTTTGGTTTTGGTGGATTTTTCGGTAAGCAAAGTAAGTTGAGGCATTAAGAAAAATGGAGATACAGAAGGTTCACAGAATTGGTTGTTCATACCTTTTGGAATTTTGTCATAATATATTTCTCCTAAAGGTCTTACAACACCTTTTGGTTTGACCACACCATAAATATAAATATTAACATCACAATCACTAGAATCTAAATCAACCAAACACTCAATATTTGAGAATGCAACTGGATGTTTGAAATATATAATAATAGGTTCTAAATTTTCTTCCTTGTAAGCAAAATGATCAGTACCACTGTTACGATAAAAATCTAGAGGTCCAAAACCAGTAATATTAACATTATATTGGTTTTGATTATCCGCAAAAGGTCTCTTTTTTCGGTTGCTAACTATTAATTCACTTTGGATACTAACTATTTCATGTTCTTTGTTTTTGTTTCCAAACAACAGCAAACCTCTTGAAATGTTACTCTGAAACGAAGACCAGTTAGACACATAGCGTTCAGAAAATTTGTTCAAATTTTTGTCGGTATACCAAAGTTTTTCCTTCAACTCTTTAATTTCTTTCATCATCACATCGAACATGATGTTTAATTTCTCATCATTGTCTCTCTCTTGTTGCGATAGGTTAAACTCTACGTGTTGATCATCATCCGATGCATTGACTGCTAAATTGATACCTTCATTAGCAATTGAACATCTGATATTATTATTCATCATACATGTTTTATAATATTTGAAATGAATAATGGTTGTATTTTCCTCTTTGAATAAATATTTATGATAATTAAATGTACATGAAATAGTTATTATTTGTTCAGAGTATGAAAGAATGAATTCTATTGGTTTTCCGGTCCCATCATCACAAGTGAAATAGTAACTTGACTGATTCACCATTTTTTTTTAAAATAAGACGAAACAATATCAAAATTTTGAAATTCAAAATTTGCCGACACCAGGGATCGAACCAGGGACCTTAAGATCTTCAGTCTTACGCTCTCCCAACTGAGCTATGTCGGCTTCTTATTTTATCATACAAATTTTCATACAAGTGAATTATTCCCGAAATTTATCAATTGTTTATTCTGAATATTTTTGCTTTGAAAAATCTTTAGAGTGGAACCAAGGAATCATTACGCTCACCTGTTTCTGATATAGTGAAAAAAGTGGTTTGGTTTCAGACATTTTTCTCTCTACCCAGGGAACACTGATGAATTGAAATAAGCAAGTAACTAGAATTGGTCCCCAAATGAAATAAATAAATGACTGGTCAATTTGGGAATTTTGTAAAGAACAAGCAAAGAGGAAAATTGACCACCAAAATCCAACTTCTCCAAAATAATTTCCATGTCTAGTGTAGGCCCAAACACCCTCTACAAGTACTTGTCTATTATTTGTTCTGGTTGCCAAGTGTCTATGGAGAGTAACGTCAGCAGCATGTGAAATCCAAACACAAAATAGTGAAAATAAAGCACTGGAAATGAATGACAATAATTGAACGAATGTCATTGAGTGCTCTGCAATTTGGTTTGAATTGAAAAAGGTAGCGAAGAGAGGAATCATTGCAAAGAAAACAATAAGTGTTGGGAATAAATGAATTCCAAGGAATGAAATAATCCAATAAGGAATATTCCATCTAGAATTATTTTCAATCTTAATTCCAAACCATCCCAGATACGAAAGCGATTTAATTCTCAAAGCTCTATATCGCCAATCTTCTTGTCCCTTTGTTAATATATTTCCAGCACTATCATCATTATCTGGTCTTGTAAAAAAGTTCTTTGTCAATCTGTATGCCCAAACATTTAAACACATGAACATGATCAGAAATACCCAAGAAAATGATCCATTACTAAGTTGACTTGTATCTTGTCCTAAATAATTCATGTAAATTCTACTGATAAATCTATCGGAACAAAAGTAATCAATAAATAAAAGTAAAATTGCAAATGGTGGAAATATACTCCAATACGGATCATAAATACTACTATTATTGTAATAGATTGATCCTAAGAATGTTAATATTGTCAAAATGATATCAATGTAAAATATCAGCCAAAGCATTGGCTCTGATAAAAGTGCATGATGAGTGGAAATGAAATGCTCAACAATGAGATGAACCATTTTTTTATGCTGCTCATCCAAATCATGGTTGTTGCATTTCCACGGCTTTCGTGTTGGCATAATGATCGCACTTCCTCTTAGTGCGAAGGATTTGGTATTAAATGTTATTACAATTCATATGGAAGAAGGAAATAATGTATTATTATTTGAATATCATGATTGCATGTTGGTCTGAGGAGACAACAAATAGCTCACCAGTGAGATGATTAAGGGCAATACCTAAAATTTCTGTTGCACCATCCACCAATAAAGAATGTTTAAACAGCAACCCTTGTTTGTTAAATATTTGGACTGTTTGGTTTTGAGAACTAGACACTATCAAGTTTTCAGTTTCTTCATCAATAATTATTGAGCAGGGTAATTTAAACTCACCAAAGCTTTCGTCCTGTATCTCTCTAATTTTAGTAAAATTTTCTGTACTAACAACGGTAATAGAGTGTCGAGAATGGCTACCAAACATTAAATAATCCCTCCCAATACAAATTGACCATGGTAAATCAATAGCCAATGAAGGACTAGAATAAATATTTTTAACAAGTTCTCCATTAATTGAATTCAGTACTCGAATAACATTCTCATCAGTATCACAAACATATATCAAGTTATGAGGATGTTGATATCTTACATCAAGGCCATTTGGCCAATTACAATCTTGGTCATTTTCCCATAATTTTTCTGAGCTATCATTAGCAAGTATGTCCTTAATATCGAACTTGAAAATTGCAGAAGTAATACAAGCGACAATTAAAAAGTCTGTTTTTTCTGTTCGTTCCACAGTGCAACATCGAGGAAATGCGATTGAGAAATTTGAAAGGTGCATCTTTGTTTTTAAATCAAATGTTGTAATTCTACTATTGTAATAATCAGTAACTAAAACACAATCATATAAATATGAAATCTTCACCTCGAAAGGATATCGAAAATCATGTTTTACAGTTTCAATCAGCCTAAAATTCGTACTAAATTCAACTAATTTTTTCCTCATCATTTTCTTCCGTAATTCGCCAAACAATACATGATTTAATCTCTCCGAATTAAAATCCTCTACAATCACGACAACATTTTCTGAACGGTTAGTATCACCACCTTCTTGTATCATCAGAAGACAATTTTTTTAATTAATTTAAATTTAAATTAATTTATTAATAATTTGTTTAATATTTTTGGCGCGAAAGAAGTGTTCGACCATCCACAAGAATTTAGAAAAAAAAGACATGATGAACCTACACTTTATTCGGAGGGGACTTTCTCCTCATCAGAACCAACAACATACTTCTGGTAGTGCGAGTAATAGCCAACAATCAAATAATAGCAAACAAACACCAAATAATAGCATGAGTAATACGAGTAATATGAATTATAGTACAAACCAACATTCTAATTCTTCTTCCTCATCTTGTAGGAAGAGAACTTTGGAGTATAGTATCGATCTGGATGATTTACCTTCTCCTCCATCCTTATTTTCCTCTGCTTCTTTAATAGCCACAATGAATGCAGTTACCATGATGAATACTAATGAAACTCTAAAACAATCATCACCCGAAGACGATCAAAAAGCTTCAATAGAGAATGTTATCATGTCCGATGATCCAAATGAAGAACAGCAACAAGAAGAAGAGGAAATAATCATTTCTCAAACTGATGATGAACCAATCCTTAAAACACAATTCCCACCCTTTTCAATAGTAACAAGTTTGAAAAAAAATGATTCATTAGGGGATAGTGAGAGTGAGGATGATGGAGAATATGAAGATTCTAATGATGAAGATGAATTGAGGGAGTTTTCAATTAAACAAGTCGAACAATCGACTAAGAAGAGAAAATTAAATATTGTAAATAAGGAGGATAATAGAAAATCGGAACAGTTAGAGGATAATTCAAAACCAATCATGCTCTTGACTCAATTACCTCCAATGTCAACATGTGAGGCAAAACAAGAAGACATTACTGTAGTGGTAGAACACCCTATTGATGAAGAAGAGTTTCTAAATAATGCAACAGTCCCTCAGGAGAATGAGATGATCAAATCTTTGGAGGATAATATTATTGAGGAACTTGCATTTACTCCAGATCAAGAAAATAACATTGAGAATTTATCCCAAATTCCAAAATTGGAAAATAATAGGCAATTAGAGGAAGATTTTGATATTCATGTTGACTTACACGAGTTGGATTATGAATTTTCGAATAATACAGAACCAGCCCAAAAACCAGAAGAATCAATTCAAGCTAAGAAGGTTCTTGTTGACATTTCCGTTCAAACTGATAACAGTCTCCTTCCAAAACCTGTACAAATTGTAAATAGCGATCCAAATAATATCTGTTCCATTTGCTTAAGTGCATGGAGCAGTACTGGACTACATCAAGTGTGCTGCCTTTCGTGTGGCCATCTTTTTGGTAAGAATTGCATTGAGAAATGGTTGAAAAAAAACTCTACATGTCCAAAATGTAAAAAATCTGCAGATAGAAGTCATATTAGATTACTCTATGTGGACAATATTCATGCCATAGATACACAAAAAGTTGAAGATTTAGAGAGTAGATTGGAAGCAGAAGTTAAAGCACGAAAAGAGCTGGAGGTAATCAAAAATGGTCTCGAATTGAGAATTAAAATGCTTTTAGAGCAGAAAGGAGGTGAGAATTTTGCAGAGAACCCTTCATCTTCCCCCCCTAACAACAAGGGTGTTCAACACCGTTCAAGCTCAGAATCAGACACCAATAAGAGGAAATCATTGATTCAACGATCGTTAGAACTTGCAGAAAGAAAAAAGAAAGAGTTTGATTTAATGAATTCTGAAGAGGAGGAAGTTACAAGAAACATTGTCTGTTACAATGGGAAATCAAAAAATCAACAATCCAGAAAAAAGAACACCTATCTATATGGATCGAATGGAGCTAATAAGCTTCTATTCAATACTCCACTTGAAAATTCTGGCTTGATAGAAATTAGCAACAATCAAGTATTTATATCTTTTGAAAGAAGGGATAAAATGTGTGGATTTTATGTTGCTGGATTGGAAAGATTAATGAGTAATCCATCCATAATTAATCAGGCAAGGAAAGTAATGCATAATTCACCAATATCAGATATCAAACCACTCTATCTTCTTTCACCCAACAATTCTAAAGGTTACTCTATTGAATATATGCAATCTAACCTTATTTTAACTTCCTCACAAGATAAATCAATGAGAATTACTGATCTACGACAAGGAACAGCGGACTCTATATGTTTTTTCCCTTATCTATCAACCAATAGAGAAGGTTTATCAACATCTATTACTTGTTGTGAATGGAATAGAACCAATTCAAACTATTGTTTTGCAGGACTATCATCAGGTTCAATTCTATGTTACGATACTAGAAAACCAAGTGAACCTTTTTTAAATACTGGGGATCATTCATGTTCTCCACATACAATGTTTCACATACCCAACAAGGGCCTAGTAGTAGGCTCAAATAATTCCATTACCTACTATGATGAAAATCAATATGGTTATACAAAGGGACATAATTTATTTAATAAGGAAGTTTCTTCATTCTACTTTAATACTTCAAATGATACCCTTTTATTCACATGCAGGGAATCATCAAAATCATCTCAATTACATATATTCACTCTTGAAAGCAATCAACATGTGAATTGTTTAGAGAGTATCAGTATCAATCACAAAGGACCAAAACTAGGAAGGCCATATGTCTCAGATAATGGTCAAAACTTTCTTTCCACAATAGCAGTTCCAAAGCCAGATGATTTTTCTGTAGAAATTTGGAAATCTCAAACAGATCAGGACTATTCATTTAAGGGTGATATCAAATTACAATCTAGCACTGAAATTATTCAAAGTTGTGCCCTGTCATTTAATAATCTGTTTGTTGTTACAAAAGACAATCTTAGTGCATACTTGGTTTAAATGCTTGCAATACCGTTTATTAGCATCTTGTCTGGGTTAATAAAATTATTTAATATCCAGGTTTGGAGTTTCAACTCGTGCGTTTGCCAAATTCTCTATACATTCCAAATGGTAAGATACAAAATTGTAAACTGATGGATCAGTAACTTTCAAACTTTCAATACTTTCTTTAAACTCTTTAAATTCTCCAAGAAGTGGTGTTAATTCATCCTTTGATTTTAAAAGTACGGCCTTACACAAAAGTTTTTGTAAAAAAACTCTTGGATCCTGTTTGTACTTTTCAATATAAATATCAATTTTTTCAAGACATTGATCAGCAAGTCCTAAATCAACCATACAATTAGTTGCACCGAAAAATGCTTCCACAACAATATTCTTGTTGTGAAGGTCAAAATCATATTGGTCTACTGTAGCATAGGCTTCAATAGCCGATTCATACATGCCACAAGAGTGATAACATACACCTTGATTCATATATAAAATAGGAATATTTGGATGTCTCGAATATAGTTCTGTTTGGCTTGAGTAATACAGCCCATTGTTGCCATGCATTTGGCTAGCCTCTACTGAATCAGCAGTTTTTGAGGCCCTAGCATAAACATGGGCCAATAATAGAGAAATTGGTGTGAATTTGAGATCATTGATCCTCTCCACTTGTTGTTTTGACTCCACTTCTGAAAATTGATTTTTGGAAATATTTGGATATGGAAGCATTGGCATTGTTGAAAGTATCTGAAGTGCCTTCTCTAAATGTGAAATTGCTACCAAGTAATGTTCATTGGCTTGGCTTTCTTGTGTGTATTGTAAGGTTTGGGCTGTTGCAGTCACACTGTAGGCATACAAGTAGTGAAGATAGATATTTTCTGGTTCTGCATTCACACATTCTTCCAGGATATCCAAAATGGCTTCTCTGTTTACAGTGTCAAACTTGGCATTTAACTCGGTTGTAGCCTTAATGGCTCTGATAAAATTTCCAAGATGTATTGGCATATCTGTTTCAACATCCTCAAACCAATCAAATTCCTCCTCTGAAAATGTTCTATCCAGGTAGGAAAATGCATTCTGATGAGCATTATTTTTCAAAGTATCCATATCAGTAATTTGCTTGGCATTAGTGTATGCATTCTTAGTAATCTCATAGGCAGAGCTTAACGATTCTGCATAGTTGCACAACTCGTTGAGATCACCTGGACCACCTCTAATTCTAAAAAAGACAAAAAAGCAGGCAGCAATTAATGATTCCTTTGTAGAAAGATTGATATTTTGAATTTGTGGCACAAAAGCAGAGTTGGACAATTGTGCTTCATAAATGGAAAATAATAAAAGAGTGTCATCTACTTTGGAACCAGTAGGATACAAGTATCTGAATGGTTCTACACTTGCCTCTGGATTGAATGCTCTTTGTAACTCTTCGAGAGAGAACCATTCTTGATTAACACCTTTCAAAAGCAATAGTTCAACCTTTTTCATGAGAATGTAACTCTTCATACCAATACTCGAATTGTAAAATTTAGTGTTGGTTGAATCAGCTCTTGGAACTGTTTGATGGCAATAGGATATTAACTTTAAAATTTCATCAAATAATCCAGAACCTTGAAAAGTTTGATCGGGATGATTAATTCTATTTTGCATAATAAAACTGGTAATTTGTTTAAATGTATTATCCAAAAATTGATAATTTTCCAATAATTCTGCTTCTTCTTGAATACTTAATGTGTTATTGTTATTAGAATCAGAAAGATTTTTGGATGAGAAGGAGAATGATCTTTTTGTTATATTGTCATTATGAAGATTAAAAATTGATACTTTTCCTTCCTGACAATGATGATTAATCCATGATGATGATGATAAATTTCTGCTACAATAATTAGAGAAAGATGATGATTGCGCTGGTATTATCTTTTTGAAAATATTTCTTCTTATCAGTGAAGCTGATGATGAACAAGTAGAAGTAGTAATATTCCGATGTTGATGTAATAATAAATTTCTAACGAGTTGTTGTTTCTTCATTTTTTTTTCTTTAAAGAAGCCTTTTTTGTAGTTTACATTATTTACTGTAATGATGTTAAATAGTTATTTTTCTTTACAATAAATATTTAACATTACAGTAGCTTACTTTGTTAACAACAACGTTTGTGGTTCAACTATGTGTGAAAAACAGCATCTTTGATATTCACACACCGATTCTTTAACAAACCGATGAGGACGTACTTTCTGCATAGTTTCTACGTGCTCTTTCTTCCTCTTCGTCCTCAATATACAAATTAGTAAATATGGCGCCAAAATGAAAAACACATAAATGCAAGGTCATGACACCTGTGAACCACACAAGAAATACAAAACAACAATCAAAAAAATAACATTAAACAAAATGGTCAAGGTCCTCGTTCTTTTCTACTCTACTTATGGTCACATCTGGCAAATGGCTGGTTCGTATCTAGATTCAATGAATATAATTTATTAATCAATATTTTTCAAATAATTGCTCAACTTTTTTGATGTTAAAATTATAATAATAATAATTATTAATACAAAAACAACTCAATTTGATATTTTTTAACATTGAAATAATTAGAGGCTATTGCTGAAGGTGCTAGACAAGTTGAAGGTGCTGAAGTTGTTGTCAAGAGAGTCCCAGAAACTCTCCCAACTGAAGTCTTGGAAAAGATGTACGCTGTTGATGCTCAAAAGGCCTTTGCTCACATTCCAGTTGTATGTATTGATATAGTTATAATTACATATTTATTAACTTGAAATCATTCAATTTTTTTTGATTGACCATCTTGTTATTGAACTACTCATTAACATTATCAAAATAATATGAAAAATAATAGGCTACTACTGAAGAGCTCCCATCCTATGACGCTATCATCCTCGGTTCACCAACTAGATTCGGTACTATGGCTGGTCAATTGAAATCCTTCTTGGATGCTACTGGTGGTCTCTGGGCTACTGGTGCTTTGGTTGGTAAGGTTGGTTCCTTCTTTACTTCTAGTGCTACACAACACGGAGGAAATGAAACAACCATTATTTCATCTATCCCAGGTTCGTATTTTTATACTATATTTGGTAATAACCATTTTAACTTTATTTGAATTATTTCATTTATCAACAGTCTTCCTTCACCACGGAATGGTCTATGCTGGTTTGCCTTACTCTTGTGCCACTCAAATGGGTTTGGACGAAATTAAGGGAGGTTCACCATACGGTGCTACTACCATTGGTATGTTTTGAATTATGTTGAGTTTTATTAATATTTATTAATCAATTATTTTACTGAAATAATCTGAAACAGCTGGTGGAAAGGGTGAAAGATTACCATCTGACCAAGAAAAGGAAATGGCTAGATTCCAAGGAAAGCACGTTGCTACTCTTGCTAAGAAGTTGTCCCAATAATTTATCAATTTTAATTTATTAAAGATTTAATTTTTAATCTCAATATATGATGAATCAAAGATTTTTAATCTCAAAAAATTATTCAACTGAGCTTTAATTTGTTGGAAATCAAAGTGCATTCGGCATCATTTCTCTCCGAAGATACACCTCTCTTCATTTCTTGCATGAATATTTTATTAAGAATCAATTGTAATGCCTAAATCCATTCATTCAACAATGAATTCTTCATTCATTTATATAAATTATTATCATTTAACTTGTTCTGACTTAGATTACGTTCTAGATTTCCAACAAAGTAGCATCTGCATTCTAGATGATAAGCATTACAATTATAGTACATCCACATTTCAAGTATCAGATTACAACTATTTGTTAAAGTAACTTACAAGGAGAAAATCATCTCAATAGCATTACATGACATTTGGTTGATTTTATATGAATGCATGAATAAACATTCCATTCTTGGACGAACCATTGATTGTGTGAATGTAGCAAAATCAATGATTTATTTCACACTTGTATGATTGGTGCTGTATTGGTTGTTGTGATAATAGTTGTGGTCTTTAATTGCACAACCTTGGAATCTGATTTTAAATCTTCTTCACTTACAAAATCCATATTTGCCTGTTGCAATAAATATTCCTCTCTTGCTCTAACTCTAATGCAGTACCATCTCAATAAAACCAGAACAATACAGCTAATGAATGATACACTGAACAGGAAGAGCGTGAGGGTAATATAAATAATGAGCTCATCTGATAGGGCTGCACATGGCCATCCAATGGGTTGAACAGCAATCCTTGTTGCCCTACCACATGATGCAAAAGCTCTCCATTCTAAATTCAAATGATTTGACATGAGTTCAGTGAATACCTGTCCACCTCCATACCAACTCACAGTTGAGGTAGTTACCAAAATTTTGTAACTACAATTCGAACCCTTCACACAATAATAATCAACTGGAATGTTTTTAACTGTTTGATGTTCATAGAATGGTGAAAATACTACACTGCTCTGAATGGGTGAGTGACAAATAACTCTTTCTAATGGAAATGATTCCTCAATCTTGATATTAAACGTCACTACATTCATTGAAGATAAAACCAATACAATTTTTTTTCCTAATTTAGGAATGGCTTGTAAGGATATTTCAACCTTACTAGCGTCTTCATTCCCAACCGAGACGAATAATAATTGGGTATCCCTTGTATCATTGTTACTTTCTATATTCTCCTGGAAAGCCATTGATTCACTTGTTGTGCAGGCAAGACAAAATTGAGTATTCAATTCAGGAATTATGTAAGCAGAAGGTTGTTCCGAATATGAAGCAGTTGATGATAATTCCTTTCCTACTACCATGCCAATACCACTATTTAAAACCAGTATTATCATACATAAACATAATATACAAATTATTTGATAGAGTTGATGAAGTGATATGGAAGATAATGTTTCTATTATTATCATTATTAGAGGATTATTTTTCCTCTCCACTTCCACTACTGTATTTGCATTCTTTTGCTTATTAATTGTTTCATAACGATTCTTCTGGTTATAATTAGTATTAGTGGTGATGATGATTGTCTGATGATGATTATTCATTGACAATTCCCGTTTTTTGGTAACGTTAGATTTCGAGACTGTTTTTTCTCCTGACATTGAATCATCATCATTGTTGAAACATTCCATCCAACAAGTGGTGTACCTACTAGTAGTACAACGGAACATGTTGCTGTTAATTCAGGTAATAAAAAGGAGTTTGGAGTTTGGATGAGTGAATATTCTACGTATACGTTGATAATGAAAAAAACCCGCCTTGATGATTTACAGTAGAGACTCCACAACTTTTGATCGAAGGCTTTGCGTTGTTGTGTGTCCTGTTGATTTGATGACTGTTTGATCAAAAAATGTTGTGATGATGAATTGATGAATAGAAATTTCTTGTACTGGAGATGAAATATTGAAAATGGTGGTTCGGATTCTTTGTGGATCTAATAATAATAATATTATCTGTTGTTGAATATGAGAAGAACTATTCGTTTGTTTTTTTCATTATTGAACCATCACGTCTCATCTGTGATTCTCCAGCAAACAATGGTACATGATGGAAACACTTGATATGTTGTGTGGTGATGCACTGTTACATATTGTTCATAATATTGCAAATTGGAAGGTTATGATAATTAGCAGAGAAATCAATCAAATTTCGTCTAATCACTTTGGAAATGGATGGATAAAGCGGCCAATAAAATAGTAGATCTTCTATTCATTGACAATGTTTACAGTTAAGGGAACTGTAGATTCATTTGTTGGAATTGTAATGTCTTGTAAAATTGAATAATTTGAGAATAGTTGGAAGTTTGAAATAACTATTGACAAGACACTTCTTAATTAGGTGAAGAACTTTTATTTACCAAGCGAAACGTTGTATTTATTGTTGTTTGCGAGCATTTTCCTTAAATCCAAATTCTCTTTAGTATCCATTGAAAGCAACTCTTTATTCCAATCTTATTTCTTAGTTCAAAAATTTGAAAATGCACTGAATAGTCTACATCTTTTTACGGAATTAGGAAATAATAAGACATTATATTTTTAGAGGGATAATTTGTTGAAAAATATTAATTTTCCTATTTGAAAAATAACTATATCAAGTTGTTTACTTAAATGGCTAAAGTCAAGCCTCATTACTCTCTTTTAATAAACCTTAACTTAAGATTGTGAATGGCTACGGCCATATCACGATGAATGCACCTCATCCCGTCCGATTTGAGAAGTTAAGCATCGTCGAGCCACATCAGTACTGAGGTTGGAGACAACTTGGGAACCTGTGGTGCTGTAGTCTTTTAATCTTAGATAAATCAACAGGATTCAAATTGTGCGTATTGAGCTTGAGAGGTTATAAATAACATTATGAACTATTGTAAATATTGTGTGAATGATTTAGGTTTTATTTACAATGATTTGCCTAGGTTTACAACATTTTGAGTTAAATGGAGATTACCACTTTTTGAATTGTTTGTTTCTCATTTCTAAAGTATTATGTGATTGAGATTTGGAAGTTTTGCTTGTTTCACTTCCAATAGAATTCAATGTTTTGTAATCAATTAAATTTCTTTTTCTTGTTCCACCCACAATATTATCCAGAGAAATTTCGGAAATAAATTGTGAAGTGTTATTGGAGGAATTATACATATTTCTTCTTGTTGAGACCATTTTCTTATTGTTATTTTGTTTTGTTGGGGAAATTTCATCATCCGATCAACAGTTATTTATTTCCAGCTAGAAATGCTTCATCAAATTCTTCAAATTCTTCCGAAGATAGAATTCCAACTAAAACACAATGGACAAGATCTAAACCAATTGATTTATCTAAAAGATTACCATTATTTGATATTGATACTTCTAATATTATAAGTGGAACTAGACATCGTAATAATATTGATTATCATCATGCAAATTTAAATGGTAAACAAATTTCAGTGAAAAGATCTTCGAAAAATTCAATTGAAAAGAGAGCTAAACAACAATCGAACACCACAACTAAGAAGATTACCAAATCGAAAAAGATGTAAATTACAACTTGTAAATAATTCAGTAAATTGTAAATAAAATAATTTGTTTTGAAATAGATGAAGTTTCAATTTAGAATTGATCAGAATATGAGAAACCAAAATTTGGATCAAGCAATTCACATGTCTAATGTTCAATAAATTTGAGGTTGATCAACCTTTTCAATTTCTTCAACAACCTGTTATTTGAACACAACAAGATTCGTCCAGAACTCTTGCCTTCACTGTTCATACAGTCAAAGACTGTAGCGGGATAGTCGCCATATTCCTGGCAGGCTTCCCGTCTAAATTAACAATTGAAAGACAAACAACAAAATCTTATTTACTTGAACTCTTTAACTTATTCCTTCATTTTTTCAATTTATTTATTATTCATTGTATTAAGGCAATAAATGGCTACGGTATATCGATTCATAGAGTTAAACATTGATTTTGAGTGATGAATAGCTGTACCCAAACCATTTTACAAGTATTAAATTTTTCCAATAATCACCTTTTAAATTCAAAACCATTAAGAGTCAAATTGCATTCAATTCACGAACAACAAGTTAAAATTCATTATTGCATGTACAGCTTAAGCAATACTTACTAAACATGAACCAAATTTGTGTCCAGAAACAAAAATCGGTTCATTGAAAGAATTTCTTTGCAGAAGAACTACTTTCTAAAAATATATACATCTCAAAACAATATAAAAAGCAAGGAACTGTTTTGAATTCAAGAAAAACAATAAGAAAAACAAGACAACAAACACAATGCAATTATTTGTCAAGACACTCACTGGAAGAACTATCACTTTGGAGGTTGAATCTAATGATTCAATTGAAAACGTGAAAAGAAAAGTACAAGATAAGGAAGGAATTTCACCAGATCAACAAAGACTCATCTTTGCTGGGAAACAATTGGAAGATGGCAGAACTATTAATGATTACAACATTCAAAAAGATTCAACTCTTCATTTGGTGTTGAGATTAAGAGGAGGAATGCAACTTTTTGTAAAAACTTTAACTGGAAAGACAATCACTATTGAAATGGAATCGAATGATACTGTTGAGAATATGAAACAAAAGATATTTGATAAGGAAGGTATTCCTTCAGATCAACAACGATTGATTTATGCCGGTAAGCAATTGGAAGATGGAAGAACTATTGGTGATTACAATCTTCAAAAGGATTCAACTGTGCATTTAGTATTGAGATTGAGAGGTGGTTAAGTTTGCAAAATATCATAGATTCTTTCAATTATTGTCAATAAATTATTCATTGAATAGCGTATTCTTGTATGAGTATAATTTATAAATCAATTGATAATAAACAAAAACAAGTCGATTGTAACTTATACGTACTCAATTTTACATTTATTTTTCAATGCAGTTCAGAAATTTCAGAGGGAAACAAGGGTTGAACCGATTCAAGTTTCACAATTTAAGATGATTAATGGCTACGGCCATATCACGATGAATGCACCTCATCCCGTCCGATTTGAGAAGTTAAGCATCGTAGAGCCACATCAGTACTGAGGTTGGAGACAACTTGGGAACCTGTGGTGCTGTAGTCTTTTTACCTTGGATAAATCAATAGGATCACTTAAATATCGTTAATGGATTAATTTATTAGAACATGGATACCTTAAAGCCCCTCTGACCAACCATTGAGCATGTTATCAACTGCACCAAGAATAAGTTGGGAAGTTGTTGGTTTCAATAACTGAGCGATGTAACCCGGATCACCAGTTGAGGTGGCTGCTTGATCATTTCCAAGAATATTGAAACATTGGCCGTACTCAAGTTGTGTTTCTTGAACGAGTGGAAGTGAAAAACCTCCCTTCTCTGGTCCCACATAGATTGTTTGATTCAGTGGGAAACAGAAATCACTTCTGAATTGTAAATCTTGAAAGTGAGGAAGCATGACTGCCTGTTTTGGTGTCTTTTTCATTACTAAGACATTGTATAGATTGAGAATAGAGTATTCATGAAGTCCCCCTCCTATTGTTCCTTGAGCAAGTAATGGTTTACCTCTTAATGTTACAATAATTGGTTGGAGTGGATTGAGAATTTGTTGACCTCCCTTCACAGATGCCAGTTGACCTAAATTGGAGGAGATTGCATCGGATAGAGGAATGCCACCAACAATCAAGCCAGTACCAAAAGGTTGAGAATTGATTGAGTGGACAAGTGCCACTACATTTCCATCAGAATCAGCGACTGTCAAGGAATCAGAATGTCCCTTAATAATTGATTCGGATGGAGTCTTGTACATACACGGATTGTTGGGCATTGTTTCACATTTCTTGTAAAATTTGAGCCATCTGTTCAATAAATCCTCCTTATTGGAATTGAAAATCAAATCATAAGCTTGACGAGCAGTTGTCTTGGAAAGTCGTCCTTGGAAAGATAGGTCAATATTTGGGAACATTGAAGCAAGTAATTGTGGCTTGAAGTAATCAACTACCTGCACTAATCTTCCCCATCTAGCTATTTGAACCAATTGGTAAAGAGAGTTAGCGGATTCGTTGTATGGTTGAGTGTTGTTCAATAGTTCAATTAAATTCATAGCCTCAATAATTGACATTCCACCAATGCTTGGATAATCAAGTCCATGAATTGTTAACTCTTCCAATTTGAATGTTCCATTCAATGCCTCTCCCCAAATTGGCTGATACTGGATCATGTCTTGCATTGTAATTATTCCACCATATTGATTGACCTTAGTGACAAAATCTTTAGCCCACTCTCCTGTGTACATGTAATCAGATCCAAATTGAGAAACATTTTTAAGAGTATCTGCCAATTCCAATTGTCTAAACAATTCTCCTTTCTTGTATGGTTGATTCGTATTTGGATTTATGAATATTCTCTTTCCTTCCTCAAATTTAAAAATCTTGTAACCATCATATTTCAGTAAATATTCTATTTGTGAATCAGCAATGAATCCCTTCTCTGAAAAATAAATTGCAGGTTCCAAAACAGTTTCCCATTTCAATTTTCCAAATTTCTTATGAGCAGATTCCATAGCTCTGAAAAATCCAGGAACCAAAACTCTATATCCCAAACAATTATCCAATTTTGAATTTACACACCTATTATCCGAATCATACTTGAGTGGTTTGTTAAAAACTCCATTCAATGAGTGAATTTTCCCACTCTTTGCATCATAGTACACCATCGCAGCCAACCCACCAAATGAAACATAACTCCCACCAGCAATAACAATCTGTGCCATTACTGCTCCTACAGTTGCATCCATGGCATTTCCTCCATTTTCCAATATAACAGTTGCCACATGAACAGCAAGTGCAGAAGAGGTTCCACTCACCAAACCCTTTCCATTCATTGAAACTCCCTGTGGTTTATCATATCGATATCCAACCATGTTCAATAGCGAAGTGTAATGTTTAATGGTCTCCTCGGACCATGTAGATGGAGAAATATCTCCACATACCTGATGAACACAACAACAACAGCAAAATAAGATGATCATCAGATACACAAAGCATCTCACGGATGGGATAATAACTCGCCCAGGTTTGAGTTTGAACATTTTTTTGTAATGTATTTTGTTACAAGCTTCGAAATAATTGTTAACTCCTCATAACTATTATTTTCTAATTGAGGAATTGGGTGTTACATTTTAATTAACCATCATTGATCGTAAAATGTAAAGATTATTGTTGAAATTCATTTTCTAAAAAGTTTGAAAATTCTTGTTCCATTTTGAATTGTTTAAAAACAGTTCCCAATCTAATAATTTCCTTTCGAATATCTTTTCTTGTTTCTGGATGAATATTATTCTTATTCTTTCTAAGAAATTCCATTTGTCTCTCTTGATTCAATAATTCTTGTGAGGAATTGTAGGCTCTATTTGCAGCAATCCAATCAACAACCATTTCAGTAACATAACATATTGGCATTCTCAGTGATTTGATGGCACCATTCGATCGATCACATGTAATCCAATATTCAAAGTGGTGAGGATTTCTATTTTGATGATGCAGAAAGCAATACTCCTTCAAATCTTCATTATTGCTTGTCGCCAAATTATTAAATTGTAAATAGCCAAACCATTCGGAAGGTGAAAACTTGGACCAATCATGAATAATCAATTGGATAATACCCAATCCCATCATGTATCCATAGTAAAAAACAATTAATTTGTGATAAAGAATGGTACGAAGGAGTGAGAGATGTGTTTTCATTCGTTGTAATAACTTAAAGGGAGAAGAACAACAAGACATTTTTTCGAAATAATTTAAATAATTTAATAGTTTCTAATGTTGATTGATTGTTTGATTGGGGAAGTTGAGGTGGATGGAGAATATGGATAACCTTGTTGATAATCATTGTCCAAAACAGCAAGGAATTTCTTAAGGATGGCAGTTTGACCATCAATTCTCAAAGTGAAATCACGGTTGACATTTCTCCATGTGGAGCTATTACCCTTCTTTGGTGGGAAGACATAAGGTGGATTTGGATAATCAGAACCTCTCCAGTTACCAGTACTCATCATTAAAATGTTATCATCAATAACCCAATACTTTTCATGTGAAAATTCCAAACATTGCTTGGCAGACAAGACAACATTAATATTGTTATCAACAAGCTTTCTATAACATTGATAAGCTTCAAGAGCTTCGGATTTAGCAAAGACATAGTGAGAAGCGAAAATCTTCAAATTGATACCCTTATTACCCAATTGGATAACATAATCACAGAGGTCAGGATGAGAAATTTCATAAATACTAATCTTCAATGATTTTTTAACTTGATTCAAAGCAGACATCAAGAATCCATAAGCATAATCAGGACTAGCACTGATAGAAATATTGTAATTATCATTGAATTCTTGAATATCACCAGAGGAAGCATCACAGTTTGCAAAGTGCATATTTTCTGGAATGGTGACAGTAGCAGTTGAGGTTTGAATCATATGAATATCACTTTTAGAATATTGACTATAATCAACATCCAATGGAACACCATGGAAGAAATCATATTCGAAAACTCCTTGAGAGAATTTAACAACACCAGCAGCATTATTGCATTCATTAACCAAAATACCAGCTTCTCTGTTTCTTCTGAAACTAGTTTGAGAAAAGTTAATACTAGAAATGGCAGATTTACAACCATCAATAGTGATATATTTGGCGTGTAAGAAAGTAGTGGTTGTGTAATATCTGACATCAGCACCTGCAATCTTTAAATATGTCAACAAGTCCATCTTTCCAGAACACATCTTGTCATCATACTTGTTAGTTAAGAGACGAACTTTAACACCATGTTGAACAATTTGATTAATTAAAACTTGGAAAATTGGGAATTTTTCATTATTCAACAAGTCAGTAGCAGAACAACCCATACATCCATCTTTTGGATAGGTACATCCACTCCAACTGTCAAATCCTGGAATTGCAATATCAATAGTCTTCTTGGCACTCATCACAAGTTCAGTCTCTTCCTTTGTAGAGTGATCCGGAGAGAAAAGAGGAGTTAAACCAATATTAGCACGAGGGATATTGAGAGGAAGGAAAGGACTATTGTAGGTGGTATTTTGTAAATCTGCCAACACGAGTTGTGTTGTTGTGAACAAAATTATTGCACACAACAAGGTGGCAAGAGAAATTTTGCTGATGGCTTTCATCTTGTTTGCAATTTTATATTTTTTTAAAATGATGTGATTTAACGTTTAATTGTGTGTTAGATTCTTGTGGTCTTTTTGGTTGACGGAGCTTGAGAACGGATGTGGGGACTTTGTATCTTGACAGGAAAATATTGTAATGGGTAGGTCCTTCTTGAATATTATGGTTGGAGTTCATGAATAACGAAACAATAGTAGTATTAGACGAACTCATCGTCTATTTCTTCCTCCCAAGCAAACTGTTCATCATATTCATCGACTAGATAAATATTATCGTAGGTGAGATGAGATAATTGACTTGAAGAGGTGTTATGTTTAGCAGTCGAGAAGGAATTGAGCAATTAGGAAGCGTGAGCTTTCTTAACCTTTTCAGTTTTGTTGGATTTGAGAGACAGAATTGGATGTTATCTTTGGTAATTTGGTTATTATCTGCAATACTTAATTCAATCAAGTTTTGAAGAGAGTTTGATTCATGCAAGGAAATAATACTTTTCCCAGTCAATCCAGTGTCGTCCAAGAGTAAAATTTCCAGATTTTTCATATTTTCTCCTGAAACAATACAATCAACACCTTTGTCTCCTTATAATTCAATCTCAAATATTTTAACTTTGTAAGGTAGGTGCTTTGAGTTTGTACAGATATATCCTGGCATGGATTTAAGGGAGAGATCGGTAAGGTGTGTAATGCACTTCCCACTAACTAGTGGCATGATGTGTCTTTCTTCAATAGTTGTACAATCAGAGATGTGCAATTGGGTTAGATTTGAGAAAGTTGGATTATTTGCAAATGTCACTCTGCTAAACTATCAAGGTCTTCCAAGTTTCTAATCACTTTGCTAGGGACAAGAGCACTTGCACGAAACCACACGGAACAAACTGCATGCACCCAATGCTAGGTACTCTATCATCACAGCCAAGACATCCTCATTCAAATGCTGTATGTTGGTCATTTATTTTACTATAATTATTGGAAATGGTAATGTTTACAATAAATCAAAAGAGATTCAAACTGATTCTGAATCAAACAGCCGTGGATGCAGTGGAGGAGATACAATTTAGTATCTTACCCACAACGATCAAAAGACAGCAGAAATGGAGGTGGTTAAAATTCGCCAGAACTGAGAGCCAAGCCTTTTTAAAAAAATGCCACAAGATAAAAGTGAACTTGACTGTGGTAAAGTACTTACTAATCAGGATAGTGGTGTTGGGTTTAGCACTATCAATACTAGTCCCCCGCATCAACAGTCGAGCGATTGTATTTCTAACATGAAGGAAAACCTAATTCCGGAGGTGAAGAATAATGATGAATTATCTGCATCATCTATTACTCTTGCTGTTCCGAACATTGATTGTGGAAGTAATACGACAAAGATGCCAACAACAAGTACTCTCGTTGTGGATGATATCATTAAAAATAGGAGGAATATTGATGATAAAAGGTCTCTTGAAAATCGAGGAACGAGAACAGCCAGCCTGTCAATGCCAACAACTAATTATTTATTTCCATCATCAAAAAGTAACTTAATTCCAATATTACCAAAAACTAAGGATCAGGAAAAGGAGAAAATGCAGAAAAACAAACTAACTTTTCAAAATTCGAGAAATTCTCTTTTTCAAAACTCTAACAAAACAACTTACACAAAAGTTGAAATGAACAAACAATCTAACGATAAGAGAGGACAAACGAAAATAGATCACCAACCCAAAAATCTAGAATTGCCCTCATTAGCATCAATTGTTTTAACACCAAATACTCCTAACTCGGTATCTAATGTCAATATTGAAACAGACGAATCAGAAATTAACCCAATACTGGAATCAGTACCATTCTTTATATTTTTAAAAATTGGAATACTCAAGGAAAACTCAGAACCTAAATATTTAGAGGCTTATAGGGCTCTTTCTCAACAAAATCTATTCTTTATGACCTCTTGGTTTAGGTATTTTGGGATATATTTTGTTTTAGTATTTTTAACAATGTACAAGCTTGTCGGGATGCGAACAATCTCTAGCTCTGTACTTTGCAACTTTTGCAGTGGAGGTTTTTAGTAATCTTTATCTGAATTATTTAACATGCTGTAAATCTCCAACTAGGGCAAGGAAGAATGTAATTCATTTATGCAGAACAGTTCTGTCAACCTCTTATGGATTCATAATGCAAATGTATTACACTAAGCTATCCATATATATATTGACAATACTCAAATTAATAATTTCTTGTCATATTTTTGGAGACCATCTTATCACCTCCTTAATATCTACAGTAATTTTCGTATCTGGTTCGCTTATTCCAATGATGATTTTGGGGTATCCAATAGAATCTATAGTAAGCAACGGGATAGTAATGACTTCCATAGCCATTATGTGCTTGTTCTTTTCAAAAATATATGCAGAAGAAAAAAGATATCATTATAAACAAAGGTTTGCTTACATGCAGGAAAAGTATTTGAGCAATGAGAAAACTCACATGATTGCAAATATTTCACATGAAGCAAGGTATGTATTACCAGTATCAGTTCGAATTAATTCAAATTCACATTTTGGAATTGTTTTAATTATTCCTATGTAGAAATCCATTGCATGGTATTATTGGAGCTTCAACAATTTTGAGACATGATATGGAAAAGAACAGTCATTCAGATAAAAGAAAAAAAAGAGGAAGAAAGAACAGCATTTTACAATCACCTTCTCATTCACCAATGAATGCAAAGAAAGGATTCTTACATGTTTCAAATGATGATGGACACTATTCGAGTGATTGTGAATCTTCATGTGGAGATTCAACAGCTGAACAACCGTATCTTGAATTGGTGAATGATATTTATAATAATGCCAATTTGTTACTTCACATTTTCAGTACTTCACTTCAAATGACAAGTCTCGAAATGGGAAATATCAAATTGAAGAATGAACCATTCAATTTATTGGACACAATTGAATCAGTAATTTCAGTATTTTATAATATTGCAGCAGACAAGAATGTTTCACTTCACAGTTTTATTAATTTAAATTCTCTTCCAAACCAAGTGATAGGTGACCACGTTAGAGTTTCTCAAATATTAATGAACTTTGTGTCAAACTCTATCAAATATTCATCTAATGAGCAAGGAGAGAGTTCAGTAATTCTCAAGTGTGATATTTGTTCAGATGAAGAGCTCAAAAAGTTGAATGTTGAAAAAGAAAAAATAATTGAAATGTTAGACGATAAGGAGGACATTGTTTTCGTTAAAATTGATTGTATTGATAATGGAAAAGGAATTGAAAAGGATAATATCAACAAGTTATTTAAAGCATTCCAAACTTTTGATTTGAAATCAGCAAGTAACATGGACACAGGTGGAACAGTATTTGATCAATACTATTTGAAATCAATTTCAGGTAATACAAAAGGATCGAATGGAACGAGTTTACTATTGAGTAACAGAACAGGAGTTGGATTGAATATTAGCAAGCAACTTATTGAGAAGATGAAAGGATCTATTATAGTTAGCAGCGAAATAGGTAAAGGCACGACAATGTCTGTAATATTTCCTTTAAAGATAGCACCAACTCAATCTGCACAAAATCAAAGACTTGAAGAACTTAGTATAGATTTAGAAGATTTCAACGTATTAATTATTGACAATGATGCACTCTTTTTGGATATAATGAAGGACTATGTTGCTCATATTTGTGCTAAAACTACGGTTACCACTGTTATAGACCCGAAAAGTATTACGGATATTGATGAGTCAAAACCATTGGTAGTAATTTATTCTGAACATCTCCATGCAGAAGTGAAACAAATCCTAAAATTGGTTTCTGTAGAAAAGATATTGATACCCATTGGATTGAGAGGAAGGACTAGAAAATATGCAACTATGAAGTATATTATCAAACCTGTAAAGGTTGACGATATGATAAGCGTATTGAACGAAAAACTCGACAAGCAAAAGAAGAAGATTAATTGTCAAAATATTATTACTCCACCTCCAGAGATAAATATCACAACTGATAATGTTCCAACTATAGAGGTAGTAATACCAGAACCTGTACCTTCTAAACGAATACTGATAACAGATGATAATTTAATTAACAGAAAAGTGATGGAAAAGATGGTTCGATTGTTGGGATTTACTGAAGTTGATTGTGCATCGAATGGATTGGAATGTTTTGAAATGTACAAACAAAAACAATATTCAATCATTTTATTGGACTTGTTGATGCCAGTCATGTGTGGCAAGCAGAGTGTGAAACATATTCGAGAATTTGAAGAGAGTGAAGGAAGAAAACGAACACCAGTAATTGCCATCACTGCCAACATTTGGGAATCAGTTGATACTCTCTCACAACTTGGATTTGACTCTGTCATTTACAAACCAATCCTTATTGAAAAATTGAGGGAGGAAGTTGAACGGTTAACGCAAGAAAGCAACTCATAGCCCAAATATCAACAACCTACATAACAGTACCACATTTTTGGATGGTTTTTTTGGTGGATATAATTGTTTTTATTAAGGCCAAATAATTCGCAAAATTAATATTTAAAAAAAATGAATACATTGAAACCCCACAACGTGACTGGAACGAATTGTACCACGAGTTCTATCGGATCTTCATCCACAGTTGGAGACTTGGGAAATAGCAGTCTACAACAAATAAATCAAAAGTTTATTAGGGAAGATACAAAACCTACTCCTTCATTATCGGAAATCACTAATAATAACAGAAACACAAATAATTTATTATCACCTTCTTCAACAACAAGTCCAACAAGTAGCAGAAGCATTCCAAAAACTAAATCTCCAATATCAAGATGGGATTCAGTACCTATTATCTCTTCGACAACTAACGTTTCAATAACAAATACTGAAGATATCTCTCCAAAGAGAAGTGAAAAACTCTCCCCAATAATTGTCCCAGAAACAGCTGGTGTGTTTGAGGTGAGTTCAACACCCAGAAAGTCGTCCAGAATTAATGAACCACCACCCTCAACAAGAAACTCAATCATCCTCACACCAACAAACTCCAAATTCATTTCTCAAACAAGCATACCTTTGGATGTGGACGATTCGAATGATAATAGTAATGAACAGATTCTTTCCTCAATTTCACTTTTTCAATTTATCCAACTAATCATGCAAAAAAATCCTAACCCTAAATTTAGAGAAGCCCATCGACAAATTTCACAGCAAAATATTTATTCAATTACCAAATGGTTTAGCGTTTTGACTTTATATTTTTGTTTACTATTTATTGGAATGTACATAACATCAGAAAGTTCAGCATCTCCTATTGTATTTTTTGGCCTTTTTCCATTTGAAGTAGCCAACAATATGATATGCAATTATATAACTTGCTGTAAAGCTAGATCGGTTTATGCGAAAGCATCCATTCATATCTATAGAGCTGTTATCATTGCAACACTTGCATTTATTTGGCAATATTTTTACCACGATATGCCTTTCTACCTGCTTACAATGATAAAACAAATCATTGCTTGTCACGTTTATGGAGAGGAAATTCTAATATCTTCAACTGCGTCTATAATCATTAGTACAGGAGCAATCTATCCACTCTATGTTCTGAATCAAGGAACAAAGAAGGTTATTGAGGTTTTCTTTTTAATGGTGTCTGCTTCTGTGATAAGTTTGTTCTTTGCCTATGTTTATGCAGAAGAGAAGAGAAATCATTACAAACAAAGGTTTGCTTACATGCAGGAAAAGTATTTGAGTAATGAGAAAACTCACATGATTGCAAATATTTCACACGAAGCAAGGTATGTAGTACAAGCATCATTTTCAATTAACTCCCATTTTTATCATTCCTATGTAGAAATCCACTGCATGGTATTATTGGAGCTTCAACAATTTTGAGACATGATATGGAAAAAAACAGTCATCCAGATAAAAGAAAAAAAAGAGGAAGAAAGAACAGCATTTTACAATCACCTTCTCATTCACCAATGAATGCAAAGAATGGATTCTTACATGTTTCAAATGATGATGGACATTATTCGAGTGATTGTGAATCTTCATGTGGAGATTCAACAGCTGAACAACCATATCTTGAATTGGTGAATGATATTTATAACAATGCCAATTTGTTACTTCACATTTTCAGTACTTCACTTCAAATGACAAGTCTTGAAATGGGAAATATCAAATTGAAGAATGAACCATTCAATTTATTGGACACAATTGAATCAGTAATTTCAGTATTTTATAATATTGCAGCAGACAAGAATGTTTCACTTCACAGTTTTATTAATTTAAATTCTCTTCCAAACCTAGTATTAGGTGATCATGTAAGGTAAGTGAAATATCAATGAGCTTCTAATCACGTCAGTAGAGTTTCTCAAATACTTATGAACTTCATATCCAATTCTATCAAATATTCATCTTCTGAATCTGGAGAGAGCTCAGTAATTCTCAAGTGTGATATTTGTTCAGATGAAGAGCTCACATCACTGAACGTAGAGAAGGATAAAATAATAGAAATGCTTGATGATAAGGAGGACATTGTTTTCGTTAAAATTGATTGTATTGATAATGGAAAAGGAATTGAAAAGGATAATATCGGTAGCTTATTCAAAGCATTCCAAATTTTTGATCTCAAGAATAGTGAAAATATAACGGATACAAGTGGAACTGTATTTGACCAATACTATTTGAAATCAATTTCAGGTAATACAAAAGGATCGAATGGAACAAGTTACCTATTGAGTAACAGAACAGGAGTTGGATTGAATATTAGCAAGCAACTTATTGAGAAGATGAAAGGGTGCATTATAGTTAGCAGTGAGGTCGGAAAAGGAACAACCATGTCAGTGATATTCCCATTCAAAAAGAAAATTGACAATCCAAGTGTTGAACTTGTTATGCAATGTAAAGCATCGCTCAACACTTTCAAAGAGTTTGGAATCTTTTCATGTCATTATTATTGATAGTGAGACCCACTTTTTGAATCTTTTGGAGGATTATTTACATTTATTGAATCCTAATATAACTATTTTCAAATATGTGAACACAGCTAGTATTAAGGAAATTGATTGTTCAAAATCATTGATTGTAATTTACTCTGAAAATCTTCACTATGAAGTCAAACACTTATTCAAGCAGTCAGTGATGGAAAAAATTCTAATTCCAATAGGACATCGAGGAAAGATGAGAAGATTCACAAACATGAAATATGTAATCAAACCTCTTAAGGTTGATGAGTTGGTAAATGTGTTGAATGAAAAAATTGAGAAACACAAAAAGAGAGTAAGCCATCAAACTACAGATTTTCCACCAGAAATTAAGGTCACAACAGAGAATATTGATTCTGTGCAGTCTTCTTCAAATAATATGCCTCTAAATGTTGAACCTCCTAGGGTTGAACCAATCACAGATTCCAAAAGAGTTTTAATAACAGATGATAATTTAATTAACAGAAAAGTGATGGAAAAGATGGTTCGATTGTTGGGATTTACTGAAGTTGATTGTGCATCGAATGGATTGGAATGTTTTGAAATGTACAAACAAAAACAATATTCAATCATTTTATTGGACTTGTTGATGCCAGTCATGTGTGGCAAACAAAGTGTGAAACATATTCGAGAATTTGAAGAGAGTGAAGGAAGAAAACGAACACCAGTAATTGCCATCACTGCCAACATTTGGGAATCAGTTGATACTCTCTCACAACTTGGATTTGATTCGGTCATTTACAAACCCATCCTTATTGAAAAATTGAGGGAGGAAATTGACAGGCTCCCAACCAACACCTCATAGTAATAAATTATGAGAAATTCTTAACTCGCTCGCATGTACTATAAACTTTATGCGCCCTTCTCCACTTTAATAGCATTCTTCACATAACTCCACACTAAACAAATTACAAAAAAAATGAGCGATTTAGTAAGAATCTTCAAGTCAGATATTGTCAATGCTCCAATCGACCAAGTGTGGCAGTTGGTGAGAAGTTTTAATGGTCTTCCACAATGGGCAGCTGGTATTTCAGCAAGTATTATCGAAAATGGTAGAGAAGATAATTCCATTGGTTGTGTCCGATCATTATCTTTGGCTGGTGGTGAAGAACCAATCCGAGAGGAATTATTATCCTTTGATGAGAAGAATCACACCTATTCATACACTATCCTTGATGGACCACTCCCATTCAAGAATTACAAACACTATTATTCAACTATTACTTTGCGTGAAATTACAGAAAGCAACACAACATTCATTGAGTGGAAATCGGAATTTTTCTGTCCTTTGGGTGAACATGATAGTGCCAAACCAATTGTGGAAGGAGTTTATGTTGGAGGAATTAATGCATTGAAAAAGAAATTCTCTCAATAATTGTGCTGAGAATAATTGTTTGTGAAATTTTGAATTTATATTAAATTTGTTCCTTGATTAATTTAATTGGAAATTATTTTCATGTGTGATGATGGAAAATTTAATGGATTCTCTCAATGAGTGGAAGAATTGAGTTTTTAGCATGATGGCAGTTAAGGAATTGAAATTGAACTGTCAATTTTATTGTAAGCTACAACAGAATTATTCGAATATGGTCAATATTTTGTAAAGAACATATAATATCCACAGGGGTGCCTTTTCGATTGGATTAGTTCTTGTATGGAAGTTTGTGATAATCTTTCATCTGATTCCCGCCAAACAAATTTTCAACCGTTACACAAATCTGCCAAGCATCAAATTTTCAAAAACAAAAAAAATACATCATGATTCAAGAGCACTTAAACGGCGACTCCACCTCTGTGGAAAGAACCGTTTTCCAACAAGATTCCTCACCCATCCGTCTTCGTTCATTAAAACCAAGTCACCAACTTTCTCCTTCGTATAAATCACCAAAATCACAAACACCTTCAAAAACTAAACTTTCACAATCTCCTCCACCTTCATCGAACAGTAAGAGAATGATGAGAGCAAATCATGCTCGCTGTCAAGCTTTTGAAAAATCTCCAGATTTGCGAATGCAAAAAGTTTCACATGATAAGGAAAATCAAGAAATGGACATTAGTCCACATAATAACGAAACTATTCTTTCACCACCCAAGTTGGTGTTGAGTAAATCGAATTCTGGATTGAGAAAGCCACTGAGTCCAATTTCTCCTCAAATGATGGAAGATTCTCCATTGGAAAATATTAAACGAAAGACACCTAATCGTTATTCACCTTATTTATTGAAATCTGTATTGAAGAATGCAAATTCACCACGAAATGTTTCACCACTCGTTCGTAACAGTGCTACCTTTAAGAGAAAATCACCACACAATCGATCTACTCCAAATAATTATTCGAAACATTCGAATGATCCTAATAGAATGAGTGAATCACCAGATGCAGACTGTATCCAATTAGAAACTCCACCTCACATCCTCCAACAAGAAGACAATAAGAAATTCATTGGTGAACAAAGTACCATCCGTGTGAAACCAATCCAATTCCAAGCTCCAACCTCAAGTGCCAACGAACCATTCTCACCAATTGCCCAAACTAATCACATTCCACAACAAGCAACATCTTCCACATTCAGATCACCATTCAAAACTCCAAGTTACATTAAAAAGAGACAAGCTCTTGCTGAGGATTTGGGAATGGCCTTTGAGGATAGTTATTCCAGATCTGCAAAGAAGAATGCTACCACTCAAAATCCACTTAAAAATCCATTCACACCAAATAGTTTTAAACAAATTAAGGTAATTCCTGATAAGGCATTTAGAATGATGGTTGGAAATACAGCTCAACAACAAGTGGTTGAAGAACCTAAAAAGAAGAAATCAATCATTCGTTCAATGAGAGATTATAGAAAGAATAAGAAGGAATCACTGAAAAGTAAATTGAGAGGTGATAGTCCACCTAAGGATTATTCCTCATCTACTGATTCATTAAAGAAGAGTAGATCTCCTGCCAGAAAGAGAAAGTTTGATGAAACTGAAGAAGAAATTCAAGGAGGTGCCACAGTTTTAAGTAATTTGGGTGTTCTCATTGATCAGTCAACTGTAACCAGTTCAGCACCAGTAGCCAACACTAACCAAAATGATTTCATGATTGCAGCAGATATCGAAATTGAAAGTGATGGAGAAGATGTTGTCATTGAAGAATTGGAACATGCAGCATGTGAATCACCAACTAAGAAAATCAAATCAGAACAAGGTAGACCACTTTGGAGTAGATTAAAGAAGGCTCTCACAAAGAAGAAATCAAATCCAGAAGAAGACGATGAAGAATCCAAACAACCAAAGAATACACTCAGAAGAAAGCTCTCTAAAAAGGGTCTTCAAGCATTCAGATCTAATCAAGTTCAACAAGTGCAAAATAACTTGTCAAATCCTAATTTACTATCAACTCAAGATTTCAATAATGAAGGTCCACTGAGAAAACAAAGAAGTTTTGGAGAAAATTATTTTTCCTCAATGGTTCATGGAAGAAAGCAACAACAACAACAAATGGAAGAACAATCAGCTGATTTACACAATATTTCATTTGACGAAACTGATTTAAACAAACACAAGAATCGTCAATTCCAACTTCAAGATGATTTACAAGAACAATTTTTGAATAATATGAAAATGGTCAAACATACTGATTCTAATTTAAAGTCCTCATTCACTAACAATACAACCATTGCTGCCACTACTAACGAATGTGTGAAAAATTTCAAAATTCCATCACTCAATTTGAAGAATGTACCAACTTTACAATTAGCTCCAAAAGAAGAAAAGCCAACTTTCACATATTCTTTCGTTGAGATTATTAACACTCCACATCATAGAGAATACTTTACAAAACATTGTATTAATGAGTACAATTCAGAAAATATTGAATTTTGGTGTGCTGTCAGATTAGAATATTCCTATTTAAGAGATAGATCACAAAGATATCAAATGGCTATCAAACTTCTCAATGAATACGTTGATTTATCAAGTGATAAGGCATTAAACATTGATAAGAAATCCATTCTTCAAGTCAAGACAAGAATCAATGACGAAACTGATGACCTCTCTGATTTATTCGATTCCATTACTAACCATGTAGAAACTGTAATGATGGACTCTTTCAAGAGATTCCAACTCCTTCCAATCTACCAGGAAATGATTGCTCACCACAAAACCATCATCTCTGAGAATAACAAGACAGATTTGGATACTCCTAGAGGAACCAACTTTAAGAATAAGATGTTTAGTTTCCTTTCTCCAAAAGGTCTCATCAAACAACAACATGATTAAGAGTGAGCTACTTTAGTGTTAGTTCACTACCTTTCTCAAATATATTGTAAAGTATTTAACAATTTGTCACATTTCTTTTTGTATGTTTGAATTTGGCGCCAAAATTGTTTACAAGTTTTTAAAAATAGTTGAAAAAAAAATGCTCTCCACTGATCAGGCAAGACAATATCAAGCAGCACAGAAGAATACAAAGGCTGCCAATAGTAGTAAAGTCAATAACAATATTAGTACTACAACAACAAGCAGTACAAGGAGTAATTCATCAGCTTCACCTTTGGATGCTAGTAATTATTTTAACAACACAACGGGAAGAGAAAAGTTGGATATCACAAAGGAGGAAATAGATAAGATTGAAAAATGTATGAAGGACCCTGAGTTTTTAAAGTTGTTTGAGGAATATGTGAATGAAATTTCCGATCCTAATGCATTGAGGGAAACTGACATGTATATTAAACAATTGGAGAAGGAGGGAACAAGTTTACCCAAGTCAATAGTCATTCCGAAGGCTGTAAGTATGAACGTGATGATAGAATTATGTTAATAGATGTAGTGTTTTTGTATTCAATGTGGAACTGAAGATAAGAAGGGGAAGAACTATATTGTAAATGTTTGTTCGAGTGATAGTGTTGAAATTCACAAGGAAGAGAAATCTAAAAAAGGCGAAAAATGTAAGTTGTGACAATTCAATTAAGGTCTTATCCAAAACTTTCAGCTGGTACCCAATTTAGTGTTCCATTGGTCGTCGGAAATCCAAAAGTTGAGGAAAAACAAGTCGTTCTCGATGTCATTTTTAACACAAAAACTTGTGAAAAGGCTGATAAGGATGTTTTGTTTAAGGATTTTATCTGTGGAATGGCTTTGGACTATGTGGAGAAGAAATGTAATGTTAAATTGAAAAAGCAATATTATACAATGATGCTTGGAGTTAAAAGTGTTGGAGAGCCATCAGCTCTGACAGTTCAAGCCCCTGGTCAAAAAACTGATAAGAACGATCCATTAGCTCCTCAAAGCGTGCTTAAGGATATTCAGGAAAGTAGAGAAAAGGCCAATCAAATCTACTCTACAGAACAAAAGGAACTGAAATTGACCAAAGAAGACCCAACTCCTAAGAAATCAAACCTCATTCAAGAAGTTAATGATCCAATAACTCCAAAGTATGAAATTGTATACAGGAATAGTTTTGATATGTCAGAATATACATATTCAACTCCAACAGCTACAAATAGAGCAAAACCAGCTGAGATTGGAATTAGAATATTCCTTCCAATGTTGGATAGTATATCAGGAGTGGACCTGGATGTGTCTGAAAACTTTTTGAAATTGGATTGTACACATCCTCAAAAGTATCATTTGGATCTTCATTTGCCGTACAGTGTGTTGAGTGACAAGGTTTCCGCCAAATTTGAAAAGAAAACCAGAACTTTGAAAGTCAACTTAATTGTCACACCTGACCCAGTGCAGAAAGTTGTCTTTGATGAGATTCCAAAAGAACAGGAAGAGGAAGAGAAAGTTACAGTTGTGGAAGAATTAAACAAGGTTGAAGAAGTTGCAGAAACTGTCACAGAAATCCCTCAAACAGAATTTAAACTTTCTAAAGCGCCATCTCCAAATCAATTCTCTTCGTTCGTTCAAAAGATTCCTCAAGAAATTGATATTGCTGCAACTGAATTGAAACCTGTAAATATCCATGCCGAACCACCAAAAACCCAAATTGTAAATAGAGTTGAAAGGAATGATACCACAACAAAGAAGAGTGTATCATTTGCTCCACCAGTCAGCGAAGAAGTGAAACCAGTCCAACAAGCAAGCGAGTTCAAAAATAAGTATTTATTTGAACTGGACTAGTTGACTAAATATTGCCAATAAAATATTTAAATAATTTTTTTGTGGATTTATTTAAGTCGCCAAATACACAAAATTATTGGAGACTTGTGCTACAGAAATGGGTGAAGCAAATGAATCCACAACTCTTGAGTATTTACAATCTTCTTTTTCCATTCTGACTGTTCTGGAAACACATTTAAAATACATTGCATCACTTATTTGATAATCTTTTCAGCAGCTTCCTTAATCTTACCCAAACGGCTTTGAATATAAGCCATTCTGAGAGTCTTATCTCTAGCTAAGAAAGGTCTAGCACTGACAGCAAATTGGAAACGAGGATTAAGTTGTCTAGCAATACCTTCGACAACGACAGTACTGATGACAAGTGTAGAGAAAGTAGATTCAATAGGAACACGATATTGTCTACCAAGAGTCAACACAGTTTCCATAACCTTACCAACTTGAATTTCTTCAATTGGCTTATCCAAAACGAATGTAATAAGTTCAGCCATTTCCTTCTTGAATTTTTCAGCATTTTCTGGTGTCAAAGAATAACCAGTATTTTCACGAAGCTTTCTAGAACGTTCAATCATCAATTGAGCAGCATAATAACCTTCACCTCTGATAATAGCAGAGAAGAGATCAATAAAGTTTTGACGATCTTCTGATGACAATTGAGTAACCATACCAGCATCCAAAACAACCAACATTGGCTCATTGGTTTCCTTGTTAATTCTAACCATCAAATTACCAGGGTGCAAATCAGCATGGAGCAAGTTGTCATGCAACATCATCTTTAAGAAAAGGTCGGTACCAAGTTCGGCAACACGATGTCTTTGGTTGGTTTGTTGAAGTCTTTGTTGTTCCTTTTCATCAATTTCTCCTTCAACTTCTCTACTAACAGGTTTGTTGCCCTTTTCATGAACAAGTTCATCTAAAATTTGTTCTGGTTTTGGAACAGGATTTGGGATTGAAATTTCACGATCAATACGAGCTTGATCCAAATAATGTTGAATAGAAATACCAGGTTCAAAACTTTCAATAAGAATGCTTGGAGTATAGAAATATGGAGTTGGGAAAATGATAGTAGACTTAAAGTCTTGGAAGTTCTTTTGGAAGGCCTTAAGATTTTCACCTTCAAATCGGAAGTTGGTTTGAAGTTTCATACACTTTGTAAATTCTTTAACATTTTCTTGAAGTTGCAACCAACCCAATGATGGAAGGAATCTACTAGTCAAAACACAGAACAATTCCAAAATCTTTAAATCTTGAAGAATTTGTGTTTCAACATAAGGATGTCTAACCTTGATGGCAACATCCTTGATTTCTTCCTTCTTTGTGTGATCATTAAATCTCTTCATTTTGCCTCTGTAAACTTGACCAATAGCACCACTTGCCAAAGGATGGTTACTATCAATCCAAGTAATGATATCTTCATCTTTTCCTTCTCTCTTACGATATTGATCATTAACAAGTTGTTTAACGTTTTTAACATGATGTTTTGGAGCATTAGAGTGGAGAGCAGCAAAGTGTTTACAAATGTGAGGATCGAGTAAATCAGCTCTTGTTGAAAGCCATTGTGAGAATTTGATGAAACAAGTACCTCCGTCCTTCAAACTTTGAACAACACGCATAAAGAATGCTTCATCAAGATCCTTTTCAGCCTTGTCCAACATTTCTGCTCCATTTTCAAATTTAATCCTAGTGTATAAAAATCTATAGAAAGGCTTTAGGATGAGATAATGCCACATTGAATAGAAAACGAGTGGTGAAAAGATGGTAATAATTTCATTCAAACGTTGTCCAATATGAATTAAATAGTAAATACGATGGAAAAGAGAGTGAGTAAATCTATCATATAATAATTGACCATATTTGTCGCTGTTGATGAGTGTTGGTGTATCAAAGGCATGTTCAGGAACTGCAGGAGGTTGTGCTTCTTCTGATTTTGGTCCAAATAACAAATTCAACCATCTACTCTTTCTACGGATGACTCCAAGTTCTTCTTCGGTTTCCTTTTCGTAAGCCTTAGCAACAGCTCCAACTGTAAGAGCTGAACCAACTACCACTGAACCAATTAGAAATTTTCTACCATATCCACTACTTTTGGCAGCTTCAGCAGTTGTCTTTAATGGTTGTTGCACACCACGACGAAGGAGGTGCTTCCACATTTTTTTTATCGGCTTTTTTGTTTGCACATTTGCGTTGAAGAGATTCAAAAGCCCTGTTTCACTCAATCTTTGTTAATTGTGCGTTAAATTGGAATATTAGATAATCATCATGATTGAATTTTATTAATACTATCATATTCTACTATCAAAATTGATGAGGAGAGTTTTTGATTTATTTGAAGCATAGATGACGTATTCAAGTATTAAAAATACACAACTAAGAGATTGAATGTTCTTGCTCAATGCACATTTTCCTCTTCTTGATGTTACCGATTGCATTCCCCTCAAGACAACAAAATTGATTGACTATTAGACAACAACGAGATAAATGATTCTTTTGTTGTTGTAAAATAACAAGGAGTCAGACGAGCTGCTAAATTGTCTACAGGTATAATTCTGTTACTACAATAACGGAAAAGAAAGCATTCATCATTAACGCAATCATTCAATTATTCTCTCTATTTTGATTGACTTTATCATCTTTGAATGAAATTGTGGTTTTTCATTTTTAATAAAAATAATTTCAAAAAATTATTTTACACCTTAACCTTTTTCGTTTTCATTTGAAGCCTTCCAAAAGAACAATTCACAATTTGAATGGCTTCATTGTCATAGTACTTACTAATGAACCTTAAAATTTTCAAGTTTGTTTGTTTGGAATATTACAATACGATTAAATTAACAATAAAAAATTAACTATCAGTCATCCATCATTTCAAACTATTTAACCGGTTCAATATTGAATCGTCCCAAATTGTTATTTTACAATAAATTCATCTCTCTATTACATCAACACAATAAACTTGTCCCAAATTCAAATCATAACTCAATCCATGTAAGCAGCCAGCGATAAACTATATTCATAACCCAGGGCTTTGTATTTTTCAAATGTCACCAGCACTATAAAAAATGTCAATCAGACAAAAACTCTTCCCTCAGCGAAAGCGAATGTCTGGTATTTTTGAATCAGAGCACTCGCCAACTGACGTGGACAGCCTAAAGAAAAATAGACGAGTTTCGAACGCTTCAGATATGATGTTGAGTCATCCTCCAATCGATCAGCACACCTCCAACCTTCTCAACACTAGTCTCTGTAATAATCCCTCCATGTCAGAAGATTCACTCTCTCGAAAAGTTACCATTGGATCATCGACTTGTATTGATAGTAGTACTGGTAGCAGCGAGGTTGATTCATCACCAAATAATAATGGTAATACACTCGATATCAAGAGCAGTAGAGGGAAACAAGAGCAATCATCCACAGTGATGATCGCTACTGCTCCTCCTGCTGGTTCTGATGCGGTAAATGATGATGTTGCTTCTTCTGGCTCATCCAAAAACAGCCTAAAAAACGAAGAGAAAAATGCTTCATTGTTGCCACAACAAGACTCATCATCAACAAGTATAAAATCGGACTCATCTTCTCTCAATAACAACAACAATAATAATAATATTAGCAATAATAGTTCAGTATCATCATCATCATCCGCCTCAGTAGTAGATAATATTGAAGACGATATGACAAAAAACAGATCACTCACATATGCTGTTGGTGATTCCAAATTTAAGGGAATTGGCCCTAATGATGTTAAATCACCACAATCACAGAATGCTACTACAGTTTCAACCTTTCTTACCGATGAACAACCATCTACTATTTCTCCAACAACTGCTATGAATAATAGATTCCAAGGAATCAGTTCAAAAGACGCCAAACCTACAACCACAACAAGTACTACATCCCAACCAAAGCATGCTAATCCTCCACCAATACAAACAACATCATCCGTATCAAATAATGGTAAATCATCAACTCCTACAAATAACAAGCCAGCATCATCAAAACCAGTAGAAAAACCAAGAGTTTCTCAAGACCTTTCAAGAGAAGCAGCTTTAAAGAAGAAAGCAACAGGAAAAAGCTTAACAATGCCATCTTCATCACAAAACAAAATTGTAGTGATTGGTTGTAGAGGTATTGGTAAATCCGAAATGGTGTACAAGTTTTTACACAATGAAATTCGTTTTTATCATCAATTAAAGAAAGATAAGGCTCATCTACTTGAAGAACTTAAAGGTACTTTGGCTTCCGAACAAAAGACTATTAACGAGAAAAAAACACAATCAGCGTCCAACCAACAGAATGCTACTACCACACCAACAAATAATTTACCATCATCATCGACATCATGCACAATAACACCTAAAACTGAACCTTCTCCAACAAAAGTTCAAGACAATTTACCAATAGATCCAGGTGCAATAGTGGAAAATGAAATTGAGTGTGCTCTCAAACCATCAGACTCTTTAGAAGTTAGAAAACTGAAATTACTTTTAATGAAGAAAGACCAAGAAATTAAAAAACAAAAAGAAGAAATGGAAAATACCATTCAAGAACTTTCAAGTATGTGGAAAAAGGAGAGAACAGAAAAGGTCGAACTTGAAGAAGAGTATGTCGAAAAGGAAAATGAGTTGAATCATTATATTTCAGTTGTTGAACAGATTCATCACTTGATTAATTTGGATCCAAAGTCAGATGAAATTCCAGAAGCAATTTCTTTCAAACTTCCTGAAAATCCTAATAATGGAATTTTGAGTCCAAACAGAAAGAGAAAGACCAGTGCCCATGCTGGAGTTATTGCTGCAACACCAAAACAAAATTTATCAACACTTCCACCATCTACTCCAAATGTTGTAACACCAATGAATAATAGAAATAGTCACAATAATAACCACAACGACGACTTCTTTGATCTCCAAAACTTCAACCCTAAAGACCCTGTACCAGTAACACCAATGTCTTCCCAAAGAAAGGCAAGACATGTCAGAACGGAAAGTACTTTCCAAAAGCTAAGAACAAACCAATATCAAGTTGTTGCTCAAGATTTAAGAAAATCAATTGAAGAAGATATTGACGCAGATGTTTCTGATCCAGAAACAAACAGCATTGCTTTAGCTGCAAACGAAACTGATGAGACCACGGACGAAATTAACATGTTCTTGGCAGATTTTAATAGAACCGAGGAATCCAATTTTGTATTGACAAACAATCCATCCATGAATAGAATTCAAGCTCCACAAGTGAAGAATTCCCTTTCCAATTCGGAAGATAGTGCTGGAGATGAAGATACCGAGAATGATTATTCAGAAAGTAGTGATATTACTTCTGTTTCATCAACTGCTAGTTCTAACCATTCCCTTGTTAAAGCTCAATCAACAATGGATGTAAGAGGTGATAGAGGACAACCAGTAGTAGCTAACAGTTTAATTTTACCAAATGTTGGAAAGTCAAAATCTCCAACAATTGTACAATCTACAGATTACAAGTATGACGAGAACTTGTTTGTAAAATTATTAACCCCAAGTTTCCACCTTACTGAGGGTTTGAGAAAGTTTAATACCGGTAAACCAAAAGATGCTCTCAAGTATCTGATAGAAAATGCAATTTTGCCTGATCCAGAAGCTGGGTTAACTGAAACTAAGGAAAAACCAGAGGCAGTAATTTCTAGATTTATGGCCATTGCTGATTCTTTGAATAAGGAAAAACTCGGAGAATTTTTGGGAGATGAAAGGAATAATGTCTATCTGGAAGAATTTGTCAGATTCCATGTTCAAGAGCTGTACAATGAAGAAAAGAAACAAGGTGATGACACTTATTTGAGCAAGTTTGATCGTGCTCTTCGTTCATTTTTCATTCAATTCAAATTACCAAAAGAAGGACAACAAGTTACCAGAATTGCAGAGGTCTTTGCCAATGTGTATAGTGAAAATAACAAGAATGATGGAGAACTCAATGGTAATGGTGATGCTTGCTATTTACTTGTATGTTCAATGCTCATGGTGAATACACAATTACACAATCCAATTGCGAATATCAAGTTATCGAGAGAGCAATTTGTAGAATTATTCTCACAATTCAAAGATATTAACATGAACTTTATTGGATCATGTTACGATACCATCGCAAGAAATGCTATGGTTCTCTATGATGAAGAAGTTGATTCTGAGGATAGAACAAATTTCGAGTCAGACGATCAGATCGATTTATTCTTCAAATGCTACAAACCAAGAGCAGCATTGCCAGCTTCAGCTAGTGATTCTCAAATAACAGTTCACAGAGCTATCAAATCTCTGAGTTTGGATGGAGACAAAGTTAAGGAATTGATGGAAAGTGCTATTACATTCTTCTTCAAAGCCAAAGTTATACATGATGGAGTCATTAATAGAATTCAAATCAAGGACTCTGATCCAAATCTCGAGTTAACAACCACAGAAACTATTACTGAGTCTGGTTTGACAATAACAAAAGTCAAGCTCAGGGATCCAACAGAAATTAATAATGAGGCAAAGACTGGTAATTACTTTATCTGTGCTTATAGTGTTGCTGATCGCACAAGCTTTTTGATTGTTGAGCATATCATCAAAGCAATTAGAAAGGCCAAGAGAAGAGAAAGAAAGGCAGAAAAGAAGAAGAATAAGTCTTCCAAGACAAAGCCTCAATATAGCACCTTAACTGGTTCAGTTACCGAGGAATTACTACAAATGCTCAATGGAGATGATAGTGACTACAATAATGACAAGTTTATGGTTCTTGTGGGCTGTAAAGCTGATGTTCCAGATGACCAAAGACAAGTTTCAAAGAAAGAAGGTGGTGAACTAGCTCTCAAGTACAGTATTCCATTCTTTGAAGTTTCTAATGGAGATATGTTTGGAATACGGAAAGTTTTCTTGAATGCTATCGATTCCATCAAGAGACAAAATGCTTCATACGTGGATGCAGTCAAACAAATGAATGACTTCCACAAGAGAATGAATATTGCAAAGCAAAACAAGAAAGGCCAAATAGATGTTAACTCTCTTGCTATACTGCCAAAGTGTTACATTTAATAAATGTTGAATCCTTTTTCTTTGCACTTCCTTTTTAACAAAAATTACAGGATTTTCTCTAAGATCAAGATATTATCTGTTCTTTTCAGTTCGAAAAAAAAGAAATAAAAGCAAATCATGAGTTTGTTTCCTGCTAGCCAGCAAACAAAAAGACAAAATGGAACGAAGAAGTTTCAGATTCAGCCTCTCTTCAATTCTCAGCAGCCATCATGAATAATCCGGATATTATTCATCAAGTATTAAACTTTTTAAACGATGGTTCCGAGGAGATGATCAAAGATTACATGTTGGTTTCTTCCGAGTGGATGAAGGCTGTTCGTAATTTAGATTTATTTATTGCAGTTTATCGGAAGAATATAAAGAAGGAACAAGTAGAATTAATGATGAAAAGTACTTGTTTGAAGAATTTGACCAAGTTGACTATTAAATTTACTGATTTGGATGGGGTAAAGGCATTTTGTGATAATTTTGCCTTCGATAGATTGACTAGCTTGGCTGTGAACGATAGTAAACTTGGAGTTGAAGGCGCCAAGTTGATTGCACAATGTCAAAAATTGAGTAATTTGAAAGAGTTGAATGTTAGTGTGTGTGATTTGCATTGTGAAGGTGCTCAAGTGATTGTTTCAAGTCCAGTGTTTAGCAAATTGACTAGTTTGGATCTGGGTTGGAATCAGATTAAAGATGAAGGCATAAAATCATTGGCAATGAGTGAACACATGTCTAACTTGACTCAATTAGACCTCTATCTCAATCTATTTGGAGGAGATGGCTTATCAGCAATGGCTACTAGTCCATACCTGACTAATCTTACGGATCTGAAAATGGCAGAGCTATTTCTTGGTGAAGGAATTGATTCAATTTGTGATGGTAAATCCCTTTCTAATCTAACGAGATTGGATTTGACAGAAAATGATTTATATGAAGGTGCCATTACTGCTTTGAATAAGAGCTTGACAAAGATTACTGATCTCAATTTAACTAAGAATAATATTGGAGATGAGGGAATTGAAATATTGGCCAACAGCAAGTTTGCATCCACTTTGAAAGTGCTCAATATTACTGACAATGTCCTCAACCCAGCATCTTTTAAAGCAATTTCAAATTCTCAATTCCTTTCCAATTTGGAAGTATTGAATGCCTCCTCGAATTTCAGAGTAAAGGATGAAGGAGCCAAACTCATTGCCAACAGTCCAACACTTTCAAATTTGACTGAACTCATTTTGGAGGATGACAGTATTGGAACTGAGGGAGCTTGCGCAATTGCCAATAGTCAGTATTTGACTAAACTGAAGAAATTGAATCTTTCATTTAATAAGATTGATGAGGAAGGTGTGAAGGCAATTCAAAACATGAATATCCAAGCCAAAGTCGGTAACGACAAAGCTAAGGGTTGTCCACAGCAATAAATCGATTTGTTGCTGAATCTACATTTTCATTCATCCGATTTTGCTCATGGTTGTGTGTTTACAGATCTGTTTTCCTTCCAATACCACAACTGGAAACAATCACCCTTCGTGGAAGGACCTTTTGTTGATTGAATTGATTTAGAAATTGTAAATTACTCACCAGATATGTTAATGAAATATCAGCATTGTATAACCATTGAAACAACAAATGTTGCTTTCGAATAATTGTTTCCTTGATGATTGTATGTTGCATTCCTGACATTTTAAAGACGCATCTAAATTGTCAACCTCAAAACAACAACCGTTACCTTTCGCAAGTGCAAAATCAGCTCCTTTCATGAGTTCTTTTAGAACTTTATTTTCACGAAATGACAGCTGTCTTTTATCAACAAAAAAATGCACAAACAGATATCTTTATTCTTGTTAGTTTTATTCTTGCTGGTTTCTTCAGCATCATTCAAACATACCCATTTCACAAAGGACATGATTGACTCTCTCAATCAAGATCCATCTGTCAAATGGGAAGCTGCAAATTATGACCAATTTGCAGGTAAATCATTTGCTGAATTGAGAAAATTATTAGGTGGTAAGAGAGGTGAAGAAAGCTCGAGTGAAGAAGCAAGATATAATACCAGAGATGTTAAATCGACTGTTGCCATTCCTGATACTTTTGATTCTAGAACTAAATGGCCACAATGTATTCATGGTATTAGAAATCAAGGTGTAAGTAATATTCATCCATAGCATGTTGTTTAATATTGTAAAAAAAGCAATGTGGATCATGCTGGGCTTTCGCAAGTAAGTATTAAGTTTTCCTCTGTTGTTGCTCATCTTTGACAACAATTATTACAACAAAATATGATGTGAATATTGACATGAATAACATGAAAATAATAGCTACTGGTGTTTTCTCTGATCGTTTGTGTATTACTACTAACAACGTTTCAAATGTTGTTATCAGTCCTGAAGTAAGTTAATGTAAGCTAACAATAACATAACATTCGTCCAGTTTCTTATTGAATGCGACAAGACCAGTTTTGCATGTCAAGGCGGTTATGGTTATTATTCATGGAAATTCTTCATGAATACTGGTATCCCATTAGAATCCTGTGTTCCATACACTAAAGATTCCCTTGTTTATGGTAACACCACCAACGCTCAATGTAGATCAACTTGTACTGATGGTAGTCCACTTAAATTATACAAGGCTGCTAGTGCTTATTATATTTACTCTCCAATTACCAATTATCAAACTGAAATTATGACTAATGGACCAGTTGAAGCTGATTTTGATGTGTAAGTTTTCTAATTTTAGTAATGTGAAATTTTAATTTTTTTTAGATATTCTGATTTTTATTCATATAAATCTGGTATTTATCAAAAGACAGCAGGAAGTACCTATGTTGGTGGACATGCTGTTAAGGTTCTTGGATGGGCTTCTGATTCTAATGGAACTCCTTATTGGATTGCTCAAAATCAGGTAAGTTTCGAATAGAAATTAACAATTAATAGAAATAATTTAAAACACAATAATAGTGGGGAACATCATGGGGTATGGGAGGCTATGTATGTTTTTAATTTGATTTGAAAAATTAATTAACTTTTTCTAGTTGTAAGTAATTTGTAATTTACTTTTTTGTAAATTTATTATCAACCTTAACAGTTATATTTATAGAGGAAATTCTACTTTGAATTGTAAATTTGATAATTACATGATTGCTGGAACTGTCTCACCACCAACATGTTATGGTAAAGCTCAAAGTGATTCTTCAGTTTGTAATGGACATGGTCAATGTGTTGGACCAGATACTTGTTCATGCTCAAGTGGATGGGGTGGCACTTATTGTAATATTACCAGTTGTAATGGAATTGTTTTGACTGATTCATCAGTTTGTAGTGGTCATGGCCAATGTGTTTCTGCTGAAAATTGTGTTTGTAATAGGTAGGTTTTTTCACTTGTTGTGTGATTTTTTTAACACAATTGGTTGAAGTGGTTGGAGTGGAACTTATTGTGCTGAAACTACCTGTAATGGTATTTCATCTGCCAATTCATCTGTCTGTAGTGGACATGGTACATGTACTACCAAGGATACTTGTACATGTAAGACTGGTTATGGAGATCAATATTGTCAATCATTCATTTGTTATGGATTGACTGGTTCCAATGCTGCCGTTTGTTCTGGACATGGTACATGTTCTGCTTATAATACTTGTAAATGTAATACTGGATACTCTGGTTCTCAATGTCAAAACTATACCTGTAATGCCATTGCCCAAAATAATGCCAATGTCTGTTCAGGACATGGTTCTTGTGTTGATTACAATACTTGTAAATGTTCAGGTGGATACACAGGTACTTATTGCTCACAAGTTGCTTGTAATGGAATTCTTCCAACAGATTCATCTGTTTGTAGTGGCCGTGGTAAATGTGTTGGTCCAAACAATTGCACATGTACCAACTCAACTCAGTATGGAGGTGAATTCTGTCAAGTTCCAAAATGTGGTGGAATTTTGGCAACAGATTCTTCAGTTTGTGGTGGAAAGACCAATTATGTTTGCTCTGGTGTAAATACTTGTACATGTAAGACTGGATATACTGGAGCTAATTGTAACTCATTCTCATGTTTTGGAATTGATTCCAACTCAACAAGTGTCTGTGCAGGAAGCGGAAAGTGTGTTGCATTGGATACTTGTCAATGCACTGATGGAACTTCAGGCAATTGTACTTCCTCAACTAGTACAGATTCCAGCACAAGACAATCACATGCCTCTAATCAATATGGCCAAACCATGTGGATCCAAATTGTATTGTGTACTGTCTTGTTATGGATTGGAGCTATTGTTTTTTAAATATTCAAAGATTGAGAATAAATTAGTTGTGTGAAATAAGCTTCCAGAACTTAATTATGGTTCGATGGCAAGTAGTTTATAGAGTTCAACCTGTAATCCCAACCTTAAAAGCTCTAAGGAAATGTTGAATTTCCTTCATTGATAATTTTCTTTGCATATTCCTCTCTCCTGTGTTCATTATCATGCATTTCGAAAGGGAGAGAGGATTAGCAAGTGCAAACTTTGGTCTATTCGATTTTACACAACAAGAAATATCCTATAGTTGTTCAACATGATTCCTCTGATTTATCCACCGATTGCACCATGATCTCAAAGAATAATTCATTCGCCCAATGAAGATGTTCCAAAGTCTTAAATTATCATAATATTAAAAATCATTACACAATTTCAATATTTCCTTATCATTTCTCAAATCAATGGATGCATATTTCAGTGCACTCTTATTTTGTTTGACTGCAAATGAAACTATTCCTCTATCACTTCTGAGTTTTAAACACATTTCACGTAACAGATTGCCATCTCTTTTCACAACTCGAATCACAAATACTCTATCTGAGACCTTTAATTTACCAGCACTGTAGAATGCATTAATAGCATCAGTTTTTAACGCTTCCATCAAAATCTCTCTATCTATTTGATGTTTTCTTGGAAAATTTGGCAAATAATTCCCAGATTGTTTGACTAGTTTCTGAAAGCAAAATAGTCTGTCATTAATCAATCTTTTAGATATCTGACTAAAATTCAACATGACGTTTCAGCAGCTTTGAGAACAATTTGTTCATCATCCCAAAACTCTGCTGTGCAAGAATTGATTGCATCTCCATCTTGTGTGACTGCAGCCAAAACTATTTCTCTATCTGTTTGAAATTGTTCACCAACATAATACAATATCTCACCACATCTTGTTACAGCTTGTAATACAAATTCTCTGTCTTGTTTAAATTCATTTGGGATTGCATTCATTGCTTCGTACAGATTAAAACATCCTGAGGATATTTTAATTGATTCCAATAATACCTCTCTGTCGTGTGTGAATTGATCTGGAATATTCTCCAAAGCAAAACCAGTCTTTGCAAATGATTGGATGAATTCAATGTCATTTCTCAATCTATCAGAAATATATGTAATGGCCAAACCAGAAGATTTGAGTGCCAACTCAGCAATTTCCTTGTCATCTCTCAATTCAGTTGATGCAAATTGGAAACAGGACCAATTTTTCATAACAAGCATTTTCACAAATTCCTTATCATTTTTCAATTCATCAGATGCGTGTTGAAAAGCTTGTGGATTTTGTTGAATAGCTTCCATAACAATCTCTCTATCATTTCTCAATTCCTTACACGCATATTCTAGTGCTTTCACACCGTCCAAATTTGATATTGTGAGCAGAAACTCTCTATCATTCGTAAATGCCCTACTTGCACTGTTAATTCTGGCAAGAGATTTTGAAAATGCTTTAAAAATCACATCTCTATCATTTCTCAATAATTGGGATGATTGAAAATATGCATTTGGCTTTGATTCTAGAGCTAGTAAGACAATTTCCTTATTATTTTGCAATTCTTTGGACGCAAACTCTAGGGCATCACCATTTTCTTGTACAGCAGTTCTAACTATTTCAATATCATTTCTAAATGTTTCAGATACAAATTTAAGAATTGGTCCCCAAGTACTAACAGCTGTCATTACAATTTCCCTGTTTCTTTTCAATTCTTCAGATGCGTACGAAAGAAAATGACCCTTATGTTGCACAGAAGTTTTTACAATTTCAAAATCATTTCTCAATTCTTCTGAGGCACATCTGATGCTTCCATTTTCCTTGACAGCTGCCATGACAATTTCTCTATCATTTCTGAAAACATCATCCACATAATTGAGTGTCTCAAGACCACTATACTCTGTTGTAGTCAAAACAAACGATCTATCCTTCCACAATCCAAATTTTCTAGCCAAAATATCAAATTTATCACAAGGCAAATCGAATATTTTGTCATGAATAAAAGTTCGATCTCTAATCAATCAATATTGGAAAATTAATTGGTTGATTTTCATTGTTAAATTCTTCTCCATGATCAAAAAACTCCCAAACAGAATCATCACTTCTCCCGAAACAATATTCAAGTATTGGTTTTAAAATGGTGTCGTGTTTGTCATTGGGTGGAATGTCTGCAATTTTTGTGGAGAGTAATTGGGAAGAGAGGGACAAATCTAAAAAACACTGATGGTTATTCTTCATCATTGGCATTAAAACCCTCGACTACGTTTTTTTTAATACCATTACAAAATGTGAAAAAATCAAAAGCCACCCCAAGGTTTGTCCATCCTCAATATGTAATGTGTGAAGAAATTGAGCACAATGAGGTCAATTCAGCTCTCAAAAGTCCACTTAACTCGTTTATAAATCATTCAAGTTTTTTCATTCGAATTTTCATGTGAAATTTTCACACTTTACATTGTAATCATTATTCCTCTTCTCATTTGATAACCAAAAGATTTGGTCAATTTTCACAAACACTATCCACGTACCCACCTCAACGCGCAAAATTGTCCAAATTTGTAGAAAAACGAGTACAGTGCGCAATAAACCAAGAATAAAAAAATATCTCAAAGCCTTTCGAGTTTTGCATTTGGTAGGTTTTTATGATGGAATGAAGGCTTTGATAACACTTTATTGTGCTGAAAATGATGGAAATATTACATTGATGACTGATACAATATGTGATGATTGATAATTGTGATGATGACAATAGAAATGACCGATAATATTGAAATTGGAAAAGTTGTTGAATTGGATTATAATGATCTTGTTAATGAAGTTGATTTGAGTGAAAAGATTGAAGAAGCCTATGGTCCTGAAGGTTTGGGTTTGTTGGTCGTTTCCAATGTTCCAAAAGTTTTGGAATTGAGAGAAACATTGTTGCCACTTGCTCACAAGTTTGCAATGCTTCCAGATGAATCTAAAGAAAAGTACGAACACAAGGGATCTAATTATTCATTTGGTTGGTCATATGGCAAGGAATCTTTCAATGGAAAGGTGAGTAATTTTAAATTATCGGATCATGAATTTTGTGTTTTTTAAAATTGTTTCGGAATTAATTTTCACATCAGACTGATGTCTTCAAGGGAAGCTACTATGCCAATCCTGAAGTTGATGTACCAACTGAAGATAAGGAAATTCAACAAAAGTATCCATTCTACTGCACACCAAATATTTGGCCAAAGGAAGATTTGCCAGAATTGGAATTTGCCTTCAAGAATATGGGTCAACTTATTGTTTCCGTTGGTCACCTTATTGCCAAGCAATGTGATAGTTACATTCAAAAGAAATGTCCAACCTGTCAACCAAACAAGCTCTATAATATTATCAGCCAAAGCAAGAATACTAAATCAAGACTCCTCTATTATTTCCCAAGATCTCAAGAAGATGTCAATGCTGATGAAAATGTTGAAAGTGATGATGGTTGGTGTGGACTTCACTTGGATCACGGTTCTTTGACCGTAAGTAGTAGCATTAGTATTTCAGTATAATGATTCTAATATTCATAATAATAATAATCATCATCAATAGGGTTTAACTTCTGCCATGTACTTTAGAGATGGACAAGTTGTTCAAAATGACGATCCAAAGGCTGGACTTTACATTAAGGGAAGAAAAGGAAATTACATTAAGGCCACCTATAGACCAGACCAATTGGCTTACCAAATTGGTGAAAGTGCCCAAATTCACAGTGGTGGTTTATTGCAAGCCACTCCTCATTTGGTTCGTGGTCCAAGATCTGTTGGTATTGCCAGAGCTACTCTTGCCAACTTTATGCAACCTGCTTACAATGACATGATGGACGTTCCAGCTGGAAAGACTGTTGCTGATTGTAAGATTAAGCATATTGAAGAAGGAATGACATTCCACGATTTCTCTGAAAAGAAGTTCAAGGAATATTATTAAATTTTTTCACATTCTATTTATTTCTTCTTGGTAACTGTTGACTTTTTTGTGGCAGTAGTGGACTTTTTCTTGACAACAATATCGTCTGGTTTAACATCCATGGCAACAACTTTAGTTTTTGTGGTAGTTGGTGTTGTTGTTGTAGTTTTTGTTGTTGAAGGAGTTGTTGTTGTGGTGACGGTAGCTGGAGTGGTAGTAGTTGGTGTGGTTGTTGAAGAAGATTCGGAAGAGGAAGCAGTCTTTAAAAGTTCGGAAGCTGTTTGAGCAGTGATAGAAAACTCAGTGTCAAGATAGGCCTTGTTTTGCAACTTCTTGATTCCTCGATTGTCCTTCTTTGAGTGGACGGCTTGTCTCTTGGCTCCTTTTCTTGAGTGTTTTGGCATTTTTTATTCTCGTGTTGATGAAACCGTTACCAAAGTTATTTGAACATCAGATGATGAATTTAATAAAATTGAAAATTGTTACTATTATTTAATATTTGTATCGGAAGACGGACCAAGTTGTGCAAAACAAACACTACTTGATCATGCTAGAAAAATATTATTCAAAGTGATGATGATAATTTTTTCCTTACTGTATCGGATCCGTAAATAGCTTCATCATCCTTATAAAAAAATGAAATGCTCTGTTAAGGCCCAATTTTTCTTGTTGGCTTTGATCGTTGTTGCAGTTATTGTGATGATGATTGATTCAACTGTTGCTCAAACAACAACAACAACACCTCAACCAGAAAAAAAGCAACCACTCTCAAAGGATTCATACACAAAGATGGTTCAAACCTTGGATTCCTTAATGAAGAAACTTCATAATCAAAAGATTGTTATTGATAAGGAAGTTAATGATGCTAAAGCTGAATTGGAATTGGCAATGAAGGAAGAAGAAGAAGCTAGAAAGAAGTTTGAAGCTTTGCAAAAGGAACATTTGATTGCAAAGAAAAAGACTGAAGAACAAGGGACAAAAGTTAAGGAATTAATTAATAACATTACCAAGGCTCAAAAGAATACCAAACAATCATTATCCGATTATAATAGAATTGCTAGAGATGGTCCAAATATGAAGGACAGGTCTTCGTTGAAAAAGGATAAGCAACAATTGAAATCAATCAATGACAAGATGCAAAACTTGATGGACACTAGAAAGGCCAAATAAATTAATTATTGGCTAATTTATTGGAAATCAAACGTTGAATTTGTTGAGAGATTTGTTCAGTGGAATCAATTCCCAATATTTGTAAACAATCCTGTCGAAAATTAAGGTTCTTTGAATTGTTGATAATGCTAGCAATGGAATCAGATAGAATTGGTGAGTAAAAGTTTCTAATCATGAATAGCTTCTTCTCTTGTTTGGAGAGAAAATCATCTGGGAATTTGTTTTTGGCATGTTGAAACAAATTATTGCTCAGAGTTTGAAACATTGACGTATTGAGCTTGTATTTTGTTGTGCATTGGGTTTGAATATTAACTGTGAGCAGTAGAGATGAGATGGTAGGGCTGGTAAATGTTACATTAGGAAAGCAAATTCTGTGTTGGAAATGTTAAATGATTCTAAATAGTTTCAAATTAACTTACAGTGTTGAATGTGTGCTATTCAAGTTAGTGAATTTAATTCCATACTTTTCCGTATTGGAAAAGAGAAGATGAAAGAGTTTTCTACTTTCATTACTGTCATTGTAAGAGCTCTCTTTCACAATCACCGTATCTTGGTTATCAACTCTAATTTCACACAACCTGTCTTTTGCAGATACAGTTTCAAGAAGAGCGAGAGCATCCTTAGAGCTTAATAACTGTCCATTCTTCAAAAAACAAATCCAAATTTTGATCTTATTCTTGCTATTCTCCCTATCTAGAATATTTGATTGGCTGCTGTGTTGATTATTTCTCCCAACTGAAATGAATCCATTTAGGTTTGTTTTCTTAATCTCTGGTTTCACGCAAGAAATATTCGAAAGATCAGACGACCAATCCATATCATACAATTCAAAATCTTGACTATATCCAGAGAGTGCTCCCAATTCCATTCTACAAGTCTCCAAATCCTTTTCGTTCTCAACCAACAAATGAATTGCCAAACTATTCTCCTCAATAAATAAACTTTCCACCAATTGATCATGAATCAACTCTGAATGTGCAGGAAGATCATTCAAAAGGCTTGAATTGTGAGTGATTACAGTCATTCCTCCACTCAATTCTGCATTCAAAGATGACAGCCATAATTCCTTCAACAATTCCTCTCTCACGCTGACAGAAATCAATCCGACAATAACATTAGCCTTCTCATCCTTCAACATTTCCTCTCTCTTTCGTTTCTTCTTTGATTCAGGGTTCACTTCATTCTGATGAAACCTTTCGAATCGAATTAATGGTTTGAAATGCCTTCCATCCGAATCATCCTTGCAACATTCCCTTCTCATCAAATCAACAATCTAAATGTTTACATTTTTCAAACAAGCCTTTGAAATTGCAACTACTTACCCTCAACACCACCTCGTAACCAATCGATTCAGCCATTTTTTTTGTATTAGTAATTAGAAACAGAACGCGAATGAATGGATTAGCCTTCATCAAGCCTTGTGAAAAACAACCTCAATAAAACACGTGTGAAATTAGAAAGTATGTGGATGAAGCAGTTTGGCTGGGAATGTTTAAGTTGATTGTTAGAATTACCAATAATTCAAGTTTCTGAGTGAAACTAAAGTTACCTAAACTAGCATATCAACATCTCTAAAATAGACAGTTTCAATTCCATGTCATTAATCCACACAACACTAAAAAAATGTCACTCAATTCACTCTACACAATTTATGGAGCAAAAAGTTTACTTGCTGGATCGGTGTCTTGGCAGTTTCCTCTCCTCATCAATTCCATGTTTTTAAAGTGTTCTACCGGGAGTGGTATCAACCTCCTAGTGAGAAGTGTCGGAATTAGACAAATGGCTCTTGGTGGCTCGTTGATATTAGTGACGACGACGAACCATGCTGCTGCTGCTGGTTCATCTTCCCAAGATGATGAAAGAGATTATGATAGTATGAAGAAATTATTGGTGAAATTGAATGTGTTTGTGGATATTGTGGAATTAATGAATCTTTTGATTGAATATAGAAAAAAAGAGTTGGATTGGACAACTATTTCAGTATTAGGAGTAAATCATCTTGTTAGTGCATTATTTGGAGGGTTGTTATTGTTTGTGGATTCGAATAATAATAAAAATCAAAAGAAATAAATTAAATAGTATTATTAACAATTGGGGTTTAAGTGTACATGTAGAATTCTTCCTTCTCTTGATCATTTTCAAATACAGGAACAAAATCAATAGTTTTAACTTCAGAGAAACCTTCATCCTCACTTGGTTCTTCCAATTTCTTATTATAAGTATTGTAACCAACTCCTGGAACGTGTGGATGACCTCCCTTTGATCTATTTTCACGAAGAACATTGAGATGTTCTGCCAATTCTCTTTCAACATTGAAAGAGAAACATCTAATTGGAATTTCAAATTCTTCAGCAATATCAATATAATTCTTTCTAGAATCGGCATCTGGATTAGTATTATCTACAACAACTGATTTACCCTTTTGAATTGCTTCTTTACATGCCTTAACACATTTTGGAATAGTATTGAGAGTATCTCTATTTACATGAACATAACCTGCAGGAATGAAAAATCTTTTAGCAAAAGTTGTTTTTCCTGAAGCTGGCCAACCTTGGAAAACTACAATTTCTTGTTTTGATGAAATTAAATCTTCCTTCTTATATGCACTCTTGGTTGATTTAAATTTCTTAATATCATAACCATCAAGACTCCAAGTTGGATATTCTTTTTCTCCCAAGAAATAAGGTTCTGGTGTGAAAAATTTAATTCCAAGATTGAGTGCAAACTTTCTATCACCACAACTATGATCTTTCTTAATTTTCTTATTATTAGAATCCTTTCTTTCAGGTCTACCAGCAGCATCTCCAACATATAGACTTGTTGATTTATCCAATGAAATATTCTTTTGATGTTTTGGAATAATAGTATCTGCCAAATAATTCCACATACCAGTGCATGGTTTTCTCATATGATTATCTGATAATGCAGCAACAACAAGTATTGGAATTTCACTACCAATAGCTTCATTAATAAAACCTTCAATTCTTTTTTCCAAATCTTTCTTTGTCAATTTACCCTTCTTTACACCATTTTGATTAGTGAAAATAACTAAAAGTTTCTTATTCTTTTCATGTTCTTCTTTCAATTTTGTTGAAACACTCTTATGGAATAATTTCCAATCGGATGGACCTGTTGCAAAGGCTTTACCACTCTTTGTTACAACCAATGTAGAATCAAAGTCATAACCAGCAACTCCTAAAAGTTGAGCATTATCAAATTTTGTTGAAGCAAAGTTCTTATGAACAAAATAATAAACTTCATTATCATCATCCGAGTACCATGATCCTAGTGATCCTTTTGATTGTTTAGCTACTGGTTCATCATCACTCGATTCATCTAAACTAGCGTCTGATTCGTAATCAGAATCATTTTCTTCATCACGTTTTCTCTTGGTGTCGGCTTTCTTTCCTCTTGGCATTTTATATTGTTTTTTTGTGTTGATTTGGTGAATAGTAATTGCTTCTTGCAAGAGATTTAAACGTCATAATTTTGGCGGGACAGGTTAAAAATTCCAAATAAAAGAAGAAACAAAAAATGCTGTAATTAAATGGATTTTTTTTGGTAAGATGATGGTTTACAATCTGGTTTAACTGAGGTTTTAAGATTGTAAAATACAATTTGTGAATCTACTTTCTCTTTTTTCTGCTCTTTTGTTCTTCATCTACTTGTCTCTTGGAGGCCAATGTCTTTTTATCGGCATATTGAATGAGAATTTCACTAATTTCTGGTGATGAAATTTCTAGACAATTCTTTCCATTTAAATTTTTCAAACTCATATCTGTATTTGGAGCAAGTGATTTGATTAAATTCTTTGATTCACTTCTGATGGCAGAAAATATTGGAGTTTCATGATTGGCGTCTAACAAATTCAATACTTGTTTTTTGGAGGCAGCAGAAAGTTTGGAGAGTAAGGAAATAATGACTGAATATTTGAAGGATTGTAGCTCTCTCTGACCAACATTGAAATAAATTGGTAAAGAGCAATCACACATTAAGTGCATAATTGTCTTTTCTGATTCCTTCTCCTTTCTCGAAAGGAATTGAAGAATCTCTTTTTCTGTTTTCAACTTTTCTTGAACTTTTTTAAGAGGATAACCTTTCAATAAACACACTTCCAACATGCTTAAATGATAGGTAATTGGTTCATGAATAGTGTTGTACATTTTTCCAACAAACTTAATAGTAGAAGGTTTGATTCTGATAATATGACTATTAAAAAATTCTTGTAATTCACTATTTTCTTTTCTTTTCGCAATTTGTACAATACATTTTTGTTCCAAAATATCAGAATCAATAAAATCTTCAATGTATGGTTCTAAATCTGAAAAATTACTAAAGTCAGTGAAATTGAATATATAACCTGAAATTAATTTTTTATCCTCTTGTCCTAAATTTCGTTCACTAAGCTTTTGCTTCAAGCTCTCCTCTAAAATGTGATATTGCAAGTTTGCAGTAGCAATTTCAATGATAGTAGACTTGCAATCTTCCAATGACGCACCTAAATAATTAATAATGTTTTTAGCTACATCGTAATGCCCGTATTTGATAGCCAACATCCAAGAATTCAATTCAGTAATACTACTCTTCTCTTCCAAATACTCATTCTTATAACCTAAGAAACCGAATCCATTTTTTGCTGCAAGAGAAACATTATTGAGTCGGCCTTCTGTTTCATCAAAAAAATACACATCTCTCCATATAGCCCTATTCAAAATATAGCTCTTTCTTCCAATCAAGCCAAGATCAATAATAGTACTACTTTCAATGCCAAGCATTAAATATGCATGTATAGGAGTAGTAGTAACTTCACCAATCTCATCAGAACTCATTGTAATCTCAATTTCAAGGCAATTTTTTAAAACTTCTAAATTCTGTTTAAAAATAAGGAAATAATCTATTGATTGCTCAAAAGCAGCCATCAAGAGTAATTTAGCTCCATTAATAAAGGATTCTCCCTTCTTGAATTCAAAAAACTTTGATTTAACATCTAAATTGGAGAGAGCATATTCCAAGTCACAACCCTCTTTAACAAGCATATAGCTTAAATTTTCTGAGTTTTCTAAAGACTTGCAGAGCAGAGTTTTACCTTTTGCATCTCTGACTTCCAAATCCTTCTTTAGTTTCTGAAGCAATGAGGTGGATTCCAATACTTTTTTGTCAACTGCAAACAATGCTGGCATACCATCATTATTCTTGTGGGTAACATCAATTCCCAAAGTGGTAATACAATATTCTATAATATCCATTGAACTTTTAGAGAGCACATGAAGAAGATTACCACCATCACTGGTTCTATAATGTTTCAATTCTTGGTTATTGTTTTGGTAAATCTTATTGAAAAACTTTAAAAATTCCAGAGCATTATAGGAACCATATGACTTTAATCTGCTTGCCCATTGTTCTATAGTGTCCAACCCATGTGAATTTTTCTTTTCCAAAGTTTCCAGCTTAATGGTTTCAAACAACGGCAAAAGGTGTGTACTAGTAGTTGGGAAACTATTCAATAGGGATCCTTCTGGACTGGTATAGTTAATGTCAACTCCTACAATCTCTACTAAAAACTTTGCAGTATCTAGTGGAAGAGAATTGTAGCTATATCTGTATGATTTACATAAAACATAAAAAAGATTTAGATCAGCCTTGGTGCCCTCTATTATACCATTACTATTTCCCAAATTAATAAGAGTGGGCTCTCTTTCTAATGCTTTTTTAAACAAGGATATTCTTTCATTTGAAATAAGACTTGCCAATGGATTTGTTGCATTTTCTATTATTAGCGGAATGTACTTATTCTCTATAACTTGGTTCAGTAGATGATCATTACCATGTATAAATATTCTATTGAACATAATATTATCCATTTTGTATCTCAAATGAGGTTCTAGATCATTGTTATCAACAAACTTTTTGTAAAACTCATTAAATGTTAAATCATTACTATATAATTCACTTTCGAAATTAGACAATTTTACAGGAATTTCCTGAGCTTTTGCATATTCAATAATTATATCAAACAACTCATCATTTTTCAAAGAGTCCACAATCTTGAATGGGTGCAGTAGATTCCAGTTAATATTTTCCTCATAAACCAGCATGTCCCAATACTCTAATACATTATCGTATTCATTGATGGGTTTCTCAGACTTTACATTGGAGAACCTTGACAATATATTTGAAGCTACATTATGATACTTTAAATTAATAGATTCTAGAGAACTCATAGGTATTTCGTTCTTCTTGGGTTTTCCATTAATATAATTAATTAGGTTGTTATTATGATTGTAATAGTAATAACCATCATTTTCAGTTGATCCATAAATATTAATAGTCTTTAGATAGGAGGGATGTTTACTCTTTTTGTGACACTCCATTAATAGATTCAATAGGTCCATAAATCCTGTTGCTACTGCAACGCATTCCAAATCAAAAAATTCAAAGGTTTCAATCTTGTTAGGTTGTTGAAAGAATATTTCCCATCCACTTTGACAAACTCTCAACTTGGTAAAATTTGGAAAATAACCGGCCATCTGTTTCAACTTGGTACTTTTAAACTTTTCAATTTGATACTTTTCTCTGGTCAACAAATCAAGAACCTTCACCTTTGGAAAGAATACCTTCTCCAAATTATTCTTCCAAAATCTATTTACAGCTCTCATATTCAATTGATCAGGATAAACCGGAACAAAATCCAAAATATATTGCATTAAATCTTCATTCACTTCCTGTCCCCACAAATTAACATAAAAATCCTGATCCACCATATCATCAGCAACAATATTGTTTTGTGATTTTTTGGTGGAACGAGATTTCCTCTTGGGAGTTGTGCCAGCCTTGTTTATTGTTTCCTTCTTGCTGGCGCGTTTTGGAGGCATTTTTTTTGGTGTTTTATTGGAAATTGTAACACAACATGTCGTTTACAATTTCATTTCCTGTAATAAGAATATTATGAACTTTTCAGAGAACCAAAGATTCGAATAATTGTTGAATGAGATTCTGTATTGGATTCAGGAGTTTATCTTCGTTGTAAAGTTTCAAATCGTCAAAAAAAAATGATCTCACATGCAACACCTGCTACTACGCCCCCTCAAAATTCCAAACCAAAAAACAGGAAAAAAATCGAGAAGGATTTTTCATTCCTGATCGAAAATTTCGGATATGAATTTTTTGTGAGTTATTTTCTGGCAGAGTTTTTCTCTCCGAAGGAATTGATTATGAAATTTACAATTTTGAATAGAAAGATGAGGAAATTAATTATGCAAAATTCAAAATTATGGAAAAAACAATTTGAATTCATGTATCCGAATTTGATTGGAATGGTGGAAAGTTGGATGGAGATGAAATGGTGGAATGATGAGAGGGAGGAAAGGTTGACTAGTATTTTAAATGAAGATTCGTTTAGATTTTATCAAATATATTCCAATGGTTCAAGAAAGGCCATTGAAAAGGATGTTAATATTGTCAAGACGAGTTGTAAAAGTCAATTGGTTCATTATGTGAGTGCAATTATTTTAGATCACATGTTTTATGAAACCAATTTCAATTCAGAGTATACGTGGAATCAAAACTCGATTGAAAATTTCAAATATCATCGAGTGAATTATTCAATTTACTTGAAATTTTTCAAATTCTTTTACTTACTAATTGAAACAAAGCAATTGAAAACTGGATTAGATGTATGTGTCAGTTATCTCATTAATTGTTTGGATACAAAAAATAGGAGTATCCAAAAACTATTCAAGAATATGATCACTGATTTGTACTTTAAAAGTAGCTTTCCATGTTCTGCTTTCTATTTGTTTGCCAGAGGATATTCCACTGCGAAAGCAAGTTTGATAAATGAGGAAAAGGGAATTTTTGAACTTCCCTTACTGGATTTTAGTGTAGAGACTGGACATAGTGATCCTTCTTTCAGAGTTTATCCTTGGATTCCACTAGATCAAATAGATGCAAATGTGAATGATTTGCAATGTAGAGTTGTTGTATTGAATGAAGAATATACATATGTCTATCCAAGAGATACTGCAGAGATGTTAAAATTATTCGAAAGATTTTGTGCCAATATTGAGGAAACATCTTACTCAATCATGATTAATAATATGCTGGAGAGATATATTGGACTAGACAATTACTTAGACACTCTCCAACGTCATACTGTCTGCCATCATGAACATTTCAGGAGAGTAAAATGTGTAAATCCCACCAAAAGTGCAAGAATTTACTTTCAATCGCAAGTTGACAAGTATTCGAAACAAATTTTTGAAAAATTTAAAGGTGTTAATGAAGAACTAGCTTGTGTATATTTATCCAAATTTCCATTCAGTAATGAGGTTGAATACTTGCTTAATACACATATTGGTGAACTACTCGAGAATATTCCAGAAGATTTTTCTACCTTCTTTCCAAGTTTTACTGCTCAACGAACCAAATTGAAAGAATCCTATAGAGGAACATTTGGAGTGGATGGATTCTTAATTAGAGCAATTGATAAGTGTTTGAGGAGATACTTGCATTTATTTGTGCTTTCTGAACCAACCCTAACTCTTGCAACAAAATCAGGCTCATTTTCTTCCAGTAAGTTATTGAATTGTTTTGAGAATTAATTTTCACATCTAAAGTTCAAAAAATGGTCTATAATCAACTGAAGAATATCATCTATCCCATCTTTCTCATGCTCCTTCCACATGTTTCAAATTTAATCTCATTCAGAATTGAACAATTCCAGGGAAAACTGTCTAATGAAGAATTGAATCAAAAACAAGAAGTAATTCTCAAATCGATGAATCATTGCTTTGGACAGCTAAACTTTTTAAACAAGCCTCTCATTGATTTCTCTTCCGAGTTGAGATGATAATCTTCATAACTATTAAGGAAGAAATCATTGCAAAAGAGGAAGAATAAAAATTACTGTAATTATTTGAAGCTTTATTTTACAGGTCATTCGATGAAAATAATGAATCAAAAGCACAGTCACCTTGTTCTAAAAGGAATGATTGTTTGTCGCTTGTATCTTGTTGTTGATTATTATATTCTGTTGCTGGTTTTTCAAGAGTGAGTGGACTTGTTGGTCTCACATCAATATGATTCCACCTCGACAAGTATTGAGAGTTTTGGGCAGAGTCGTTCAATAATTCATAAAATTCTTGTTCAGTGCTCATTGAATCTTGTGGTATAATGTCATTTGTTGATAACATTGGATCATTAGGGAAGAATGGAGTGGTAAACATTTGATTATTGTGAGCCATCTGCTGTGTAATTGCCTGGCTCATAAGGTTTTGGAATTCAGTTTGGAATTGAGCAATGATTTGCTGTTGCATTTGCTTAAAAAGTTCACTACCATTTTGTTGTAATAATTGTTGTAAAAGATGAGCAACAACAGAGGAATCTTGCTTCTTGAGCTCTGCAGAAAGGGTATTCATAGTATCTACAAGGGAGTTGAGTAATTGACTTGCCATAATATTATCAGCAGGTTTCAATTCTGGAGGAATATAAGTATTGTTGCATTGATTTGGTTGGGCAGTATTTGTTTGATTTGTAATTGTAGTGTTGTTGTTATCTTGTTTCTGTTTCTTTGATGATGATTTGTTTTCTTTTCTCTTTCTCTTGTTTGTCTTTTCATCTGATGATCCATCAGTTGAATTGATTGAAGAGTCATCTTCACTATGAGTTGCATCTTCCTCATCTTCGTGAAGTATGAAATGCTCTGTTGGACTCTTGAAGGAGACAACTTGTGGAGTACTGGTTTTTTGACCACCCTTGTTATTAAGATCAATCACAAAGTAATTATCTGTGAAATGATCACAACTTTTGAGTTGTTTTCTCAACTTGCATAACCTCTTATTGACTGTACGAGGTGCTCCATTAAAATTAGAGGCTGGTTTTGATGAATTTGCATTGGCTGTACATTCTTGTTGTTTCTGATGATCGGATTCATTACCAGCTTCACTTTCATCAACAAAGGTAATTTTGGATTTTGGACTCCTCTTTTTCTTGTTGGTTGCTGTTGTGGTTGTTGTAGATGTTGTCGTTGTATTCACACACTCCTTGTCTAATTTGAAAGAAGTTGTTGAAGAACCATTGGAATTGTATTTCACCTTTGTTCTAGGCTTTTTTGTTTTTGTTGTCTTGCTGTTGGTTGGTGATGAAGACTTGTCAACTTCAGTTGGTTGTTGAATATGTTGTTCTTCTTGTTGTTGCAAGGAGAGGTTAGTGGAGGAGGTGATGGCTGTCATGATTGAGTGTAATATATCAAGTGATGAAGTTAAACTATTGATGATCAATAATATGAACTGTTGGAAGTTACTTTAGTGGTGAGTGTGGTGGTATGGATAGGTATGATTCTTTTTATCTCGTGTTAGGATCAAAAGACAATGCAATCAGAAATAACGTATATTGGTTGCTGTACGGGATAATAATGTATAGTGGATAATGATAGACAATAATAATAATGGCTTGTTAGTACTATAAAATGTTAGGATCGCAGTTGTTTTGGTTTACTTTGGTAAGGTTGCAGAGTACTTTCTTCTCTGCGTCGGTAAGATCCTATTATGTTGTTTTTTTTGTCTGTGTGTTTTGAGTCGCTATGAGTGATATTGTTTTATGGCGAATGATGTTATGTGTTTTGGAATCTTCGTTTGAGTTGATGGCGGTGATCAACAATATTCTCTCTCTATTGTACTGACCACCAGTGATGTGTCTCGTATGAATTCGCTCAATAGAGCAGGTGCAAACTCGCGTGTAACTCGTATTTTTTATTATTTTCATTCGTTATTGTCACTCTCCGATTCATCTTCTTCCTTGTCATCCTTCGTTTGGAAATTGTCAACCAATTCGACAGTGACGTTACCTGCTTCCGTTGCTGGTTGTGGAGATGAATATTCGATGGGTTGTGTGTTTGGTTGAGTGTGTTCTGTTGCATTTGAACTGTCAATCTTCTTCTTCTTTGAATAAACCATCACTGCCCTCGCAGGTTTAACAATGTCAACTTTCTTGTCACATACAATCACAAAAATCTTGTTTCCATCAGAATCCATTTCCGTTTCAATCGGCGCCAAAGTTTGCATATCTCCGTCTTTTGGAATGTATTGTTTCAAAGTGTACAGTGAGGTCGTACCACTTTGCTTTTCGTGTATGACACCAACGTCAAACTCAATTTCATCTAATACCTTTTGCATCGTTTTTGAATCTAATATCGTTTCAATGGAAACATCAATCAACAATTGCCTTTCTTTTCTACTAACACCTTGAAAAACAAATTTCAAGTGTGAAGGGTAACGAATCGCAAAAATATGCTTGGTTGCAGTTTCGAAATGATGAAACGCTAACAAGTCGGTTTCATATTTGACTGTTTTAGTGATGTGTGATTTTGATGGAGTGCGAAATAATGATTCTTCTGATGAGTCTTCAGATGATGATGAATCATCTGTGTTCGTTTCGTATTCACTTTCGTCTTCCTCTTCGTCATCATCAACAACTTTAGGTGCTTCTAACTTTCGTTTCTTTGCTTCCTTGACACGTACCAATTCATCAGCATATTTTGCGGATTGTTCTTCAAAGTATGCCTTTTTGTTCTCCATTTCAATTGATGACTTGTCTTTAATTGTGCTTTTGTATTTTCGTTGAACTTGAGACCAACTGTAACCGTTTTCGTTCGCGAACGCAACAAAAGCGTCTTTGTTTGTTTGATAAACTTTACCTCTATTTGCGAGCCAGAAGAGGCGTAATCTTTCTGTATCAACTTCTTGCCACTTTTTGGACTTCTTTTTCTTCAGTGACTGGGCTGTATCAACAGTACTACTATTGGCAACAGAGCTAGAAGTCGGGGCTTGTACTTTTTCTGTGTTCTTCCTCTTCTTGGTGCCCATTTTTTTTTCAATTTCGAATATCGTTTTTCACAAAAACATTCGTGTTCACTTTTGAATTATGAAAAAATGCAAAACTTGTTTTCTGTGTTTCGATCATACATGCCAAAAGCAACTGAAGAAACATTCAAAGCGTTTTTTGCATTCAATCCTAAGGAATTACAAATTGTTTATGACACGTTTGTTGGTAGAGTAATAGCACCAAAGTGGTTTCTAATCACCTTAGAATGGTTAACGAATTATCCTAAACATCATGTACAACATGTTTATTGGAATATTTCTAGAAGAACACTTGTTGGAAGATTATGGAAGACGGTTTTGTTTCTCTCTCGTCTTCTCCCTGATTTTGATTTTGATGATAGACTAGAAGAAGAACCAGCAAAACGAATTTTCAAAGATATCAAGTGTATCGTTGACGGTGTTGAAATTAGAATACGTCGCCCATCTAAAAGACGATTCACTAAAAAACAAAATTGGATCCACCAGAAAACATTTTTCTCAAACAAGAAGAAAATGCATGCGATGAAATATCAAGTGGTTGTCACTCTCCGTAAAGGGAAGATTATAAATGTCAGTCGTGCGTATAGAGGACGTGTTCATGATAAAAAGATATTTGATGATTACATAAGGGAACACGGTCACGAATTTGGTGAACAAGAACATCTTGGTGACCTTGGTTATGTTGGAGTACCAGAGATATTTACACCTTTCAAGAAACCGCGGGGTGGTGAATTAGAACAGTATCAGAAAACAATTAACAAAGTCATTGGTGCTGCGCGTGTAACTGTTGAAAATGTGATTGGTCGTATCAAACGATTTGACATACTTAACCACACATTTAGGCACCCACTTGTCAAACACGAAGATGTGTTCATCATTTGTGCGAAACTGGCGAACTTACATCTTCGCTTTCATCCCGTTCGAAAGTGTGACGAACCGCTCTTGGACGTTTAATAAAAATAAAAAATAACGTTTATTTAAAAGGTTGCACCCGCTCTAATCTAGAAATTATAAAGTATTTAATAAAATGGGCTCTTTTTGTTCTAATAATTACGATTTCAACAACATATTTGGCGTTAGCAAGAAAAAGACTTAACAGTTTCCAATTTAGCTCTTGGCATTTTTTCTCAATGGTATGAGATATACTACTGTAATGTCTGTTTCCTTATATCCACATGTTCTTGTTCGAGTGCAAATACTTGTTCAACGACCTTTTTTGAGTAGTAATGCAACAAGAGATGAGGTGTGGAGTGTAAAATTGAGGTCAAATGAATGGTGATGTTGTTTCGGGTATGAGCAATAGATATTTACTTTATGAAATGTTTTGAAGATATTTGCATGAAAATCTTGTCGTGAGCATCAACTTCCTAACATGTAGAAAATAAAAACAATTATTTCCGGGTATTGATTCTCTTGATACAGCAACAACCATTTCACATTCGCCAAGTTTGCCGAGATTATTAATACTCGTTGTTTCATCATTTTGGGAAGACAGATATATTTGGGCAAAATGAAAAAATTGTACATTTTAAAATCGAGATACCTGATGCCTGACGTCTTGGAACCTACCACAAACATGGACAAAAATACAACCCAAATTTCACAAAGATAACGCTAATACAACATCCAAAAACCAATCCACTATTTTCCAAATTCATATCCATTCCTCATCTCATTGTAATATGAACAAAGTCACTTTACATACAAAATCTAAAATCAAACATTCCGAATTTTTCAAGATCAACACACTTCATGATCACTAGAAAATGTAATGGTTTTTGTTTAAATGGAAAAATCTGATGGACATCTTTTGAACAGATTTCTGAAGAGATGTTTCAAGATGTGTGTTGTATAAACATTATTACGCTTGTATTGGTAATTAAATCACCATCCATCTACAGTTTAATACAATTCAAAGTCATCATGAAAAATCAAAAGATTTTCCTCATTTTCCTCATTGGGATTCCAATATGGAAAGAGTTATTAAGTATCCAATTTTGTAGACATTTAGTTGTAGTTTCAAGAATCTACAAGATGTCATCTCCATCAACACTTGGTTATTTCATACATTGGATTTTATACATTGTAAACACTTATTTTCAATTAAAATCAAGTCATATTTGAAACCTTCCTTAATTGGTATGCACATTTTCAATACAAATTAAATATTAAATATTATTAATAATTGAAAAATATTTAAATTAAATATTCTTCTTTTAATTAAAAAAATGTTTCAACACTCGGTACCGAGTGAAGTTATTTTCCATGTGGCTGAATTTCTCGACTCGTTGCGTGATATTGCTCATTTACTATTACTTCTCACCACTGAATATTCTACTTATTTTTCCTTTCATGATGGAAAAGAATTAGTAGAACAGAAAAGCAATATACAATTCTATTGGAAAACCCTACTAGCCAATGTATTGATGGCTCACATTGAACAATTTGTTACAAGAGTTCGATCGGAGAATGATTTGAAAAAGATTAAAGAAATTAAAAAGAAAGGCTTGGCAAATTATCATCAATGTTCTGAAATTGTTCTCAAGTCGAGTGTGAGGAAAAGATTCCGATCGCTCGAGTTGAAAATTGGGGAAATGATGGAACGATATTATGTTAGAATTTTGAATGAACAATTTGGAATAGAATCAAAGTTTGATATTTTGGAGTGTGTAGAATTGCTGACGAGGAAACGATCTAGGCAATTTTACTCTAATTTCTTTGGGGCAATTGTGAAGAATGATAATCATGAGGAGTTTTTGAGTTCTTTGAAAGCTCTTATTAGAAGAGAAGCATTGAAATGTTATGAAAAGAATATGTTGAAAAAATTGATCAATTCTACACAATTGGAGAGTATTACCAATTCAAATTCTGAAATTATTACTGATATTTTACGTGATGGGATTGAATTATCACCCGAGTATGCTGTTATCTTGCCAGATATCATCAAGATTTTGAAAATTAATTTATCTATTCTGCAAGTGGCAAAATTATTCACACACCTAATTGGATCTGATTTGTTAGAAACTTTTATTATGGGAAATGATTTTGAAACGATGAGTAATGAATGCATTTGACATTATTTTAAAATATGGCAAAAAGCACAACTCAATTAAGGAGATTCAGGCTTTTAAAAATTTTGTCCAAACACACGATCCATCTCTTGAAATATGGAATCATATTAAGGACGAGACAAATAGAATTGTGAAAAACCAGGAATTGATTCTAACTGATGCTCAATTTCAATTTCTTGATATTTTAGAAATTGAATCCATATGCATTGGGAATTATAAACACAGTCCAGCCAGATTTCAGCTTATAGAATGGTTAAGAGGAAAACAGTACAGAATCGATAGAAGTGACTTGTTGAGTATTTTATTCACACCAACACCAGAATATCACTTTAGTGAATATGTGAAATTGTATCAATTTTGTAAATTGGAGTATAATTTCAGTATTTATGAGGAATATGAGTCGAGTAATTTAGTTTGTCATTTTTTCAAATCATGGAGATCAACTAATGCCAATTTATTCTTCGAGGGAATTATTCCTGATGAACTAATAATGGTAGAGCAGATATCAAGCAGATATTTATTGAGAGATTGTGTGGCTACATACTTGGATCGTATCTATTATTCTAAAAATCCAAAACCTATCATTGACTATTTACAAGACAAGTTTTATCCTTCAATATTTGATATTGATTTTCTAGTGAGTATGATCAAAAGAAAAAAGTATGCATTAGATTCTTTGAATTCCAACTACTTGTGTGAATACATACTTCCTCTTATCAAAATTAATGGAATTTCATTTCAAGATCTGGCTGTTGGACTCATTTCTGAAAGTGGCGATGTCTTTCAAGATTGCATCTATTCTAAATATCAACAACACACAGATGAATATATCATGGCTCTATATCTTGCCTGTGTTAATATTAAGCAAATCAAAGCAGAGCAAAACCCTCTATCTCAATAATTGAAGTATTGTAATAGTTTCATAATAAAATTCCTCTGAAAGAGTTTCCAATTCCGACACAGCCTCATGAAATGCTCGTTCAGCCATTTGCCTACCTAACTCATAATCTTTCATTATTTCCGTACAGAATACAGAGAAATTCAGAATTAATCCCAATCTGACTGGATGTGTAACAGGAAGAAAATTCTCAGCCATGCTTTTAGCCAAATTGTAGGTCTCTAAACAATTCTCAGTTACCTTCTTTCCAAATTCATTTTCATCATTGATAAATAACTCTGCAATATATCTATAGTAATCTGCCTTCATCTTTTGAAAGAAAACTGCAGAAACATTATCAGATTGGTTGGATGGTATCAAATGTTGATCCAATAATTGCAAAACCTCATTGCCAAGATCCACAATTTCATTTCTGATTTTAATTCTGTAATTCTTGATCATTTCCGATTGAGATGTATTTTCATATTTCAATTGCAATGAACTGATGATTCTCCAAGCATTTCTTTTACTACCCATCATGTTTTTATAGGCCACGGAGAGTAGAGATCGTTCATCAGGTGACAATTCAACATCCGATTGAACTATCTCTTTTAAGAGTTGTGCTATTTCTTCATTGATGGTTTCATCATTCGAAATTTTAATTTCAATGATTGGTACTGTTCTTCTTACCTTCATATCTCTCTGCTTGGTCGAAAACTTTGGCAAGGAACAAAACATCCACTCTAGAGTTATGCATTTTGTCTATTTTTTTTGTTATGAATTTTTATATAAAGGCATCACTTAGAGTTGTCATCGTTATTGATTAGCTTTCTTTATAGAGAAGCACAAGAATTCATATGTTGATAGTAGGAACTAGGCATTGTAGAGAAGATAAAACTGTTGAAAAAAGGGGCATTAAGGAAAAACAAAAAGAAGAAAAAGCTGCAGAAGGTGGGATTTGAACCCACGAAGCTTGCGCAGTAGAACTTGAGTCTACCCCCTTTGACCACTCGGGAACCCCTGCTTCACATCCGTTGTTCAAAATTTGTTTTTCTTAAAGAAATTGGCAAATATTCCCATCTGTTCACACAAGTTCTTTCTTGTTCGCTTCTAGCATAATCACAAAAAAATTCAACACATGACCAACAATAAGAACACCAACAACAAACAAAAGAAGACTACCAAAAAGAAGAAGGGAATTTCATTAGATGACTTTTACAAATCGGCCAGTGCAGAAAAATTGCAAAATAATAGGAAAATTATTAATCATCAATTTATTCCAATTGAGTTCCGATCTGATGAGGAGTATATTCTAAAATGTGTGGCCAAGAATTGGGCAATTCTTCGCTATGCATCTGATGAGTTGACTACTTCCAAGGAATTTATGATGAAATGTGTTAAAATTTCTGGTCAATCATTTAGTTATGCTTCTAGTCAACTGAGAAATGACAAGGAATTGGTTATGGAAGTGATTAAACAAGGAAGGGAGAACTTGTATTATATTTCACAGGAATTGAGAAGTGATAGGTAGGTATAGAAAGCATTAAGTTAATAATTTATTAACAAAAATCTCTTTCGTATTTAGACAAGTCGTTTACGAAGCTGCTATTCGAAACGAGAGTGCACTTTTTTATGCCTCTACTGAGCTACGAAATGATAAAGAGTTTGTGAAAGATCTTGTGAGATTGAACGGTTTAATACTTGAATATGCCTCTGATGAGCTACGTAATGATAGAGAGGTGGTTATTAATGCCATTTCACAGAATGGACTAGCTCTAAAATTTGCATCCAATCTGTTGAAGAGTCAGGATGATATTGTTGAGCTAGCTTTCAGTCAAAACAAGTTGGCTTATCAATTTGCATATCCACCAAGAAAAGCAACAGATTTTTTCACAAGTGATGAATTGAAAAATGATAGAAATGTTGCATTGCAAGTGGTTGCCCTGGATGGTCTTTTACTTGGTCAATTGAACGATAATTTTAGGAATGATAGAGAAATTGTGTTGAAAGCTGTTGAAAATAATGGAATGGCATTGAATTTTGCTTCTGAAGATTTGAGAAATGACAAGTCAATCATTCTGGAAGCTGTCAAAATTAGACAGAATGAAATTGGCAGGAAACCAATTGCTGCGTATGAGGTTGATCAAGCTAAACCTTTTGAATTAGTTTCAGATGAGTTAAAGAGTGATAAGCACTTTATTTTACAAGTCATTCAAAACAATCCTCACACATTTAAATATGTCTCCAATGAATTGAAATGTGACACTGAATTCATTTTACAAGCTTTCAAGCAACATTCTTACAAAATCATGCACTATATTTCCAAAGATCTTCGTCAAGAAAGTACATTCCAATTGAAACTCATTCGTGATACTCTTGAAGCATTAGGATACATACCTGAAGGAATCACCAATAAGGAAGTAGTTTTAAAAGCCATTGAAAAAGATGGAAGAGCTTTGAAATGGGCTTCTTATGAGTGGCAGAATGATAAGCAAGTGGTACTAATGGCCATCAGAAGAAATGGCTATGCTATCAAATATGCTAGTGAAATATTACAAAAAGAACGTGATTTGATTTTGGAAGCTGTAAAGCAGAATGGATATTGCAGAGAATTTTCAACGGAATTACTAGATGAAAGAATGAAATATTGCTATCCAGATTTGTAGAATATGTAATCCAAATTTCTAATTAATCACAGCAATTCATTAACTATTTCAATTATTCCAATAATTCAATTAATCTTTGTAATTTGACATGTTTTGGTACTTCATTATATTGTTTCAACAAGGGGACAAATTCTTGCTAGTTGCAAGTCTTAAATTTCAACTTGGAAAATATAACTCCTTCCAATCAAAGTAATATAACGCTGTGGTTATCAATAGTAATATAAGCGAATGTTAGTTACAATTTTTCTTTCCAAAGTTTTACATTAAAATTGTTAATAAATCAAAACTTTAAAAAAATGGGGTCCAAGTCATCACACCCAATGAACAAGCCATCTCAAATCGGAGAGTCAATAACAATTCAACAAGAACAGTCAACTAGAGAAGAAAGTTGGATTATTTTGGGAACAGCTGATAGTGGAACTTCAACGTTTTATTATATGATTGAACGTATTTTGAGTAATAATCGACACTATTCGAATCGAAATGAGTTTAACCATGATTTACAATTAGTTTGCTTCTTGATGATTAAAAATTTGTGGACTATTTTGGAAAGTGAAAGGAGTAGAATAATCGACTTGATTCCAAAGAGTTTCGGACCATGTTTGGAGAATTTGAATGATAAATCAAATATTGATCAATCACAAATTTCAGAATTTGATTATTGTGAATTATTGATGTATATTTGGAATATTCCATTCTTTAGAGATTTATTCGAAACTAAATGGAATGCTATTAGTCCTAACATTTCCGAAAATTTCAAAGATCCCAACATTAATTATTACCATGTATTGAGCTTATTAATTTTGGAAAATTTAGAAGAATTAATTTCCAGAATCAAATCAAAAACCGAATTCTTTCCTTTGGCTCTATCCTATGAAATTACAAAGGGAGTACGAGAGTTCAGATACAATAATATACTTGTTAAGAATGCTGGAGGATCTAGAGGTCAAAGAAAGAAATGGTTGTGTTGTTTCAATAATCAATCAATTGCCATTTTTATAATATCACTTGCAGAGCTAGATCAATACACAGTTGAGGACACACAAACATTGAGGATACAAGAGTCGAAACTGTTGATGGAAGAGTTGATAAATACGCGTTTTTTAAAAACAGCAAGGAAAATTGTAATCTTTACAAAACCAGATATTCTAATTAAGAAATTGCAAAAAGGACATTCCATTCATTTGGGAAATTACAAAATGAGACCTGAATTTAAAGAAATTATTAATAAGCATGAGCTGAAGAAGGTTGTAAACTCAATAGTTTCTCATTATTTGAATTTCGAAAATGAGATTGAATTTAAAAAGATTCATTCCTTTCATATTGTGAATACGACAGAATTGGAAGAAGTGAATTGTGTAATGGAGAGAATATTGGATCATAATTCGAAAAATGCATTCATTTCTCCTTGTCTCTTGCATGGCTATAGGAAACCCGAACAGTTTGAAAGAGAAATGCAGGAGAGATTATTTTGGAAATGTAGAGAACAAAGATTATCAGATATAAGGGTTTTAACTTGAACTACTTGAAAATTAACACAATCCATTTGAAAAGCATAAAACTCTCCCGTATATTCATCCAAACACAATCCTGAAACACCCGTGAGAACTCACAATTATGAGAATGTACTATTTCTAAATTGTCTCTAGCATTTGAAAGGATAATGTGTCGATTCAATTCGTCATGTATAATTGAATAGAATTATGTGGTGTCCTTCATGGATGTATGAAACAATCAAATTGAGAGCTTGTTGGACTTCAGATTAAAAAAATGACTCAACTTGTTCTAATAGATTTTCACACTCCATGATTGGACTAATTTTCACAAATTAAAAGAAAAATTCATCAAACAAGAAAAAGGACTCGTAAATTGGCTGAACGAAACTTTAAATATAAAATCGGACAAGTTCAATCTAGACGAATATTGTTTTTTAAAAATCGAATATGCATTCGAAAGGGATGTTGTTTCGAGTCTAATTAGAAATAATGACATTAGAATACCTAGTTGTTTCGGATGGAGGACAGATCTTGAATTTTTGAAAAAAGCTGCACTTTCAGGTTATACAACAGCTAGAAAAGAAATTGAGGAGCTAGTTACTGATGAGGAGGTTTGGAGATTTCTTGTTAAAACGTATAATTGGACTGGATTTAGAGATGAATTGACATTTAACAAGGAGTTTATGTTGTTTGCTATTGAGGAAATGATTGTTAGTGCCGAAAGTTTATTGGAAAGGTGTAACGAAAGTTTCAGAAATGATCCAGAGACTGTAAGGAGTGTATATTTTGCACATGTTGTGACTCGAACATATTCTTTAGCGGGTTTTTCAGATGATGAATATATCGGAAATCCCTTCGATATTTTGCAAACTCAAACCTATCTCTATTCACATCGGTCAATTGTTGAAAATTTGAGAAATGACCCTATTTTCATTTTGGATTGTGTAAAGAAATTTGGAAGAGTTTTGGCATTTCTTGATTTGAAATACAGATCTGATAGAAATTATGTGCTGGAAGCTATTAGACAGATAGATGGTGGAACTTATTGTTATCACAAAGGATTATTGAGATTCGCCTCTGAGGAGTTAAGAAATGACAGAGAAATTGTTAAGGTGGCTGTGCAAAACTGGGCCTCATGTTTCCAATTTGCATCAGATAATCTCAGAAGGGATGAAGAGGTAATTCGTGAACTCATTTCAATTTCATCAGGAAATGTTTTAGAGTATGCTGAAGAAAGTATTTTGAAAAATGTAGAACTTGTACTCTTTGGATTGGAATCGGATGCTGGTTGTTTTGAATTATTTGATCAGAGTTTACAAAATGATAGAGATTTTATACTAAGATGTGCAAAAATCAATGGTAACATACAAGTTCCAGATATGTTTTCTAGTGATAGAGAAATTATGAAAACTCTATTAGAAACTTGTTTGAGGAATCGCCAAAGTGAGAATGATATTTTTTACACAATTGATGAATCTCTGTTTATGGACATTGAATTTGTTAAGGAGCTAGTTGATCTTTATGAAATATATCCAGACACTCATTTTCCAACAAGGTTATGCAAATTTATTAATGAAGAAATAATTTGGAAAATAATTCAACAATCTGCAAAAAAGGGGCTAATGAGATATGAAATTCGTGAGATATCTGATGTTTGGAAAGATCCATTGTTTGTGAAAAAGGTTCTCGATCTTGGAATTAAATTATCACGAGTTGATTATACAGCATTCGCTGACGATTTGAAATTAAGGATATGGAAAGACGAAACCAATATTTATTCGTTTCCATTCAAAAAGAGCAGTATGGAATTTCAAAGACAAGCTGTCAAGCTCAAACCTGAATGTATTTACGGTTCCTACTATTTTCAAACAATTTGTGGATATAGTGAAGATCGAGAAGAATTGTTGAGGTTGAGAGCAAACAGATTGGAATATTTACAATTCCACCTCCCAAAAAGATTTGATACTTGGTGAGCATGTTAAACTTGTTGACTCTCAATTCTTAATTACTTAATTATTGAACTAATTCATGCCCACCACTTTCACAAATTTCCTTTTCTAGACAATTTTATTGTAAACAATTGTGATTGAAAAAATCACAATTCTACATTTTTCACACCAAACAGCTGTACCACCAATTGAACAATGTCTCTTTCAACAACAACATTTCAATAATTGTTCAATATTATTATTATTTAAATATATTGCAAGTTAGTTTGAAAATATTAAAAAAAAATGCAAAGACTTTCCCGCCATCTTTTCAAGCCTTGTTCCACAACAAATTCCTCATCCTCGCTTCTCTCCGGCAATAAGAGAGCAGCCTCTCTTCTCTTGAAGAATTTTATCTACATCAATACACAAGCACAACAGCAACAACAACAACGCTTCTTCTCATCAAGTATATTGTCTAGAAATAATGTTAGTAGTGTTGTGCCTCCTCCTCTAACAACAGAAGTTGCTACCGCTGCTGCTAATACCACTACTTCTCAAACATTGAATACAACAACAACATCAACAGTCGATGCTGCTTCTGTTGCTGCTACTACTACACAAAAGAAGGCTTTTGATGAACCACTTCACGGACAACAAAGTTTTGATTTGGATGATTTTGAAGATGACGTTGCTGGACAACAATTGGAAGCTGCAGAAAATATGAGTGAAATGTTTTCATCAATTACCGATTATTTGAATCCTTCTAAACTTCTTGAAGCTTGTATTATTGCTCTTCATGATGCTGGTTTGCCATGGTGGGGAAGTATTGCCACTGTTGGTTTTGCTCTTCGTCTTGTCATGTCTCCTCTTAACGTTATGAGTATGAGATCAAGTACTATTATGAGCAAGTTGGGAACATCTTTAACAAATTTGAAAAAGGACCAAGTTGACCCAAAGAAATCACCAACTGAAAGAGAACATGCCAGAAAGACTTATGAAGAAATTACAAAGAAGGAAGGTTTCAAAATGTCTCACATGTTTTTACCATTATTACAATCACCTATTTTTATTGCCTTCTTCTTCTGTATCAATAGAATGGTTAGAGAAATTGAAGGTTTACAATGGGGAGGTATGCTTTGGTTCAATGACTTGACTGTCAAAGATCCAACCTATGTTCTTCCAATTATTTCAGCTTCATGTTTTATGGCTGTTTTCCTTGTCAATACATTCCTTAGAAGTTCAGGATCGGGAAGAATTCAATCTCTGATTGCTGTTGGTATGGGTGTTTTCTCATTTGCATTGGTTCCATTCACTGGCAGACTTCCAGCTGCTCTTTTCATGTATTGGATTCCATCTAACTTTTTCCAAATTCTCTTCTATTTGCTCATGTCTAGAAAGCCAGTAAAGGCCTTCTTTAAGATTCCAGAAGTTGATCCAACAAAAGGAAGTAAGGGAGCTATGGGTAAGGCTGAAAAGGTTTTGGAAAAGTTCTTCCCATCGAAATCAAAGACTCCTTCTATTACCCAAACTAAACTTTTGACAAGACAAGCCCTCGATCAAACCAAACGTAAGAATTAAATTTTCAAATAGGAATTATAGGAATAAATATTTACTCATTAAAGATATGAAAAGCATTTACATTTGCAATCACTGACAGGACATTCGTCATGATGCTTAAACCAATCCACTAAATGTTTTACGTGACCACCATGTTTACATCTTGTGCACCATGAAAAACAGAAATCCATTTCAGTTGTTTGGTTATTACCCATAGAATGAGATGGTGATCCAAATGACATTAAGCAAACAGCACATTTTGGAAGTGGCTTTCTACAAGAAGGACAACTGGTTGTTTTTGGCATTGAGGAAGTATTACCATGTTTTGTGGCTAATTGAGCTTGTCTACCACCCTTACTGGCCAGTAAACTAGAATGATGGAGGGATTGAGAACAGAATGCACACTTAATCGACACACTTGGTTGAAGAAGAGGTGCTGTTCCAGAGAAGGCGATCGATTGGGGATGGTGGTGTGGTCCTTCATGATTAATTATATTTTCTCCTCTCACGGCTTGCTGTATGCTTATATCTAAGAATGCTCTTTGCTCCCACATCTTCCATCTATCCAATAAATCTCTATAATTTTCCATCCAAATGTCTGAGTATGAAACATTGTTAGAAAACTTGGAAGTGATTGCTCGATTAAATGCTAAACATGCTGTTTGAACATCTCCCGTCCTATCTACATATTGTTGCATCAACTTGAAACTATCAATGGTTTGTAAACCTGTAATAATCAGTCCTTGAATATCCGCCGTGGCAAATGCCTTTTCTTTAAGTGAACTGATATACTTGCCAAGTTCAATATCATTGAGATAATAACAAGCAAATGCAATTCTATCACTAACTGGTATGGCTTTTTGATCCAAAACATAATCAACGTTTCTAGGTTCCGAAAGTAAGAACCCAAAAGCTGCTGACAAGTATGGATCTTTCAGTTTTGGATACAAATTCTTATAAACATTTTGGAATTCTTCTCGTCTGTTTTCATTATAGCCTCCCAAAGCATATGCCAAGAACATATAATTACTTCTCTTATCATTATCGCTTAATAACCCCAAAACATTAGCAGCAGTTTTGATATCCAAGTTGAAAATAGCAATTGCTACACTTCTTTCATCTAACTGGTCTGCAGGTATTTGTGAATTTTTCAAATTACTTAAATATTCTTGATCCCAGCCACACACGTGCAAACAAATACTTCTTTGTGGACTTTGATATCTTATTGTTGATCCAAACTTGATTGCTTCAGATTGAGGAGGGTAGATCATATTCTTAGCTGTATTTATATTGGTTGGATACGAATATGGAAGTGGCTTGAATGGTAAAATGTCATTTCCAACTTCTTGACCAGTATTTTGATATAAAAGAATAGATGAATCTAGAATGGCTTGGATACCTGTATAGTAGTGTTCACTTGGTTGTTGTCTATCGTTACGAATATTCAACTCTTTCATTTTGTTAATCCACGACCAAATAATCATTCCATCTGTATCTTTTAAGGATTTAGAAACTTCAATATTTTGTTTCACATCAACACCAATTCCCTTCTTGGCTCTTTCTTTCATAATACTCATAATATCATTCGATTGGGTGAAATCATTCTCTACTACCTCATTATAGTGTGCTGATACTATTTCTTCGTTACATGAAATTGAGAATTTGACAAAATCTTTGAGGAGAGTATATTGGACTGTACCTGTTGAAGTTGACAACAGAAGGCATCTTGGAATAGTTGGGTGGAAGGAAAATGATGATATCGAGCCGTTAGATGAAAAAACTGATTTGTGGTTAGAAATTTTGTATTTCACAGACTTGGATTGTTCTGAAAGATCGCAAAGTTTGACAGTATTTGAATCCCTAATAAAGAAACATTAGCAAAAAAATATTGTTATGAAATGCTACTTACTTTGTGAGTACACCAATTACATTCTTGTGAGATGTAGACCATTGAACTTGTGAAATTACTGGAGGAGCTTTTTGAACTAATTGTTGAGGTAAAATATTTGCAATATTGAGTTCTCTAACTGGATTTGGCATTTTTCTCATATCCCAAATCTTGACAACACTATCCTCAGAATATGTTGCAAATTGATTATTGTCGAAAGGATTAAAATGAATTCCCAAAACTGACTTGTTATGAACAGCAAAATTCTTTGGAGGTTTGTATGTCTTCATTGATGATGCATATTCTCTTAAATCAAATAAACGAATATACTTCAAACTAGTACCTAAAAGGAAGCTAGAAGGTTGTCCTGGAATCCATGAAATACTAGTGGCACCTTCACCTGGACATAATTCATAAAGAGGTTTTGTCACTACCTTAGTTGTGAAATATGTTCTTGATGGTAATTGCAAAGAATTAGAGATGGTATGTTGTTTTTTAACAGGATTTACAAATGAACCAGTATGTAAACCACTTAATCCACCGTAATCACTACTAACAGTACTTTCAGTATCAGAAATAATACTAGCTGAAGAATTCAATCTATTTACATCCCAAATTGCAACACAATTTTGTTTTGGTACCTTGTCATAACCTGCTGCAATTAAATTAGTATCCACACTATTCCAATCAATACATCTACAAGGAGGTGATGAAGTTTTTCCTCTATTGGCTGGGTCTGTTCTTGTAAATTCAGCAAAAACATGTTGATCACTTTGAACATTATCAAACAAAATTGATCCATTAGACAATCCAACAGCATGAATATCTCTATCCTCTGGAGACCAAGTACTGCACTATTCAAGTGTTAAAAAACAGTCAATAATAAGACTAAAAAACATACCAAAGCTTCGGATTGAAGAGAAGTTGTAGAAATTGATGTGAATTCTTGTTTTGTATCAAATTGAATTGGTTTTTCTTCAAGTAAATTATTCAATATCTGTTAATAACAATCGGATCACAATAAATTTCAATTATCCTTCGTTACTACATTTTAAATTGATGTAACTACTTACTCTTTCATCAATTTTATAATAGTAAACATCTCTGCCCGATACTACAGAAAACCAATTGATTGTATTTGGATTCCATGAAGCAACCGATTGTGATCCATTCAAAAGAGAGAGTGATTGTGAGGAAGAATTTGGAAATATTGGAGGAGAAAGCACCGACGATAACATTTTCCAAGATATATATGATATTAATCAAAATTAAAAATCTAAATAATTCCGCAAACAATTAAAAATCCAGATCCAACTTTGTCCAGTTATATTGTTGTTTGATTATGTTAATAATAATAAATCAATCGCTGTGATGATGAGATTGTTCTTGCTGTGATGATGACGCTGAAAAATCGCCTCTCCAACAACAAGAATCAAAAAAAGGCTTTTTTTAAATTATTAAAAAAAATTAACCCGAGACCAAACTCCATTGTCCTGTTGTTGTGCATTCTCGCGAAGTTTTTCATTCTCCTTGTTGAATAATAATTTTTAAAAACCAACAACACAAATCGGGAGTTTTTCATCAAGATTGTATTGGCTTTTTGTATATAAAGATTAATTGTAAATAATAATATAGATAATATCAAACAGGAATTTAAAATATGGAGGATCAATCAACTTCTAGTGATATAAATACAAATTATTCAGATAATCAGAGTGATATTATTGATAGTCACAAAATTATAAAAAAGAAAATCTATGATGAAACGGAGGATGAAAGTAAACTGAGGTTTGAAATGGAATTGGAATTTGTTCAATTATTAGCAAATGCCTCGTATTTACAATACCTGGCTCAATACAAATATTTTGAAGATCCTGGATTTATAGAATATTGTAAATATTTACAATATTGGAAGAACCCTGAATATGCTAGATTTGTCAAATATCCATATAGTTTATTCATTTTGGATAGAATTGTAAATGATGAACAATTTAGAGAGGATTGCAAGACAGCTCATTTCAGAGATATGCTTCATCAACAAATGCTTCGTCACTGGGGCTTTTATAGGAAAAATAGAGAGGAGGCAATCAAACAAGCACAATCATTCGAGTAATTCAATAAATAATTTATTCGATCATGATTGGTTTTGCTGAGAGAGCTACTGCTTTTTGAGATTTCTTGTCCTTAACAAGAATTCCCTTTCCAGCAACGAGATGAGCTCCTCTTTGGAGTGGGAATAGTGGAATAAATACGTGTCTTGATTTTAAAGGTTGCAATTCTCCAACAGCTTGGAGAGATGATCCATTAATTGCCAATGGATACATCTTGTCACTATCCAAATGAATACTCAAATCCATTACATCTTTGGAATAATTAGTAATTTCACATACAGCATAGAATGGTGTATAGAGTGTAAAGCTTTCTTGAGTATTATTATTATTATTTGATCCCAGAATGGTAAATTCGTCAGGTATAGATGAAGTAAATCCAATAATTGAAGCTTCCAGGTCTTGTTTTGGTATTAATTTGTGAGGAATAGGGTTTGTTAAGAGCATACCACATTCTCCCATGGTATTCTTCCATTGGAGAGATATTTTACCAAGAAAGACAGAATTTTGTGTTACATTCATAGCTCTATTCTTTGAGTTTGGAACGAGTTCGAATAAAAATCTCTTTGATTCTCCTCTCAATAATGGATGTTCAAAGTAATTTTCGGAAGTATTATGAACTGATTGATCCATCAATTCATATCCAAAATTTGGTTCAAATTTTACAGATTCAATATACAAGGATGGTGTTTGTGTTAAATTTTGTAAATCTAATTGTACAAAAACATGGTTTCCAAAAGTGTTTACCTTAACTTTCATACCAAGAGGATCATAGACTTTGAATGGAAAATGTTTTCTAAAGCTTCTCACTCTTCCCTCTTCAGGATCATAATATGAAACTAGACATGTCAAAACTGTCTTGTCCTCATCATCTTGAATGTCATCCGATGAAGTTAATGGGTGTTCAATAATGAAATCCTACTCATCACAATAAATCCACAACAATTATAATAAATTAATTCAAAATTCCAATAATAAATAGTAAATTTCCAATTATTATTTCATCAGCATCATCATGACAATTATTAAACTAACCTTGTTTGTCTTGGATCCGAGTTGATCCAAAGGAGTTGAACTAATATCTAATAGTGTTTGCTTTGTTGTTTTTCCTTTTCCTGTAACCAATTCAGCAGTCACTGAAATATTTTGAATAACTTTGTACGATTCATTGTGAAGAGAAATGTAACACTTGAGATGTTCTCCAACATAGATAGCACCTGGAGCACTTGGTAAACACCAACCATCATTATAACCCAAACTATCAAATATAATACAGCGATCCAAAAGACTTTTTCCATTATCTTCAAGGCCAGGAATTTCAATGAGTGTATCTTCCTTTTGTTGTTGTTGCTGAGAAGCTCTCAGAGGCATTTCATTCCCATAGATTGATTTTACATCCGACACATAATTTGGCGTCTTGTAAAATAATTTATAATCACCAAGAGCATCAGTCTTTTCGGGAAGAATCGGAACAGTGAGAGAAAAATCAGGTTTCTTCAATCTCATCAGTTTGATGCTGATTGGATGAGGTGTCTCAACCATCGGTTGCAACATGACTGATTGTCTTCCATACAATTGATCAGACATTTTTTTTAGATATTTTCAAATTTTAAATAAAAAGCAAAACTTTAAGCTGTTTTTTAGTTCACACAAAGAGTAAGGCACATGTTCATTATTGGTGTGCATAAATACATAATCATGAATTTGTCAACCATCACAACACTGTCACATCACTAACAAAGGTCAGCTCTATATTTACTTACTTTAAAATTACCAAAAAAATAACTTTAAAAATGCAACAAGCAACTTCAAGTCTAGAGGCTAACAAAGACAATGATAATCAACAAGACTCCACCTCACCATCATCCCATCAGTCTTTTCCATTAAATTCTAACAATGTTTCGAATAGGAGAACAACAATCACAGAAGAGTTGTTTAATCGTGGAGTTCTCTACGGAAAAGAGAAGGAATATGAAAAAGCCTTTCAATGTTTTATGAAAGTTGCTGAAGAGTGTGAGTGTGCTGATACACAATTTAAAATTGCTTATTATTATCATATTGGTTTGGGTGTTGAGAAGGATATTCGAAAGGCTTTCGAATGGTATTTGAAGAGTGCAGAGAATGGTTTTGCCAAAGCACAGTGTAATGTTGGATTGCTGTATCGTTTTGCAGAGGGAGTTGAACAGAATCTACCGAAAGCTTTCGAATTCCATTTAAGGGCTGCTAAACAAGGTATAACAACCTCTATGCTTGCTGTTGCTTGTTCATACGAGTTGGGAATGGGAATAATGAGAGATATTTCGAAATCATTTGAATGGCTTTTGAAAGCTGCTGAGAATGGTGATGTAGGCGCTCAATATTATGTCGGCCATGCATATGAGATTGGAGAGGGTGTTGAACCAGATGATACAAAATCATTTGAATGGTATTTGAAAGCAGCTGAACAAATGGACGTAAGAGCACAATTAGCAATTGGCATTTCTTTTTATTGTGGAAGAGGAGTCACGGAAAATCAAAGAAAATCATTCGAATGGTTTCTGAAAGCTGCTGAACAAGGTGATAAATCAGCACAATTTTATGTTGGATGTGCATACGATTCTGGAGAGGGTGTTGAGAAGAATAGGTATAAAGCATTTGAATGGTATCTTAAATCGGCTGAGAATGGTCATAAAGATGCACAATTCAATGTTGTTTATGCATACGAAAAGGGAGATGGGGTTGAAGAGTGTTTCAGCAAAACAGTGTTTTGGTTAGCGAAAAGATTGAATGGTAATTTTCAATTCATTGAAAACCCTGAAGAGCAATTTGGATTAAAGGATTTTTTGTCTGAAGATTTGGCACATTTTGAGAATATCACTGAACCTGTGATTGTCAGATTTGAAGAGAGGGATTTTACAATTTCCTACGAGTTGTTGAAACATTCAAAATACTTTTCAACAATGTTGAATTTAAACTGGAATAGGTTTAATGAAAATGAGAACAAACATATTGTGCTCGATTTGAGATCTATTCAATCTGAAATATTTCAAGAACAACTTGATTGCAGTCAGATATTTGAGAATTATATTAATTGCTTAAGAGGTGGATTACCAACTAGTTGCGAAATGCAGTTGCCAGTGATTTATTTGGCAAGATATTTGGGAGATGATTCGTGTATTTTAAAAATTATGAAGAAGTCGAGTTTGTTAATGAGGTATTATTTTCTATTTCAATTGGAAAGTCATACTAAACTTCATGTAGCCTTGGCAAGTTGTTTCTCTTCCAAACTAGCACCTACAAGAGACCTTTCAGAGGGTGTACTTGAAACACTACTTGTTCAAAGTGAATTATCTTGGCCTGCGAAAGAAAGGATTTTTGGAGAGTATAGTCAAAGATTCAAAACACCAATTTCGTTAACGTTCAGTAAGTCATTCATTATTAACAATTATGATATTAAGCTTAATAGATAGTAATATACTCCATCTTTCCTTTAAGAGTTACCCAAGCTCGATAAAACGTACAGTAAAAAACGAAAATGTCACCTTTAAATTGAAAAAAGGAAAAGAGGATGAATTCAAAAAGTTGATAATCACTAGCTCTAAAATAATTAATTTCTTTGGAAACAATGCTAAATTTTACATACAAATGGTTTTAGATGATAGATACCAATTTGGATTTTGGTTGGAGAGTGGTCAAATAGGAGGAAATGAAAACACAATTTTCAATTTACCATCCTTTAACCAAAAATCTTTGAAAATTGATATGGTGGTGATAATGTGAATACATTAGAGTATAAATAATTAATTGTCAAGTTAAGGTGGAATGAATACTATGAAAGATTCAAGTGCAATTATCTATTAAAGACGCTTTGTGATAAAAGAAGAATTAATATTGTGAATGTTTTAATTGTTTAATAAAGCAACAAATATTTAGAATTGGTCCTTCGTGTAAACCTGCGTTTTTCAAGGTAACTTTGAGTGTTTCCTCTTCCACAGCCAAGAGAGATTCACTATTAAAGTCCTTTTCTTCCAAATATTGTAACAATAGTTTCAAATGATCTTCCCTTAGTTTCAAATGCTTGTTTTGGTGAGCTCGCTTTAAAAAAGTGGCAAGTTCCTTTTCATCCAAATTTGAAAAGTCCACCACTTTATCTTCTTGTGTCTTTTGCTTTTTTGAACTTCCATAAGGTGAAATATGCTTATCTGATAACTCTTGAGACTTATGTTTAGAATCAATACTTAAAAAGGTATTAGTATTTGTTACCCATTCTTGCAACAACATAAAATCTTCGGTCATTTCTAATAAATTCAAACCAGGGATAAGCTCTGGACTCTTGTCTAATTGAAAAAGCAGGAAGTTAGAATTTTGCCTTAACAGCGTATTTACAGACTTTATATTCTTTCCAGAGAGTGCTAATGGCCAAACAGTCAAAAACAATGCAATACAAGGTGTGCAATGTGCTCTCTTTTTTTTGTTTGACTGGCTGTTGGCAGAGTTTAGGATACGATCAAAGAATATTTTTGCTTGAAGGGTGGGTTCTTTCAAACAAGTAATTTGGACAACCAAGTGGAACTTTACCCATTGATTGTCAAAACCCAAGGCAGAATATGGTAAAATTAAATCTACACATGAACTGTCCTCACCTCCATCCCTTGCCATCATTGGTCCTATCACATCAATATCCTCAGGTTGCCCTATGAATGAGGAATAATGTTTCTTGTTCGAATCAATTATAATAGATGAGAATTTGTTCTTTTTTGATAATACGTTGGACATGGGCACTGAGGGTTGAGTACTGGTTAAGGAGCATAATTGCAAGCCAAATTTGTACACTGTACCCTATGACTGCAACAGTACAACAGTTATTGAAAGTGTCAAGCCACTCCTTAGGGAAATACAAAGTGTTTTCTCTAATGTACCTTAATGTGAAATTATCTGGAATTGCTAGTGTAATTGTATCATCTCTTTCCTGATTGATTCTAACCAATCCAGAATGGTTAAAAGGAAGGAGATATTGAATAACTTGATTTGAAGTACTACCAGTCAAAACACCATTTCCATCCTTTTTCAATCCAAAATCGTTTGGAAATGAAAAAATCATTACTAATTTTTCTAATAGTGCTTCATTTTCAAATGATTGTTTTCCGATATTGAGAAGTTGTTCCAACATTTTCTTTTGTTTGGTCTTGTAGATGTAATAAGCACCATCAAGGGTATCTTGTAGCAGTTGTTTTGTAATAGGTTTTGACTGATTTCTTAATTCTTGTAAGAAGTAGAGTATGTTCTTTGGCGTTCCTGCCACTTCTTCTTCAATCTTGTTTTTAATTTCTTCTGATTGTTCGATCGTTTGGTTTTGCATTTTCAATTCTTCCCATTTTAATACATTATTCAACACCTTTTTAACTCGTTCTGCAGTAAATGGTGGCAAAGGAGGACAAGCAATAGATTGAAAATAACTCGTTCCGTTAATTTCGTCATTTCCTAAAGCAGTTGTTCCTGTAAGTATCATCTTTACATTATGCGAGCAAGGCATTAAGGAAGAAAGAGTTTTAAAGAACTCTTGATTCATCACTAACTGACATTCGTCTAAATGAAGAAACAGAAATGAATATTTCCCTAATACTTTCTCCACAGTCAAAGATATCATTAAGAAAGGAGTTTCCAGTCCGTGTGGATTTCTAACCATAATTGATTTGTTTGTTTGGCTAAACTCTGATATACAATCCACAACTGAACCAAAAAACTGTCGCCACCTAACCTCAGAACGTCCAATGTATCCGGATATACTTGGATGTATTGTTACTTGATAAACATTAGTATAAATTTTTGAAATATTATTGATAATTGTTGTCTTTCCTGTGCCTGTCGGTTCAAAAAGAGTCATTATTTTAGCCTTGTTGTTATTGGGTGGTGGAGACTGTATGAACGATACAATACTCTGCTCTACACTAGGGGATGGATCATAGAATGGAATTTCCTCAGCAGCAAGCTTCTTTTGCATATCATTCACTCCATCTTCCTTAAACAAATGTGCCATATTTTTTATATTGGTTTATTTGCTTCAAAATTGTGGCGGGAAAATACATGGTACTAATTGAAATACAGATCAAACAACATTCTTAATATCTTCCAAAATAAATAAGGAAAGGTTAAAGACCAGCTTCAAGAGTTTGAAGATTCAACTTTGAAAGAGAAATTGATTCCAATATTTTAGATCATGTTATTGATCAATCACAAGTTTCTCTTTCTTATTAGATATTTCAAGATGATGCCAAATCCAATCTTTGGGTTCAACTTTAACTCATTGATTAATTTTACCTGGTATTGTAATAAAAAAATGAATGATGAATTGAAAGTTAAATGTCAATTAATTGATCTTTATGATGGAGATGGCACTGATCGATCGCAACAATTATTGAAAGGAAAATACAATGATGAACGGTTCAATCATAGGAGGGAATTTATGAAGGTTTTTGTTAGGATTAGGCCTCCAAGTGTGCGGGATTTAGAATTACATCAGGGTGTGGCGATCCAAACAAATGATGATACCAAAATCGAATTAACATATCAGCACACTAATACAACAAGAGTTGGAGGAGTAGAAGGAGAAGGATTAACAGCTTGTGATCAAAAAGAAGAATTTATTGTGGATCGAGTATTTGACTTCGGACGGAATAATGATAATATTTGGAATTATTTTGGAGAGGAAATGGTTCATCAATGTTTGAAAGGATTTAATTATTCTTTAATTTCATAGTGAGTATTTGAAATTCGATAACAAATATGGAATTATTGATGAATATTAGTGGACAAACAGGATCTGGGAAAACTTTCACCCTTCTTAATAATGAAAATGGTCTTGTTCCACTGTTTGGAGAAAGTATCTTTAGACAATTGGAAGATAAAGGCAATTTTTCACAGCTGGAATATGTTATTGAGATGAGTGTTCTTGAAATTTATAATGAATCTTGCTATGACATGTTAAATAACAGTACAATTAAATTGAAAATAAGGTAAATAGGATTGTTGGTCATGATTCTAATGTTAGTAGAGAGACAAGGGATGAAGGTGTTCATGTTGAAAATATAACACAACATCAAGTTAATTCAAAAGGGCAAATTGAGGAATTATTAAAAACAGCTCGTAAAAATTTGATGTTCAAGCAAACGAATATGGGACAAGCATCGTCGAGAGGAACTTTGATTTACTCATTTAGACTCTCACAACTGAACTCAAATGGACTAGTAAGAAAATCTTTTATTCATTTTGTGGACCTTGCTGGAAGTGAAAGACTAAAGAAGACTAACACCACACTACTTGAAAGAAACAAGTCCATTAGCACCTTCTCGAAGATTCTCCACGCCTTAGACTGTAGCCAACCTAAGGCATATCACATTCCATATAGAGAATCCAAGTTGACTCGTCTTTTGCAAGAGAGTTTGGGTGGAAATTGCAGGACAATAATGTTATTCCATGTATCTCCTTCCAATAGCTGCAGCCAAGAATCTCTTTCAACACTAAGAGAAGCAAAATCAGCCAAATATGCAATGACCAGGCCAAAAAAACCTCATCACGAAAGCAAGTAAAAAAATTTTGTTTTGCAAATTCTATTTTTATTTCACTCAAAATTTTAAGCTGTATGCCTTAATGCAAATTACATGTTTTTCCAAAGCAAAAAAAAAGGAAACAAGTCACAACCCGCTTTTTTTCCTCCCTGTTAAATTACCAGTGCATTTGCAGTTAATACTTAATAAGACCAAAAGAAAATTTCACAACTAGCATGAAGATCAACAGCACCTCCTCTATCATCATTAATACTCACATCATGAAACAACCAGAAGTTAATTTTGAGGAACAACCAGTTGTTCTTTCCTTGGATGTAACATTTTCAAGCCCATTACTTAAATCAACAATTGACAATCAAAGAAAGCTCCATGAGAATTGGTGTAAGGAGGCAGATCTATTCAGAAATGCCATTATCACTCCTTTGGAATATTGTGTCAGAGAAGAATCAAGATTTGGAAAACGAAAGCAAGAATATTCTCCTTATGTAATTAAAGGTCAAGAATTTATTTACATGAAAAAGTTAAAGAATCTTAGTGAGGACATGGAAGAATGCTCCACAACAAACGAACGATACGATTCACCAGTGAGAGATGGTGTTGAACAATCCAAAAAGAAGAAACGTTTCTATTGTGAACAAGTTGATAGTTTGGAAGCCATTCCAATTGAATTGAGAAACAGCAAAGAGTACATGATGGAACGTGTTAAGAAAAATGGTTTGTATCTTCATTATGCTCATCCTAGATTGCTGTTTGATCAAGAATTGTTATTGGAAGCTATACGAAATAACGGAGATGCTTTCAAATATGTTCCATTTACATTTAGAAAAGATGAAGAATTCTTGAAAAGAGCTCTTGAATTGAATGGTGATGCTTTTATGTTTCTTCATGGGGAGATGAGAAAGAGGAAAGATTTATTCGATTCTGCCATAATAACAAGTGGAAGAGCATTCGAACATGCAGACAATTCAATAAGAACTGGTTATTTCAATGCAGTTCAAGCTGTGTCAAAGTACTGGAGCAATCTTTCACATTAGAGCATCTGTACCTTACTATTCTAATTTAATTAATATTATTCTCAGTTCTAATCAATTACAAGACTCTGAATTGGTTAATTCAAACTTGATCACCGATAGGTATGATGCATTGACATATCTTGACATTTCACACAAGGCATTTATTATGGCAACAAGAGAATGTAGGAATGATGAGGCAGTAATTATAAAGGCATTGAGAAAGAATTTAATCATTGCCAACTATCTCACTATTGAACAATGGAATATTATCATTAACCATCCAATTATCGTGGAAATAGTTCGATTCCCAGCTCTAGAAATGAATCTTGATACAGCAACACTCATTCTTGAAAATTCAACGTTGCTTGAGAATGTTAGAGCTCTTGTTAAAAGATATCCATCATTAACAAAAAGTTTAACCAATTTGGAAATGATATTTGATCCTTTCATATTGAGATATTTACCAAAAAGAGAACAATTTAGAATTCTCTTTGGTAAAGAAGAAAAATTCAAAAGTACTGCACAAGTTACAGACTTTGATATGAACTTGAATTTGCTGAAAGAGAGATTTGCAAAATCACATCCTGGATTAGTTATTCCTTTCCACAGATTTGGATTAATACAAAAAAAGTAACTTGTTTATCACTTACCTAAAATAAAAGCATTGCAAATAAATTACAAAAAAGGGTAGAAAACAAGCAGATATTTAATAAATTAATCTTTAGAATGTAAATTATTCATATCTATCAAACGCAAGAGTTTTAAGAATGTTAAATTCTTCTTTCATTTCTGGAGTAACCACCATCTTGTCAAAAAATCTTTCCAACACTATTTTGAATTCAGAAATAGAGAGCTTAAAGTAGGAGCAACATTCGAGTAGATTTTGAATTCTTTGGATTTGTTGGGTTGTGTTGACACTAATAGTTGTTTGGGAGGAGCATATTTCAAGAAGGATTTTAGATGCATCTGCAGTTCTATTCAAACCTTGAAGGAGGGGTAAAAAATCCAACAAGTTATCATGAGTTGTCCACAGAGTTGAAATAATAGATGAAATATCTTTCTTTGAAATTAGTAATGATTTCAAATAGCTCATAATATTGTGAGACAATTTGAATTTCTCGTTCCAAATATCGAAAAATTCATTATTGACCTTATTTGTTTTCACTAATTTGATGTATGTTGTATAGAATTCATTCTTTAAATTCTCCAAATAATTAGTGACTATAAAAGTATTTAACCTGACTAATCTAGTTTTGTAAATCCTGGTAATATCCAAGCAGGTTTCCAAGGATTTTGAATTAAACGAAGTCTTTCCACGATACATATTTGCATTCCAAATTCTAGATTGGAATAATTCTAATGAAAGCTTGATATTATAAAAATGATAATAAAACTTCTTAATCATTTTTTCATCTCTCTCCACAAAGGGTTTCCCATTATTGATCTTGCTCAATAAATATGGTCCAACATTTTCGAATAGAATCTTAAGGCTCTTCTTTGGATAGTAAATCATTAAAGTTTGTCGTGGTGTGAACTTTGTCAAATTTTCCCAATATTCTTCTCCTCTCCTAAAATATTTGTGTCTAACACGAGGTAATGTCTGTCGTTTGCCCTTGAATGTTGGTTGATGACTATAATCATATTCCAATTCGGAAATATACTGCTGCATCAATTTGAATCTAATATTGGGACAACAATTAGATACAAAGCCCGGATAACACTTCAGCAAGGCATACAATTCATTCCTATCGAGAAAATCAAAAATACGACTAAATATCTTTTGTGGTAATTGATTCATTTTTTTCTTGATTTTCTCACAATTTTTGATCAAGAGCTAAATCATTCTCCATTCTGAAATTGAATGTTTTACAATGAAAATTAAAGTTTGAAATTGTGGTTATTATAATCCTTCTAAGAATCGTGGGTAGAGATTTTCTTTTTCTGCAAGAGTATAATAATTAAGCTATAAAAAATCAACTTGTATTAATGTCTATATGTACACAGAGTTGCTTGAAAACAACTCTTTCAATAGGCAGTATTTGTTACTACAATTTCTATATCACTCACATGTCTATTTCTATATGAATTTTCCAATTGTCTAAAGAAGTATTGAATCATTTTGCTATGTTTCTCGGCTATAATCATTACCATATCGAATATATTAGCACTAGCAATACAGTAAAACTTACTTGCTACAATCAAAGAGAATTCTGAACCACCAGCAATTTTAACATCATCCAGGAAAGAAAACTTGAAAGGCAGTTCCAACTCTAATTGTCCCTTGTTCTTCTCTGTTTCATAAACTAGAACATTTTTGTAATAAATCCTACTCAAAAAATTTGAATTACATACTATGTGATTTGTATCTGAAAAATGTTCTAGTAAATATTGGATAAATTTCTAGATTTACAACATCAGGACTATGTTGGGTAAGTGGTTGAGGAAGGTCAACATAACTAAACATCTCACTTTCATTTTTATGCTTTGTTCCTAGTTGACCATTATCATTCCAACCATTAGCAACAACTGCAAAAGGTCCTGGCTTTTCAATCTGTTGTCCACCAGTTATAACCATGGAATGATATCCTAATTTACAAGCGTATGCTCTCAGTACATTTTGGAAAACATCCAATTTATGATAATATTCATAACTTTTAGATGCAAAGACTATTACAACAATAAACAACTCTGAAATTGCCAATCGACTTACTTTGATTATTTTCATTTGAACCTGTTACCCAAACTTCTGAATTGTCAGATAATATCAGAGTAAAATAACGTCCACAGTATAGCTCCTTAATGGTATGTTTCATTTCCTTTTGACATTTTCCATCAACGTGAAAATATGATTGAGCAAACTGTTCAGTATCTGTAGCACTTTTTGTTCCCTTAACAACGTGTTGATTTCACACAATTTTTGTAAACTTACTGTTTGAAAGAAGGAGGAATAACCACAACCATATGCCCATCTCCTGTTCACTGCAAGACAGGTATGATATCTTCCACAGGAAAAGTGAGTAATTTCTCTTTTTATAGGTGTTTCCTCAAAGAAATCATCTTCATCCCAAAGAAATTCACAACTTGCCTCTGTAAACTGTCCAACATTAGAATCATTCAATAATTTTCCTTTTTGTTTGAAAATTTTATCACTTCCATAATTAAACAACCTATTACACTTTGTAACAATCCAAACATTACCCTCTCCACCATCAATAAACTTGATTTCCAAACGTTTTGATTTAAATTCGGTATGTCTAATAATTTTCAAAGCATCACCCAAACAATTTAATTCTAATATTATCATCATTATCAGAAAATCATCAAATTACTAAAGATTCTCCTACCTGTAATTGTCATATCAGAATGTACAACAAAAAATCCTTGATTAATAGAAGAAACATATAAAATTTGTTCCGATCCAACAAAAACTGAAGCCAAATCCAGCATGTTATGATAATCACCTGTTTTGGTGGATTGCAAAATACGATCATCCTCCGATTGCACTCTGAAAGGTGTATTTTGTTTGGTGAGAAGAACAATACGATGATCAGAAGTTTTGTTTCTTTTCATTTTTTTTGATTAAAAACCTAAATTCAGCTTTTTTACAATGAGTATTGAAAGTATTGAAGTATTATTATTGAATATTGAATATATTTGAAATAATGTACATTTTATTTAGATAAAAAATCAAGTATTTGTGTTCTCTTCAGTTCAGAAATTATTGAATGAAACATTTCTTATTGGCATCATCCAACTGGTTTTCTTCACCTTGTTTCACCCCATCATGATCAGTTGTTGCAACTGTGTTTGAAATGGTGTGACGAGGAGAAGGATTGGTTGTGTGGCCTTCGATACTGACATTGTTGTTGGCCATCATTTGTGAAATTTCCTTCAAATTGTCCTCAGTTAAGCCAGCAGTGAGAGCTTTGGAATTTGCATAATATTTGGATTGTCTCTTGTCCTGGGATTGATTTACATTGATACGAAAATAGGGTGTTTCTTGATCTGCTTCTGCAAAACTCTTTTCAACCAGTTGTTTCATCTTTTCATCATCTTCTGATTCATTGATACTGCTTGTGGTTGATTCATCGTCCATAGATTGATTATTTTCCTTTTGATTAATGGTATGACCGTGAATGTGAGTGCCTGATTCCTCCTCTAGTTCATAATGATTCATATCATAGTGATGCTTATCCTCTTCACCAATATCCTCTTCATATTCATCGTGTTCACTCTCATTGGAAATTTCACTTTCTGTGAATTTTTCAAAATAGTCACGATCCTGAACTGTTGGTACGAATTTTGGAACCTCAATAATCCTCTGTTTAAATGCAACATTATAATCCTCTGCCAAACTTTCACATGTTTCATGAGCTTCATCCAAAATTCCCTTCGGTGTCACTTGCACAACCTTAGCAAAAATAGTATTAATGACATCAGTGCACAATTCATCAATTCCTTCACCTGTTGCAGCACTTACTTCCCTATAAATAATATTCTTTTCTTTTGCCATTTCAATTGCTTCCTCTCTGGAAACATCTCTCTTTGAATCGTTTGAACCATTGTTTTCCTTTCCTGAATCAGTACTTGATGAGGAAAGTGTTGAATTGTGTCCAAATCGAGTAGATCCATGATACTTTTGAAAATTATCACACTTATTTGCAACTAGGAAAATTGGTAAATTAGGATTTCTCTTTCTAATCATTGGCAACCACTTGTTGATTGAATTGAAATAGGAACGTTTACTTCTCACATTGAAAACAATAATAACACAATGTGTAAATGTTCCATACATTCTGCAAACTTTCACATATGTTCCAATATCAACAATATTCGAATCATAAATTTGTAATTGAATGGAATTGTTTGGTTCGTAGGTGTGTTGAATGAGTGATGAAAATTGGGACATTCCCTCCGTACTAATTAACTTTTTAATGTATTCCTTCTTGGGTGATTGTCTAGTGAGTAATCTAAACATGACACTTGACTTTCCGACTATTGTGAAAATGTTGATGCTAAATATTATTCGAAAGTATAATGATAAACTTACCCTTCTTATCTCCCAAAATCATGACTTTAAATTGATAATTATGAATCAAAGGAGAAAAGTAACACGGATTATTATAAAGTGGAATATTAGATTCGTCCAAAGTTTCGTCCACTTTCTCTTCATTAGTGTCTTGTTGCTCTGAGAGTAATATTTGTTTCATATCCTTTTCAACATCATAATTTCTCTCAATACCTCTCCTCCAACGCCATCTCGAATATCTCGTCAATAGAAAGTACAATTCTTTCCATTCATACTTCTTCAATGATGGTACTGCAGCAACTGTTGGTGAAGAATTTAATGATGTTGGTGATGATTTATTCAATAGTGATGGAGATGATGAGAATGTTGCAACTGATGGTGATGATGGTGTGAATTGATGAGGAAGAAATTGAAGTTTTAATTCACGTTCCAACAAGAGTTGCCACAAGTTGGAATCCTCCAATGCTTGATTCCACTCCTTTGAGATGGTGTAGCACTGTTTGAGAATGGTTTTTGTATCGAGGAAGAGCATAATGTTACGAAAGGATAGCAGTGGACCTGTATCGGCTCCTGATGTTATTGGAAAGAATGGAGTAGCGTCTCGAGGCATTTTGTTAAACTAATTGGATGTCAACGTTGAAGATAAAAGAAAATTATGATGATGGGTAGTTGAGCCCTTCACAAAATTACATGTCAGATTGGGTTTTTATTGTTTACAAAGTTCTCAATTCAGAGAGTTTTTCAAGGAAAGATTGTGGTGTGAGGATTGAGGTAGATCCAAAGAATACATCCATACTGTGTTCTGACATCAATTCGTAACAACTTCTTGTTTCGCTGTGTGTCATACCACCAATTACAAAGACGAACATCTTCATACTATTGTCAATCTTGGTACTTGTTGTTGTTGAGATGGTTGTTTCTTCTGGTTCTGAACCGCCCTTCTTCTTATTCCATGTTGGACCACCAGTCTTTTTAGATCTCAAATCACTTGTTGTAGATTCAGACCTGCTTGATGAGGTCTTTGAAGAAGAAGCAGTAGAAGCTTTACCTGTATCCTTATTGGAAAGCTTAAAGTTACTTGGTGGATCGTTAATGTATGGATAATTTTCTGTTTCCAATTTACCAGTCATACATTTTTCAGCAAGTTCCTTAATCTTTGGAGTATATCTGGAGAGTTGATAACCAACTTCCTTATCGCTACCGCCTGACTTTTTGAACGAGTCAAAGAATTTAGACAACTTGGATGAAAATCCACTCTTTGAGGATTTGATCAAGGCAGCCAAATTATTAATAGTATCAATACGTTCGTCGGTCAATCTGGCCATTCTACATAACTTGTCCTTCTTGTCATCCATCTTTCCTTGATTGAAAATAACGAACAACATAATTAATCTCATCTTGTTTTCATCATCCACACTGTTGTTTGAGAGAATAGCTCCAATAGTAGTCATGAGTTCTTTAGTGGTAGCCTTTTGACCTTCTGGAGATTCACCAGTAGCCATATTTTGTTCTTCAATAGCAATCTTGCTCAAGCTTTGTTCACGGAAAATTGTCAATAAATCCTTGTTGATTTGTTTGTGCATAGAATACATTGAGAGATTCTTTTGGTATTGAGGGAGTTTTCTGATCATGTCAGACATTTCAGCAGCTTCCAATTTCTTACCAACTTCCTTCTTTTGAGCATTTGAAATATCTTGATGTTCGTTCAAGAATTGGTCAATTTCCTTTTGTAATTCTTTACCGAGTTCAGCAAAGTGAACGTGTCTAAATCTTTCCCATACTGGATCATACTGTTCGTCCAATAAAACTCTCTTTGTCTTTTGTTGTTTGTCTCCACTTGTGAATGAGTAACTGTAGATATTATCCTATAATAATAATAATAAATTATAAAAAATCCAAATGAAATCAATACAGAATAATTTTGAATTGTTAGAAAACAAGTACAAAATTAAAACATACCAAAGGTGAAACCTTGACCAAATCATAAGTCATAGCTTGATAGGTAAATTCGTGGAGAAGAGGAGCATTAATGTCTTCAGTACGGTCTACAATTAAAACAATGGATTTATCCTTGGTAAGTCCCTTTGACTTGGCAATCAAATCATAGAGTCTACTGGCAGCAGTTTTAGAAACAACTGAATCGGAAGCATAACGAACATATGGAGCAAATCCAGAGGTCAAGAAGAAGGTATATAATTGGTCGGCAATTTGATTGGCATACTTTTCCTTTTCACGGTTGTCAACATCCAACATTCTTTGAATATCGTTTTGTTGTTTAAAAGTAAAAATTGGTCTTTCAACTGCAAGGAAATCAATATTGACTTCAGACAAGGTTTTTACACGAGCGTGAAGTCTAGATCTTGAAATTTCCTCCATTAAACTTTCAGGTAATCCTATTATTATTGTTATTATTAATGTTGTTGTATAATAATTAATTTTGTATTCGAGTCCAATCATTCGGCATCACAAATATAATTAATAACAGTATTGTTTGGGCAATAGTGTAAATAACACATTAAAATTAATGTATACATACTACTGGTGAAAAGTAGGTGAGCATTTCCGTAAGTTGGTTTGTTTGGAGTATTATAATCTTCAATAACCTTTTCTACAGAACTTTTAGTTGGGGAAACAAAGTAAATAGCATCCATGGTAGGGAATGGTTGTCTCTTCTTGGACAAACTTTCAATAATTGTAACATTCTTAACCATCAGATCGCTTACTTTACAAGCTGAAGAAATGACTTGCATAGCATTATCATCAACAATTAAAACTTTCCATTGGTCCTTTTCTCCAACACCTTCCAATACCTTCAACAAGGAAGCTTTGACTTTTTCTCTAATATTGAGAGATGTAATGCCCGTTGATCTCGACATTTTTTTTATATTATTTTAATTTTAAAAAAGAGACGTTGAAATCGCGACTCATCATTCCATCTATTTAATTTATTATTAAATCGACTCTATGAACATGGTCACGTTTCAATGTTTTACAACTGTATTACATTATGGTCATTTCAAGTTTGTTGAAAATAATCCATTCATAAAATCATTAAGATGATCATAAATAACTTGCTTCTAGACAATCCCAATTAGTGCCACATTAATAAACCCTTCAAGGAAGATTCATCAAAGGTTGCCCCACCCAATTTGAACAATGTAATTACATTCCTCCAAACAACATCATCATTAACATTATATTGAAAAAATGTTTCCACAACAGTCACACAAACTCATACTCCTATTGTCTTGCTGTTGCAGTCTCCTATGGTTGGGATCATGTGTTGAGGGTGTCCTATTCGAGGCCACTTCACCTCTCTTTACCTATCGACATGGCAGATACTTGAGGGAGAAGGATGCAATTCTATTTGATTGGAGTGGAATGATTATATCAACCCAATTTGTCTATAAACAGGATGTGAATGCAACGATGAACATTTTGAATGCAATGGTTCATTTCAAGAGTCATCGACATACTTATAATGTCTACTTGTGGAGATTGAATGAAAATAATGAAAGAGTTAAATTGCTTCAACATTCCTTGCTGGCTTGTAATTTGACAGCAGAACACTTTGAGGTGAATTTTAATTGGCCAAAGGATACGATGAGTCAATCCTATACTATTCAAATGGAATTGGAAAAGAGAACAGAGCCACATCTTGGTATTGTCTCCTTTTATGGAATAACCTTCACTCAAGCTGTTGCACCAGTCTCAATATCGAACACTGTCAAGAGAGCTAATGATTTGAAGATTGAATTTATTGGAGATTCAATTACTTGTGGGTAACTATTTCTATATATTTAAAGGATTATTAAGCAACCTATTTATATAGATATGGTAATTTAGGTAAGCCTCCATGTGGATTTAGTCCTCTTACTGAGGATGTTCACGAGAGTTTTGTTGAAAAAACTGCAAGATATCTGAATGCATCTGATATTCATGTTCAATGCTGGAGTGGCAAGGGAATGGTCAGAAATCATGGTGATAAGAATACCACAAGTGCTGAACCATTCTCAACCTATTACCCAAGAACATTGGCCAATGATCCAAATATTTTATGGAATTTCCAAAAGATATTTGTTCCTGATATTGTTGTCATTACATTGGGAACCAATGATTTCAGTACAGCTCCAAGACCTTCATACGAAGAGTTCAGTGGGGCCTATCAAAAATTCCTTGACTATGTCTTTTCACAGTATGCTCCAGTTAAGGGACCTTCTTTCAAAGTTGTAATGGTTGTAAGTTTTTTTTGATTCATATTTAGAATTAATGATTGTAGAGTCTTGTAACTTTTGGAAATTATGGAGATTACATCCAACAAGTTGCTGAGAGACAACAAGGTTATGGAAAGAATCTATTCTTTGCAAACTTGAGAGATTTATTACGTAATTTCACACCTGAAGATAAGGGATGTGGAATTCACCCAAGTGTTGCTGGAGATGAAAAGATGGCCAAAATGTTGAGTGCTTTCATTTCCCAAAAAGTAATAAACTAGTTCTTTAAATAGTACTTAAACTAACTAACATTCTTTGTTTCCTTGACTTGAAAACTCTTATTTGAAATATTTTAAATGATTTATTTCTTAGATTTAATCATAGACTTGAGTTTTTGTTCTTCAGGAGTTTCTTCAGATTTAGGTTCTTCCTTTGGAAGGTTCTTCTTTCTTTCCTTTTCTTCCTCAATGATATTTCTCTTTGGTTTTGTGAAACTGGCCAAATAATTCAAAGTGTTTTGATTTTGTTGAGTGAGATAGGAGAGTGTGGCCATCTTTTGTTGCAAAACTCTGACCAGAGATCTAAAGTTTGCTCCATGAGAAGTTCCAGTCAGTTTTCTTTGAGCTAACACTGACTTGAGCCAAACCATACAGAATTGAATTCTCGTAGAATCATTAGTTTCCCTCGAGAGGAATTGCAAAAATCTATCAAGGTAATTATCTGGAATAGATCTGACAATTAAAGGAACTGAATCAACTGGTATAGCATTGAAAACTTTGACCAAAATGGAAGGTTCGTTCAATCTGATGGAATTGATAAAAGCTTCAGTGTAGCTTTCTTCTTCCAAAAGTTTCATGATCGATTCTGGAGTTATAGATGGATCAATATCCAATGGTTGGAATGAACCTTCCTTAGAAGCATTACTGAAAATCAAAATACCTTCATTTGGAGAAACAATGGAAAACTCGGAATTAGTTGGACTGACACAAATTCTATCAACTTGAATATTTGGTTTGAGTTCCAATTGGTTACCTGGAATTGTTTGTTCACCAATCTTTTTACTCTTATTACCACTCTTTCTTGTATCCTTTCTGTCATCTCTAATCTTCTTAATGAGAGGATTCAACAAATCCATATCGAACATTCCTTCGAGAGACATGTTGAAACTGACAATAAATCTCTTAATCAAAACCTTTTGTTTAACATTATACATGCAAACAAATGGTTGGAATTTACCTCCACAGAGAACATGTTGACCATCTCCAGTATATGAAATACAGGAGAAGTAATCACCATTAGGATTGGTAAACAGTGTTTGAATATCTCTCTTACAATCAATGTATCCAAGTGATTTAACGTTCAAAATATCAAAGAATTGAACTTCACCATTCATAACAACAGCTGCAAGTTCAGCACCATCAGTTGGTCTGACAGCAACATCCAAAATTTCAGATGAAAATTCTATTGGTTCAGCAGCTTGTTTAGAACCAAAAATATTCCACAGTTTACATGATTTATCCCAAGAGCTTGAAATGAGTGTCGATTCGTTGGCAATTGTAAATTGGAGGCGAGTAACTGGAGCAGTGTGAGATTTGATAACTTCAAGTAATTGATTTGTTTGAACGTTCCACATGTAAATGTTATAAGATGTAGAACCAGAAGCAATAACAATTTCACCACTAGGATCAACTGTTAAGCATGAAAAACCTTCAGCATCAACACTGGTAAACATTCTAAATTGTTTGTATCTGAGAACGTCAAAGGCACGAACAGTACCATCAAGACTGCTAGTATATAAGGCAGCATCTCTTGATCCAGGAGGTCTACTGAATATCATTCCAGTTATTGGACCAGAGTGAGCATTTGGTAAATTGCAAAAACATTGATTATTCTCGGTTGAGTATACTTTGATTGTTCCTTGATAGTCACCACTGGCTAAGAGTTGACCATTTTCATTGTAGCATGATGTTGTAATTTGTGAAGAGTGGTTGGATTGGTTATAAATAAATGTTTCACTTTCATAATCAAATACAGCAAGTTGATTTTCCTTAGAGAATGCAATCCATGTACTGTTTGGTAATGTAATATCTGTCTTGATATCTGTATCTTCATCTTCTTCTCTAACAGTTATGGATGGTGTTGATTGATTATTCTTGACCATTTGTTCAATAGTGGAAGATGATGTTAAAAATTGAATGCCATCAATATTGTGTGGCTTTCCCAATCTGTAAATAATTTGATCATTTTCAATATCATAAATTTCAAAACATCCAGCATGACCAATTCCATAAACAAGTAAATTTGATGTTGGATGATAACTACAACACTTGATTCTCATTTTACCATCACCTCTATTTTGCTTATTCTTCTTTGAAGCATCAGTCTTGGAAGTTAAATCAACCTTCTTAATAATTTGCCATTGCTTCTTTGCAGAGTTAAAAGACCAGTGAAGGAAACAACCTTTAGCATCAAGTGAATAAATTTGACCTGGATTTTTCTTTCTATGTTGCTTGTTAAAAACGAAAAAGCATCCAACAATTTCATCCTTATTACCAGATAATATATGATGATTTGAGAAAAGATCCACCATTTCAACTCCACTTTGTTCTAAATCTAATTTGTAAACATGTACAATACCATCATTGGTTCCGACTGCAATAAACTTTGAATCAATCCAATCTGCACAAGTATGACAAACAGCTTCCTTAACATCACCCAATTTGATTGGTCTAGAAGAAGTCTGATGAAGCATTGAATTATCTTGATTGTTCATTACTGCTGATTGGAATTTGTAAATTGAACATTTAGATCCTAGGAAACAAACCAAATCCCCATTTGGTGATGGTACAACACTATCTACACGAGGTTCTAAAAACTTGTCGAATTTTGACAGAATAATTCCTTTAGGATAACTCAACAATGTAAGTGTACCATCTTGAGAGACTGTACAAACTGCTCTATTGTTATGAAGTAAGCAAAATGATTGAATATTATACTTGTGTCCATAGAAACTTGTTTTACTAGAATTTGAAGCAAAATCCACCGAAGTAATACGATTTCCTACAGGTGAAAGTAATTTTTGTCCGTCCAATGTAAAACATATTCTATTCTTATTATTTGTGTCATCTTCATTCTCGGTCGTGTATACTTTACCGAGGAGAGAATTGAAATAAAAATCAGTTCCGCTCGAGACTGAAACTGCTGTTGATGTTGTTGTTAACATTTTTTTTGAACACGCAAATTTTATGTTTTTTTCAAATTATTTGAAATTGTTGAACAACAATAGATTCGATATCAGAACAGAACCACCACACTTGTTTCTTGAATAATGATCGTGAGAGAGAAGCAATTATCGGAGTGTTGGTTTCATGATATTGAAGAATAGATATTAAAGTTAATAAACACTTCATGAATTTTCATATTTATTTTTGTATCATCACGTGAATATTTCATGAGTTTCTCAAAGTAGTACTAATAGGGCAATCAGCAAGTTGTTGCTACTGAAATAAATTATATCTTCTTCTTTTAATTTTTACAATAATAATAATAATAAATTATTCGTAATATAATTCAAGTCCACTTCCATCACTAATTTCATAGTCATCAATGGTAATGTCGTCCTTCAAGACTTGATTCCACCTCTGGAATCTAATCTTTTCAGGTTTGGTACCAATTTGTGCAGCAGTTAATTTCTTCAAGTCTCCGATGGTGTCGTCTTCATTACACTTGACTCTGATCTTTTTACCTAAACGATCGTTCAATACAACTTCAATCATATTTTTTTTTAAATTGTAAATTTAATTTTCAATTCTTGAACCTGTTGCAATACTATTAAATAGTAATAATAATAAATACTCTATTTAAATTGTAAAATATTATACCAATAATAATTATTGATTATGATAATGGCCAACAAAAAGTGTCATCCATCCAGACAGAAAAAAATGTTTAAAAAACAAACCTTGTGCTGCTTGCTCTTGTTAGCAACACTCTTCTTGCTCTCAACCTTCCTTTCAACTCCAATTAATTGTCAAGAACAGAGTGATGATAACTCCTCCGAATCACCATTCTCCAATCAATATGATTACTATCAAGTTTTGGGAATTTCACAAAATGCAACCACACAAGAAATCAAGGCTGCCTATAGAAAGCTCGTCATGAAGTATCATCCAGACAAACACAGAAACAAATCAATGGAAGAACAGGAAAAGATAAATCAAACTTATCAGAAAATTGCTCAAGCCTACGAAGTACTTTCAAATCCAGAGCAAAGACAGCAATATGATGCATTCAAGGATTTTGCAGAGTCAATTGGATTGGATGAAGCTTTCATTGAAATGTTGGTCTATCTTTTGATTGGAAGTGGATACTTATTGTTGGCTGTCATTGTTTTAATTTTGATTATTATTGTATTGCTTGTTTCGATTAGTTGTTATTGCATTTGTAAATGTTGTTGCTGTAGAAGTAGTGGCAGTAGTGAAAAATCCAAGAGTGAAAAGAAACATTCAAAGAAGGAAAAACAACATTAATTGGAATTATTATAAATTAATTTATTGGACTAAATGTAACTAAATGTATGTGGTTATTTCGAGTGCACTGATGAAGTGAGATATCAAAAGTTATTATTACACAAAACATATGGAGAATATTACCTAATATGGCCCAAGGTTGAGGGAATCTTTCAATTCTTTGAATTGATACATTTCATGTGGAATGTTGCATTCAAATAATGATACAATTCGGAAAACCAAATTTAATTTGTAATTAGATATTTAGGTGTTTTTATTGATTCAGCAAGAACCCTTAGTTAATGTACAGGTTTTAGGGTTGTATTATTGTTGATTTTCGTATTGTTGGTAAGAAAGTGTTGTCTTTCCTATCATTAACTTATTCTTGTGGTTGTTGAGGAATAGAGACTTCATAATTCTTAATATCATCCATGGCTTGGTTTCTGTGATAATCCTTATCAATGTTTTCAGCCTTCAAGAACCTACAAAGCTTCTTATCCGTAATACAAATGTGTGTAATCAACCAGTCAGACAAAAACATAAGAGCTTCCATCGCAAATCTAGAATTGTGAGTTTCTTCAACCTTTGATTTCAGGGAGAAGATCTTTGAAATGAATTTTCTGTGAGTTTCCTTATGGTTGTCTTTAACGCTTGCTTCATAAGCAATACATCTGTCCATCAAGGACTCTTCTTCTTTAAAGTGGAAGTCAGTGTAGATAGCAAGTCTTTCAAAAACTTCCAGAATGAGGTCCATATCACCCATATTGATAGCGTGGTTAAGTTTGTTGATAAGGATGACTAAGACTTTGTGTTGTTCGTCAATCATGTTAACTCCTAACTTGTATTCTTGATCACTCCAAGGAATAAGAACCTTGCCGGTAAGGAATTCGTCTAATAAAATGTTTAACAAGAATAAAAAGTAACTTCTACTTACCATCAGAGTGTGGTTGAGCACCTTTTCCTCCCTTATTCTTCTCTGTATCTTGGTCTGAAGATTGTTTATTACCCATGCATGAAGCTGATCCGCCCATTTTTATTATTGTTGTTTTGTTTCAAATTGTAGTTTTTTAATTTTAATTGAGAGAGAAAAACTACTGCCAACATTTGTAACCGATTTTAGGCGGCAAACAAAATTCAACAATAAAACATAACGGCAGCCTGCATAAGTTAAGTTCCGTTATTGTGAACATTAAAGCGCGTTCAGGGCGTTTTACCTTTTTCTCCAAATAAGGCCATTTTTAGACCTGTTTTTAAGGTGGGATATTAAATATCTCCAGTGAATATCAGTAAGCTTGCCAGTTCGAGTAGCAGTATTATAATAGAATTTACAATTCATTAAGGAACTATCCAGTAAGTGTGGTTATTAATATTCGTTAAGTGATACAACTGTTAATTCACCAATGTTCAATATAATACATTGTTTGTGTCCAAACATCAAACTCTGTGGAAAACCAAAATTTGAGATCTATGTATAAGGAGCCAATAAATATCATACTCTGTGTTAAACAAAGCTAAACAATGAGTTGCTTTTTGGGTCTCCCTTAATTGGTAGGACCGATTTGCAAAAAAGGAGCTACATCAATTATAAACGTCTGATTGTTGATGTCGTAACCTTAATATATTACTCAGTACATAGTGTAATGTTAGTGTTATTGCATTGTTGCATGAGGGAGTCGAGTTATCAATTTTGGTAGTTACGAGTTTTCTCCAAATGAAGGTTTCCTTATTTCTAAACAAGTTTTCGTCCACAACAAGTTGGAGAATTAGCTTGAATCCCATTTTAACTCAATTGAACGATAAGGCAATCCAAGCAAAATGGTTCTGAAATGACTCTCTAATTAAACTTTAAATCTTTGTTTCTACCATAACCACTCTTTCATATCCAGACAAATCTTTAGCTGTTCCTAAGAATTGAAGACTTGATCTGCTATTGATAATTCTTTCTCTCAATGAATTAGCTTGGTCATAGCCAACCTCCATTACGCAATGACCATTCAGATTATACTTGCTAGAGAGTACATTATCCACAAGTAGGTAATTGTAAAAATCAAATCCATCCAATCCTCCATCGAGTGCCATGTGTGGTTCGTGTGTTGAGACATCCTTATCAAGTTCATTTTGCACAACATTGGTTGGAATGTATGGAGGATTACTAATGATGAGATCCATCTCCAAATCCTTATGAATCCAATCATCATCTTTGAAAATGTCGTGCTGGATAAACTCTAATTCTTTCAAATCTTTTCCTGCCAATTCCATATATTTTGGAATGAGATTTTGTGCATTTAACGTGGCAACTTTTAAAGCTCCCTCACTCTTATCAATACCAAATGCCCTCACTTTTTGAAGGCCAATTTTTTCCAATTCCAATAAGAGAGTAATCAAGAGACAACCACTCCCAACTCCAATTTCCATAATTCTCAAAGGTCTATCAAGTTGAGACAAATTTGTCACACCGTTTCTTTTCAAAATGAGTGGAACAATTTGATTGAGTGTTGTTTCAATTAATACTTCTGAATCAACTCTTGGAATTAAAACTCTTGAATCAACATTAAAATTCCTCCCAAAAAAGTCTACATTTCCAACAATATATTCCATTGGTTCATAATTACATCTTCTCTTGATAAATTCCTGAAATTTTAAATACTCATCATTGGATACTTTTCGTTCTCGTTTTAATTGATTATATAATTCCATAGGTGTTCTTTTCAATGATGGACAAAGGGTGTGAAATAATAATTGGCGAGCTTCTCCCTCTGCATCATGTTCAATGTGTTTAAATTGAAGTGAGTTCCGAAGTTGATTTTCTCCAAACTCCAAAGCACTTTTAACATTTACATTTGAAAGATTAGATTGATGATGGAAGTAGCGAAATGTCAAACTATTCCGAATATTTGTTAGTGGTGATGACATGGATTTAACTTGGTTGGCAATAGTGTGGTTACACCAATAAACAACTTGTTTCATTTTTTTTATTTTACAATTTAATTGAGATTATCTATTCACATGAAAGATGGCAAGTTGTAAATGTGCATTGGGACGGATAACAGGCCAATTACTTTCTTTCACCAAACTTGGAGTGACCTGTCTTTTTGGCGTGAAGAGTAGCCTCTTTTTCTCCCTTAATAAATTCACCACATTGAAGACATTTCAGCGTGAAAGTGGCAGTGTCAGTAAATTGATGTTGATTGTGGAGTTGTTTTACAAGTTCAAGGGCTTTTGTAGAGGAAATGTCATCATCTGCTGGCAGGATTGTAATGTCCAATTCTTCTGGACCTTGTGGAACTGGATTAATGGCCAATGCATCATAGTGAATACCATCATAGAGGAGAAGAATTTTCCCCTTAATTAATGGATCTCCTTCGCCATAGACATCTCTTCTATTCGATGTCACATCAAAACTGTCCACACGAATATTGTAAAATTGAGACAAGATCATAATTTCCAAACTTCCACCCCAGCTATTATCTTTCATAATCCATTCACAGTAAGCCTTTGGACTTTGTCCCAAAATTGCTTCATTGAATTGGATAGGGTCGTTCAAAATCCAATCTCTAATGACTCTTCTCAATGCAGGAGCTCTCTTCTTTTTCCTTGATTCACATCCTTCCAAACAATATGCAAATGCATTGAAAAGACAAGAATTGTCACTGTCTATTACTCTTTTGATAACAACACTCTCAGCAATAAGTGTCGAATCATCTGTTCCAACTGAATGTGGTCTTGGAGGCACATCAGAATATGATTCAGGCTTGATAATCTTGTAGCTTGATGGAGTTATATCATCATCTTCCACTACTATTGGTTGAGAATTATTTACAATAGAGGCATATTCACTAGTCTCCTCAACAATAAGTGATTCACCAGATTTTACTCCAATATCACTCAACTTTTTTGCATTGAATTCCGATTGATTTTGTTGGCCAGCAATTTCTTGTGGAGGAAATCCCATCTTTAATTTTTGTTTTGATGGCTCGATTTTACTCTCTTTTTGTATTTGTTGTTTGAGCCAATCAACAGTGGAGGAAAAATCAACTCCTCTTAGGGCCATCTGAGAGGCTGGTAGTCTAATTCGAATCATTTTTTTGTGTTTTAAAAATAGATGATAAATCCATAAAAAGTTGCTTCTTTACAAAATATTATTCAAATTAAAGATGAACATGTGACAATTGTTTTTGAATCCTATTTATTGTTTTTTCTTTTTTAATCCAATTCGCAATTCAAAATCATCAATCTCTCTCATTTGTTTGTCTGGATTAAAGAGATCTGTTTTCCGATGTTGCTCATGAATTCTTTCAATCTTTCGTTGCTCCTTTTCTTCAGCCAAAATTTCCTTTTCAAATTCCTTGTGGTCATGTAAATTTCTCAACAGTTTGACTGTACTCTTGTGACTTGAGCTGTTACTGAAAGTTGTGACAAAGGTGGAGCTTGTTTTTGTAGAGGACAGAGTTGCAGATTTGTTACCTAACCTCGAACTTTGTGGTCTTGAACTACTTGGACGAGGTATTGTGGATCTAGGGGTTGGGGGAATGCTCATTGAACTCTCTGATTTTGTAAAGGTGAGTCTGGCACTAGAGGAAGGTGTTGGTGATCTGGAGGTTGAGGTTGGTCTTGCATAGCTTGGAGTGCTGCTGTTTTGTTGAACTGGTCTACTTTCATTGTACAATTCTCTGGCACTCTCCAAACAATCGCTCAGGGAAAATGGATGTTCAGAGTATTGATCTGCCAGAGAGTAGGGATAGTGTTTGAAATTCTTCTTTTTAAGGTTCTGATAATTTCCAAACGACGAGTAATTAGGGGAGTAAAAACCAGCCTTCTTTTCTGCTGGAATGTGTGTTATCTTCTCTAGTTGATGTTTTCTATTGGCTGATAAGGTACCAAGGAATGCAGTAAATGTTTCAGCTTGTTGATTTGATGTTGCATAGAGTTTGGAGGGAGATACTGATTGAGGAACGTGTCTTGCTTGGGTCTTCTTATGGAAAACAGTGGGAGAGGAAGATAACACCTGTTGATAGTTTTTAGAGATATTATCTTTGCATCCGCTGGAAATATCTGTTTTTTGTCTTAGATTTGTTGTTAAACTATAGTGATAGCCTTCGGAAGCAAAAGCACTCGATTCTACATTTCTATTGAAATGTCTTGGTGATTCTACGAGAGCCATTATTTACACTATTTACAGAAGAATAAATTATTGAGGTTTTTTGAGCTATTAATTACTAGAAGCACACAGGATTACTATTGTTGCTGTTGCTATTCTTGTTGTTGATTCAGCGATTGGCCTTGATTTGTGTAACGGCTAGAGATTGAACAATCTCTATGACAGAAGCTGACTGAAACAAAAGAGTTCCAGTGGTTTGGAGTTTAAGGTTTTTTTTTTGAAAGGCCTATTCGTTCAAGCCAACGTTCCTTTTGTTGCTTCTACAAGTACATTAACCAACTCTAACTGACATCAAGATTTCATTCTTATTTATTTGAAAAAAGTAACCTTAGAGGGAAATATGCTCCAAACAAATAGTGGGTTCATTTGTTCCAACATCATGTTTCGGAAATGTCACCCCTGGCATGTGTCAATACCATTATGTAATAATATTACTACAGTAACAACTTCATCGACAGAGCTATATCTCTGAGAATTAATATTTGGAAACCAATAGAGTTTATTGAAGTTAGCAAATAATAATAACATTGCCTCTACGGCAGTGACGAGAAATAATCAATCAAACTTGACAATGAATGCAGCAGTGACACAAAACCCATTATCCTCTTCAAATACTCCAACCATTGTAATTCCTAATAATAATAATAATAATATCATACAACAACAGGATCAATCATGAAAATTTAAAGTTAATAATTTGAGGTAAAAACCTTATTAAAATTTTCCAACTCGCCACGTTACCGTCTCGGGAGGAATCGAACCTCCGTCAATGGATTCAAAGTCCACTATGCTACCATTACACCACGAGACGAGCACATTTAATAACCACTTGATTATACCATAGATAAAGAATCAAAAATGTCACTCTCAAAATATTTTTAATTTGATATAGAGGAAAGGTACGGTTTACAATTTTAAAACTTGTTTTCCATTTTGATAAATTAAAAAATATTGAAAAAAAATAGGGGAGAAACTGTGAACTCTTTCTCGATAGATATTGTATTTGGGGTTGTGATTTTTCTACTGTATGTAGATATTAATGTCTAGTATTAATGGTAAATTTTTTTAAAAGTTAGTCTGGAAGAACACGAAGAAAAAAGATGATGTTTGCGTCGACCGGGAATTGAACGGGTTATGGAATTACCTAATGTGGAAATTGAATTCAATTTTGAAATTGAATTAATACAATGTTTTTTAAATTATTATTATTTAAATGTATTTCACATTAATTTTGATAATGTAATATTAAAGATATTGATGATTGGGTATAGGGGAACGGAATTTCCTAATTGGGAATGTCATCACACCAACAATAAATTAAATTTATTATTTATTCATTGATGTTCACTAACACATTACATGATGAAACAATTCAAACATTTACTCAAACTTTAAACATTAACATTAACCATCGGGTAACGGATTTTAATACATGTACAGTATGTTTATAATTGGTCGACGCACAGAAATTTAAATAAAAAGAATTAACAATAATAAAAGCAAAATGCTCACAACATTGGAGAACGGGAAATGAAATTCCCAAATTAAATTGAGAAACAACACAATCACAATAATTCATACTATCAAAATGAATTGAACCCGGGTCACGGCGATGGCAACGCCGTATTCTACCACTAAACCATCGACGCTTCTTGAATCATTATTCAGGCTGTTTATTTTATTTAAGGTAACCCTGTTAGTAATCTCCCGCCATTTTTAGTTGTTTTCATCTACAGTCATGAAATTTAATTTAAAAAAATGATGCAACAACACCAAGAATGTAATGCTCAATACAAGTCCATCAGTAGAAGTATCGAGCAAACAACAAATCAGGTGAATGTTCATTTGAGAAATTTGGATCGGCTGAAGAAGAAGATGGTCAGTGAGGAAAAGAAGAATGCCATTAATTTATTAAAAAGTATGAGAATTGAAACTGGTGGAGCAGAGATACCATTCAGTAAACCTCGGAAGAGAGGAATTACATCGAAATTTTCCAATGGGGTTGGATTAAAATCAGAAGACTTGGCTGATGAATATTTGGTTCCTTTAAAACAGAGATATCCTGAAACTGGGTGTAGGTTTTGAATATTGTTTTCTCTTGATGGAGATGAGTTTACACTTATATTGGAATTTAATCATATTGAATTGTTTCAAACAATTGTTTGATAATGGTTTCAACGAGAATAGATGATTTTGAAGTGAAGGATATTGAAGATATCAAAGATTTCGATAAGGATTCTAAATATTATGAACAAATGCATGAATTGATCCACTCTCCACGAAATACTATTCCTGATATAATAGATGAAAAGAAAAAGAGAAGAGAGGAGGAAGAACGTAAAAAGAAGGAGGAACAAGAAGAGGCTATGAGACTTGAACGCAAAAACAAACTCAAAACCAAGTTAATAGCCTCAAAGAAATTAATCATGCTCAGTTCATTATCTTTCAAACGAACTTCAAGGTAAGATTCTTTCTCAATCAATTCTTACAAACTCAATTCAGTCAACTTGAACACAAAGCACAAGAAAAACCAGTGGAAGAGGAAGACGAATTTGAAAAAACAAGAGCCGAACTCTTTGGCTCAAAACCGAAAAAAGTTGAAACTCAAAAAACACCGCCTACAGAAAAGAAAGCCTCCTCACTCCTCAAAATGTTGGGTATTCCAGAAGGTGAGGATTCAAGAGATAGTAGTCCAACCAATGAAAAGAGTCAAAGAAAACCTCAAGTCTCATTCTCAGCCATGATGGAGAGAAGATATTCAAACAAGAAGATGTAGGAATGGAAAGGAATTGATGTTTTCTCTCAATTTTAAACCAGTGCTTTGTCTTGATTGAAAATAATTTCGCAGACAAGTCGGCGTAATTATTCAATGCAGTGTGGATAACAATTTTGGTGATATTGAAAAAAACAATATCGTAAAGAATGTCTAGACGTTTAAAGGACTATTATGGCTTGCTTAGTGTTGCAAGAAATGCAACACAATCAGATATTAAAAAAGCCTATGTAAAATTAGCAAAATTATACCATCCCGATTTACATGATAATAATGATCCAAAGTTTACATCCAAACAGGAAATGTTTAAAGAAATTACAGAAGCCTATAGTATTTTAAATAATCCAAGGAAGAGAAGTGTATATAATACAGAATTATATGAAGTTGAAAAGGCAACAAATCTACGAGATGGATCTTCAGTACCACTCGAACCAAAATTATATGAAATGAGTGCAGAAGAAAAAGAAGCTCTCGGAAAGCAAATTAAAAAGATTAGATTTAGGAAAGTGAGGAGATTATTTATTATTGTTTTGGCTTTATTCGTCATTGGTTGGTATGCCAAATTCAAGTATATTTTCTTGAGAATGTACAACAGAGATATTGGAAACAAAGTAATATTTAAGGATAAAGAAGGAGTGGACGCAGAAGTTATTTCCGAAGTGAATAGAAGATTTTCTGCTGAATTGGCAAGAGTCAGAGAAGAAAGAGAAAAACAAGGAATTCTTCGTCAACCAACCAAAAAGATGGGAACCGCTGCTACTGCAAACACAAACACTGTTGAAAAGGAATAAATATTATATGTTTATTTATGGAATAGAGCCTTCTGAAAGGGAGAGGGTAGTGGATTCGACAGAAGCAGAGCTTGCAAAATTGTTACTATCGTAACTATTGGCATTAGCTTCCTTAGTTGTTTCAATACTAGTTGTTAATAATGGTTCTTTCTCATTAGGTTTGTCTTGATCTTGATCATCTTGTTTAACTAGTTCTTGAATATCTTCTTCAGATAATTCTTGAGCATACATTACAGCACCTTCCAAACAAGTTAAATAATAAACAACCTCACTGTTTCTTGACTGTGAAGAATACTTTGATATATAAGAAAGAGCAGAATGAATATTTGGAAGATGAGCATGAACAACTACATAAACCAAGATTGGGAAGAATTCATCAGCTCCAAAAGAGAAATCTTTTCCTCTTTGAGAACAATTATCCTTAGCAATGATATGTATTTGTCTCGCACAAGAATACACACAATGAAGCATGTCAATTGGAGACACACAATAATTCAAATACCCAAGAGTAGCAATAGGATCATAGAATGGAGTTTGATTTTGTTTGTGAATCATTTCCTTGATGCTATTCTGTTTTCCAGTAAACTTAGCTCTTATAGGTAAAAACTTGTTGGCAACACCAAGTTGATTAGCAGTAAGTTTTCTTAAGAGTCTGACTTGTTGTTGGAATTTGTAGTTTTCTTGAGATTGTGACTCAATTTCAATCTTTTGAAGTCTAAGTCCAAGGCCAAACTCATTGTAAATCAATCGAGAAACGAGTCTCAATATTGCTTGCTTTTCCAAGTCAGTTTTGATGGCATGTCTATCACTCAAGTAATCAACATAAATGACAACATATTCAGCAATTTCAGCTGGAGGGACCTTTTCAAGTCCTGCATTATTGATTTCCTTCAAGAATGTTCTGAGAGATTGACCTTCTTCTGTACGTTGATCAGCAATCAAATCAAAAAATTCTTGTTCAATTTCCAATCTTTGATCATTTTCAACACAATTGATGAAAGATTGCCAAGTTTGATCATCAAGATGAACGTCTTTTTGCATTGAATTTCCCTCATTGAGAGAATGGAAGTTGCACAATGGTACAACAGGTTCTTCAATAAATCTTTGAATGATGGATTTCAACCTAATTGTCACCTCCTTCTTGGTGATAACCTTCTTATTAATGTTGCTATCCTTTTTCATTTGAGTGTACCTTTCAGACAAATCCTTGGAAATTTGTTCTAAAAGAATAATTTCATTCCATTGGGAGGATAGTGATTCATGATCGCTCAAAATATCCTCCACGTCCTTATAGAATGATTCATTCTTTACATAGTGAGGAAGTAAATTGTAACACTTCATATTGATATCACCTGCTTGCTCTACTTGTTTCAATTGTTGAGCTTGTTGTACAAGAATTTCGCGAATGATTTTAATTCTGTCCTTGATAAGAGTCTTGCAACCCTTTTCGAGTTCTCTTCTTTGCTTGAGTCTGATTAATTTACAGCTGGATAATTCCTTAAATATTTCAATTAATTTAGAATCATGACATCTTTGCAAGAATGCATACTCTTGTTGCATCTTTTCATATTCAATCTCTTGTCTCTTTCTCAAATCTTTTACAACTTGTCTACTTTCCTTGAGGTAGTTGGAAAGTCTTTGGTCGTATTTAATCAATTCATCTCGCCAATCCTCTTCACTTCTCTTCTTTGGAGCAGATGTGAAAAGCTTTTTGAATAAATTTTCCTTCTTTGGTTGGAAATGTTTAAGTTCAGAATTGTTGGTAATGAAAGTATGTCTCTTTTGTCTGGTTGGAGAGCTTGGTTCCTTTTCCTGAAGAAGAGGTTGAGCAATAATTGGGGGAATTACAATCTTTTGAGCATTCTCTCTGAAAATGAAAGAAGTTGTCGATGTGTTTGGATCTACATAGGCTTTCTTGTCAAATGATTCAAACTCTGTATTGATTGTTGAATCCAAAAATCGTGATTGGTTAAAACTCTCTGATATTACTCCTTCAGAAGGTTTGCTGAGAGCCTTATTGTTCTTCTTGATAGAGACAGGTGGAGATGATTTTTCTCTGTTTGTTGTAGATTTTTGTGGTGTGTTAGGTTCAGAAGAGGCACCAAGGAAGTACTTTTTCGATGAGTTATCCTCCTCCTTCTCTTGAATAAATTGTCTCATATGCTTTCTGATTTTCACATTCTTCTTGGCAGATAATCCATTCTCATCACTCTCTTCTTCATCAGATTCTTCAGTATCATCCTCTGAGAATTTTAAAAAGTATTGTCGTTTGGATTCATCCATATTGGTGGTAATTTCTTCATCCCAATCTCTTCTCAATTCAGAGACCCATGAAGGAATATTATCGGCCACTTGTGGTAAAACTTGTTTAATAGTGTCAATGTTCTTATTGGCACTGTCCTTCTTTTTCTTTGCATTGGGAATGAAATAGTTTACCTATGTTGTAAGAAAGTATGTTTGTTTAAAATTACTCACATTAATTACAGTTTCAGGAGGTACGTCCTTTGTTTCTACAATTACTTCTTCATCTTCCTTCACTTTTTGATAATACTTTTTAATATTCTCTTCAAGAGAAGAGAAATTATCTTGGTTGGAAAGGGCTGGAATTGATGAATTGTTATGAACTATTATTGGTTGTTGGAAAATGGATGATTCTTCCTCTTCTTCGTGAACTTGAGATGCGAGTAGAGACTCTCTATTATTGGAGGAAATATTGGAAATATTGGACGTTGTTCGTTGTTGTTGTTGTTGCTCTGAAGGGAGTTGGGATTTGTTGTTGGTAGTTATGGTAGGAGGTATGTTGGTAGATTCTTGTTGTTGTTGGGAAAGAGGAGTAGAATTTGTCTGTGATGATGGGGAAAGGATGAAAGAAGGAGATTGGAGTGGAAGTGAAGAGGTTAATTCATCCCTTGTTACGGATGATCCATCAGATGGAACAGAGCTATTTGGCATACTACTGGGAGTAATAGAAAGGGAGGCAGGTAAACTTCTATTGTGATTAAAACTTGAAGAAGGAGAAGAAAAGGAAGGAGAAAGAGAAAGACTTGTCGTATCAGAATCTAACGGGCAAGATGAGGAGGATGAAGAAGGAATATTAATAGGATTATTGGCAGGCTTACCCGATAATATTTGGACTGATTGTTGTTGATCGATAATTGTTGAACTTGTCTTTACCATTAAATCATCAATATTCGCCATAGGAGAGGAACCACTACCTTGAGAAAGAGCCTTCGACAACATGCTCTGATGGGAATTGTCAGAGCAGGCATGATAATTGGTTGCCGGCGTCGTAGTAGTCATCGAACAAGACGATGAGACAGAAGCTTCCTGTTGATCATGATTAGAATGCTTCTCTTGTCGTGGTTGTTCCATTTTTTGCGCTGTGTTTAATAATCAGCTGAATATCTTGCAAATAAGTTTTTTTGGCTCTACCTTGATATCAAGCCTCACATGGAAGGCATCACGACGATATTCGAACGGTTATTTGAGACTCTTTTCAATGTTGCAGTGTTATTAAACAACAAGTGTATGTTTCCCAATACTCCAGTGAATGATATTATTTCTCCAACAAGAGGATGAATAAATTCATTGTTGTTAAGGAAATTAAACCTCACCTAAATATGTGTTGATTATAATGTTGCGTATTAATATCGGGTCATATTTTACAATGAATTTTTAATCCTATTTAATGAACATAACAAAATTTAGATGTTTATACCCTAATCCCGATATCAACATTGAATATTACAGTGAGCCAACAATATTTAATAATAATGATATTAAACAATAGTTTAGAGCATTAAGAGTTAAATAAACTAGAATATCATTTATTTTTAATATTTTTTTTGAAAACAATATTAAAAAATGAGCACTGAGAATAAATCTTCACCAACAGAGTTGCTTGCCTCTCTTCCTGCAGGCGTTGTTGTTCCACCACCTCCAGTCAAGCCATCATGGGGAAAGACTGAAATGGGTTTCGGATTCAAGAGTCCAGAAAAGCCATCTGAACAATTTATTCAAGACTCTTTCTGGTCAGGTATGTATTGTAGTGGAATTTTAGATGATTTATTTTCTTTGGTGTGTATTGTTGAACAACAATATAAAATTGAACAACCAATTATAATGATGGATTTTATTAATAACATTGCTATCATGATGATGGTTTCAATTACTTTTCTTGTTGGATGAAAATTATTTTATTGTCGTGATGATGACGCGGAACATTTGATGAATTAATATTTTGCTGATGGTGGAAATAATGTGGATACTTTGATTGGATATTCTTTAAAAACTTTATTACAACAACAACAATAACAAAAACTATTGTTAAATATCACCAATAACAGCTGTCTATGGTCTCGGTGCTGGTACTGTTGCTGCTTGGTTCTACGATTATAAGAAGACTCGTATGCCTTACTTCAAGGCCCTTTCTCTGCACGGTAAAATTGTTAAAGGACCATTCTCTGTTGTGACAGCTTTCGGTGTTTCTCATGCTGCCATGAATGCTTTCTGGGATATGAAGAATGCTGATGGAGAAGATAGATTTGCCAAGGAACAATCTGTTTCACAAAAGACTATTTCAGGATTTGTTGCTGGTTCAACAGTTGGTCTCCTTAGAGGTAGCCCATCACTTATGGTTCTTTGGGGTTCAATCTTTGGAGTCTTATCTTGGGGATACAACAAATACAGACTTGAATTTTATCCAACTGATAAGGCCAGAAGACAACAATTGTATAATGAAAAGTTTGTTCCATCAAGTGAACCAGCTCCAGAATATCTTAAGGAAGACAATATCAATAGTGACAGAATGATCTCAACATTCTTTTTCGAAGAACAAGTCCCAAAGAAAAAGAATACCTGTCCAGTTAAATTCGAAGAACAATAGATGGGTAACTGAAATACTTAGGGACAATAAATTATTATTAAATATTTAATTTTCATTCGTTTGATTTTTGATATGTTTCAATATTGATACCATCTGCTTGTAATCTTCTAGTAAGGAATTCACATCCTTCAATCGTAGATCTTCAGCAGTGGCATTCTCAAATTTAAACTCGTTGAATATGGTTTCGTTATTCTTTACAAATGAAACAAGGTTTTCCCACTTTTTGTCATGGTTTACATGGGAAGAAACCATGTCAACTCTTGCCTCGTCTGTTGTGGTCTTGTTATTACAATTTTTTACAGATTCTTCTATTGAAGATTTTGAAAGGGAATCGGATTCTTCAAGCTGTTTTGGAGGAGATTGGATTTCACATTCCATTATTGGTGACATGATGGTTTCGTCTGGTGTTTTCACAGAATCAACAGTATCCAATAATAGTTTTTCAGGACTTTTCTCTTCTTTTTTCACATATTCCGTTATTTCATTCATGGCTTCTTTTGGTACTTCCTTAATAATAGCTATATGAGAATTGCTTGATTGTTGTTTTGATTCTCCTGTTGCATGTTGTACGCTTTCCTTTCCAAAGACATCCTCAAAGTTTATCATTTGTTGGAAGGTAGTTTCATCCATGTTAAGCATTGTATGATCACATCCTTGCCAAAATGCCATAGCAGATTCAAGTGATGTAAGGAAATATCCAGAATGGCCTTCCAAGCTTTGTGGATTTCTGTACTCACTAATATATCTGGGTATTTCAGTTAGGAATAATTGAACAATTTGAAAAATACTTACTTGATATTCGAGTGCAAATGAGGAACATTTGATCTCAATACAATAAATATTAAAAGTGGTAAAAAATCGTCTGCACTTGGGGCATTTCCACCACTTCCTCCTGATTGTTCATGCATGGATCGTTTTAAAAGATTCATTGTAAGATGACAACAGTTTGAAACACAAATAAGCTTGTCTCTTGGTGTCTTGTAAAAACTCATCTTTTTCAATTCTTCAATTGCTTTCTGGAATAGAGGATCTGTGACTAACCTAGCTGAAACATCAAGATTTGCAGGTGTCACTACTCGTTTAAATAATGCAATTCTTGATCCAATTTGATTGTCAATTTCAATATCTTCCAAAGTTGGTGAAAACACTCTATAATAACAATGATAATGCAACAGTAAAAAAGTTATGAAACAACTGAGAAAACTTACTTGGAATAAATCTTGGTCATTACATATTTCTCAATTCCTTCTCTAGCATTCATCAAATCTTGTTCGGTGGCATTCTTCCACTGCTCGTGAGATGATATTTCTCTCATGATGTGAGCTAAAAATGATTGAACTTTGTGTGGATGTTCTGGTGTATAGTCAGTATTGGAAATTTCAAAAGTAAATTTCTTAATATCTCTGGTCAATTGTACAACTGATTTGTCTTTGAGTTTTTGTAAAAATGACTTGAAATCAAATTTGTAATCCTTCTTTTCCGAATTAAAAGCAGATGTAGTTTCCTTTGGTTCTGCCTTTTTTTCAAATAATTGATTATCATTTCCAGTATTGTGATTGTCTATAATTTGATTGATTCTTGATTCTGTTTCTTTTGGGGTTGGTGCTTTTGATTTGGTTTTCTCAAATCCATTGGTTCTAATAAATAATTTTGTTTCATCTTCATTGATTGAATATTCTACATGATCTGATATGAAGCTTTCCTCAAGGGAGGATGATCCTGATAAAGAGTTTGGTACAGAGCTTGAAAAGCTTCCAGAATGGTTTCTCGTACTAATACTAATAGGTTTGGAACCTAAAGGTGAATTTACATTATCAATTGTGACAAAATCCTTGTCTCCATCATTATCAAAAACCATAGAGTAGGATCTGGAAAATTTCCTTTGTTGGTCATTAGATGAACGATAGGATTTTTCATCTTGAGTCCAAGCACATCCACTGTAGGTAATTGGTTGTGATATCAAATAGAGTCTGACTTGAGAGGGTATGTTTTCTGAATCTTCGTTATTTCCAAAATCATTTTTTGGTGATGTTCCAAATATTGAGAGTGGTTGTTGTTGTTTGATAGATGTTTCTCTTTGTGACAGTGAAACAGAAGACTTTCCAGATATATCAACTTCTCCCTTTCTCAAAATTTGAATTTTGCTTTTTACATCCAAAGGTTCATCAAATGCACAATGTCCATCACTATTCATCATCATATGAATCTTGAAATTTCAATTTAAAAACCTACATTTTTCTAAAAGTAAACAATTTAGATGGTTCTTCAAAGAAAGCAATACATTCCTCTCCAGTTGGAGGTCCATCAATAATTAAAATTGAAACTCCATCAGGAGCAAAAACTCCTCGAATTCCATTCATTGTAATAAATTGATTCGGATTTTGTTTGTTTACTATTGCAATGTGACTCTGCAGAAAATCAATACTTGGTGCTACAATACTATTCGGAGAAGATTTTTTAAATAGAGAGGAATTATTAATATTGGACAAGCACAAGGCAACACTTTGATCATGTGGAAACAATAAGATGGCATCCTTTTCTATTATATTTCCAACAACTGATGAAAATTGTTTATTTTCCCTCAAAGATCGAATCAGTCGATTATTTTGCTTTTCATATTCAAAAAAGTTGGATGGCGGCATTTTTTTAATAATTCCATCAAATTATTTTTAGAAAATAGAACGTGTTTAGAATCATGGGTGATTTTTAAACAAATAAAACTAGTTATTAAGGATTTAAATTAATATAATTCCCGAGCCAGTGAGAATGAATTATAAAGAATAATAGAATATATTATCGAGATTATTCTTATTCCAGATAATATAAACGAAAATTCATTTCTTTTAATGTGGGACCTTAATTTTTTATACAACAAGGAATGGTGAAAGTGCATTATTGAAGTAAGCAAACCATAGGAGTTATATTTCCCCTAGATTCTTTATTTCTCATTAAAAAACCATTTGGTTGTTATGGGAGCTATCATAAAAAGGGCAGAGCTGTTGAGTCCTTTCATTATTTGGGCATTGATCGGCTTATTGGGAACTTTAAATGGAACTTTGATTTTTAACTACGATATCGTATAGTCGTAATGGTAAGCAGTAAGTAGTTTAATTGGGATATTGCATTAAACACTTTGATTTCTTGCCTTCACTCTTAATATTCGGAAGAATAAGGAACCTTATATTTTAAAATTTTATTTTTTTTGTTAGTGTAGTATATCTGATATTGATACTGCCTTTCTAAATGTTTTCGATTGAGATGTTCCAAAAAGATCTGCAATTGAAGGAAGAGTTTGAGATCCAACATTTAAATGATTGGTTGGTGTTGAACCTGGATATACTATTTCACTGCTGGAAATCTTACTTGGATAGGGCGAGTAATGCTCGACTGTAGGAGGGGAAGGAGGTTCATTTATATAATGTTCCTTACTAACAGCATTCTGAGTTGATATTGTTGCTTTCAGTGGACTTGAAGTTTGCTTCAAATCTGTTGAAGATGCATTTCCCCAAATAAGGTTAGCATGTCGCGCCTTATCTTGAGGGAGATCGTAGAATTTTTCACTCAATGGTTGTGATGGCCAAATTTGTCTTACAGGGTGTGTCATTTTGTGAGTTTTCGAGATTCCGTGTGAAATACGAATTGGATATGAATTTTGAACGTTACTGCTGCGAGAATGAAGGTAGGATTGATGAGGGTGGTAATGAACGACATAATGTTGAGCAGGTTGGGGTGGAAGAGATGTAAGGGCAGGAGCTGCAATAGGATGTATAACAGTTTTAAGGTAGGCATGAGGGATTGAAGGAAGTGTTTGGGCATAGTATTGGGTTGGTTGTACGGTTGTTGTGGTTGAAATACATGCATGTGGAGAGAGTGGTTTTGTTACTTGATAAACAGGAGTGTATGGTTGCGTTGAATGGGGTTTTGTTGCTTGTTGTGGTTTAACTAGTGGTTGCACTACTGGTGGTTGTTGTATTGATGGTGGAATAGATTTCTGGTTATGAGCATTCACTGTTTTCGTTGAAGACTTATTTGAAGTGCTAGAGCTGGATGATGCATTAGAGTGGCTTGTATTCAGTGGAGAACCTCTGTGTTGATCTCTGTTTTGAATTGTAGCTTGATTCACATCCCTTATTAAATGAATTGGAAAGGTTGAGTGACATCCTGTTTGTGTCTTTTGCAGTTTTTTGTCCTTTCCACTTGGTTTGTATTCAAAGAATTTAATGTGAGTTGCGGCTGGCATACTGATTGAGAGAGTAGTTTAGTTTGTTTTGTTAATGTAAATTTGTGAGGTTAGACTTTTGGAGGAAATGCTAGGTTGGTAAATATACAAATATGAATGATATCTTGATACAACTAACAATAACAATTGAAGAAATGGTATCAATTAAAGCGGTGGATAATAGCAAAAAGTGCTGCTTGTGTTCTGGCAGAAGGCTTGTATCCGGGTTGTTATTGTTGGGTAGAAGAACTGTTGAGGAATGTATTCACTCTTAATAATTGCTCGTCGTTTGTTTTTTTTGTTTGACTTGTTGTTGTACTGCAGTAGTAGTGAGCGGTGTTGTCTTTAAAAAACACACGCTGTTATTGTGCATCTCAGTCTGCAACCCACAACAAGCAATGCCCTCTTTGTGCAGCAATCCTCACCTAAAATCTCTAATGAGGCATTCATTTTGTCTTTTGTTTTACTGAATGGTTGGATACTGCCGGATTCCCTAAATTTACTTATTTGAGGTTGCTTAATCCTCAAATTGATTTTTAGCTTGTTATTGTATGAGATGCAAATACACGAATTTAGTAAGATCTACCCTCATAGTGAAGTTTAACATGAGAGATTTGTGCTAATTGGTTCTGAGAATGGGTGTATTTATTAAAATGATGGGTGTGATGGTTGTAGTATTGATGTGTGTTGATGACCAACATTACTGGACTAGATAAACTATGACCCCATTTGGAAGGAGGCGAACTTGAACTTGAGAAAGAAATCTGTCATGACATTTCATTGAGTATAATCTTTTTCTTTGGATAATGCAATAGGTGATTTACAATCTGATACAAGGCATCTACACCAAGATTCATTGTAATAGTAAATATTAGATTGGGCACATTTATTTAATAATGGAAAGTTACTTCTCGAGATAGTTCTCCTATATTCAAATCTCTCTTTCAAGGGGAAATAAGTCCATTTACTTTGCAGAGCATTTTGTACAATTACAATCGAATCTATATTGTTCCTTTAGTTTTTTCTTTCTTTCATCGGTGGAGAGATTTTCGTCAATATAACTAATGAGGATTTCATCTCCCTTAGATAATGCAGCACTAGTTGAAGAGTTACTTGTAATAGTTGTTGTAGTAGTAGTATCAGTATTACTACTGGATAGATTGCTGTCGGTTGTAGGAGTTATTGAAGAGGCATACACACTCACTTGATGTGTAATATAATCAGAGACACTGACAGCATTTGGATTACATGAGTGATTCATGCAATTGTGAATGGCAAATGCACCCATTCCCTTCATGCTTAATGATTTGAGAGTTTCAGTTCTTGTAGCTTCCTCTTCAAAGTTTTTGCAATGCAAGAGTTCGCACACCTTGTTTCGTATTTGAACCTTCTCATGTGCAGCAAGATGCAACTCTGTAATTGGATGGATGGTCGAGCAATTTTGCAATATTAATCCATGAAGAGAACGATACTGCTTAACACTACACAAAATATTCAATATTTGAGAAATTTGTTGGGCATGAGATTTTAAATATTCTGCGTTCTCAGCTGAATTACTGCACTCTGTGAAATAACCATCTTGAATCGCATACTCAATGCTCTCCTTAATTAATTGAGCAGAAAGTGAGTCGAATGGATGAGGTTCTTCATGTTGAACAAACCTCTCAAATCTATGCAATGCCTTAGAAAAAGATACGAGAAAAACATCCTCACTTGGACTCTCTAGTAATCGATTAAGGAAACAAATCCATTCGACAACGTTTTTAGATGATTGTAATATGAATATGTATGAATAAAATTATCCGCAACACTTACCGTTCTGTAAAGAGGAGTCAATATCTTGGTACTCACGTAATAAACTCCTTAAGAAATCCGTAAATACTGTAGCCATGATTTTTGCAATCAGGAGTGGAGCTGTTCTGTGTTGTTTGACAGTTAATCTTTCCAGTAATGTGATTGGATGGTCTGTTGTTTTACTGGCGTTGCTGCTTGTGGCAGAGTCTGATAATTGTGGGGTTACACGATCTCTACTGCAGAGTACAGAGTGATATTGATTCCATGATTTCTCTCTGCACAACTCACAGCAGTAGGTCACTGCTGAACAATGTTCACATGAAACAAATGTCTTGGCTGTGGTCAATTTTTCTGAGAGAATTTCCTTGCATTCCTCGTCTTTCATTATTTGACCAATGAATGGAAATTGTTGAATTGTCTTTTCACTGAAAATTGTTTTCATACAATGATGGCAATGGTCAATCTTGGCATAGAATGGGTTTTCTGAACTGTCAGTAATGACCTGACTGCAGAGAGGTTCCTCTCTAAACAATAATTGTCCACTGTGTGCTTTATCTGCATTCAAACAGACAACCTTTCCCTCCTCCTTATTCTTAAACTTGACAGAAATGACATCTTGTCCCTCCTTGAGTAGAGAATTCATTTCCATCTTATATTCTTGTTCCATCATTAAATTGGAGAGTTTTTCCAAGAGTGGTCCAACCAATTGTTCCCAATCACTCATTGATTTTTTCAGATAATTCTCCTGAACTTGAAATCTTTGTTGTGGAGCAATTTTTTCATTACTCATGATGGATAGACACTTTCTCTTCATCCATTCATGGAGTGGAGCCAACTCTTGCAAGATAAAATCCTGAATTTCACTCAATGAATTATTTTCCTGATTTTGATGAGTCATTTGAGCATGCTGTTTGATAAGAGTTTCACATTTGTGAATTAATACTTTTTGAGTCAATTCGAACCATTTCAAATGTTTATCAGAGAGTGGTGCACTCAATATAAAATCGGAGGGAATTTTACTTTCGTTTGTTGTTGTGGTAGTTTCTAAAGAGGATGATGAATGAACACTTCTCAGTCTTTCCAATAATTGATCAATCTTTTCTGATACGTTATCAGCATTGGATGATGATGATGGTGTATTATTGCTGGTGGATAATTCATTGAATTGTTTAGTGCAATTATCAATAAATTCATCAAATGTTGGTGATGACATTTTTTTGTGATGTTTGAAAGGAAATTAAATGCAAGCTTGAAAAGTATTAGATTGGAAAATTAACATTTTGATGCTGCTTTTCCGATCATTAATATTTAAAATATTGTAATGTTTTAATATTATTAATATTTAATTTAATACTTTTAAAAAGCAAGAACAATGAACCATGTTCTCCAAAATTACATGATCCTACGTTCTATGATTACAAAGTTATTGATGAACAAATCAAAAAAAGAACAACAATAGTAGTAATACAATCATCATCATCACCAACATGGGAAATACACAACAGTCAAAGCCTGGTGGCCATTCTTCAATGAAGGGAATTTCTTCATCAACTTCCGTATCTAATAAGAGCAATAGTGAGGTTCCTCCCTCACAGAAATCAAAGCTTCCCTTGGAGAATATAATTACCTGTTTTAATGTTGAAGAAGGACCACTCTTCATATCTAAAGAAGCAAGAAATTATAAAGCCAGCTCGTTGAATCAGCACTCCATCTTGGATTTGAGAACAAATCAAAGGCTATTAGAGATTTTACAGAAGAGAATTAAATTACCAACAACAACACTGGAAAATAGCAATCCTAATGATAATATACAAGTATCAATGGTGATAATAGTGGTGCAAATGTTGTAAATGCTGATCAGAATGAGGAAAATAATAATGAAGATCATCTGTTATCGGAAGAGTTATTATTGCTTTCTGAATATAAAAAGACGATAACAGAGAGGGTGAAACGATTCTATTTGGATGAAAGTGTTATGGGGGTGGAGGAAGAAAGAGCATTTGCTTGCTTGTTGGGATTAATGATTGGCGATGCTTGTGGAGCTCCACAAGAATTTTCATGGTATAAAGTACCTCCAAAGGTTTCATCTGAATCTGAATGGTTAGTTGACAAGATTTGGAAGCAGGATAAGGAATTTTTCGAGTTGACCTCAATGAATGATGAGCATGTTTGGAAAAAGCCACACCATAACAAGTTCTTTTTGAAAGTTGGTCAATTTACTGATGATTCCAGTATGGTAGGTAGTAATATTCATTTGTTTGCAATTCTAATTTCATAATCATCAAAAATTATAGGCCTTGTGTGTTATGGATACACTAGTACAAAAGGTAATTGATGAAATTCATCAAAGGGAATGTCTTAATGCGGAGCAAAATAATGAAAACTCGTTCAATTTTGATGGAAGAGAAATGAGACTTAGATTCCTCAATTGGGTTTATTTTGGATATAATAACACATTTGGAAAGGATGATTCAACACCTGGATATGGATCATCATGTGGATTGGGTTCAAATGTCAGAAGTTCCATTGTTGAGTTTATGAAAGATCCTAAAAGTGAGTTAACAAATGCAGGCGATTTAAATACTTCTGGAAATGGAAGTATAATGAGATTAGCTCCTGTGCCAATATTTTGTTTGAAACTTGTGGAGAGTTTGGATAATACCGAACAAGTGGAATCTGCTTTAAGGATGGCTCACAAGCACAGCAAGACAACTCATCAAGGTGATGAAGCAGCAGAGCTTTGCAGGTTAATGACTTTCATAATTATTAATGCTGCCAAAGCTGCACACTCTATGAAACCACTCGAAATCAAAAAGCACATCTTTGACTTGTTGGAGAGTGGGAAATTCCAAAGCACTGTGGAGAGTGTCAATTGTCTTGTAAAGAGTCAAGTTGAAAATGGAAATGTAGAGGCAAGAAATTGGAATTGGAAAGATTTAAACTATCAGTATTGTCCTGAAAGAGCAGAAAAGGATAAGGGATACATTGGTTCGTATGCAATGGATGCTATGGCTATGGCCTTACATAATTTGGCTTTTACAGACTCATTTGAGGATGCCATCTTGCTGACTGCTAACATAGCCGGTGATTCAGACACAGTATCTGCCATTGTTGGACAGATGGCAGGAGCAATTTATGGGCTAAAGGCTGTTCCATTAGACTGGATTGAAAAGGTTTTATTCTGGGATTACAATGAGGATATTTTATTGAGATTATCAATTATTTATAATCATAATTTTTAATTATTTACAAATTAGTTTACAATTATTCGTCATTATCTGACCAATAAGCTGTGGAATAAGATAAGTTTTGTAATCGTGAAATTAATTCGACGATTAAAACTATTTTAGTTATGAAAATTATGAATAGGAAAAGAATTTATTCGAATTCTCTGACATTACATTAAATACCATATTTAAACCAATTATATAAAAGAGAAGATAATTTTACAGTTTGAAAGAACCATTCTTCACTTTGTAATACCGAAGAAACGATAGAAAATTCACGAAGTAATAATCGAACAGATTGATCTGAAATCATTCGATTTCTAATATGATTTTGCACAATATTTGGAAATGACAAGTTTTCAATGTTAAAAACAATTGCTTCCTCAATTGAATCATCCCACAATTTTCTTAACTTTCCTATGAATCCAAGGGTCTCTCCACTGTTCAAACAATCCTGTTTCATCAAATATTCACAATGATTCCCAATTTTAGAAAGAGCAGGATTTGAATCATTCCTCATATCGACGAATGCAAACAGAAAAAATAATGGATGTAATAGAATGGGATCTTCAACTGTTTCCAAGAATGAATATTGACCACCTGAAAATAATTCTTCACCTCTTTTCTCTAATCTATTATATTTACATGCCATATCTAGTGTCATTTCAGGAAATTCCTCAAATCTCAATTGAATATATCTGATTAAAATATTATTAACTGCCAGTTTGGGATCAAACTTATCTAGAATTTCAAGAAATAGTGTTGGGTAATTGCAGTTCAGAAAATAACAGCTGGATAAATTGAAGGTCTTGAAGTGTTTTTTTGGTTTGCCAAAGTTCGCAAACAAAATGATTCTTTCATCCTTTTGAGGAGATTGATTATGAAATTGTGTTCCAATAACATAATATGACCCATCGTCTGGAATATTAGAGACCAATAATTGAGAATAGTTCCATTTTGAGTCATAACTTGAAATTACATGATCTGAAATTTGTTCTGTGCAATCAGATTGTTCATGGAGAGTAAAGCTCTTCTTGGCTCTATTAGAAAATATCCAATCTAAACTAATGAAAGAACGAGTTTCTTCCTTTTCTTTTTGTAATATCATCTTTGCACCCAATGTATTTTCGAATATGTAAGTGCCATTGATATGTTCTTCCAGAGCCCAAACAGTTTTATCAGAATTTCTAAAGTAAATTACTGGTTCTTGTTTTTCCTTAGCCATTGAGGTAATCTTCATCCTATCAACAACCGAAACCATTCCAAATTTCATTGGTGAGGAGGTTGTTCCGTAAGGAATTCCATAATTTACAATGTTGCATAGTTGTGAAACAGGAACATGCTCTCCACAATCTAATATTGCCAAAACCGTATAACAACTCTCATCAACACACTTCTCTAAAATCATTGGTTTCGCGTTGGTTACAGATGATGTTTGTGTGGCTTGCTTCCTTTTCCTTAATTCTTGTTGCTGCATTTTTTATTTGCTACATTATGTTTTTGATTCTTAGTGTAGTAAGTTACTATTCTATTCTGACTGAGGGAAAAACTCAACACAATTCTTTCATTTCAGATAAGAAATGCTGGAAACAGTCATCTTCATTGATTCCAATCTAAAGTGAAAAAATTTATTGGCTTGAGGCTGTGCCATTTGACTGGATTGAAAAGGTTTTATTATGGGATTACAATGAGGACATTTTATTGAGATTATCAATTATTTACAATCATAATTTTTAATTATTTACAATTTAGTTTACAATTATTCGTCAGCATCTGAGCAATAATCTGTGGAATAGTCACTATCATCATTCTTTGCCATATCTTTCACTGCATCAACGGTAGTGCCATTGTAAACAGTAATATTCCACAATCGTTTGGAACATTGGTTGATGGTTTGGAAGGTGATTTGCTTCTTCTTATTGTATTGTGTGATTATAGAAGCATCTCTCATCAGCTCACCCAACAGTTGATCAAACATTTCTCTTGCCTTTTCATAAACGTCTGCTGAAATTCTCTTGCATCCATGAATTTTGGCAATTTTCTGGATTGACGCCTTCTTTAAAATTCCTTTTGGTTTCTCCTTCTCAGGTTCAGTCTTCTCACTACTAGATTTTCTAATGGATTTTGATGGGGTAGATGTTGCAGATGTTTTCTTCTCCGGTTTTGGTGCCTTTGCACTTGAAGATGATGCTGTAGGTGTTGTCTTTGGTGTGGTTATTGTGTCCTTGCTTGATTTTTTGGCCTTCGGAGTGGTTGTTTCTGGTTTCACAGTTTGAGGGTGTCTTGGACTCTTTTGTGCTTGCTTTGGAGGCATTTTTTTAATTTGTTTTTGATGGCAAAAGTTATTTTTGTTCTTGTAGAAATTCGAACCAAAAACATGGATTTTTGTTTTGGAAACAAACTTGTGCGATAAACAAGCCATTGTGATTAATAGTACTTTCCTTATGTGTGGAAGCACAACAGTTAGCACCAGTGAAAACAATGAGGATTTTTACCTGAAGTTTTACAATGAAAATAAAGTGCTGTGATAAAAAGTTTATTCGTAAACCTCAGCAAAGATAGTGTTGGAACGACCAAATATTTCTGGTGAGTACATTTCTTCACATTTGGTTGGTGGAATAATGAAGGATCCGATTTGAGTGGCACGACACAAATGTTTGAAAGTGTGAGTTCCTTCCCAGAGCAAACTGGAGAATGCTTCAACACGTTCATCTCTACTATTGACATGTTCATACCATGGATAGTTCCACCAACATCTAGATTTCTTAACTTCACCTGAAGGAGCGTTACCTTTCAATTCAGGATTAATTGGTTCCAAACCAGCAGGTAAAAAGTCAACCAAAGCAACATGATAACGTCTACTGGTATTAGTGAATGTAATGATAACTCTAACCAATTCACCAGCTTTAAATTTCCAACAGTTTCTTGCCTTATCAAATTGAGCATGAGATGGATCAGTAACACCCTCATAGCTTCTCTCAATTTGGAATCCATAATCAAGAGCTGGTAATAATAAATTCTTAGGAGCATAGTCCATTCCAATTCTATAGTACAATCTACCAGGACCTTCCTTCAAGATGGCCAATGTTTGTGCACCTTCAGTGGTAGTAAGTTGTCTCATTGGAATAGTAAGAACATTTTCATCCTTATTTCTTCCCTTGAAAACTTGTTCTCCACAATAATCTTCTCCAAGCCACATCTTGGCAGTGAAATCAGGAGTGACACCTTCAAAGACATGGAAATAACTGTTGAGAGCAAGAAGGATGAAAACATTTTCTTGAGTATTGCCCCATCTTCCCTTCTTCTTATGAGCTAAAAGTCCCTTGACAACCTTTGGAATGAGATTATTTTGTGGTACCATATGAATGAGCATTTCCAAACAAATTCCATCAGTTCTTCTATCACTGTGCAACATGATAAGCTTGCTGCTTTGCTCATCTCCATAGCTTGTAACAAAGTTGGCTGTTTGAGCAGTTTCATTGACTCTCATTAAAATATAATTCACAATTTCAGTCGATTTTGTTGTGGCTTCCTTTCCATTGGCAAAGAACATTGCTGAAGCAGTCCAAGACAAAGTTTCAAGACAAGTATCCTTCAATCCACATTCTGAATATAATTGGTCAGCTTTTTGTTTGGCTCTTGAATCTCCCAATAGGGCGGCAACATAATAAGCATATGATCTAATGGCATATTTTGATGAAGGAGAGTAATATGTATCACGAATATAATTCTCAATATCACAGAGGAAATTAGTGAGTTTGGAAACAACATTATTATTGAGAGAATAACCTGCAATCTTGGCTCTAGCAAAGGCATGACCTACGTGGCAAGAAAGGTAAGGACTGACTGAATAATCACTTCTGTAAGTCCACCATCCGAATCCACCATTTGGAAATTGTCTTCCATTCAAAATACCCAACGATAATTGTACAGTAGAGTTAAGCATAATTGAGCTTGGAATATCCTTGACCTTGAATGCTTGAAGTACATCCTTGAGAGCAACAATTGATAAAATCTTACTTGACAATTGTTCACAACATTCAAAGGAATAGTTGTAAACATAAAGGAAGGCATCAGTCAAGGCAGACAATGCTGTACTACTGGTAGTGATTTGTAAGCCACCAAATTGAGGATAGATATTTTCTGGAGCCTTAACTGGTTGGAATGTAGTGCAATCACCATCCAATTCACCATAATGAGCAAATGCTTCTGTGGTTGCTGGTGTGAATACTCTGAGTTCCTTTTCAACAGCATCAGAAAAGTTGATCAATTCGGAAACAGAAACAGCAACTTGGAATTTAGAAATACCAACCTTGGTTGCTTGCATTGGGAATCTCAATTCAGCTCTCTTAAGAGCAGGGATTTTAACATTCAAACCTCTCTTGGATGGATCCAACAATTCGAGTCCATCATAGGCAACAGCAATATGAACATTCAAATCAATAAGGGTTTGATTTTGTAAAACACAAGCAAATTCTGCCTTATCACCAAAGTTCAAAAATCTTGGAAGGGAAGGTCTAATTGCTAGTGGCAATTGTGCAACAATTGAAGATTCTCCCAAGCCGTACAAACTATCTAGTTTGGTAGAAACAGCTGTAATTCTGTATCTCGTCAAATTGTCAGGTAATTTGAATGGCACTCTGGCCTTGCCTTGAGCATCTGTTACACATACTGGACTAAAGACAGCAACTGGATTGAAATTCTTTCTGACAACAATGGCAGATCCAACTTCCTCACCTCCTTCACATCCACCAGCATCGTCATTACATTCTTCGCACTCTTTTTCCTCACATCTCTTTTTGGATTTCTTACAACTTTTCCTTTCTTGCACTTCTTCTTGGCAATCACAATCATCATAACAACAACAGGAACGACATAAACATCCTTCACACTTGCAACATTCACATTCATCATCATCACATTCTTCCTCATCAGAACTATCTTCAGGAGGAGATTGAATGTTGATATTATCAAAACTCTTGACAAATACGTGGTCTCTCAATGAGAACTCTGAGAAGCTTTGGCCAGTACCAACTATGAATGTGCTCAAAGGATTAGATATTCTATAGCCAGTCAATGAAAGAACAGCTTCATCAACAGCAACGAGACAAACCTCACTTCCAGCTTGTGGTTTAGAGTTTTCCTTGTCAGTTACCAAAACATCAACAAAGGTCTCAACACCTGGAGTAACAAATTGCTTCTCTGGAGTGACCAATACATCGAGTTGATGCACTTTGGATGAGACACCAATATAACAAGTTCCATTTGCGTACGCAGGTTGTTTTGGGAGGTCGAGAGGTAATCCAAGAGAATCACTTCTTGATTCACTACCTTGGAGCATTACACTAACTGTTACATTTGGAATGTGTTCTTTGGTAATTTTGAGAGTGAATTCAGTTGATCCAACTTCTGGATCAATGGTGATTGGAATATTATCGATTACAGAATTGAGGCAAACAGTAACAACACCATTAGCCTTACCGTCGAATGGAGATTGAATCAAAATTTTGGCTTCTTCTCCAATTTCATACATTCCTTTGTCTGCAACCAAGAGGGCTTGTTGCTTTGAAAGTCTTGAACCAACAACATCCTTCTTTGATTTACCACCAGTTACGTATAGGGAGTTATTTGAAGAGTTAGTTAAACCGGTTTCTGTATCCTTAATTCTCAATGTGAACTTGTAGTTACCACCCTTATCGAAACTAATAGGATATTTGACTGGTTCAGATTCAGACTTGAATACCTTCTTGAAAACTTCAACAGATTCATGAACAACACTGAACCCCTTCTTCTTTTCAACGGTTGTTGTAGCAACCAGTTCCATATCAATACCAGGAATAGTATTACCTTCAAGATCAGTGGTAACCATGAATAAATTGGTTTGAACATTTGGTTTAACAAACATCTTTTCAATCTTCATTCCACAATAATATTTGCAAGGGTGAACAGTAAATGTAGTGGAATCATTAATAGTTTGACGATTAATATCTTGAACCGATGTTTCAACAGTAATGTTCATTGGAGATTTCTCTTGTCTTTCGGTTTCATCGAAGAGGATTGCAATTTCATGTTCACCATCAGAATTACAAACACCTTCAAATGTAACTGGTTTGTAATTTTCACTTCCATAAGTATCATAACACCAATAACGATAAAATGGATTTGAGATGTAAGTGGAGAAGTTGAAACCAGAAAAGTTTGGTGGGGTATAACTTGTCTTTGATTGTTTGATAACATAGGAACACTTTGAACCAGAGAGACCTCCACCTGAGTAGTATGCTGCTTGGGTCTTGAGAATTGTTAAGTTATTAACAATATATCTGCATGGTGGGACAGATGTTGAGACTGTAAATTCTGGAGTACGGAACTCTTGTACATTAAAGTTTGTATGCATTGTCCTACCGTTGAACTCAATGGAATGAGAGCCCAAGTTAACATTGTCTGGAATTGAAAACTTAATATCAAAGGAACCATGTTCTGAGATGGTGTATTTTCCAGTGTGATATTTTGCACCTCTAGAATCTTTAACAATGTATTCATAAGTTCCCTTTTTTGGTAGAGTTGGAATAGTTCTTGATCCGTACTTTTCAACCTTGAGTTCTCTACAAATACCCTTGATGAAAATCTCTTCTCCAGGTTTATAGAGTCCTCTATCGTTGAAAATATTATATGCTAATCTATCATCAATTCTGTAGTGATAAAGGTATAAATCTGGAATAAAGCAGGTATCATTCAAATAAGATCCAATCAGTGTATATTCACTTCCGTTTGAGGTGTGACTAAGAACAGCAATTCCTGTTTCAGAGTCTGGTTTTGTGCTAAATGATGGAAGGAATTTCTTTTGTTTGAAACTAACATCAGATTTGATGACAGTTCCATCAATTAAAGAATTGGCCCAACAGTAAACATTACCTGTTCGTGTATCGAAAAAGCCATCCATTGCCATCTTTGTCACCTGAATCCAGGAAATGTAAACTGGTCTGTATTTCCAATTATCTTTCCAATGTGTTTTGGATGGTTCAACTGCAACCAAAAGTTGACCTAACATGTCATTTGGATGTTGTAAGTATTGGGTCAAGTCAATTTCTGTATCAACTGGTTCATCTGGTTGACCATTGGTATTTACCATAGTGTCAAGAACTTTTTTTCCAGAAAGAGATAATGTTGCATTGGAATAAGCATCATAGTAGAAAACATTGTTTGAATAATCACCTGGTTTAACTTGATAAACTTGGACATGGATAGCTTCAAGATTTACACTGAATACGGAGAAGGATGGTTTAGTATTGACAGTAGGATCAATAACCATCATTCCGGTCTTGTAGGCTTGTAAAGATTGAGCTGCTGGTCCAACTTGGAAAGTAAAGTTATTTTCTCCTGCAAGTTTTTGTCCCCAAACATCTGTTATTTGACCAGAGAGTTGAACTTGGTATGTGGTACGTCCCTTAATATTACCAGATATTGTCAAGTAATTTCCAGATGGATTAATACGTAATCTTTCAATAGGTGGTTGAATACTTATATGTTCCTCATTTAATAATTCAATATCAATATTATTACTAAATGTGAAAGAGAATGGTTCCAATGGAAGCTTTCCACCAGTATGGGAAGTAACTTTGAATTCTGGATAGTTTGTAGCTGTGAAGGAAATATCTTTTTCTGTTCTCAAAGGACCTTCAATAGATCTGGCTCCTTGCAATAATGTTATAGCGAGGGTTTCTGACAGGGCTACTCTCCTACTTGCTACATCAATTTCAATCCAAACATGTCTATTTGGAGCAGAATTTTCCAATTTGTAATTTACAGAATTGTACAATGAGGATGATCTCTTTTCCAATGAAGATTCTTTAAGCTTTCCTTCAATATAACTCTTTACAACTGAAGTACGGCCATCATTTTGAACCAGCTTGCAAGAGTATCCAGGTATATTTACACTAGAAAAGATTTGGTTTGGATCAATATCTTGATCAAACTCCATATAAACAAATGGAAATTCGTTAATTGGAACTGCATGGTAACTATTTGGAAGATAGTTGAGCATTGTCAATCTAGGTGTTTCAAATTTAAAGGAAACATTCTTATCCAATACTCCTCCAACACTAGACTTGGTTTTTTCACAATCAATAGTGACTGTGTATTCCGTAGACATGTCAAATCTATAATTTGGTTCAAAGAATAAAGTCTTTGCACCCATCCATCTAAATCTACCACCATTCTTTGGGAATGGTTCAATTTTTACAAAAGAAAAATCTTGATCATGAACATCTTCAACACCAGACACAGCAACCATTGGCTGAGAGAATGTGATGGAAATATGTGGCACTGATCGATCAACTGGACCTTCTGGCAAATATCTCACCACTGCCAAACTTGATCCCAACAATGCTTCTTCTTCCTTTCTCACTTGTTCTGGTTTTTCCAATTTCTCTTCTGGTGGGAATGGAATTTCATTAACATCAGCACTTCTTGGAGGTTTGAGGGTTTTTTCTCTCATGAAAAAGTCACCTTCTTCTGATGTTGATTTTTGAATTTGTGGCAATCTGGCCAATAATTTCTCTGTCAATTCATCACCAAGAGATTCAACACTTGCACCACTCTTTTGATCCTCATCCTTCTTGACAGAAGTTGCCTTTGATCCAAGTAAAATCATGGCAGTAGAATCTTCAGGTGTTGGCTCCCTAACATGAATATTCAACCCAACAGTGTAATCTTCATTATTTGCACCAAGAATGCTTGTCTCACTGCAAGGTTCCTCCTCTTCATAATCCATATCATCATCATAAAACACCATTTTCTCTCCTATTAAAATTAAATAAAAATTATAATTATCAATCAAAAGAATGTTGCTGTATTTTTTTTGATCTGTTGGGAGTTGGAGATCGGCACCTATTTTATGCCTGTTCGGATGAACTTGTGTGGATAAGGAGGCGAACAGGGAATCATTAAAAGGAAGAACATAATGAGCATTTCAAGATGTAATAACTCTCATTGTGTGAATGGCACACTGAGAGTAATTGATGAACGAAAAATCTATTCTAAAGGTAGTCTATAAACAAAGTTATCTATTGCTGCCTGGTATCGTAGACGGTCTTGCTGAGATTGTTCTTCATAGTATTGTAATTGTTGTGTGGAGAGTTTTTCCCATGCAGCAGAGATTTCTGAATAATCAATATCCCATGTTGGATTGATTTTTCTCTTCTCTTCTGTGTACTCTTCGGTAAAGACAAGAAATGGAGCTCTAATGAAATGGGTTCTCATTAAATAGGAAGCTTTGTCTTTTCTTGATTCTGGAATGAGTGCCATGTGCAAGTCATTGAATAATTTCACTGGTTGAGTGATTAATCCATTACAATTAGGTGATCCTGTAATTTGTAAAAAATCTGATAGTAATTTCTCATTTTGAATTTCCATATTACTAAAGGTTGCATGAGTAAGGAAGACGTTAGTTATTACGCCATAAAATTCACCATTATCCCTCATGCAGACCAAAAATCGATGAGTACAGAGGAAACAAAATCCAACCCTGAATACATTTTGTAATCTCCACTCTTTTAACACAAGTTTCAATTTTTCTTTTTCATCATCTAACAAGGCACCAATTGTTAATTTCATAGTTTCATCAAGATCTTTCAGTCCTATCTTTTTCAAACTCGCAATTAAACTCAATACTTTCCAATAAAAATGTTCTTTCCAAGAATATCCCAATAAACTCAATTTTTTCACAGCAGATGAATCTTCCAATATGTTGAAAATTTCTCCTAATGGCATTGGAGATCCTGCAGACAAATCAACTCGTTGATAATTATCCAAATCACATCCAATCCTATCAAGAGAAAGTAATGGGAACTCTTCACTCAAATTCTCAACATGACACACAATATTAGAAAAGTAATATTTGCAAAACTGCTCACTCGTAATAAAGTCATTCCACTTCCGACAGACCATTCTACACGGATCAGTATTTAATGATGATGATTTAGAAACTTCTTCATGATCGGAATTCTGAATTAGTAAATGAATAAATCGATAGCTATATAAAATATTATTGATATGAAATAAATACTAACACACAATAACAATTCACACGGATGAAAATATGTAAAGACATGAACAATAATTTCATCTTGTTCAAACCAGGCCTTTGCTTGCTGTTCCATTTTATTATTGTTGCTTTTCCAAGAGCGCCCAAAGTTTTCTCGTTGTTACCGTTACTATTTTTTAATTTTTAAATTTTTAAAAAAAACCTACATCATCAAATGAAGCTTGAGGAGTACATGTTCATCATCATTCCAAGATGTGTGGAGTAAAAAGAAGTTATTGTAGGGAGCATCGCTTTTTCTTTCTTTTTGGTACAGATATTGCATGAGTCATTAATGCTGATTTTATACACAACTCTACAAACTGTGTCATAATTTCATCACCATCCTCCAATGATGAAATTTCATAATAGGTCAGGCATTTGTGTTCCTTACAAAACTTGATAGCATTCTGTACAGTAACATCATCCTCTTTGGTTTTTAAATCCTTTTGAGTTCCTAATATTAACATTGGAGTGTGTGGCATGTAGTGATTGGCGTAGGGAAGCCACTTTGATTTGATTCTTTCTAAACCGTATACACGTCTGAATGGGAATGTTGCCACAAAGAGATCACTTCCAAACATTAAGAGAGGAATCATTCGTTCATAATCCATATCAGAAACATCTACAAAATCAATACAGAACTTTCTTCCCTCAATGGAAATGTGATATTGGAATTGATTATCTAAATTGTATTTACCCAACCTCTTCAATAGATCGGTTACACCAGAATGGTGATCACCTAAAACAGCCACTTTGAAATGAGGTAGTGGACATTTCAATTCTTCCACTGATTTTTGTAAAATTTTGTCATAGCTTTCGTATTCATAATTTTCAGTAAATTTCAATAATTCCATTCCACACACTTGCAAATAGTGAAGATAATAATTTTCTTTCGGATCTTCTTTCATTAAAATAGAATAGTGGCATGCATATCCATATTCCAATACTGGTTTTACTTTCGAATAATTTTCCAATTTCCTATCGTAATGTTTCTTCCACAATAAATCACTCGATCCAATCACATAAAACTCCTTACAAACCATCATGTAATTCACCAAACTCTTCACATTAATAAACGAACAAATCAGCATCCACTCATCATTCGAAACACGTTGATGATGATTCATTTTTTTGTTATCAAATTTCAACTGTCCTTTTTCTTTCTTCCAAAACTAATTGATCTTGTAATTATTATTGATTTGAATTGTAAAATTAAGATTTATTAGCAAAAAAATGAAAAGAAAGGTGGAATGCATCGAATCAGGCAGAGAGAATGATACTTCGGAAGTTTATCAACCTAAGCAACAGTATAGAAAATTAACTTCCACTTCATCTCCTTCTGCCTCGACATTATCTACTTCTTCATCGGGGATTGTTGGGAATTCTTGTCATAATAATTATTTATTTGATGATGAATTTAATATAATGGATCGGTGACTGTAATTTTGAGTGATTTCTTGTTGAGAGGAATGTCCTATGATGATACTGATCATTTTCCTCAACAACATCGATGGCTAACAGGTAAATTCCAATCTCAAACCAAAGGGAAGCTTAAGTGGATGAAAAGAAGGGATGAATTGTTTGAGAAACGTTCGTCATTCATTCCGATAGAATTTTGCCATGATAAGGAATTGGTTTTGCACATGTTTAAAACAATAGAAATAGATGCACATGTATTTGATTGCATTCAAGCTGATGTGATAGACAATGATTTGCTTGTTAGAATTATGAATAGATTGAATGATAGTTCAGTTAGATCTGAAGCAATAGATAATTTTATAGAACTTTTCAAAAGGTATAATATTACCTTAGACGGAAATTCAAAGGAAGGAAAGGAATTTGTTTCAGCCTATGAGATGGAAAATGGCAAGTATGAAACAGCCTTAAAACTATTCATAGCAAGTGGGAACGTCTCTAATATATTAAGACAAGATGTTGATTTCATTTACGACGTATTTAAACATTTTAATGGAGATGAAAGAATGTTACATATTGTACTTTATTTTTGTATGGCAGATAAGGATGCTTTGCTTAGGTTCGCAGAGATTAATCCACATGTGGTGGCTTGTGCATCACAAGAATTTCAACAAGATGAGAACTTTCTTAGAGAACTCATTGATACGAACACTGACTATCTGAAACATTTAATATTTGCTACCGAACACGACAAGAATAGTGCAAAAGCAAAGAAATGCAGGGAAATATTATCAAATGATTCGTTGAGAAGAAAGATGGAGAATGACGAGAAGTTTATACTACATTATTGTGCTGTCGATCCTGAACTTTTCAGGTTGATCTCTCCAAAATTACTAGTTGACAAGAAATTCTTATTCAACATATTGGAAAAGATAGAGAAATGCCCTTTTGCATTGTCTACAGTTTTGAATCATATTCCAGAAGTCATGAAAAGCGATTTTGATATTATGTTAAAGGCAGTTAAGATAGATCCTATCTCTTTTATGCATGCTTCTGATCAGCTAATGCATGACCAAGAATTTGTATTGAAATGTCTTGGACGGTATTCTGATCTAATATTTCCAATGATTCCTAATGAATTCCTTCAAGATAGAGAATTCCTTATGGAGATGTTGGAAATAAATGGAAGCTTACTTGAGTATGCTCCTTCTGAATTCCAAGGTAAGTTAATAATATTACACATTCTAACAATGTTAAAAAGATGATGAAGAGATGGTTCTTCAAGCCTTAAAATCTGACGGTGGTTCAATTGATTTTGTCTCTACACGGCTTAAAAACGATAGAGATTTTCTATTAAAAGCCAAGAAGCAAACAAATCTATATGTGAACCTGCTATCGAGGGCTATTGTAAATGATGAATTCTTACTGGAATCATTAGAATCACCATTTGTGGATGATGTTTATGAAGAAATAGAAGCACGAGGCTTAAGGGACAATTATGACTTTATGAAAGAAGCCATAAAAAGAGTGTATAGTTACACTGAATTACCAGATAATTTTAAAGCGTTGAAGGAAATGTCATTATTGGCAATATCAGTTGATGGTAGAGAATTAAAGTATGTTCACCATAAGGATGACCTTGAGGTTCAAAAGGCTGCCGTGAACCAAAATGGATATTTCATTAAGCAATCACAAGAATTGTTGGACTATAGGTTAGAATGTGCATATTTTGGATGCAAGATTTGATAAAAAATCATTTATTCAGTTCACTTAACAAATGTAACAAATCTCTCCTCAAAACATTACTCCTGGTCCATTTGGATTACAATCTAATATTCTAAAATAAAACCCCGCTCTTATTAAGGAAGGGGTTGTATATTGATATTTGCCAATAAACTGTATATACAGGGGAGTTACAATCGACTGTTAGGTCCCAACATGCAGAGATTTTCAACACATAGAATATAGAGAGTGCATGTTAATAAATCTTCAAAACAGTAATGAACTCGTTACTGGGAGGATTTTATCCAAACCACTTCCACATTTCCAACCTCCATTAGTTAGCGATCACACAATTATCTTAAAAAAATGAAACCATTCACCACTTCTACTTCATCACTGGTATATTTAATGGTGATAAGTTGTGTGGCATGTTCATGCGTATGTATGATGGTTCATGCAGCCTCATCCACCTCTCAGTGCAGTAACATTACCATCCAGACTCATGTTGATGAGTTGGAGAGGGAAATTGCAGAGCTCACATGTATTCAAAACAGACTCTCCAATGTCATCTCAGCCCTCAACATGAGTGCTTCAGTGAATGGCCAAATAATTAGAACAAGACAACGACAATTAGAAAAGATTTCCACTGCCTTATCCTTACTTGTTCAGGAGAGCACGTTCCTTAAGAATGTAACAAATCCAGTTTCTACTATTGTTTCAACAACTTCAAACATTGTCTCTACAAGTCAAGGGTTTATGTTTGGTGATGGAAGAAAAGCTCCTTCTTGTAGACAATACAGATATCCTGACTATCCATATCAATACGAAAATCAAGGAAGTGGACTCTATGTTATTGAGCCATCTCCAAATTTGATCATGGTTGTGTATTGCGATATGACTACTGATGGAGGAGGGTGGACACTTATTGCAGGTATTCGTTCTGATTATGAAGGCATTCACTATCACACATTTGAGGATTCAACAGCTATTTCAAGCTCGAATGTGACTTCGTTCCATATCAAGACACAAGCTCTGCTAGCCAACTCCACTCAAGTTAGAGCTGCCTCAGATGCAACTACAAATCCACAAACTGCTTTTTATACTTCCAATTGGCCATACAGTGCCTCTTGTACCATAACCACTAGCTTGAGAAATGCCATCCAAAATACTCCAACAAGTGTTAATGGAGATTTACCAGCAAGTTGTAAGATCCTAACTGGATTGACTCAAGTTCCCAATATTTTCACATATGGAAAAACATGTAATGGCCATTCGACAGGTTTTCGTTTGGGTTTCGCACATGGGAATTGTGTTGGACATTTGAGTGAATCAAGTTTTACAACATTTTCTTTCAGTGGAGCTGCAGAAGGTGGTTTAAGCAGTGCAAGTACTGAAAAAGGTGTTTTTTATAGTTTTAATGGTGAAAAAAGCAGAAATGGAGCCATTTTTTTAAGATAATACCCTCCTTTTGTGAATGAAACAATTCCTTTATTTGGAACTTATTTTTACAAATAAAGTAATTTTTCTCCACCACAATTCTGACTCCTTGTTCCTTTGAATAAAAGAAAATGAATTTCTTTTTGAAATCACAATAATTATAATTATTTAAAAAAAATGATTACTGACGGCAGTGATGAAGTAGTCGATCAATTTTGGTTCGGTATTGATTTTGGAAATTCCTTCATCAAAGTTTCAGCCAATGCTCCCGAATGTCCATTCGATTCCATTTCCGAAGAGAAAATTATTAAATTGTCAAATCATTTCAATTCCAGTATCGTTTGTATGATGGAATCGAACCTGACACGATTTGAATTAATTGGCTATGATGATAAAGCAGATAATGAATTTATTGATTTTACAATTATTAATATTAAAAGATTAATTGATAATCTATCGGATGAAAATCAAATGAATGAAATTGAGATATTGGGAGTGGTACAGACTGATAATGATGATGATAAGAGGTTTATTACTCAAATAGTAATGGAGAATGTGAAATTGAGATCGAGGGATGATTTGGAGAACTTGAACAAATTAGCTCTGATTAGGATTATGGATAGAAAAACAAATTCCTCAATTGAAATTCCACTTTTTACTGTTTTGTTAAAATTGTTTGAAAAATTGAGAAGGAAAATAGTTCAAAACAATGATTCAAAACTACTTTTATGTAATATTGCTACAATTCCAGTATTTTACAATGATTTACAAAATAATTTTGTTAAGGTTGCATTTGAAATGGCTGGATTTAAGGTGGAAAGAACCATTCGTGAAACGGTTGCTGCAGCAAGAGCATACGATTTTGAAAGCAAAACAGAAAGAGACATGTTGGTTCTCGATTGTGGAGCTACCAAGACTATGCTCTCACTATATCATGTAGATGAAGGAGTTTATGAACTATTGGAATTTATTTCAGATAGCAGTGTTTCAGGAAATTCGATAGATGAAGCACTGGTTGACTATTGTGAATTGGAGTTTAAAAAGAAAACAAAAAAGATACTTGACAATCAGAACGCACGAAAAAGACTTCGTGAGGCATGTAAGATGGCTAAAGAGAAATTAAATAGTGATAGCACACCTCTCAATGTTTCAATACATGTTGATTCATTGATGGATGGAGTTGATTTCTCTATAATACTAAGCAAACCAAAGTTTGAGCAAATCATTACACCAACATTGTCAAAGATAGCATCCTTATTGAATTCCTTTTTAGAATCTAGAACCATCCATTCTATTAATGATTTGATATTATGTGGGGCAAGCAGCCAAATCTCAAAATTTACATCAGTAATTAGAGAATTTTTCAAATCCAATCAGCAGTTCGTGGTTCACGATAGCATTCCTCCAAAAACTATCAATGCAAGAGGTGCTGCTTCATTCTGTGAACTATTCAGAGTTGAACAAAGTTATTGGGTTAATGCAGTATTATCACTTAGTATTGGGATTGAACATGAGAGGAAAATGTTTATTTTAGCAGATAGAAATACCTATCTCCCATTCCAAAAATCATTCATTATCGAAAAGAAGGTCAACCCTGCCACCAATCAATACCACTTTAAACTTTATATGGGTGAAAGAGCTATACCGAGTAATAATTTATTTATGGGAGAGGTTTGCATTCCTAATAGTCAATGTGATAATACCAATATCAAACAATTCAAATTAGATGTAATCATATCAGAAAATGAAATTCTCTTCCTCTCCATTCATGATAACTTACAAGAGTATCATTTCCAAGCAGATTGGACCCATCTCACTCGAGAATTAGTTGAGCAGAGTATTCAATTAGGTCACCTGGATAAATCATCATAATGATGAGATTTAGTCTAATCAATTTTGTTATTGTTTTTGGTTTGGATTAATAAATTCCTGATTTGGAAGTGAGGAATTCCTAATCAGTTCCACAATAATCAGATTCTGGCCTGTCTTTCAGGTAAATCCCATATATTCTCAATTATTTAATCAAAGAGTTTAATCAGAGAAATCAAATATCATATTTATTGGTCCACAATTCTTCAAATGCATATGATGAACTTGGATTGTAAAGTTATATTAAAAAATTAAAAAAAAATGTCCCTCTTACCCTTTTCCCTCTTTCACGATCACACGGAAAGCATTGATTATTTTCACCAGCCATTCTTTACAGATGTTCCAAAACACTTGGTCCATAAATTTGGAAAAATCAAATTTATTCTCTGTAGAGAATCGAGCTGCTATGTAGTATCGGAACATGATGAATTATTTGTTCGTTCATCAGCTCATCATCTTTGGGAGAGACATGTGTTGGATTTTAAATGGCCTAACGAAAGAATTGTTAAAATCAGTGCAAGTTATCATGCCTGTGTATTATTGTTACAATCTGGAAATAGAAATGTGAGAGTATTTGCATGTCAAACAAATGATTATGGAAGTGATTATGTATTTGGAGAACAGAGAGGAAATGTTACTGTAAATGTAGAGCTAGTAAATGATGAATCTAGTTGGAATACTAAAGTTTGGTATAGAGTTGAAGATTTCGATTCATTATTGAAGGATGGAGAATATATTACCAATATATCATGTGCTGCTTTCACATGTTGTTTCATAACTTCTCATGGAAGATTATTGGCGTGTGGATGTAATCAATTTGCTGAAATAGCTCAACCAAAACAAAATACTTCTAATTATAATATTGCTAAAATTCAAGAATGTTGCTTTGATCCTAATAATGAGTGCAAAAAACCATTCTTTGTTAAAACAGTGAACGGAGATCACAATATCATTGCCCTGACAAAGGATCACGATATATTCTATTGTGGATATACTATGGATTACAATGGTCAAGATTTACCAGTTATGAGACAATTGGGTAGAATTCCTCAAATGGAAGATAATGAACACTTTATTGATATATCTGCAACATATTATGAAAAGTTATATTTAACAAGTAGGTTTTTATTGATCTATTTCAATCTAATGTATTGCAATAATTGTAATTGAAATAACAAGACAAATTCAATTTATATAAGGACAATGCATTCTATTGCCACCTTCCAGAAGTGATTGGTGAGAATGTTTTTTCATGCCAAATGAGCGCTTCAAGTTCAGGATATATCTTGGTGATTAACAATTCCATGGTTTATTCTTTGGACAGTAGTGCATTAAATCTCATACATACAGTTGAAAAACCAAGACCATTTCAAACTCTTTGCTCAACCACATCCCAATGTTCGATTATTTATTGGGAATATTCTACAGAGTCCAAGAATTTAAAGGAGCTACGAGAAAATTTCAAACATAGGGCAAGGGATGGTTTACTTTCAGATCTTTTAATTACCATTTAATGTTGCAAATAAACATATTTATCATACAAAGGCAAAAGGAAGTTAAACATATTTCTCTTTTGATATTTGGTAAAGCAAGAAAGTTGGCTGCAAAACAAAAAAGCTTGACCTGAAAAATAAAAACCTAAAAATACTATAAAAACAGAAACACAATTCCCAACCAACAATAAAAAAACACAACAACATGATCTCACAGGAAGACTACAGCAGGGAAATGAACAGAAGAACTGCAATGGCAGAGTTTTCAAGACGTGTGAACGGTTTGTCATCGACAGCAACTCAATGTACCATACAAACATCAACTAAAACATCAGAGGTTAGTGGTTCCTCCATAGGACCATCTCCTGACCATGGTCTTTCAAACATTAGAGCTCCACGTATCAACAAATCACCCACTAGAATTGTTAAACAAGCAAGAAAGTCAAAAATTGCTGAACAAGCTCTGAGGAAGATTGTTCTTGCTTACTTGGAGAGCAATTTCATGACCAAATCAAAAACAGAATTCCAGAAGGAAACAAGATCCAATTTCCAAAAACACATTCTCATTGGGTTCATTCTCCAAGGAAAGAATTATTTGGGTGCCTATGAATATTTTAGATCGTTCTTTACAGTCGATCAACGATCTATCTTTACAAGGGAGGACATTCATGATATTAGAACTGTCTCTACTTTCTTGTTGGGAGCTCATTTCTGTTCATGTGTTGCCAAGTAAGTATAATTGAATTTTAGAAAGATTACAAAGATGCTGACTAGTAAAAACAAAGGAGAATTGAAAACGTGTAATGAACTGATATCCGAATTATTAAACGAATTTTCCAATGGAAAAGGAGATATATTCAAGTGGAGACAGAAATTAAACGCTATTGAAGAACGAGGGGATTACCAGCCAGATGTTGGAGAACTCATATTAGTCCTTACTGTACCTATTGGTAGATTGGAGGAACGAATTCCACATTTCAATGTTATGGAACCTCTTTCTGATGAGGAAAAGCAAGCATTGGATGCTGTACTTGTGAGCAATGCAGAAGATTCTGAAGATTCTCAATCCTCTGAATAGTTTTTGTAGGAACACTGAAATATAAAAATTAATTTGAATTTCCTTTTAGAACTTGAGAGAGTTCAATAATTTCTGGTGATACTTGTAGCCGATGGGAAACATACTCCAAGGCATTATAATCCCTCTTCATTGCTTCAATGACAATTTCAGCACAATCCCTCATTTCATTGGAGGCATACTTTAGGGCTAGACCATCATTTTGCACTGCCTTCATGACAACCTCGAATGTATTTCTCCACTCAAAGCTTGCAAATCTGAGAGCATATCCTTCAGAATTAACGGCTTCCATGATAATGTCTCTATTAGAAATTGTCTCTTCTGTGTCGTGTGTTGTTGGCTTACTTCTGTACTCTGTATTCACATATTCCAACATGGAGCCTTGTCGTTTCACTAATGCCAAAACAACCTCTCTGTCTTTCATCAATTCGGGGGATATATAATTGAACGAATTAGGATTAATTTCAATAAATCTCAATACAAAGGATTTGCAAGATCTTAGTCTTTCAGAGGCAAAAGTAATATTTTGGGACAGTAATACAAGTTCTTCATCTTCTCCCCAATGTATGATAATGTCTGGATCTCTTGCTTTGTATAGGCATCCAAATGCAGTTGGATCTTGGCTAACAGCCGTCATAACAATTTCTCTATCTCGTTTGAGGTCATCACTCGCTAAAATAAGATTATGCCCATAATTTCTAACAGCTTGCAATACAATCTCTCTATCATCCCAAAAATCTGGGGCATAGTTGAGTGATTCTCCACGATTGGAAACAGCTTACAGTACCAAATCTCTGTTTTGCTTCAAGTCATCATGCAAGTATTGTAGTGACGAGCCAAATGACGAAACTGCTAATAATCCAAATTCTAAAGTACCTCTAATTCTCTCTGAAAATTCCTTAATGCACATTCCATCTAATGGAAGAACTATCCTTGCCAGAGAATCATTATCTCGTAATTTTTCAGAGACCACCTTTATCACTGCAGGATGTTTCTGGGCAACTATCTGTACAATTTCTAAATCATTATTATACATATCCACAAGATATTTGAAAATAGCTGGATTTCTTCTAACACATTTCAAAATGAAACCCCTATTCGATTTAATTTCCTTTGAAATAAAAGCAAACGGCTCTGAATCTTTCTTTATCACAAATGTAATACTCTTATAGAGCGAACTTTTCAAGCTCATTAAATTCAAAAAATCCAAATTATTTACAGCACTATCCTTAAACATATCCTTCCTAAATCTCAAAATCCAATACTTGAAATGTTCAAATTGCTTTCTCCAAGAAACCATTGAATCACACATTGCTATTCCATCTCCAATCGTCCACACCAACTTTCCTTCCGAATTGACTTGACTCGTCCACTCTTCAACTGGCCATAAACTTTTACTGGGATGAAACTCTTTAATTGCCTCTTGTTTCCTCTCATGCTTTGATGGCACAATAAACAATTTGAAAAACTCTTGAGCATATAATGAATCAATTCCCATCACCTCCATTGTTTCGTTCAATTTTTCATCCTCATCTTCCAAAGTCAAATTATTGTATTTCCTTCTCTCCATTCGTTGTATGAGGAATGAATTAATAATCAGGAGCCAATTCCTAAATTCTCTCTTCTCCACCTGAATGGCCAAGTATTGAAAAAGCCTACAAGAAAGTGCAAAGCTTCTCCTCGACCTATCATCTAGAAATTCAATTATACTCTGAATCAATTCGGAAGGTAAATTGTTTACCATCTCAATCATCATTGTATTATTATTAGCACTAACGAGTAGAGACATTTTTTCTTGATGGTTTTATATATGGTTGTTGTATATATTAATTCCTCATTATGTCTATCATTTGGAACCTATTGATAACATATCAATTGATAAAATGTAATAATATTAAATAGTCGCAGTTACAAAACTATTAAATAATAATATTTAAAAAAAAAATATGCAAAAGGATGATGAACAGAAGATATTAATTTCCGAAGAGGATTTATTTGATAAAGCCTTTGGTCTGTACGAGGAACGATCATTCGATGAAGCCATCAAAATATTGGAAAAATTGGTCAAGTCGTTTGATGAAGGAGGATTGTTGGATCGACCATTGGAAAATAACGATTCATTCGATAAAGCAACAGTTTATTATTATTTGGCCAATTGTTATAGAGAAATTAGTAGATTTAAATTAGCAAGGGAATATTATGAAAAGGCTAGAACTTGCTTGGCAGAACAAAAGGAATCGGATTTTATTGATATTCAGGATGTGTTGAATGATTATGCCCTAGGTTTGGTTAGAGATGGAAATACAGAAGAATCTAAAAAGTTATATGAAAGGTTTGTTTACTATAGTAGTATTAGTAGTATAATTAAGTGTAATTACATTTAATAATATAATTTATAATTTAGTGTTTTGGAATTGAATTCAAAGAACGTATCTGCTTTGAGTGGATTGGCAGCTTGTTATTTATTGCTTGGAGATATACCGGCATCGAAAAGATTAATTGAAAAAGCTTTAAAGGTCAATTCTGAATATTATCATGTTTATCATGTTCGAGGAATGATTTATGATGAAGAAGGAGATTACGAAAATGCAATCAAAATGTATAATCAATCTTCATTTTTAAATCCAATGTATGCAAGGAGTCATTATAATAAGGCATTATCCTATGAGAAATTATTTTTGATTGAACAAGCCATTGATGAATATAGAGAATGCATTCGTCTTGATTCAACTCATATTTCATCTCATCAAAATTTAAGTTATTGTTATTTGCAAATGGGTGAAAAAGATAGAGCTATCAAGATATTACATGAAATTTTATCAAAAAATATTGATGCAAATTCAATGGCTGATATTTCGGATAGCTTTAGAGAAATTGGAGATGATGAAAAAGCTTGTCAAGTGTTAACTTCAGCAATTTCTTTAGATCCAACAAATGCTGAAATATATATTAGGAGAGCAGATCTTTATAAACATATGGAGAAGAAAAGTTTAGCATTGATGGATTATTTAAAGGCATGTGAATTGGATCCGCTCAATGATGAATACAAGCTACTGTATAGAAATACGAAATTAGGGCCTGACAGACATACAGTAGCATTGTTTGGTAACGATTCATTTTGTCAATTAGGAAATACATCTACGAATGAGAGAAATATTGTTTGGAAACCTGTTTTTGTCTCTGCTTGTAATGATAGAGTGAAAAATATTTATTTTGGAACTGTATTTTCTTTATTTTGGGCTGAAGATGTAGCAGGTGAATCCAATGTTTTTGAATGTGGATTTTTGAATGGTGTGGAGTATTTGCTATTTGAAAAGTTAGTCTTTCCACCAAAAACAGGTCGTGTGAAACAAATTTCTCCAGGTTTACAATGCTACATTATTTTGACTGAGGATGGTCAATTATTTGGAAAAGGGTTTAATACTGATTATTCCATGGGATTGCCAACTAATCATTTTAACTATACCAAACTAACAGAAATAGATACCAGTTATTTAGACTCAAAAGTACAAACCCTCGTACAAGGATGCAATACAATGTCGGCTCTAATTTCAACAAAAGGAACCTTGTACGTTTCAGGACTTGTAAATCACTCCAAGTTTACCATGTTGTCTGAAGACGTTCAACTTGCAGGCCTCACGAGAGATATCATATGGTATTGGAGACAGGACAGAGTGCTAATGAACTACAAGATATCAAACATGAAAACATCATTAGTAACCACTCCATTTAAGGAAGATATAAGAAAGATAGCATGCGGAGAAACTCACACAATATTTTTGACTAGCTCTGGAAATATTTATGGCTATAGAATTAGTTCCGTTGGAGGGATTTCTAATACCCATGAAATTTGTAAGATTAATACTCATTTATTTTCGCCTCCTCTTTACAGCCCTATCAAGGATGTAGAATGTGGTTCCGAACATAGTCTACTTATTAGCAAAGACAATAGAGTTTATGCTTCCGGAGATAATACAAAAGGAGAGCTTGGTTTGGGAGAAATGTCAGAAGATTTTATTCAAGTTTTTACAGAATTAGAATTTTCAAATCCACTGATCAATGCAATTTCAAGCAATGATGGATCATCAGCTTTGTTTAGATCAACTGTTATCAGTGATGAAATTTTACGCAATTCATTCAATTTCAAACGTGTGAATAGTTTTTATGATCTGGTTATTGTCTTGGAATATTAATAATGATAATTAGAAGAACCTGTCAAACATTCGAACCTGCAGGCAAAAATGAAAAAATCCAAATGCAATAGCTCTTCTAACATTTCAGATAATTCAGATTAATACGTCCATTCTCATTCAATTTTCTGCAATCTACTTGCTAAACACACTTAAAATAGAATTGTATGTTTTCTAGCTTTAATTTTTATTATTATTTCCATTCTGTGTATGGATTAAATTGTTGGTATGATTTTAGGTTGTTACTTGTCTCGATTCATATTTTATGATTTTCTTTCAAGAAGCATTAGTAGTGTAACGGTATCATACCAGCCTTCCAAGCTGGTGACCCGGGTTCGACTCCCGGCTAATGCATTAGTTTTTGATTTTTTAAAACTTTAACAAGAAATCCCTTCATCTATTGCGAAAGATATAACATACCCTCTAAAAGAGTATTAATTCAACAATAAATATTGCATTTAAAAGATTTACTTATATTAAAAATGGAACTTTGAAATAGGATGATGAATTTTGCAAACTCAAAATAGAATTTTTAAATAAGCTCATCAATACACAAAAAAATGAGTCAACAAGAAGAAGCCATCACTCGCCTCTCGAAAAGATTTGAAACTATTGGGAAATCAATTGGAGAATTGCAATCACAAGTGGATGCATGTTTTTTGGAGAGGAAAAATAGAAAAAGAAAGAAAACGAAAGATTCCTCTGTATCGAATATAAATAAGGAGCCATTGGCAACGACTAATAATCCATTCGTTCAGAAAGGAACTGGGCTTCATATTGATTCGTGGCCATATAATTTGTGGGAAAAATTAAAACCAGATTATTCCTATGAAGAATTTGATAGATTCAGACCATTCCAGTCATTGTTATGTTTGACTGATGGACATGAGGATGAAAATCTATTGGAAGGTGGATTGGAATTAGTGCCAGGTTTTGCTGCAATTGCAGAGGAATATTTCACGGCAACTGATAGAAAATTTAGAGATGGAAAGCAAATGAGAAGTAAAGCCCAATGGGTGAGTCCTTATCACCTTGGATTAGATAAAGAAGAGGATGTTCCAATTTGTGAAATGGTGAGAAAAATTAAGAGAATTCCAAAAGATTGGGAAATGCCAAAAGGATCTGTTCAATTACCACCACCTAAGGGATCAAGCGTTGAGGAATATTTGGATTTTGTCAGGGCAGTGGTGAAGGAACACGATTCTATACCATATGAACCTGTTAGAAAGGGAGATTTTGTCTTTTTCGATATTAGAGTACCTCACCAAAACAGTTCTGGAAATATGATGAATAGAGAAAGAAGTGTTTTCTATCATGCATTCCTAATGGATCACCCTGTAAATTTAAAAACCATAGAATCTCTGAAAGAAAGAAGAAGGAAATTTGAACATCCAGAAGATTTCAGTTCAAAATTCAAAGCAGAACAAAAAGCACTCAATTTGGAAAAGGATTTGATTCCACTCTCAACCCTTGGGAAATATCTCTACAATGAAGAGGACTATCCAGATAATGTTCAATCTGATGAATATTTGAGTAACATTATTGGAAAGCATGGTAAATTACTCACTGAAAAGCATGTGAAATATTTCCAAAGATATGGTTATGTAGTGGTGGAGAATTTAGTTGGTGATAATGATTGTGATCAATTACTCACTGAATTGAAGGAAAATTCAAAACTAGTTGGATGTCCTCTCGATGAAGAATTTACAAAATCTCAATTCAAATCAATTGGTGGTGGATTTGGAGCAATGGTCGAGTGGTACTATCTAAGAATGCAACAACTTTTAAGAATGGATGAAAAGCTCTATGCAGTCACAGTCAATTTACTTTCCAACACGTGGTGCTCATCTACTCCAAATGAATATCAAACTCCATACGAGTGTCCATTCAAAAATCAAATCAATCCAGCCAAGTTGTGGCTCTACATTGACAGAATGAATTTTAGAAGACCTGATAAAGTATAAATTCATCAATTTTACTAAAAAAGTTTCACACAACTACTATCATACTTTAGTAAAGCTTTTAACTATTCGAAATTGTCATAGAAGAATTATTCCGCCTCTTGTAACCGTTACGTTTTTCATTAAATTTAAAAAAAAAACAGAAAATAAAAACCTCTTATTCAGCCAGCAACATCTGTTGTCTTTTCTTTTTCACAAGGATTGGTTATATTTCTTCTATTACCTTTATAAAGCCATACGAGCAAAATACTTTCCCTTTGTGCTTGGGATCAAATTCACAACACAACAAAAAATCATCATAACCGACATGAAGGCCTCACCACTCTTGCAGGAATTCATCAACCACTCATCACCACCTCCATCATCATCAGATGATAACAACAGCAACAATGAGGTGGTTGAATCTCCATCGAAATTACTTAAAAGTGGCTTGAATTCCTTCAAGCTTCATCATCATCATCAACCAACAACATCTTTATTGAGTGATATTTCCAATCTATCATCCTACCGTTCCAGTGTTGGTATTGCCGTTAATAGTGAGGAAAATAATTTAATAGACAATTTGCAATTAATTAATTCTTCAACGTTGGAAGTTGATAATGTTAACCACAACATTTTGGATGAAATTACCAATTTACAAAACACTCTTCATGAACAACACTTGTTCTATCAACAAATTGGAGCAGATATTGGCTCTACATGTGATCGAATTAATGGTTGGCGAATTAACCTACCTCTTATTATCAATCATTTTCGGTTGCAATTATACTCGATTGATAGAACCTACTCACTGATGGCCCTACAGGATTTGGGACTACAATCTCCCATGTTTTCCTATCCAACAACATCTTCATCAGCCTTTGGATTTTCATCATTTCAACATTCATTGAATGGACACGATTTGATGGTTACTTTGTATAATATGATGCTAGAAGAACAGCAACAACAATCTGCATCAAACTCTTCAAATACCATTGCTAGTACCAATAGCAATAATACCATTGGTGCTCCTACTCCTTCACTGTCGGCTTCTTCTCTTGTCAAGACAACAGGCAAATATTCAAAGTTATTTCAAAGTTTGTGGAGTAATAGCAATGAATCAACCTCTCCAGGGAATACCAACAATAATCCACTTCCATCATCATTACTACAAGGATTGGATGGTGGTGGAGGGAGTAACTTGTTCAAATTTTCTTCATCCATTCCAAAACCATCCCGATTGTACAAATTTCAAGATAAGGATCATCCACTCTCTGTATTGAAACATCACTATGAGGAATTGATAGAGTATCTTCGATTGAATCCAAAGTTTTTCAGTAAGGTTATCAAGTATTGGATTTCTAAACAAACTCTTTCACAATTATATGTGGCAAAGGAGTATGATGCTCATGAGAGAATGGCCTTTATTATTAATTATTCGTTTTATGGAAATTTATCAAATCCATTAGAATCCAAATGTTTGTTAAAATTCATCAAGGTAGGTTTTGAGTTGAGGAATTGTTTGAATTTAAGATTTTGAAATATTCAGTATACTTTGGAGAATGTACTTGATGATTGTTCAAATGATAATCCATTTGAGATTTTTGAGAATGTATTTCTATTCAGACTTGTTTTTCTCTATGTGAGAAGAAAAGGAAAGGAATTTGTAAAGAATGTGCTTGGAGAAGCAATGATTGAATTATTTTCGAATGAGGATTTGGAATTACCAATTGTATCATATGATGTGCCACCTTCAGAGCAAAAAGCTGAACAATCAAAAAGCAAGTCAGGCTTTTTATTCTTTCAAGCTGCATGTGCAACTAATAATGGTGATACGAGTCCAGTATCTCCAAATTATATTTCTACTAATGTTTTCACTTCATCTAAATCTATGGGTATGTTTTATTTAATTATCATCGTGCATTATTAATTTCCAATCCCAGTTGAAACCAACCTCTACAATCTATGCACTAGGATTTTATACTCACTCTATGATAACTTTTCTAACTTGTCACCAAACATTCTCCTACTCATGAAATACTTATTGAAAGGGATTTCTAAAAAATATGGAAGCAAGCTCAATAATCTATCAAAAGGATTATTACTCAAACGATTCTTCTTTGGATGGTATTTACTTCCTGCAGCTTCTAGACCTGAGTGTTTTGGACTGGCTAGTGTACCTGCACTAGGTACAACTCAGTCCAAAGTTCGAACCATCGTTCTCGTCTTGCAAGCAATTGCCTTAGAGAAGCCATTCGAAAAATTATCTTCACTAAGCTATCTTAATGATTTCATCTTTATTCACAGCGCAAAAATCAATGAAATGTTTGAAAAATTAGTATGTGAATGGTTCTCAGAAAAGAATGATTTGATTGAGGGACTGAAGCACTATGCAAACACTGTAGCAAAGAAGGACTCTACTGTTTCATTCTCTATCGAAGAAATGAAGAAAAATCAGGTACTTTCTCCAACTTGCTTGTCCACAAAAGACATTGAGTTGATATTAAATGTATGCATGGATTCTGAATTTTTAAGCAAGTCAGACTCGCCTATTGTGGAAACAGTCAATGATATTAAATCTTGGAATAGAACTAAATTCAAAGATGAAAAGTTCATAGTATTGAACTATAAGGATTTGAAGAAGAAGGAAATTATGGAATCTTTAGAACTTTCTGAAACCACAACACCTAGAAGTTCATTTGAAGCCATTGTACGTCAATTCAAACAAGTATTTTTGATGGTTAATTCAGTGGAGAGAATTTGTTCGGAAATGAAATCTATCAACTCTGATTCAACCACAACATTATTGCAACTTCTCTCTTTCCTTGATGTGAGGGAACGAAATGAAAAAACTTGGGAGAATGGAGTGAGTAGTGTCTACATTCAAGAGCTTTCTCAAAGTTTGAAGAATACCTCCTTTTCCATCGAATCTATAATCAATAGAATCTATGGAGACTTAAAGACCAGTGATACCAATCTCGACATTATGATAGGAAAGCAAAAACAATTGTTGAGAATTTTACAAAGTATTGAACTGCAAGTGAATGATCTTGAAAGAGAAAGAGCGTACGTTGATGATATGTTCGATGATTTGTTGGTTGGAGAGCTTATTTCTAGCATTGATTTTAAACAATTTTGTAAAGATTTTTCCAAATCAGCATTCATAGAAGATCAGTTAAATATAATCAAGAACCAATACATCACTAGAAAGGTTGAACTTTTAAACTCCCTCAAAGAGTTAAAGCTCTCAGAGCATCAAATTCAGAGAATTGACAAGATTTTACAAAAGACAATCATCTCCAAAATTGTGAGGTATACTGTTCCAAGAGGCTATGAGCATAATACTAATATGAACAGAAACTCATTCTATAAGGAGGAAAGTTTGTTGAGAGTTAAAATGACTTCGTTATTTGATGTACATCCAGAAGATTTTGGTATCCCTAAGGTATATGTGAAAATTTGTAATAACAAGCTAGTGCAAGAGGAGCTAAAGAAACTAGATCCAATAGCCATAACGCCTCAAGAGAAAGTTCAAGTGATTTTGAATAGTTGTATGATTATTGTTGAATTGATGAAATCGACTGGTTCTAGTTATAATATCGATGACTTTTTAATTTTGCTTGTTTACAATATTATCAAAGCTGGAATACCTAATTTATACAGTAATTTGATATTTATCAAGAGATTTTATGGAGTTTTTCTAGATCCACCCCAATCAAAACAACCTCTCTATGGAATTGGATCAGAGAATGAGTATTGGTTTAAACAATTTGAAACTGCTATTTTGTTTTTACTCGATTATTCCAATAATTCTAATGCACAACCATTACCAACTCGAGAAGAAACTGAAAAGAAGCAAGAGCCGATTAAGGAAGAACCCCTATCACCAAAGAGAGTTACAAATAGTATTAGATCCACTGAAAGTGACCCAATAGTAACAATAGCGAAAAATGTTGGCAGATTTGAGAATATTGCATGTTCTGATTTGAAATTCTCAGACATTCCAGATCTGTTGAATGAGTACAAATTATTATTGGGATATTTCAACAAACAAAAGAAGTAACCATAAAGATTTATTTGGTTTATTTAGGATAGAAAAAGAAATTGTTTAATACAAGCTAACGTACACAGATGATATTTACAAAAGGCCACGTAGAACATTTAACAAGAATCCCGTGTGGTCCAATGGCTAAGATACCTGGCTCTCACCCAGGAGATCCGGGTTCAATTCCCGGCACGGGAGGATTCAATTTTTCTTTTTTGCTTCCTGGTATCTTACCCAAACTTTCTTCCAAATGAAAAATTATCATTAACCTTAAAAAAATATCTCTTCATGAACATTGTTCCACCTACCACACAAACAGTTCTTTCCGATCATCATCGTTTGGACCAATTTCCAACAGAAATGATCTCTATCATTTTGGGATTTTGTGATCCGAGAACAATGGTCAATATTATATGTACATGTAAACGGTTGAGAGTACTCTCCATACAAATTCTTTTAAATGGTAGATCGAGGCAGGAATATTGGGCAAAGGGAATTTCCATTCGACATTTATGTAGAGAGGAGTGGATGGTTGATGTTTTACAACTTCCGAATGAAATATTGAATTGTTATTTGGAATTTTTGATGAAGGAAGATGAATTGGAGGAAATGAAAAGATTGGATTTGTGTTGTTTTGCAAATTTGGGAGAGAAATATATGAAAAATGTTGTTAAATTTATGAACAAGTTCCATATTGAGGAGTTGATCATGAGTCACTCTAATGGTGTTATTGATTGGGTTAATAGAAACTATAAGGATTTGAAATTCTTGTCTAAATTGTCAATTGTGGTTTTACAAAAAGTTTGGTTTAGTGACGAATTGAAATTCAAACCAAGTATTCCATTGAAAGTTCTTCAAACCTTATTATCTGATAATTCTGAGGTTGAGAATTTCTGTAATTCGCAGTATTGCTCAAATTTTGAGGAATTGACAATAGGCACATCAGAAGTAGATTTTGGCAATGCATTTGTGAATATTTTGGAAAAATGCACCAATTTGAGGGTATTTGATCTTAGAATTATAAGGTCATACAATGTGAATGCCTCATATCCATTAATTAAAATTAATGATGAAACTCTACAGATATTGAGAAATTGTAAAAAATTAGAAGTGTTAAGACTTGATGGATATTATGACAAATACCTGAATATTAACAAACTAGTAGATGATATGGATGGAATATTTCCAAATTTGAAAACATTTGAATGTTTTTTTCCAGTTGCAACTGATTTATGTCTTGTTCCGAAACATGAATTGGAATCCATTGCTCTAAGAATTCCTCCAAATAATGCTAGATTGCCGAAATGTGATACCTTCTATCTCAATCAAGCTAGCTTTATTCCTGAAATTGATTGTAAAAAATTATTTCTCCTTGACCCTTCAATGGTAAATCTTAATAAGAATTTGTGTGAACTCTTATCAATTATTCCAGAGTTGAAAGAATTGTACCTTTATCATTCAAATATTACTTACAGTCAAGGAGCATTTATATCCTCCAATTCGTACAAACTCAATATTGAAAAATTGTGGATACGTAAGGGCTATTTTGAAGTGGATATTTTAATCCATCTGATTCGAAACTGCCCTAATTTGAAAGAACTCTACCTTGAGAATGTTAAAATAACAAATTCTCTTGCAACCATTTTTGATTCTCAAGAATTGAACGAGTCTAAATTGAGAGTTTTTCATTTCAAAAGTTGTTCTCTTAATTATCCATTGCTCATTGAACAATTAACAAAGGATTTCACATTTCCTTACTTGGATTCTATAGTCTTGGAAAATGCCTACTCGATTACTAAGGAAATTCTCAGTTCTCTACTTGAAAGGGTCAAAACACTTTCCACTTTGAACATATCTGGAGTAGAATTTGATAATGAGTTGATTGAAAAATATTTGGTATTGAAAAAGAACAATATTGAAAGTGAATTATCATTTAATGGAAAGGGAATCACCCTTGAATATGTGAAAAATCTTGATGTTATTAAGGGGTTGACAGCTTTCTCATTACCTGATTGCATTCTTGATAATGACGAGATGATTCAAGTTTTAGATTTGATAGGAAGGGATAAGTTGCTGAAGATTCAAATTAATCTTGGAAAATCTGGACCTACCATTGAGCTGTTCAAAAAATTACAAGAATTCACTTCATTACAAATGATTTATCTTGTAGGCAAACCTGAACAAAAAATTGAAGGACTGGAAGAATTTATTCTGGATGATTTTCTAATTTCCATGCCAAGTATTCGACTATTGTACTTGGAAAGTGGTGAGTTTAAAAGAGAGGCGATTGAGATTACAAAAGGTGTTATTCGATCGCTTGGCAAATCAGCACCTAAACTTTTAGTGCCTATGGAGAGAGGTCCATATCCTTTCAAGGTGAAAGAAAAACAAGAAACTGGAAGTTGGTGCCAATTGATGTAAATATCTTGAATTTTCCTGTTGTCAAAATACGCATGTCTTTGTTTTTTTAAATTTTCTGTTTATTCAAAATCAAAGTTTGTTTCTTGAATATTTTGTACCATGTGTGGATTAGGTTTCATCTTCTTCAAATCATTTTCGAATTCGTTGTAGCTCCAATTGTTTACTTGCACTGGTGGTTGAGACAAATTAAGTGGAACATGTTGATAAAATGACATGCCGTTACCAATCATCAAGTTTTGATTCATATCTTGAGCTGGTGTATTGATTGAATTCAACAATAAAGAAAGTAAATGGTGTTCAAAAGCTCTCTTTTGTTCTTCCATGTCGTGAGGAGTAATGATTTGTTCTTGCTCAAATGAATTCGAGAAATAGCTATTGTTATTGATTGGATAGTGAGCAATTGTTGAAGGTGAGGTGTTACCAGAACTTGTTTGTGAGGAAGATCTTGGAGAGTTGAGAGTTGGACTAGTGGCAACAGCAGCTGGTTGTTGTGAAGTAACCAATCCCTTAGGTGAGTGAGTAGCTTTTACCAATGCTTGGAAACTTTCACGACTTCTCTTAGAACCCTTCTTATTGGACTTGGTTTGTTTAGAGGCAGAGGAATCTGATTGTGAGTTTTCAGTTGGTGATTGAACGGTTGGTTGTTCTGAATCAGATGTGTTGGCTTGTTGGAGAGCTTTCTTAGCACCAGGTCTAGCAATAGGCTTCTTTGACTTGATAATGAATGGAGGTGATTGCAAGGTTACAACATCAGTGAATGTTGGTTCACTGTCATCTTGAGTTCCATTAGCTCTGGCAGATAAGATGACATTCAATCTGAACTTCTTGTAACCGTACTTGTAGGAACAAATGTTGAACTGGAATGGTCCCAACTTGAGATTCAATCCATCGAATGAATGCTCAGTATTAGACATGCAACATTGTTGACCATCACTTGGCAATACAGGAGAACCATCTTCAAAGCAAATTTCAACTCTGCACTTGACACGATTCTTATTCAACTCTGAGAGTGCTTTCTTAGTCAATGGTTTACCATTAGTATCTTGGGAAACTGTAATGTAGTCCTTTCCAAAGCTCTTAACCTTCATTAACATGTGATACTTGTAAGGAATCTTGTACCAAATATTTTCAAATTGGGCAGTAAAGAATTCCTTTCTCTTTTTACATGCTTTGAATTGAGGGAATTCACCTAACTGCCATTCTCTTTCTCTATTCGAATCTGTCCAAGAAACTTTCCAGTTAGCATTATTGTCATCAGCAACAAAGTCAGAGAGTTCATCTTCTTGTTGGTTGACTGGAGAAGGTTCTGATTGTTGTTGTTGAGGTTTTTGATCAACAACTTGTGGAGTAGCATTCGATGAGTTAGTTTTAAGAGTTGTAGTATTATTATTATTGATCATGATCATTTCGTTATCATGTAAATGACTTAATAATTCTTCATCTTCAGGAGAGAGAACCAACGAATTGGTAAAATGTGAATTATTATCAAAGAATGATTGAGTATTGTTACAAGTGGAGGTGGTTAGAAGAGGAGCAGAGGAGGTAGAATTGAAGAATTTTGGAGTTGACTGTAAGGATTGAGCATAATATTGTTGTTGTAAGTAATTTGGTCGTTGATTAATTACTTGGTGGCTAAGGATTGATTGCTGTTGTTGCATGTTAATTTGTTGTTTGTATAATTGTGGAAGAGTATTCATAGTTGACTGGTTGACTACATTCATAAATGGTTGTTGTCTCATGAATGCATTATTAGGGGATGATATCATTGTGTAGTTATCATTTGATTGTTGATTAGCCATCAATTGAAAAGCTTGATGTTGAGGTGTTGTTGAGGCAAAATATTGTTGATTCATTTCTAAGGTTTTATATTGAGAGAGTTAGCTAGATATATTTACACACACAAAGTTTCTCGAGCGTAATACTGTGTAATCCAATTCGATTAATATTTGTTATAGTATACTATTTAGTGTAGTCTTTGATTTTTCTTCAAAGGCTTGTTGTTGTTGTCCTGCCGCAGCTGCTTGCTTGTGTAGAAGTTTACGCTTCTATTGATGTTGTTGTTGGAGTTTGTTAAAGACGAACGCTGTCTTTTTTTTCTGAATGGTTTTTTTCAATACTCAGGCTGCGCGCCAAAGCTATTTGTCTTGTAGTTTGTTAGCGTTGTGAAGAGTTTCAACATGCGTGATACAGATCAAATCATGGCAAGATTTGCGCGTGATAGGGCGGCTATCACGATCAAACTCTCGAGAGATGAGCCTTCTCACGATTGAATAAATGGAAATAAAGCTTGGTGCGAATGAAGGGGCCGTCAGTTGTCTACAATATGTCAGATTTGGAGTTGCTAACAAAGGAAGTGAATGAATTGTTTTGAGAAGTAAGTTGAAAATTTGAATGTACTTATTTATTGGTTAGGTGGTAATTATTTGGATTTCATTGAGGATTTAATAGTTGTTGAATGATTTTACTGTACTATTTCACTGTACAATTAACAAAATAAAATTTGACAGGTGCTTGTCAAATGCCATCCAATAAGACAGGTTACTGTTTGAACATCTAAAAAAGAGTAATGATTTCAAATAATGGTTTTTTTATTTTCCAAGAGGTTTTTGAAAGATCATTGATTTGAAATTGATGGACGAACTAACATGGCTAGTATTGTTGATTTAACATGGTTCTCTCATCGTGTAACTGTAAAAGTGACAACTAAAGCGGACGGAATACGTAAGCATTGTAACAAACTACAGTTATGCATGATTTAATGAACAAATCACGACAAGAAACCAAGAAATTACATGGTCAACTGGGATTGAATTGATCACTGGCAGGTGGGGAGTAAACTTTGATACATTCAGAACATTGAAGAATATCTGTGGAAGAGATAAAGCATGAGATATGTCATGTCGTTACATGTTTTTTTTTAATGAAGAAGAATTGATCAACTGGAAAGTTTTTAACCAGCTAGAAGTGAAACTGTAATGGAAATTGTATTTTGAGCTGGAAAGAAGTAAATCAGATCGTGGTCATTAAGGGATTATTTTCAATCTGAATGTATTCCCGTGTAGTCCAATGGCTAGGATACCTGGCTTTCACCCAGGAGGTCCGGGTTCAATTCCCGGCATGGGAGAATACTTTTTACTTTAAAATGCTAACAATATTATTGTAGACATTCAATCAATTTCCAACATTTTACAAAGTTGTACAAACTATTAGTGCTCTCGCAATTTTTCTTCGAAACCAAAAACTGTCGCGTTAAACTTTGTCCATTGCAAAATTGCGCCATTCAAAAATCTCCTTCAAAAAAAACAACAAAATACAAAAACACCCATTTCCTCTCAATAAAATTTTATAGAGTTTGATTTTAGAGTTTGATCAAAAAATGTTTCTCTTCCGAAGAAAGAATAGCACTGCCACACTGTCCTCCTCTTCCTCGACATCTTCGTTGAATGGAGGAGTACCAGCCAATAAGAGACAATTTACATTTGCTGTGCAAGTGGAGAGCATTGGTGAGTAGAGTTTTGTGTTTTGATGATTTTAATCATGATGAAAATTATCGAAATACAATGATGATGATGATTTTTTAATGTTTGAATATTCTCTTCCAATATTGGAAATGGATATTCTCTTGAATGATAGAAAATATACCACTCTATATGCAAATTCCACTCTCTGTTGAGGTTTATAAATTAAATAATGCATTGAATGCCAGTACAAGTCAAATGACAATCAAGGGAAAATTGTTTAGAAAGAAGAAATTAGTGGGATCAACTCCATTTAAATTGGTTGATTCATCGACACAAAAATCAAATTACATGTCGACTATGGAGTTTTTGTGTAACCTTCCCTATGATGAGATTTCTGGAAAATTAGTGAAAGGACCTGTCACATCAACAACTGTTTTTCCACCAATTAATGAGGCAATATCTAATGTTGAGGAAAATAATGATAGTAATAACTCTACATCTGCTGCTGTAGGAGATGGAAAGTTTTTGCAAATAGTTGTAAATAAGAAATTGCATACAAGTAACAAGATTGAATTCGTCAATGAAATGTTGGTCGATTTGTCACATTACTGTTTATTGAATAGTGAATATCAATGCAGAATTTCAGTTCCTTTTGAACTTTCGAGTGGTGTAACTGTAAATATTACCATGATCATATTTTCTACAATTGGAAATCAATTATTAGGAAGAAAATCAGGAAGTTTGGATTTGTCAAGACCAATGACTGCAACCAATACTTCACCATCACGAGAGGTGTCTGTAGATGTTTCCCCAAAGATTTCTCCTCAAATTAATCGTGTATTGAGTGCTGATCTCGATGATAGTCCTTTCATTAATAGTAATACTAGTGGTAATAATAATAATAATGGATCGTCAGCATTCTCTCCAACTAATTACTCAAATTCTACTTCATCACTCAATGGAAATAATGCTAGTAATGGTGTTCAGGACTTTTTCAAACGAAGAGCTGAATTGAATTCAGGAAGATCAAGATCGGGCTCCTCTCCAATTGCCATGCAACACACTCCATATAGTCCACAACCTTACGAACCATCAACTTTTAACAACCCTACATCAGTCAACACCTTTACTGAAGGACAAAACAGTGGCACCCTTTCAGATCCTAGCCCTTCACTTATCGATACAGGAGTAGTACCAAACCGTGAGGAAAATATTGACGTACTCAGGCAAGAAAACCAACATTTGAAATCAGTTCTACAAAGAGCTAAAGTGAGGTTCCAAGAAGTTGTCTCTGAAAATTCCCAACTCAAAGAAAGAATCAAACAATTAGAAGAGCAAATGACCCTTCTCCAAACAGCATCATCACCCAATCCTTTCCCAGGCACTACTTCAAAGGATTTATTGGATTTTTTCTAAGGATTAGTATTATCTGTTTCCATTTCAATTATAATTGGACAATTTAAATGTAAATATTTGGCATTCTCACTATTTATGAAATCAATTTGCTGATTTTTAATATCCTCTATTTGTCCAATCGCACTTGGAAGCACAATAATTTTGTAAACTTTGTATCCTTGGAAAATTAAATGTATGCGATCATTCAACAAATTGTTGTCGAATCCTATCTATTTGTTTGGTATTCGAATTGCTAGTTTCAATGGATACCTTCTCTCTAAATTGTTTCTTTCCTCCACCTTGATTATCTCCAGAGTGAGGATAAACATGATTGGTGCGATTGGATAGAATAATTGAATCTTTATTCTTTCAAAAAAATGCATTCGAATAGTAATACTTCGGACCCATCGAACAATGATCAACACCACCACGATAATGGCACAACTTTTGAAGAAATAAAGAAGTTAAGTTCTTCACCAACTCTAGCTCGAAAGGAAAAGGCACCTTCGCTTGGCACCTCTCCTTCAAACAATAATTCAATAATCCAATACTTTATTCGAAAGCGTTCAAAAAGTATTGACCTCAAGGAAAGTAAAAGCAACCATCGAGTCATGATGCCACTCCACTGTATCCTCAAACACAATTATCATGAAAAGATTTTACGAGAATCAACTAATCCTTCTCTCCTCAATCGTTCACTTTCTCTGGCGAATCTAACCTCAAGTCCAAATTCACCTCTCGTTCAAAGTCCATCCTCTGAAAATCATCAACCTCCTCTCCTGATTCATTCTCCACGTGGTGGTAGAAGAGATTCAGTTTCCTCATCAGATAGTTCATCAACTGAAGATTCTTCATCCTCTTCATTTGTTACTTCATCATCTGACAGTCAATCCACACTGAAATCACCACTTTCAATGAAAGAAACAGATTTTGGAAATGTAAACTTTATCAGAGAAACATTTACTGATTATCTATCTCAAACCAAAGTACTCGGCATTAAACAAGCAAATGTTAAATTACTATTTTTGGATCATTTTTATGAAATTTCGAGACCATTCTCAAAGAAGGGATTTGAAAATGGAAAGGAGGTGATTCGATTGATGGAACAGTTTTGTAAATGTTTTGTGAATTTTAGTATTGATAGTTATATAATAGATATGGAGTTGATTGAGGAGAAAATTCATTCGGGAGTTGAATTTCCTTATTTAAGTCACTTGTATTCGAATTCAAATTTTGGACCTGTGAGACATGAAGCTTTGGAAGCTGTCATGATTGAGGTTTGCAACAAGTTGTTAAAGAAACAAAATCAAAATACAGAAATAGTCACAGGACATGTCGAAACTGAACTAATAACCAAAGAAGAAACTTTGCTTTTGAAAGATGTAACAGAAAAAATACAACTCGTATGTGAAATGTTCTATACTGAGCTTCAGGATGTCTTTTCCTATTTTCAAGCTCACAAAAAGTATAGATCCATGATTAGTGTGTGGCTCAAGAAGGGCATTGATAATCAAACTATTCCACTTCATGTACTCGATCTTTACAAGAAGAAACTCGAAGGGGATGAAAAGGCTCTCAATACTTTCAAATTTTCTGATGAAGATTTCAAGGCAAAGAATATCATTGATAAGGATTGGAATTTTGCCAAGTATTTCTCTCAGGATATTTCCACTGATTGGTACGTTTCGTGTAGAGATGAGAAATATGTACAGTGGAGTACGAAAACTGAATATTCGTATAATGATAAGGATCTGAGAGCTTCAAAATTGATTGGAAATTTGAATTATCCTCTCGAAAAGATTGTAAAATCATTCAATACTGAAAAACATTTAGCTCAATCATTTACTAACGTGAAATTTCATGAGTATAATCCAATTAATGAATCTAGCTCTTTGCAAAAGTATCCATCAGGAATTTTAACGTCTAAATTGAAATTTGGACCACTTTTGAAGAAGAGAAGTGTTAAGGTAATTTTCTCGACCAAAACGAAATTTATTGGAAATGAAATGTCAGAATTTATTCTATTCTTCAAAAGTTGTGATTATCAGGAATCAGGAAAGGACATTCCAGTCACAGTAATTGGATGCAGAGTTTTTACAAAACTTGACAAGAATCGAACAAGATTCTTGCAAGTTCGAATGGGTAATCTGGGTGGATTATTGAATACATCTCTAATTATTCACAACAAGTTGTCATTTAAATTTGTTTCATCACAACAATTTTTTTTTTCATTGAAGGAATATTTTAGGAAACACCTACCGCCACCTTAAGAAAATGGCAGCAGAGGAATTTTCTAAATTGATGGATATGATTAAGAGTGCTGAAAAGGAAGGATTTCCAATGCCTCCAATTGAGAATAATCATTTAATGAGAATTTGGATTGATTATTGTAAACATTATTGTCAAGTAGATGTTTTGGAAAAGTACAATAATAATGAATGAGTTTCATCACGAAGTTTTTGGATTTCTTAAATATTTGAGCATCTGCTTTATCATTTATTACTTTTTGATTAAATGCTTCTTGTAAATGTTCACTCTCTGCTCTGGTGTTAACTCGTCGAATATTTGTGGATCCCTCTGGAGGATATCGTCATAATTCCTGGCCAAGAGGAAGAAACAATAATCCTGCAAGACAGCATCTCCAAATTCATTTGCAATTTCCAAAATATGCAATGCTGTATATTCATCAAATTCAAATTGTTTGATAGTTGCTCTGGCCTTATCTTGTAGCAATGACAATTCCAACAAGTGACTCAGAACATAAATTTCCACAGCATTTCCAGAATTTAAATCCAAAGGATAACTCGGACAATAAATGAAACTCATCACTACCACCAAGCTCTGTATACTGATAGAGTCCATGATAAGAATTCTCTTTTGAGCTTCGAAAAATTGAGAGTTAAATGTGGCAGCAAAGTATTTCGATGAAATACAAAGGATCATTTTGTGTACATTGATGGATCTGTAAATTGGTGGGTTGTAAGTGTGATCTGGAGCTAAAATTCTAACGAGACCTTGTTTTACATCTGGAACAGAGTTTGGATCGTTAGATAGCATTGATCTAAATTCTTCAATATCTTCAACATCTTCATTTGGACTAATCTTGAGGAATGATGGTAATTCCTTTTCCAAAGTCTTGAAGTTATGAGAGAGGAATGAACTCAATGAAGGCTCTCTCAGTAATGATTGGACGAGTAGAGTAATTTTGAAATGAACAGCCATTTGAAAAATATCCTTAAAATGTTCAGATTTCAAATCGGTAGCATCAAACATTCCAGAATAAATATATTGCAAGACTCTTATGAAAGCTCTCTTGAGATGTTTCACTTCTGGCACATAATTAATTCTGATATAAGTTAAATCTCCATGATTCAACTCATAGGAATCCAAATTTGAAGAATTAACATCTAAACCTAGCTTTCTCAGTTCTGCAACCATGATCATCTTTTTTAATTCTGGAAAACGTTGAAGGATGAGTTTGTGTGCACAACATGGAAGTTTTTCTCTTTCTGTTAGGACCTCTGATTCTTCCTCTTCTGGAGTGAAAATGAAAACCAAGTCTGCATCATCTGGCTGGGTAGTTTCCAACCATTTAAAGTATGTCTCTGATTGTGCAACAACTGCTGATTTTTGACTCTTCAGAATCTTATCACTTCTAAAACATCTTACCGAGTGTTCAGATGTAATCGATTTCTTTTGGAAGAGTATTCTATTCAAGAATGCTCCATATGAATTGAATGTTAAGGAACGAGTTGAACAACCACCCAATAGAACATAGGAGTCAGTAAGTGTCTGAATAGTACCTGCGGTAGCAGCACTATCAAAATCATTATCAGGGACAGAAGGGACAATAAGCCACCTATTTTCCTTAATGTTATATTCAAAAAAGTTAGTATTCCAATTGGAGCCATCAAATCCTCCGTACAGTACCAGTGTATTAGAATCTCTCATAAGTAGTGTGGCCATTGTAAGCTGGGGCACAAAATTAGTCTGAGTTGTTTTGTTTGTCCATAATTTGGTTTCAATATCGTAGTAGTGCATGTCATTGAATATTTGTCCATCATTATGACCTCCAAATATGAAAATTCTTCAATAGTTACAAAATGAATATTTGTTTGATTAATTTACCAACTTACCTTCCTTGAGATTGAGTAATAGCAGCACCAGCCCTTGGTGAAATATCAGAAGCAATAGATTCCACTTTTTCAAAACTTGTAAATCCACCATGCCATTCATAACAGTTAAAATCATTTGTATATCCAGATTTTCCATAACCTCCAAGTGTGTACAATCTATTGTCATAAACACAGGAGGAATGTCCACAAATTGGACTAGCAAGTTTACCTGCTGTTTGCCATTCAATTCCTGCACCTGTGATTCGTCCAGTATAAATTTCAGCTGAATAAGTCTTTGGATCTGTTAAACCTCCAATAATCACAAATCCACCCTTCATTCCATTGAAAGAATGGAATAACCTTGGACTACAGGTTGAACTTTGCTTGACTTTCTTTACATTAATGTTCTTTCCTTCCTCCAAAGCAACTTCGAACATGTCATTAGAAAGAGCCCCATTATCTAATATCCATTCCATCAATCAATTCTAGAATCAAGTCAATTAAATACTTACAAATACCTCCCCAAGTATAAACCTTTGAATCCATGTTACAACTTGTCATCATCATTCTTTGCATTCCCTTCTTCTTCTCAACACATTCCTTTGTAAATGAAAGTGATGAATAAAAACTATCCACAAATGCATAATAACCCTTCTTGGTATCTTTCTTATAGTGCAAAATAGTACGTTCCAACTTTTCAAGATCATCAGTTGGATTTGATTGCTTAACCTTTGGTTTCTGAATGTCATTTCCCTTATTCACCAATTCTGAATCAAAATCCTTGATTGCTGAACTCTTTTCCACCAGAAAATCCTCAACATCTTGAATGAGAATAAACATGACAACTTGTCCAATCGAATCCCTTGCCTTATTATTCAAAATCTCAAGTAAATCTTCAATTTCCTTCTCTTGAATTTCTTGTGCCACTCTTCTCATCTCTTTAAACTCTTCATGTTCTTCATACATTTCAGGAGGACAATAAATAAAAACCTTTTCCATGGCTGATTGGATTTTAATTTGGGGCACATCACTAGTTGGATATCCCGAAGGAAATTCAACACTCAAAATTAAACCAGTTTGAAACAAGTGATACAAGTGATCAGTCTTCTTCGAGGTGATTATTTGTCTCTCTATTAATGATGGAATTTTCAATCGGAATGACAATAAATTATCTTCAATGTTATTGCCATGATCAAGATTATTATTATCATCATTAGAACAAGACGGCGAGAGTTGCTGAATATCATCAGCATAAATCGACTGTAAAACTTGAAACTCTTCGAACTGGGCTGCTTGATTGTTTTCTTCCATATTTTTAAATTGATTTGTTTTTTTCTTAGAAATGAACTTGAGAATTGTGAAAACGTGAGTTGTAAAACGAAATTGAAGAAGAAAATGGTTCAAATTCAAAGATGAAAGTGAATGTGCATTTTCATGAATGCATTTGAAGTGTTTGGAATGATGAAAAAAGAAAGGTCTCTTGAAATTATTATTATTATTGAGCAGCATTCTTCATGGAAAGTAAAACATTGACAATGGTTATTCCTCCATTATCTTCAAAAGTGTAGCCAACTGAGTTTTGAATCATTCTGGATTTGGAGAGGAGAGGAAGTAAGGTCCAAACACATGGAAAGTTCTCCTGAGCAAAGCTTTCAATTTCTTTGGCAAGATGAGTGGCAATATGATTTCTCAATGATTCAGTGGAATAATCTTTGGAATCTGAATTGCTACTGACCACTTTCTGAATGGCTTCTCTCAGAATGAGAGTCCAATCTTGGAAAACCTTTCCAATAGGTGGGAATTTATAGTAGGGAATGTCAATACCTTGATGGTGCTGTTCTGTTTTGGATTTAATTTCCTCCTCGAATCGAGTATCTATTGTCTTGATGAGCTCTTCTTGTTTTGTGGAGGTGAATTTCTTAGAGTTGAAGTGGGTGAGAAGTTGTAAGTGAGACGAATCTTTCTTATTAGTACTCATCAAATATTTCATTCTTCCATTCAATACAGTGAGCATTTTAGTGCAGATGGATTTCATTCTCGATAAGGCCAATTCCTTCACAAAATCTGGATAGGTCGATACGATGGTTTTGGCAGCGTGCATTTCCTCAAAGCTTGATTCAATATCTGTTCCAAGCATTTTCATAATCTCGTAAATCTTGGCATGTTTTCCATTGCAAGACACAAATAAAATATCTTTGGCATGTGTTTCAATATTCTTAATCCAAAAATCGATCATTTTCTGCAAAATTTCCTCTCTAGAATCAGAGCTGTGATCGTAAAAGTTTCTCTCAATTTCTAAAAAGTGCTCTCTAGTGGGTCTCTTTTTGAAATTCTCAAATACAATATGTAGATATCTTTTCTTTTCCTTCTTTTCAAAGGTACTTCTGCAAGTACCCATCCTAGATCCAAGATTTCCCTCCTTCTCAATGAGGATCATCTTATCGACCAATTCGTGTCTCTGGAGTGAGGTAATTCTTTCATCATTTCTCAATTCTGAGAATAGATTGAATACCTTATTCCAAAACTTTGGCCAAAACTCGATAAAAGAATCACTCACTCTATCTGAATAGTCCTTGTGAATTTTGTGACAGACTGAGATAGTCTTTTTCAGATAGAGAATGATAATTTCCCATGTTTTCCTAGTCTTTGGTTCTATTACTTGGAGGGAACGAATCATTTCATGACAGGCATTAAAGAGGGTATCAAGAGCCTCTCCTTCAGATATGAACTCTACAACATTGTCATGCAAAGTTTCACCCGTTATGCAAGCCAAAAGTCTACTGCTTGCGTCATGAATCGAATCCATCAATGGAAAATGTGTCAATTTCTTCTCTGCTTTCAACTGTTCAGAAAACTTTCCACTCTCAACCTCCTTAATAAAACTCAAAATCTCTTCCACAATTTGATGTTCTGAAATTTTGTGGAAAATATGCAAAACTTTCAAATCCTTAGAAATTAGATAAGTAACAGATTGTGGTTTTTTCAACTTGGCGTCCAAACATCTAAATTCCCTACAAATCTTCAAATCCTTATCCAATATAATATCCTGTTCATACTCATTACTCTTGTCCAATGTTTTTGAATTGGAAATTCCAATCACTGCAATCTCCTTCTCCTTAAATTTACTTAAATCCTCCGAAAAGACTTGTGAAAGATCAGTCCTTTTCAACTTTTCCTTATTATCCCTGAAAAAGTACAACAAAATGTACTTGTGTTTCTTAGAGAGTTTTAACAAGTTAATTTTCCTAGCGTGATTGGATGAAACAGTCTTGAAATCTGGAACCGAATCGCCTTCATCCAGCAATAAACATTCAATCGGAACGAATGATGTCTGCTGTTCAGCCATCAATATATCCTGCTTATCCAAAGTAAATCCATGATTTAAAACAATATCATAGTCTTCCTCATCCTCTTGAAAGGTATCCTCTTGAAGTTTTTCAACGAGTGGAGAAGGCTCCACCGGCTCCAAAGTCTTTTTTCTCTTAATTCTTTCCACAATTAATTCTTGAGTTTCAAGCGAATGATTGGCTTCGGAATTGTTTTCTTTTTGCTCGTTTGTTGTTGATGATATTTCATCATGGTGAAGAGTGTTCTCGGAAGCTGATGATGATGCATGTTCATTATCTTCCTTGTACTTCCTCTTGCGAGAGGGAGTTTTTTGCTGGGAAGAATCACTCGCTTTGTTTGTTGTTTTCATTTTTTTTCTTGGATTTCTCTTTATTTGGAAGTTTTAAAAAGGTCATGAATAGTATTTAAATGGAATGAGTTTTACAAAATTGTGTTATTTTTATTTACAGTATTTTTAAACTCTCAGAGCTTGTGGGAAGGTAACACCTGGCAAGTTGAATACCAACTTGTTGAGAGAGTTGGCAAATTCTGTACCATCCTCAGAGAAGAACCACACTGTGGAAGTGTCGCTTTCTGATACTTCTTGTTCTGGATTCATGGATTGCATACAGAAAGATCTATCGAATGACTTGAGTAACTTGATGTCACTGACTGATTCTTCATTTTCAAAGTACTTCATACCATCTAACCAGTGACAGAAATCATTCAATTCTTTTCTTGAGTTAAAAGTAATATAATCATTTTCCCAATAGGAGCTTTCAGGATATTGTTCCTTGAGTGACTTGATAGCATCAGAGAAGTAGAACTTTCTTTCACTTCTTCCCTTTCTCAGATCTTCGAGATATCTTTCAAATGGTGAAAGAGGAGAAGTTTGTGGTTTATCACTCCACAAATTCAATCTTCCCAATACATCTGTAACAAAGTGTTGACAGTTGCACTTGAATGGATCGTAGGTCTTGGTGGCATTCCATTCAACACAAGCACTAGCAACGGTATCGAGAGCATTCTTAATATTATCAACCTTGCTAAAGCTTCCAACATCAATTACAGCCAAAGCATATTCATTTCTATAAACTCTGTAGTCTCCTCTCACTCTCACAATGGAGTGATCGTAGAAATCAAATCTCCAAGGTCCAATCAATAAACCAGTATGGAATGCTCCAAACAAATTGTCCTTATATGTTGGACGGAAGAGATCGAATAATGAATTTCTGAAATCATTGGTGCAATCTGAAACAATAATCTTGACAGTCATGAGTGGTGGCTTTCTTTCATCTTTGTGCTTCTTGGAGAGATGTTCCATTGTCTTGCCATAGTGTTTGGCAACGAATCTATCTTTACAAATGGCATTTTGAGCTTCAATGGTCTTATTCTCATCCAAATATAAATCCTTCCATGCTTGAGACTTTTCTTGTGATTTTCCTTGACCATGCTTGCTGGAAATCTTTTCGTCTAACTTCTTCAACTTATCCAAGTACAATTTCATACCTTGTCTTTCTTCTAGGGAAAGCAATCTTTCATCATAGGAAGTGACATTCATGTCGAGTGGTTGAGCAGATTCCTTCTCTTCAGTCAAGTCTTCATCAAAGTAAATTTGGTTTTGAGATGGAGAAGTGAAAATATTTCTAAATATACCAGAGAACCAGCTTGACTTTCTAACTGGAGAAGTTCCTGTAGAATTTGGTGGAGAAGAACCTGTAGAATCCTTCTTTGTTTGTTTGATAGGAATACTTGGACTACTTGTAGTATAGATACCATGTCTTGGAATAGTCTTTGACTTTTCAAGATAGCTCAATTCTAAAATATTGTTTGGATTGTGAGCCAATCTACACCATTCAAGAACCGAGACACCCAAGTTATCCTTGTTTTCAAAGGACATACCAAATCTATTCATGAGAATTCTGCAGTGTTTCTTCATTCCTCTGAAAGCATAGTGAGTCAGGAGAGTAAAACCATAAATATCTCTACTTTCATGTCCCAGTGAGTTGACAGCATTAATAAATTCTTCTTCGTCCATTTCGGATTCATCAGTAACCACTCTGTAGTGGAGTTCTGTGAATTGTACATAAAGATTGGCGTATTGCTTTGGATGAATTCCTTCCATATCATCAAAAGTAACATTATGAATTTGGTTGGAAATCTTGTCAGCAATTAACCTTCTCACCTCATCATTGAATTGTGAACCATAAGATTGATAAAATTCGAGTAACTTGGAGGTTGCTTGATTGGAAAGTTCTTCCTTATCGATTGGTTCATAGGTGAATTTTCCTTGCTGTTTGGTTTGTGGGTTAACCAAAATAGCTTTCATATTGTAAAGAATTCTGAAGAAAATAGTCTGTGGTGTTGTTGTTTCCCTAGTTGGTCTTGGCATTCTAACAACAAGATCAACATGATCAACCTGTTGAACGACACGAACAATTTTGAAGAATCCTCTTTCAATAAAATCATAAGACATTTCAGCTTCAACAAGGAACATTTCTGACTCAATGGAAGGATCAGCTACAAACTTGCGTTTCATGCTGTTTCCTTCGAATGAGAGATCTAACTTGCAAACCACATCAACTCCACCCTTACCAACAGTAGGATTGTTAGCAATGAATTGAAGTTGATTGGCATCAGCAGTTTCCCAATCACATGTACGCTTTTGTTTAGCGCTACCTCTTGTTACTTCAGGAACAGGTTCTGGGTTGACTGGAGATCTTTGGAGTGGTCTCATTGGGCTCATATTATTAATATCCTTCTCAATGAACAAGCTACTAATCCAAATATCATCAGTTGACATGGCAGCATTGTGATTTTCCTTTCTCAAGTTGAACAATGAATAGAATGAGTAGGCACATTCATTGTGAACAAATCTATACTTGATAAGTAAGAGTTTCTTCTTTCTAATACCCTTGACTGGCTCAGCATATCTTGGGAATCTCATCAATAAAATTTGATCATCCTGCTTAGCTTGAACTGTACCACCTTGTTCAGTTGAAAGACGTTCAAAGCCCATGATTTGCTTTTGAGGAGGGAAGGTTCCAACAGTACTGAGAGTGTAGGAATCTTCTGGGAATCCTAAATTTTTCAATTCATCAATAAAATCAATACCCTTCGAGGTGTCTGTAATTAAAAATCCCCATACATCATCTTGTGGTTGGGATCCAACTCTCTCTACCTTAATCAAATTGTCCTTTCCACCCTCTGTGAGAGAAATTCTAATATACTTATTTCTAAAGTCCAAGAGCAAGTCTTGAGATTCAGTATTTGGAGGAGAGGTTGTGATTGTTGCAGGCTTACCACTCTTGGATTTCTTCTTGTCTGCTCCAGCCTTACCTGAAGAGCTATCATTGGCAATAATAACAGTAAAGAGTTCCTTCTCAGAATCTCCCTCACGTTTGTACCATGATACAACCTTTGGCCAGTAAACTTGACCTTCAGTCTTGACTCTACATGGATAGCTTACAGTTCCACCAATCATTGATGCTTCCATCATGTCCATTTCAGGTGAGAGTCCACCCAAATTATTGCTTGTAGTTGCATAGTGTTGCATGTTGTGATCGGCAGAATTACCAGGAGGGGAAGTGCTACTTGAAGATGAGGATGAATGTTCATAACTGGTTTGTGAAGTGGTTGGCATTTGTCTGACAAATCCTAAACCATTTACATTAGGTTGCACAATGTAATGACCCATCGAATCATCATGTAAGCTACTTTGAGTACTGCCCATACTGCCAGCAAAAAGACTTTTTCCACTCGATACACTCGTTGGAAGGCTACCATCTTGGTTTCTCAACAAGCTACCAATAGAGCTAGAAGATGTTCCCATTCTATTACCTGAGTGATCCATAACAACATCCATTACACTACCAGTCGATCCGAATATATCTTGGAAAGAGTTTGTGCTAGACGATAAAAAGCCACTACCCAAACTGTTGCTGTTAACAGCAGAATTAAGGCTGGTACCTGCTATAAATTCATTCTCATGAGAATAAGAGTTTGGCTCAGTTGTAAACATGTCAGTATGGTTGACTGAATCAAACAAGTTATTGTTAAATGATGAAGAGTAAGCAAGTTGTGGCATGTTCATAACTCCATTCACATTGTTAATATTGTTAGCATTATTGGTCATTACATAATTTGGTTGATTTAGTTGTTGTTGTTGTTGAATTTGAGCAAAAAGGTTATTGACAATATTATTTTGTTGTTGCTGTTGAGAATTAAGTTGTTTTGAATTCATATTTGGAGAATTCAAACCATTCATTTGATTGTTTGTACTATTTGAACTGTTTTGACTGACAGGAGTTACTACTTGTTGTTGTTGAATAGGAGAAGTGGTAGAATTGGAATGTTGTGAAGGAGAGGTAGAGGCAGTAGATATTAAATGTGGATGTTGCATCAAAATGTTACCAACATTTTGGGCACCCAGAACATTTGTCAACATTATAAGTTGGCTGAGTTTTTCCTGTTGATCGGCATCACTCTGTGAACCATTACTTCCCTGATCACAATTCATGTTTGGAGATTGTTGTGGTGAAGGTGTTGATTGTGGTTGTTGCTGTTGTTTGTTCACAGTATTATTCTTCTCTAACATGAATCTCTTCCACAAAAATCTTGCAAATGTTGTAGGAATACCATACTGAATAAGTTCTTCCTCTGATAGTTGAGCAAGAACATTACTGGATTTGATGTAATTCTGAGCGAATATATTGGCAATAGGATAAAAGTCATTATCACTCAAATACATGGTATTCTTGGTTTCTGATAACATGGAAGCAAATCTAGGTGAAAAGGACAAGCTGGTTTGTTGTCCATAGTTTCTTTGATTCAATTGGGCAGTATTAATGGGCATCACTCTAGACATGCCCATATTAGACGTATTGTTGCTGTTAGTTTGTTGTTGTTGAGTAGAATTGTTTGTAGGAGAATGATACACAACTCCTCCCATAGGTGAATTATGCTGATTCGTATTGTTTGCCAGCAAGTATTGCTTTTGGAGAGCTTGTTGGTATTGGACAAGTTGTTCTGGGGAGAGGACTAGACCGTTATTGTTATTATAGATTTGATTATTGTTGTTCATGAGTCTCATTCCATTGTTGTTGTTATTCATCATCATGGATGGTGAAAGGTTGTTGTTGTTGTCCATTGTTATTCATAAAGTTGGACTGTGGATAACCATTTTGTGGAATTGGAGAGTTTTTCAATGGTTGTTGTTTCTGTACATTTGGAGAGGTTGTATTTGTATGATTCATCATTCCGTTTTGTTGTTGTGTTGATTGACCAGTTGATGATGATGTAACTACTCGATTGTTTACTGTCGCTGTTGGGCCTTGATTCATCATCTAATTAGATTAGAATGTGTATATATTCTTTGTTATATTGTGATTAATAACTTTCAACTCCTTTCTAATAATTGAAAATAATCAAAACGTTATGAAAGGATAATTGCGCTAGTTGAGAGTGGGTTTCTAATTGAACGGACGTGTCCAATTTTTTTTGTGGATACTTTGACAATCAGCTTCTCTCAAGCGCATGATAAATCACGCCTCTTCTCGGATCATGATGGTCGACAGAGGTTTGAAACTGAATTTTTCATCTCTAACAAGAAGGAAGTTGTGAACATATGTCAAGGGCTAATTAAGAGGTTTTAAAACACCAATCATTAACTAGAAGGAAATTAAAAGGTAAGGTGGTGATGGAAGCAGTATTTGTGCTGGTTCTCCTATCGAAAACGATCCGCTCTTAAACTTCTTCGCAGTCAAATTCATCACCTTGTCATCTAATATTCAATTATTTGTATCATGATAAACAATGAATGACTGGCCATTAGTGAATAAATAGAAATGGGGAGTTACATTCCTCTAATGGTTCCGATGTTCTTAGCACTTTGGATTTGCCTATGTAATTTATTGTTGGCATCATGATTTTGTTTGCATCTACGACTTCTAACTCAATCGTGTTAAATAAACACGAGTGAGGTAGTTTTCTTGTTATTGAGGATTCAATAACCCGCCATTTTATTATTAAAATTTACTGTTATTAAAATAAAAAATTGAAACACAACGCTTTGTTATCATCTGCTTAATATGAAGTAGGAATATAGTTGTTATCAGAGAATTTGTAAATCCATCAAATATTTCAAGTGGAAGAGAAGGATGGATGAATAATTTGTCAGGTTTCACTTTCACAAGGAGCATCAAAAAATTATCATGAAATGTTCACGCTCTTACATCAGCAGGTCTTTGAAATTAATAATTGATTTAAATCATCATCATATTCAACAAGAGCGATTGTGTAGGAATGTGTTGCTGTCTTCAACAAGTTCTTTTCATCAAAGCTTGTTTTTGCATAATCACGCTACTTCCAATAGGAAAGAAAAATGTCCTCATCATCAACAAGTTGATGAACAAAGTAAGAGAAATACCTCTTCGCCAGAAACATGCTCATTTAATGATTCGGATGGTATAACAAAACCAGTTACTTTCAAAACTTTTGAAGATATTCCTGGACCTAAAGGATTGCCAATATTGGGTAATGTTATTGACCTTGTAAAGGTTTCAGCCAATCCTTTCGATTATTTTGCTGATTTGATAAGAGAATATGGGGAAATTGTGAAAATTACAGCCTTCAACAAAAAGATGATTCTCCTGGCCAATCCAGAAATGATGATGGAACTAATGAAGAAAGATGAAGGGAGAATAACATTGGAGGCTTTCAGGAAATTCAAATTGGAGAGAAATATGGCTCTAGCTCCAGTGGAAATGTACTATGAGGAGAATTGGCAACAAGTGAGACAATTGTTCAATGTTGCAATGAAACCTGAATTTTTGGAAACTATAGTTATTCCACAAGTGACTGAACTAGGCAGTGAATTACTTCACTCTATAGTAAAGAATTTGAAACCTTTGGGAAATGATACTTATGAATTGTCAAATTCAATTAACGTTATCAATAGATATGCATTCAATACAGTTATCAAAACTTTCCTTGGTGTGAAAATGAATGATGAGCTTGCTAAGCAATTACCATTTGATATTAATGGATTTGTAAATAATGTAGTGGTAGGATTGGATCTAGTTTTGCGAATTCAAAATGGTCCCCCTCTCTTTAAATTATTCAAAACAAAGGATTATAGAATTATGGAGGAAAATATGATACAAAGCTTTGAACGAGCCCAGTACTGTATTGATTTATTTGGAAAGGAGCAACCAGTTGGGAGTAAACCGAGAATGAAAGAATTACTGGATGAAAGGTCAAAAACCATGGATAGAGGCCAAGATAATGTGACAATGGTAATGGCTTCCTTCTTAATGGCAGGTTCTGATGTTACAAGCCGCGTTATGTCTGTCCTTTTGCATAGAATAGCTCATGAACCAGAGTATCAGGATAAACTCTATGAAGAATTGGAGGAGGTTTTTGGAGAACCAACACTCAGTGAGTACACCTCAGAGAATGGACTCGAGTTAACCAATGAAAAATTGAAGAAATGCAAATTAGTGAGGAATTTTGTTGAGGAGAATATGAGACTCAATCACCTTGCAAAAATTTCAACAGCCAGAAGATTAAGTAAGGATATTACTGTTGGAGAGTACTTGTTCGAGAAGGATACTCAAGTAATGATGTTTGAAGATCCTCAATTCACTGAGGAATACATACCCAATAGCACACAATTCATTCCTGAGAGACACGAGAAGGGTAATCCTAATGCAATTCTCAAAACATTTCCAGGTCCTTTTGGAAGAGGTGGTACGTTGTTAAATTCTTTTCATATAGTTTGACGAAATATATTTTCAGCAAGAAAATGTCCAGGTGAAAGGGTGGCCTTTGTTGAAATGTGGCAATTTGTAATTAATATTGTAAGAAATTTCACAGTATCTCACAAGGAATTTCCAAAATTTGAAATTGGTACTTCACTCTACTATGTGGATATGGAAAAGTATAAGGTTGAATTCACCCCACGTAAACATCTTGCCCAACTTGTCAGAAATAGTGAAAAATTATTGTAAATATATTGAATTTATTTAACTTTTTTGATTAGTATTTACATGCATAGGGTGGTTCTGAATGAAATCACATGAATGTTTACAAAGAACCTCCTTTCAATTGGAGAATGAGTTGAATTATATCACCACTCTTCAATCCTACATCATTCATTGATGAATCATCAGGAAGAATTTTTCCATTCATAACCAATCTTTGTTGTGGTATGGTAACTCCAATCTTTTCCTGAATAAGCTTCTTCAAATAGATGAGCTTATCTGAAACTTCAACATCAAACTTGGAAGCACCACCTGAGAGAGTTCTTACTTGTATTTGCATTCTTTTTATTCTTGTTATTGTTTAATTTTCTCCTCACCAGCATGCTCAACCTTTTATTCATCAGCTTGTATGTTTCTACCTATAGGTTAATATTTTAAAACTGTAGTTCTTCAAGTTCATCCCTAGTGTTGAATGAACACTTTACAAAAAAAAAATTAGTGTTTCTTTTGAAACTTTGATAATCCAATATTTGGCCAATACTGATTGTCATCATAAGAAATTGTTTGTTCTTCTGTTTGGTGTTGAAAGTAAATAGGTACTCCTGTTGCTTCTTCAGTCTGAATTTTCAAGTTTTCCAGGATGAGCAATAGTTCATTGACTAAGATTGCTGGCTCGCCTCCATTCCTCGTTTCCTGCACAATCGAGACCAAATCAAAAGGCATTGAAAGTCTTGGAGTGATACCTTTCATCAGTATGCCAGCCAAATGCCACGTTTCTTTAATTTCTTGCTAAATCAGCTGAATAATCAAAGGTGGAATATTTGAGGGTGAGAAAGGCATCTAGGAAGGTTGATACATTGACAATGTGTTCTCCCATCAATATTGAGCAATATTTGATATCAAAAAACAATTTCTTGCCAGCTGTATGCAGCACATTGTAAACAAAGTATTGAAAATTATTACAAAAAAAATGAGTCAAGAGCAAAACAACCAAATTGCTGCTCCCGAATCCGGATCAAAATTTCTGATCATCAAAATGAAGATGAAATTATGATTTATGCTCGAAAACAATTTCTCAAGGAAACGAAACGAAATTCTCTCATTCACCAATCAAGAGCAAGATTTTGTAAAATTCAACACCGAATGGATGTTCACCTCCCTGGTGAAGCAATCGTCATTTTAAATTATTATCTCGATTTGGAAAGGAATAGTTTCGGCACTGTATTGGAATCTGTTACTAAAATTCGAAAGTTCTTATCCAGTGAAAGGGATATTATAGGGAGAATATCAACAGTTGTTGAATCGAGAGTTTTGGAAAGGATTGTGAATTTGCTTGATGAGGAATATATTGCCAAGTTTTTTACTGTTAAAAGTGAAACGAATCAAAACGAAACTTCACATTGTGCTAAAAGAATAATTTCTCAATCAGATTTGATTTCTATTCTGTATGAAACAAGTTGGTTGATTATTAATGTTGTGTCTGGAAATTATGACCATACCAATTACATAGTTTCGTGTGGAGTCATTTCTAAACTTGTCAAATTGTTAAAGAAAACTAATTCTAGTTCCATAATTGATCAATGTATTTGGGCTTTGGGAAATATTGCTGGAGAATCTGTAGAATTTAGAAATTTAGTGTTAGATCACAATATTATGGAAATAATGGTGGAATTGATGCAAAATTATTTGCTACTGGATTTGAAAGTTTTAAATAGAGGTTGGTTGTAATATTTATTTACCTAACGAATACTAAGAAGAATCTGTATTGTAATGGGTCAGTTGTGTGGTGCATTTCGAATCTATTGAGTCGTACGCCTTCTCCTTCTCCTGAATATATCCAAGTTGCTGTTGCAGCACTTTTAAAGATATTTCTATCCATGGATGATAAACCTTATAACATACGTTATCAAACTTGTTGGTCTCTTTCATATATATCTGAAACAGGACTTGACTCAATAATGGAAAATGAGGAAGCTGTTAGAAAGCTTATTGAAATGTGCGCTGTTGAAGTTCCTGATATTAGAAAGTGAGTTTTTCAAAACTAACTGATCATTCTAATAATTTATTATAGACCTGTTGTTACAATTCTAGGAAATATTGTAGCTTATAGCGAAGAATATAGTAACAAACTACTGAGCAATGGCTTATTGGAAGCACTTATTAAAGGAGGATTGACACTTGAAGCTGTATGGATATTGACAAATATTGATAATTGTGAAAAAATGATCAGCACAGGCATAGTTCCTCTTCTTATGGATATCATTAATGTAGATCAGTATTCAACTATTCAGACAGAGGTATTTTGGGTAATTACAAGGTTGCTACATTACCAAAAAGCAATGGAATTTATTCCCTACATGCTCGACCACAATCTTCTAAAGTGTTTTAAAAAAGGACTTAATTATTCAAATCGCAACTGGTATCCTTGCTTATCTTGCATAACATTACTAATAGGAACTCATTTGGGTGAAGGTATCTTGGAAGAATTGAAAAAACTGGAATTGACTGAAAGAATAAGGGCAATTAATGAATCTCCACAGGCAGGAGCAGATGTATATCCATTTTCGGACTTGCTTTTGAAATTATTGAAAAAATAAGAATTTATTGACTTTAGAATACAGGAATTTAATTTTTAAAATGTGTTAATGGATCTTGTTAATAAGGTTGCACATCCTTATGTTTAGTCCCCATAATATAAAGTTGTCCATGTTTGATTCAATCAGTTAACTTTCCAACCGGGGATCTAATATTTACAAGTATATATTTACATTCCAATAATCATCATGTTATAAATCCAAAACCTATCAATCTCTAATATTCATAATACAATCTACGAAAGGGTTATTGCTATTGATTTGATTCAACAATCTTTCTTTGAAAATCATTCCTTTTTCGCCAGATTTTTTAATCATAATGAACCCAACTTCTTCACCTGCACAGACTGAAACATCAAAGTTGGAAGGGTTGGTCTGAAATTTGTACCTATCTGATACAGAAAGCAAGGGTAAAAAGTCTAATTGTAACATATTTCTTTCGTAAGAGGAATCAGAGTCTATATAGACATTACCATCATCAGCTACAGCCATCATTTTGTTTCTCAATGTGAATGCTTTGAAGGTGACATCTGGTACAGTATTGTTGCTGTAGGAGGGGAACAGGGCCAGTTTACCATTTCTATTAATGCAATATCTTCTATTGATTTGAGCACAATCTTTGTTGCATTCTTTTAAAGCTACATCATAGGTTGAATTGGCTGTGTGAAGGTAGATCTGATACACAGAATTACCAACCAAAGACATACCACAAAAAGCAAAACCCTTTGGTAAGACAGTTCTATATAAGACTCCTGGTTTAGGGTTATTTGATAATTTATCAAAACTTCCAGAATGACTCAAATAATAAGTATTAGAAATAATATCATATGTCAAGACAGCAGCATTTGAACCTCCACATCTGACATCTATAACTGTTTCATTTGGAGGTGGAAACTTTTGCTGTCCATTACCATCTGAATAATATACTCTTCCAATTTTTCTAAAAGTGTCAGAAGAGCCAATACCTTGAGAACAACAACTTTCATTATTCCATCCTCAAAAAAGTAAGTATTTTGATTTAAAACCTACCAGCAGAATACATTTCAAATCCGTCCGTTCCTTTAACAAGACAATAAGTAAAATTTGCTCCACAATAAATATCCTCGATATGATCAATGTCGGCTTTCACCAATTGATCTCGTTGATTTGATTTTGGAGCAATCTTTTTCGTTAATAATTGTGTATATTCATTCCATCCATTTCCAAAAGCTCGACCATCATTCAACAGAATAAAGGTGTGATTATCTCCACATACTACCTTTTTAATTCCCACTCTATTAATTTCATTCATTATTTCTTCAGATTGAAAAAGAAAATGTCTTAGTGTAGGAAATTGTCCTGATCCAACATCGTTCGGATCGTGGTGTACGGAACCTTTGTAGCCAGAATAGGCCCATGATGAATAATTTCCATGAATAAATAAATATTGGGAGTGATGAGTTCCTTCAAGGTGAAGTCCTTTCATTTTTTTTTGATTTTACAATAATATTTCCCACCACAATGAATATTCCATGAACTAGTAAACCCAGAAAGAAATGTATTGAAATTACACAACCTAAGATATTTGGTTTTCAGTTGGAAAATTTTATTTAAGCTTTTTCTTAATGATGTAAGCCTTCCTAGCTCAGTTGGCAGTAGCGCTGTCCTAGTAAGACAGAGGTCTTGGGTTCGATTCCCAAGGGAGGCATTCTTTTAAGATACACTTGAAATTATATTATCAATGTAATATACAACCTTTTGAACGTTTAAACTTTAAGGATTTTGCTATCAATGTACCATATACCAAACACAATGTTGGGTGGGATATACGGTCCAATAAAGATGTGTATTTAAAAAACCGAGGTGGTACACATTTCAACTGTTTCTTAAAAGATAACTATACAACGGTGTGATTTACAATTTTTTATAACGTTATCTAATAAATGAAACTGTTCTTTCAAATCTTCAAATATAGTACCACACTTTTATGTAAATTGGTCGAATTCAGTACCTTACTGTAAACATAACATGCCCAAAGATGCTAGCTTCCAAGAGACAAAGAACTAATAACGCAAATTTCGAATATTCAAAAGTCCGCAGAATATTCGAAAAGCAAGTTAACAACTGTTCAGCTTAAAAAAAAATGTTGCTATTGAATATTCAACAAGATATTCTCAAAAAAAAATGAAGAAGAGCAGCAGCCACAATTTGATAACCCTCTCACAACTCGAACAACACGACGGAGTGAAAAATTCACAACTCTGGATACTTCTCTATGGGAAAGTGTACGATATTACTGAATTTGCTGATAAACATCCTGGTGGTCGTGAAATGATAGAAACAGCTTGTGCAAGAGATTCTACTGCACTGTTTGAATCGTATCATTTGTCATCCCATTCGATTAGTAGAATATTCTTGAGAGATGATGGGAATAATAATAATCAGTCGATGATTAAGTATATTGGTGAATTTGATGAAGAAACAAAGCAAGAAGATGTAAATGATTCCAAGATCAAGTTTAATTTCACAGATTACAAGATTGCAAAGAAACAAGAAAATAGAACGATGAATATTTATGAAATTTTGAAAGAGCAAATAAGAAATGACTTGTTTATTCCTGCCCTTACAAGACAAGATTTTAATCTTAACATTAGAAGGGTTTCTCTCTTGAGATTGTTGAATGCAATCTTCATTTTCTCAGGGTTGTTAGCTTGTCAGCTTTTATCTCAATACTTGACAGGATTACACCTGTCACTTGCCATTATTCTAGCATTCTTGGGAGGTGTATTTCACCACTTGTCCCTTGTCCACGTTGCTCATGATGCTGGACATGGAAGTTTCACAGATTTCCCAACCTTGTGGAGAATGATTGGACATGGTTGTTCCTATTTGTTGGGACAATCATTCTATCTTTGGACCATTAGACATAACATTGCTCACCATGTGTAAGTAGCACTTAACTTTAGCAATTAGATTAACATTTATAGATATACGAATATGAGTGAAATCGATCCAGATATCAGTATTTATGAAAGAGGTAACGTAAATTCACAAGAAAGATCACTACCTGATAAAAAGTATCCTAAATCAGGAGAGAAAACCTCCACCCCAATCAAGATTATGTCTGTAACTGGTTCAATTGTATTTTTACCAATCATGTATAGTTTAGTTATTGTTTATATGCAACTTAAGGATTTGGCACATTATTGGAGGAGACGTGTTAGTGATGGTGTTGGATTTGCATCCCCAACTTGGAGCTTTACAACATTCCATTTCTATGCAAGTAAGATTGTCTTTGTAATGTACCGATTAATCTTGCCAATGGTCCTCTTTTACTCTACAGATGGTCATTTCGGTAGAAATGCATTAGAATCTGTACTGATATTTAGTGTTACTGAAGTTGTAGCAGGTCTGTTATTTGGTTTCTTTTCTCAAATCAATCACATCTCTGAGAAGTGTAAATTCAGTCACTTGAAGGAAGGAGCCCTCAACAATAGAGACGAATTGGATTGGGCAACTATCCAAATCACAACAAGTGTCGACTATTGTCATGACAGTTATTTGTGGACCTATCTATCTGGGTTTTTGAACCACCAAGTTATTCATCACTTATTTCCAAGTATTAACCCATGGCTATATCCAAAGATTGTTCCAATCGTTAAGAAAGTCTGTAAGGAGAATAACATTGAATATACCATTTACAACAACTTTTGGGATGCTATGACTGCTCATGTGAGACAAGTGACCAGTTTTGTGGATACCAAGAAGCTTCTTGCTGAAATAAATTAATTGGAAAATTTTATTTAAGCATTTTCTTAATAATGTGAGCCTTCCTAGCTCAGTTGGCAGTAGCGCTGTCCTAGTAAGACAGAGGTCTTGGGTTCGATTCCCAAGGGAGGCATTCTTTTAAGGTATAAGCAAACAGAATTGATATTGGATTGTGGACATCAGTTTGTTAGTTAGTAGCCCTGGTATAATACAAACCCTTTTGCACTGAAAAAGATTTTGTAAGTTGTGACGAACAACCACTCATATTTTGCTTGTGTGTATTGTATTTGTTTCGTATTTGGATGAATTAACTCATTCAAAATAAACAGTGGTCAAAGAATGAATTTAGGTTTTCAATATGCATTCAACTTATCATGGAAAATAGTCCTCGTATTAAGAAATAAGGAAAAAGGAACCAATGTTGCCAAGCTACTAGGAGAGAGAACCAAGTGCAGACGAAACAATTGCAACTTCAAACAGCTGGTGACAGAAACTCTTGGAGAGTAAGAGGAAAATAGCAAGTGATTGCATTGCTGGAAGAGTAATACCAAGTCGAAATTGAAATACACACTATGGAAACAAGACGACAAACAACATGAAAGAACACAAATCAGTGGGATGGACAATGTAAATACACCACCAGATGAAGTTCCGTTAGACCTTTGAAATGTACAAGTTACAACTTGAATAGGAGAGCTCACCTCCTCGTTGAGTACCTTGTGATGACCGTATAAGATAGCAAGAAGTCCAAATTTCAACTTTGTTAGAATTTTTTCAATGTTGTCAGCACTGGTCATTCCACTAAACAATAACCGTAGATTCTCAATAAATATCTAGATGCAAAATTGATTAGTGCATCAGGGTACGAAAATGATAGAATTTCAAACAACTGTAGATTCAAAAATAGATCATGTTCATGATGCAAACGAAAAGTCACTAATCACGATTCACTACATTTCGGAAGAATATTCATGTTTTTGTGATCCAATGTACTCATTGAGATTGACCTTCTTTATTTACAGCTAAATTCTCTCTACGCTATTTTTATCAGTATACTGCCGTATAAAGGTGAACTTGGAAATTAAATAAATTGTAAAGTATTAAATTGGATCAAAAAGGATAAATAGTTTCCAATAAACGCTTGATGTTTACGAATGTGAAGAGCTGTTCAGAGGCGGTTTATTTTTAAATTCATGGTCTTATCAATTTTGCTATTTCTTTACTCTTTCGGCAAGCATTATTAGAAACAACAAGAAAAAAATTAACTAAACATCAACAATATGATAACTGCCGAACAATTTGGTTTATTAGAATCAGGCCCAACTTTCAACTATTGGATCTACGTGCCAATAGGATTAACTCTCGCTTCAATGCTCATCTCTGTCATGGCTCAATATTTTTCCTATTTTTGGCCAACCATAGAAATCAAACCACAATTCAAGAATAAGACAACACATTACGTTTTCCTTTCGTATTGTGTGAATCACTCACTTGCTGCAATTTTGACAACTTGTGTTGCTGCCTATACTTACTATTATGGTAGCTGTTATGAATCGAATATCTTTTCGATGGAACCATTCGAAATGATGTGTTATTTGATGAATGTCATGTGGTGCACCTTGCAACAGGTATTAATTTATGACTTTTTGATTTATGCTTTCCATAGATCTTGTCATACCAACAAGTGGATGTATATTCACATCCATAAATGGCATCACGAAAATAATACTCCAAATGGGGTATGTGATGCTATTTATGGTGATGCATTTGAAGGAACTTTGGTAGCATACTTTGGAGTTGGTCAAATGATGTTCTTCTCCTTGCCAGCTAGCTCTATTTGTTTATTCTTATTCTTGATTAGTTTCTTTGTGCAATTAAATCATTGTGGACGAAAGGTCAGAATTCCATATGTTTATACTTACAAATTCCATGCTGTTCACCATAGACATTTCAAGTGGAATTTTGCTGAACATTTGCCTGTTTGGGATTTCTTATTTGGTACAATGAAATTGAATGAAATTAGTGATGAACAGTTTTAAATTCTATTCGAAAGGAAGAACACCAAAAATATAGAAACATGTACATAATAATAATACTAACGAGAAAGTTTCAGTGCGATAACACGGAAACAACCAAAAAACAAATAAAAACTAATTTAAATTATTAACAAAAAATTATTTTACAAATTTGGAAATATTTCTAATATAGAAATTTTTGAAAAATTACCTTCTCTGAATTGGTTCTTAATAATTTCTATAATGTTCTTCTCTCTGACTTGTCAAATCTCCATTTCTCATATCATTAACATATGTTTGTCTAATATTCTCCATCATACTTTCCTCAGTTGCCTTTACAATTTGTTCCTTTTCCAATATTTTCCTCTTTCTCAGATAAGATAATGAATCAGTTGTAGATTTTCTCAGATTTGAATTATCAGATATTGAGAGAATATTCTGAGTTTGGTCACCAACTTGAGTAGTTTGTAAAATTGAAAGTGAGTAAGAGTAAGCTTGAATGGACTGAAACACTGAGGGGACAATGTCCATTCTGACAGGTTCTAGATAGGTTGGAGGTTTTGATGGAAGGAATTTCTTGACTTGAATGACATTTCCATTTTGGGAAAGTGATTGTTTGTTGAGAGAATTGTTGGATTGCAAATTATTTTTGATAAATTGCAAGATTTTCAAACTATTTACATGATTTTTGAATTCCATTGGGAAAATGATCCAATCTTGAGCTGATTTCCAAATATGGAACATTATCAACATGAATCTGATAATTAATTTTTCATTTACAGATGCATCTCTCATTTCTAATACAGCACCTGATATAAATTCAGTGAATGAACAATAGGATTCTGTAAATATTCTGTGAATTCTTTTTCTAACTTGACCACTAATATAATTGGAATATTCATTACTTTCCATATTTGTATAATTGCTATTATTCTCGCAAATTACTTTACAACAAGTTATAATAATTTTAGAAAATAAATACAGCATGGTTGATTGCATATTGGATCCTTCATCAACTAGAAATATTATAGGAAACGGTGCTTGACCGCCATTTTTGGAATTATCAAAATATGTTAATAAGCTCTTCATCGTATTTTTAATCAAAATGGAATTATTCTTATCCGAATCATCCAAGCATATTATTCCACCTTGATATTCCTCCATATTTAACTGCTCTTTTGATTGAAAAATCACTTTCCGAACATCTTTCGTCTGAATATTCGAAACAGCTCCATTATTTCTTGAAGAATCCAACATACTTCTCCCCGAAACACCTTTCAATTGCTGTATAGTTGCTACCTGCAAACTAAACGGTATTTCACACTCATTATTTAACCAACCAGACAACTCCGAAACGTCCAACCTCGAAATTACAAATAATTTTGTTGAATTTCTCGAAGATTTCAAGTTTCCTTGCTGATCAGAAATGTTTCCTTGATTTGCTGTTGTGTTTGAAAGCATTTTTTTTATAAAATTTGTAATTTTTCAATTGTTAATGCTGAACTCCTAAAGTTTACAAAAATAGATAGTTTACAAAAAATAAATTCCGAAACGGCTCCTTGTGTTTCCAATTGTATTGAAGATAAATCGTTCTGTGATCTGGTAATTGATTATCTCGCGAGATTAAAGGATGTTCTTACTAATTAGTTTAGAATACCATAAAAAACAATTTATTCGAAACTAAATCTTTGTTGGTTGACTTTCAGATTTAATATCAGGAATGATGAATGGCATCACTGCATGAATGAGAGCACACATGTTTCGAATATGACAAATTGTAATTTAATTATTTGAGTGCGTTTTGAGTTCTGGAAAGAAAACTGAATGTTTGTAGTACAATTCTATATTGTTTTTAATTTTGATTTTTTTTCCACTTCTGTATTTCTAAATATTCAACCAAGTGAATGATTGGAAAATTCCTCATTCTCTTCTACCAGAGTTTCTATTCAATGTGATGTCATTAATAGTTTTGTGGATTCTGGTAATTTGAGCCTTCATCCTTAATATTGGTGACATGTCAGCATTTGAGCTTTATAAAACTTATTCAGTTGGATGTTGAAGCAAGACTAAATTAGTGATTTGCCAAAAATTGGTAATGTTCAAAATAAATTTAATAAGGAAATGTAAAGCATGGAAACATTGGTTGTGTGGTTGTTATAAAACTTCTTCAAATATTAATGCTCAACTTGAAAATTAAAATCACAGGGGGCGAGGGGGAATCGAACCCCCGGCCACAGCTTTGGAGGCTGCGATGTTACCATTACACCACCGCCCCTGTACATTTGAATTCTCAAACACAATGATTTTGACCTATCCTTAACTCGTAAAAATTGTAGTTTATTGGATGTTCAAACCAGTTGCCAAAATTGTTTGTTGTCTCAAACTCACAACAACTCGAAGCAATTTAGTTGCCAATTTCGAAGGTTGCTTTCCACTTGCTTTCTTAGTTTCCTTTACAAGAATTAACAAATCGACTGGAAGAGCAGCAAAAGGAATCACTCCCTTAATCACCAAACTAGCCAACGACAAGGAAGCACAATAATCATTGGTCATGAGTCCTGAATTCTTGAAATCCTTCTTTTGATTACCTGTTAAAGATTGAACAAAATTGAAAACATTTACAACACAATTATTTCCAATGCTAATCATGCAAGAATCCATTTCTGGATATTTGGATCTTATCACATAGATGTGGGAAATTATTTCATTGACCATTTGTGTGTCCTTTGCTAACAATTCTTGAACTTGTTTGGCAGTATTCTTGGCATGTTTCCATTCTTTGAAACTGGCCACTACTGCTTCTGTTGTTCCTGATCCAATAACTAGTAATCCAGTTCCTGTAGCCACTAGAGAACCTCCAAATGTGAGTGGACTTCCCAATAATCCTCCAACTTGGAATTATTTTCATCAAATTCGATTGAGTATGTTGTAAAACTTACGAATAAGTGCTGCCCCAACAAGATTGGTAGCCGTTCCGTTTGCTTTCTTCTTTGCAGCTTCTTGTTGTTGATAATCTAATGCATGAATCATTTGTTCTAGTACTGAGATTAATCCCAATCTTTCTTGAATCCATTCTTGAGTTTTTCTTTCAACATTTGAAAGTTGTTCACTCAATAGACTATTGGTTTGATCTGGTAAGTCATATTTCACAAAAGATTGGTTGTTTGGAGTGAAAGATGGCAATGGCTCCTTTTCATATGGATTAATAACTTGCTCCCTCAACGAGTTAAATGATGGATAGCAAACATTACCAGATAAGAGATGTGAACTCTCATTGATTAATGACGAAAGTTCTGGTGCAGGGGTTGAATCTGCATTAGTTTCAGAGTATGGATAATACATGTTGTTGAAATTGATTGGCTGGTTTTTTTCTTTTTGCTATCAGTAATTGTTTGGCTGATTTGTTTTTATAGTAAGCAAGGCAACAACATATTTTAGAATCTTAATGGAAAAGGAATATGGAATGGAGTGTAAAAATTAAAGTGCTACGAAGTGTGAAATCACCCAAAAAGGAACAAGTGCTCGCTTTTCCTGTTAATTGCAATCAACCTTTGCCGACTCGCAACAGAAAGAGATTGTAAGTGGTCCATTTTGTTTAAGGAATTCAATGATTTTCAAAGTTTCCAATTTCTGTCTTTCCAAATAGAGCTTTTCAACCATTCTCAAAATTGACAATCCATTACAATTCAATAATGAATGGAAACTTGAAAATTACAATTTTTATAAATTTTAACTTAATTTTTGACTTATTTCAATATTCACATAAAGAAAATTCGCTTTATAATATCTCCAAATACAATCCCTTACTATGGATATTTAGGTTCATGTACTTGTTTGGCGCCAAATCACTACAAATTTTTTGTCTTTATTTAAAAAAAAATTGTGCTGGCTGTTGAGGAACATTCACGTGAAAAGCTTCCCTGAAAACGTTTTATTCTTTGTACCCACCAAGTTATTTGTATATAAATAATCGGAAAATTCTTAGAGAGGAGATGGCAGATTTTACAACTGAGGAATATGTTGCTGTTGCACTGTGTTCAGCCTTTGTGATTTCTTTGATATTGATCGTAATTTCTATTGTGGTTGGAGTAAAACTTCATGCCAGAAGAAAACTGCATCAAATTCGAGCACTTGTTGATGAACAGCAGGAATCGGAAGAAACAAAACAAAATTAACAAGCTAACAAATCGGAATTTTTGAATACTAGCTATAACAACGTTCTGAATTTCTTGCACTCAACATAATGAGATAGAGTTTACTATACAAAATATATTGTAGTCAAGCAAGAAAGAAAATACTAAGGAATTGAATCAATTGATCATCTCTTCGCACATTGAACCAAAAGAATTAACCTAAATTCGCCGAACAAATAACAATTATGGCTACCAGTTCTTGTAAGGATTGCAGAAAAAAACTTTAAAAAAATAACACAACTTGTTCTTCTGATCTTTAGACAGGCTAATCATCAAAACGTCGTTGTCATCTAGGAAATAACACACTTTGTTATACATCATCATCCTCATCTACTTAATATTATCAACAAAATACAATAATGGCTGAAGACGGAAGAATTCAAACAGTTTGGGTTATGATTTTATTGTTCACTTCTTGTTGTTTCTTTACATTTGTTGCTATCCTTTTCGGCATTATTGCTTCTGCAATTACCGACCCTAACGAAATGTCTAATGCCATGTCTTGTACAGTGCTGAAACCACAAGTGAATTGTAAAACATGTGAAGGAACCCATACTTGTTGCGAAGCTATTGTAAAAGTTGCCCCTGGAACACTCTTTGCTAATGTAACCAATTTCCAACCAATAAGAACAACTGAAGAATTTAGTAGTGAATCAACCTATTATTCATATGCCGCCAATTCTACAGTAACTTGTTATGTAGGAATTGACCCAGAAAGTGAAGAGGCTCACTATGCCAAGTATGATGGACCAAAAGTTGAATTGAAGACTGTTGCTATCGTCACTGGTTGCATTGCCATTTGTTATACTGCTGGTTTGATTTTGGCCCCATTCTTCTCCAAATCTCTTCAACAAACTCACTGAGAAAACTAATTGTACATTTTGCTAATAATACTTCGTACAAACCTATTATCCAAAAATTCTATTGAATGTTATTTGGAATTTTAAATTGCAATCATGTGAAATATTTCCGAAATCAAAAATAAAAAAATAAAAAATTAATTTTAATTCAATTTGGCAATACTGCTATTTGTATGTGGTATGGGGCAGAGAACAGTGAATAATAATGGCAACTCAACTCTTACCATCAAAGTTGAACTCTAGCATCAGTAAAGTTACTGGGCTATTTCTAGCTCTTTTTATGGTAAGTTCAATAAACTTGTTCTAATACTATTTTCTAGTGAAAATTACCAAGAAATCGGGTGTGGTATAGTGGTAGCATTCCAGACTGTCACTCTGGCGACCCGGGTTCAATTCCCGGCACTCGAGATTAATTTTTGACTCTATCTCCACTACTTAAGTTTTAATTTTTTCCTCATATGAATACTGGCATGTAATCACCTATTTTACAATTTTCAAATCTTCATCTCCTAATTCCATAGAAAAAATAGTCAAAGGTTAAACTCTTTAATTTTTCTTTCAAAAAATAATGGATGAATTTTTTGGCGTATATCATTGGTACTGATTATTCTTGAAAAGGAAAAAGACTACAGCACCACAGGTTCCCAAGTTGTCTCCAACCTCAGTACTGATGTGGCTCGACGATGCTTAACTTCTCAAACGGGATGAGGTGCATTATGTAGCCAATCATTATTTTAAAATCTTAATATTGAATAAGAAATGATTTGGATATTGTTTTAAATTTCTTTGAATCTGGTACTTGTAATTAAAATCTGGTATGATTGTGGATAAAACTACAATTTATTAAGGTAAGAAAGTACCAGTTGCTTTTGTTGTTTGTGCCTTGATTGATTCCAAGATTGGTGTTAATTTGGCAGCCAATTTAGAAGGTTCCTTTCCATTTGCCTTTTTAGATTCTTCAACCAAAATAACCATATCGACAGGAATGGAGATGATTGGTACCATACCTTTAATCATTAAACTGGTCAAACTCATAATACCTGTAGCACCATTTGTCAATCCACCACGACTATCCAATCCTTGGTGTCTATGACCAATAAGGGCATCAACAAATTGTACAACTCCAATAGTGTTTGAGCCAACAGAAATGGTACGAGTATCAATGTATGGATCAGTAACTCTGTACTCGTAAATCTTTTTAATCATATCATTGACATATTGAGTATCCTTTGCCAAGAGTTCTTGAATTGCCTTTGCAGATTTCTTGGCATGTTTCCATTCGACAACTGAGGCAACAACACTTGTGGTTGTACCAGCTCCAACACATCCAAGACCAGCTCCTGTAGCCAAAAGCGAACCTCCAAGTGTAAAAGGAGCTGCTACGATACCTCCCACAATCAATGAAGCACCAACAATGTTTGTGGCAGTACCACCAACTTTGGCCTTTGCTGTTTTCTTTTGTTTCTTATCCAATGCACAGATCATATCTTCAAGCATTTTAATGATTTCCATACGTTTCTTGAGCCATTCTCTGGCAGATTCTTCAACAGCAACCAATCTCATTGCTTGTATCATGTTGTTATTAATTGGTGGAGGAACAACAGTGGTTGTTTGTTGCACTACAGAAACAGGTGTCATTGGTGAGACAGTCTTTTCAACAGTTGTGGTTGTTTGTTGTACAAATTGACCAGTTGGAGTCATTGGTTGGCCGAATTGAGATTGCATCATTTGAGGTTGTTGTTCCATGTATTGAGGATTCATACTTGGTTGTTGTGGATAGCCATGTTGCATCATTTGAGGTTGACCATATTGTGGAGGTTGTTGGTACATTCCTTGCTGTTGTGGATAACCTTGTTGGTATTGTTGATATTGTGGTTGTTGCATACCTGGTTGTTGAGGTTGTTGAGGTTGTTGTTGGTATTGTTGTGGTTGCATACCTTGTTGTTGTGGATAGCCTTGTTGTGATTGCATCATTTGAGGTTGACCATACTGGGATTGTTGCATACCTTGTTGTTGTGGATACATTCCTTGTTGAGGTTGTTGTGGATAACCTTGTTGAGGAGGGTATTGTTGATATTGTGGTTGTTGGACTCCAGGTTGACCATATTGTGGAGGTTGTTGCATACCTGGTTGAGGAGTTTGTGGAGAGTATTGTTGTGGTTGGTGCATTTTGTTTTGTGTTGAAAAATTATATGACTCAAGTCTGTTATTTAGCCTGTTGATTCGTATGAATTCTTTGGTCCGTTGTAACATTCGGAATGTCATTGTCCAATAAAAATACAATGAGAAAGTGACAGAAACAAGTTGCAAAATACAATTGTGGCAATTCAAATATGATTTGTGTGTTAATTGCCAAAAAGTCGAATTATTGTCTTACGAAAGGAAACATATGCATGTTACTTGGTTGATTTGATCAAGAAAATTGGCAATTCACATCCAAATGTGATTTGATAACTTGTTTGTGCATTCTAAAAGTATTCTGTTGTATCAACCAAGTTGCTGTTGTAAAGTCTAACTACAGTCAGAGTTGGTTTTAATTGAAGTTTTCCCATAATCCACGTACAGATTTCTTTTTAATTGCATATGGCACTTCCAAAGCTCCTCTCAATACTTTCAGAATATCAATTCCCATACTAACAAGTTTTAGTTTAAATCAAATATACTAGTAACTACGTACAATATCCCAATAATACCTGCAATTTGTCCTAGTAGTCCTTCTATTGATGATGTAACCACCTCTTGAATCTTATTCTCATTCAATGAAGAATAGGCAACTGAAATTACCACAACATGAGGATCAATCTCAGTCAATTCGACAATGGACAATAACGAATCCCATCTTACAAAAACTGTATCTGGATTTTCTACTGAGGGTTTCAGTGTTTCTGTCAAAACTTTGGTCAAGATGAAATAATTGTCAACCCCAGAAATGGCAAAATTAGTTTCTGAGAAAACTTTTGGAATGGTTCCAGGCTCATGGAAGCTTACTTGTAGACCGAATCGTGTATCTCTTTCTATTGGAACAGGAGGAACACTAAAATAGAATGAAATAGTACCAGCATATCCCGTCGCGTTGGCTTTTTGAAAGCTTAATATCAAAGATTAATAAACTACACATACCTGCAAGAAGAGATGATCCATTGTTGAATACATAGCATGAGAATAATTGACCATTCTGAAAGATGGTTACAAAATCATACGGAATTTCAAAAGTTTCAACAATTCCCAGCTCACCATTCACTTTGGAAATTAAACTTTAAGGTTAAATTACAATAGCTACAATCAACCATAGCATTCCAGTTGCATATCGAAATGGCTGGAAAGTACAATGGCACCGACTCTACAAAGGATGTTGATGTTGTTGGATTGTTTTGAGAAGTGATGAATTGCTGAGAGGCATCTACACTATACCAAATGCATAGGGCAATTGAGATGAACCAGCCAATAATTGTTATCACTTCTCCAATAGTAAAAGGACAACTAGCTAGCAGCCTAATGGTGGATGTCTTATTTTTCAAATCCTTCTCTTCAAAATTCGAGAAAGCTATAGGCATTGTCTTGTAATCTTTTCCTTCATCTTGATTGGTTTGATAATGCACCTGTCTGTTTCCTTCATTAACATTCATCGATGGTTGTTCCTCCTCTTGTATGTTGTTTTGTTCTACGATATTGTCATTCCGAATGATAGTATTATCAACAACATCGTCATCATGGTGAGGTTGAATTTGTTGGGACATTTTATTGTAGTTGGATGGCGCGGAGCAATTGCATTATTTGGTATCATGTGAAGTTTGCAAGTTTTCCACTTGTTGTTAGTTGTACAAGAGCACACCCAAATCATCAACAACCAACAGCTCACCACTATGAACATTCAAACAACAACCAGACAATCCATAAGGTCTACAGGTATGTCTGAGCGAGAAGGAATAATCAAATCTGTGCCTCACGACAAGAGTGTTACTAGCCTTGCAAGAGATGATGATAAAGTCTCTATCAATGGTAATGTTCAGCCATATTTTAGAGTTTACCTCCTCCTCAACTGTGAATATCTTGACTAATTCATCATCCCGAATGCACAATACTGTGTTGCAGGTTGTGATGAAACATTCACCAACATCATTGAAAGCTAGGGACAGAGGATCTATCAATTTAACAATACCTATTGATGAGAATGTAGAAACAAGTGTGCCATCGATTGGATTTAGTTTGACAACTCTATTGTTGCCCGTATCACAAACAAATAATGTAGATTTGTTGTTATTATCATAGTAGTCATCATCATCAAATGGAATGCCAAACCCTTCATTGCCAGCAAACTCACATGATGAATTTCCTCGAGGGGATTTACCATGATGGTACATGGCAATACCATTCAGAAATTTACCATTAAACCTGCTGGTCCACACGGGTGAGTGATTGGAGGTTGATAATTGTTCCTTGATATTGTACTTTAATACCTTATCATTTCTGGTGGTTACATATAAATCATCATCGCCATCAATACACATACGCACAGGGCTGGCAAATACCTTGAGTGTGTCGGTACTCTTTCGAATGAAGGTCAAAGAATTGAATTCTCTTATTGCCACAATCACAGACGAGAATCAAGTTGTGCCACTGTGAGACTTTTACATCTGATGCAAAGTAAAATCTCTGATTGTCTCCTCCGCTATATTCTGTGCCAAGCTGACCAATTTGATTGAATTGGTAGGAGTAAGTTGGTTTTTGTTGTGGGCCGAGTTGTTGTTTCAACTTGGAAAGCAGCAGCGAAATTGATGGAGTTGATTGGACAGCATCATCCGGATGAAATATAAAAAATGTATCTACAAAACTGTTGGACATTTTATTAGAATGTTGAAGTAAATGTATGTAATGGAACGTACCTAAAGCATCGTGATATTGAATGTTTTTTTTCAAAATTACTTTTTAATTTTTCTTTTATTTTTCAAATTTTAAAGTTTAACGGTAAATATGGGAGGTGCTGAGATTATTTTTGTTGGTAAAACCAAACAACGTTGCAATTCTCTAAAACCGATTCAATCATCATCTTGCTATACAATCACAAAGAACTCAATTCAAGGTTTAATTCATCATTAATTAAATTGAAATACCAAATGCAAGTTTTGATAGGACTTCCATTCAATGATTTACTGTTTCGACTTGCTATAGTAATCCTATATCCCATTAAGGAATTTGGACCCCTCGTTTATCTCTCTTAATCCCATTCGGAAAGCAATCACCAAAACAACCTGAGAAACTAAGCTTTTGATCCTTAAGGAAAGCCTCAATTTCAAAAAAATTGGTGTAAGAAGAGACAGGGAGAGAATGCGATTCTTTTTGAAAAATCCAAATACTGGATATTATGATAAGGGGGCATCTATATGTTTGTCCTTATCGGCCTTATTAGCAAGGTTGTTATCCTTATCATCATTATCTTTATTTTCAACATCAGGATTAATATCCTTAAAAAGTTGTGGTGATGAGGAATTTTCTTCTATTAAGATGCTATCATCATCACCGTCATCATTAACAAGTTTAAATAATTCTAATGGGATAAGAACAAGATCAAAGTATCATTCTTCATCATCCCTTGTACTTTTATTCATCATTATTTCAATGATACTAGTTTCATGTTTCATGTGTGAACCAATTCAGGCCATCTCTTGTAGTGGAATAGATTCCAACGACCTCACTGCTTGCTCTGGGATGGGGACTTGTATTCAGGATGAAACATGCCAATGCCTTAACGGATATTCAGGCGCTAATTGTGAGTATGTGGAGTGTTTTGGAGTTACAAATGAACCTGGTAATGAGGTTTGCTCTCGTCACGGGCAGTGTTCATCACCAGACAATTGTCAATGCGATTCTGGGTATTATGGCTCTACATGTTCCATCACAACTTGTTTTGAGAAGTGGAGTAACTTGTCGAATAGCAACAACATTTGCTCTGGGCATGGTACTTGTTCATCATTGGACGTTTGTGAATGTAATGCTGGATACTTTGGTAGCGAATGTGAAAAGGATCTTTTCGCTGGGTACAAACTAATTAGTATTAGCCCAGTAGTGATAGCAAAAAATTCACCTGACAATGTTGAATTGAAAGCAAGTATTGCCCTTCCTTCAATGGTTCTATCCTCTGCCTACTCACACGATGGTTCACAACCTTTACCATTTGTTGTTTCCAACTCTACAACTTCTATTGTTATTACAGATACGGTAAATGATGCTTTTGGTCAATTGTTAGTTCAGGAAGCAGATAGAAAAGCAGGTGAACTTTACAATCTTCCATGTGATTTTAACATTTCCAATCCCGACCAAGAACTCAATAGTTTGACCATCATTAGAAATGGTGGAGTCTATTGTTTTCCAAATGGTGTAACTATAAGAGGACACACATTTATTATTGTCGGTACAGAAACAGTCCTTTTCAAATCTCCTTTTGTATATTATTATGGAGCTTCCTTTTACTATCTGGAATGTGCCTCCTATAGGAACGTTTTCTGGTTAACCTATGACCAAGGAGATAATGGAAACTTCTTTTCTGGAGATATTCATGGAACTGTTATTGGAATTTCTCCTTATCATGGAATTCAACTTTACGATAACTTGGTGGGGGCTGTATGGTACACTGGTGGAACAGATATGATTCTATTCGATGTGAATATTTTACCACCAATAACCTTCAATTCAAATGAAAGTTTTAGTCGAGATGATTGCATGGAAACAAGTTGTTATGGAATTTCATTCCGATTGAATAATACTTGCTTTGGAAGAGGTCATTGTGTGAAGAATGATACTTGTTTGTGCAATACGGATTCATACGGAAGTAATTGTTTAATTTCAATTTGTAATGGTGTCTACGGAAATGAAACCAATGTATGTAGTGGTCATGGTGAATGCCAAAGTAAGGACAGTTGTGAGTGCGAAAGTGGTTATTATGGAAATTGGTGTGAATTGACCACATGTTTTGGAGTCCAGAATGACCAGCCGAATACTTGTAATGGGCATGGATTGTGTTCCAAATTGGATACTTGTGAATGTGCTTCTGGTTTTGGATATGGTGGTTCAAGTTGTGAAATTCCAATCTGTAATGGAACTATGGCTAATGAAAGTAGTGTTTGTCTATCAAGAGGTCATTGTGTCCAACCAAATATGTGTAGTTGCCAATCAAGTTATTCAGGGTCAAACTGTGAAATTGCTAATTGTTTTGGAATTATTTCAAATGACAGCTCAGTTTGTTCTGGTCATGGGTCTTGTAATTCTGTAGATACTTGCACTTGTTCCATTGAATACTACGGAGCCGATTGCTCACAATTTGATTGTTATGGCATTCAATCAGTGAATAGTTCTGTTTGTTATGGAAGAGGACAATGTATTAATGTTAATACTTGTTCATGTTCACAAGGATACTATGGCAATGAATGTGAAATCTCCATGTGTGATGGTATTTTGGGCAATTCCTCCCAAGTTTGTTCTAGTTATGGACAATGCAAGGATACGGATGTGTGTGATTGCCAATTGGGCTATTTTGGTGTGTTTTGTAATGAAACAACATGTAATAGTATAGCAATGAATGACTCAACAGTATGTAATGGACAGGGAACTTGTTGGCCATTGGACACATGTGTTTGCTCCAATGGATATGATGGCTCTAATTGTCAAAATCCTATTTGCTTTGGAATTGTTTCCACTAATACCTCTGTTTGTGGAGGTCATGGAGTTTGTTCGCAACCAAATATTTGTCAATGCAACCAGGGATATTACGGATCCCAATGTGAAATAGTCACCTGTTCTGGTATCATGTCAAATGGATCAACAGTGTGTTCAGGACAAGGGCAGTGTTCTGATATGGACATATGCCAATGCAACAACCATTACTATGGATCTAATTGTGAAAAGTTTGATTGCTTTGGTGTATCCTCTCTCTTAAACACCTCATGCTCTGGTCATGGTACATGTCTTGATTACAATACTTGCCAATGTTACTCTGATTATTATGGAAATAATTGTGATGTTACCAAATGTTATGGTATTTTCAGTAATTCATCCAATGTTTGTTCATCTAAGGGAAGTTGCCATGTACGAGATACTTGTATCTGTTCGAATAATTACCACGGTTCTTATTGTAACATAACAAGTTGTAATGGAGTTTATTCTAATGATGCTTCAGTTTGTTCCGGTCATGGTTCATGTATTGGGTACGACACTTGTCAATGTTTGAGCGATTATTCTGGAAGTAATTGTCAAGGAGAAATAGTTGACCCATTTGCTGGATTTAGAATTATTTCAGATTCTTCAGTTTCAATTTCTATTGATTATTTCCTGACAGATTGGCAACCAGTTTTGCAATCCTATACTCGTTACTATGCCTCAAGTTTACTTCTTAAAAGTATTTCCTATTTGGATTCAAATATTCAATATCTTCCACATTCGAGTGCAGTTATTCTAAACAGCACAAGTGCACAGGGCATCAATATTGTCAACAAGATGAAAACCATCAAGTCCCAGTTATTGGCTTCATTAACCTGCACTAAAACTTACACAAACACTAACTCTCCAAATACTTTTATAATCAAACATGGAGGTGTAATTTGTTTCACAGGAGGAATGACATTCGGGCCAGAAAGAACTATTATCATTGTGGGAACAGAGCCTGTCATATTCAAACTCCCATCCTTGCAGTATAGTGCTCTTAATATTGTTTTTTTGGAATGTGCCTCATATAGAAACTTTTTCTGGATTTTGGATTCAAATAGTTTTATTAAGGGAGCAGATAAAACAAAGAATTATCAACCACCAATTCATGGAACATTTATTCAACTCTCTGGAACTATTTCTTTGAGAGGTTACCTTGCAGGTAGTGTATGTGCTTCGAACATCAATACTCTTCTCCACGAAGTCACATTTTATGATCCAACCACTTTTGACCCTTTCCAAAGTGTCACTTCACAATGTAATTACACCCTCTGTTACAACATTCTATCAAATAATCAATCAGTGTGTTCAGGTAAAGGTAATTGTTCTGATTACAACACTTGTGTTTGTAATACGGATAGTTATGGATCTGATTGTTCTTTATTTAAGTGTAACGGAATTTTGAGTTCAAACTCAACTTTTGTTTGTAATGGAAGAGGTAAATGTGTAGGGCCAGATGTCTGTTCCTGTAATCCAGGTTATTATGGAGATTTTTGTGAGCTGACCACATGTAATGGAATTGAAAATACCTCGCCTCTTGTTTGTAATGGAAGAGGTGCCTGTAATCATTTCAATAGCTGTTCCTGTAGCTCTACATTTGGGTATGGTGGATCAGATTGCGATATTCCAATTTGCTATCAAAAACTTGCAACCAATCGTTTAGTTTGTAGCTCAAGAGGTGATTGCTTGGGACCAAATGTTTGTAATTGTACCGAAACTTATCTTGGTGATAATTGTCAACTGACCACTTGTGCTGATATACTTTCAAACTCTTCTCTTGTTTGTTCAGGCTTTGGATCATGTGTTGGCTATAACAATTGCACCTGTCATACAGGTTTCTATGGAGAAACTTGTGCAGAATATGATTGTTTCGGAGTTAATAAGAATAATCCAAATGTTTGCTCTTCAAAAGGCGAATGTATTACTGTTAATAACTGCACATGTCAAGATGGCTTTTTGGGTAATAATTGTTCCTACACTACTTGCTTTGGAGTAAGAAGTGATTCGCCTACAGTTTGTAATTCGAAAGGTTCCTGTAGAGCCAAAGATGTTTGTGAATGTTGGAATGGATATTTCGGAAGTAATTGTACTCTGACAAGTTGTGGAGGGATCTATTCAAATGATAGCTCTGTGTGTAATGGACATGGTTCTTGTTGGCCAGCGGAAACCTGCACTTGTTTATCTCAATATGGATATACAGGTCAATTGTGTGAAATTCCAATTTGTTATACCATAGCAGCTAGTGATCCTTTAACCTGTTCTTCTCATGGCTCCTGTGTTGGTGTCAATACATGTGAGTGCCAAGCAAATTATACTGGATCCAAGTGTCAAGTTACATCATGTCAAGGAATTCTATCAAACGGCTCACTTGTTTGTTCTGGGCATGGTTCATGTATTGAACATGATAATTGTACATGCCTAGCTGGTTACTTTGATACCGCCTGTAATCAATTCACATGTAATGGAACCAACTCCCAAGACAGCTCAGTTTGCTCTGGAAAAGGAAGTTGCGATTCATATAATAATTGTTCTTGTCAAGCGGGCTATTATGGACCTAATTGTGAAAAGACAATGTGTAATAACATTTTGAGTGATAATCCATCTGTGTGTACATCTCGTGGTAATTGTATTGCCCCAGAAGTTTGCAGTTGTAATGAGACTTATTTTGGTACTAATTGTGAGTTGACTACTTGCAATGGAACTGTTTCAAATAGCAGCTCGGTATGTTCAGGATCAGGAGTTTGTTGGCCATTCGATACCTGCACTTGTTACTCTGACTTGGTCAGAGAATTCGAAGGTCAATGGTGTGAAAAACGTTTGTGGGATCCTTTCGCTGGATATCGAATGGTATCTCACAATGGTTTAGTTTACCATTTTGATGATAACAACAATTTCTACACTCCTGATATTCATACCAATACTAGATATTATCGTTCAAGTATGATTTTAGATATACTTACAAAGATAACACCTACACTCAATTACACATCTGATAATGGAGCTCACATTGATAGTGTTAATACTCCCAAAGCATCAGCCTTGGCTGCACTTATGAAAAAGAAAGGTAATTCCATGTGGACACTTCCATGTACTAAAACAGTTAACAATTCAAGTGATTTGCCATGGATTAGTAAGAGTGAAATTATGATTCGTCACGGAGGTGTTTTCTGTTTCAATATTGAAGCTTCTTTTCACAACAATATAACCATTATCATAGTTGGAGCTGAACCTGTTGTTATGAAAGTTCCTTCAATTCAATACTCTGCAGTCAACTTTGTATTTGCAGAATGTGCTTCTTATAGAAATTTGTTTTGGTTTATCACAAGTTATAATCCAAGTTTCATTCAAGGAGGAAATAGAGGGACTGGATATGAGCCTCCAATTTATGGAACTTTCTTCCCAACCTCAGGTGGTTCCTTCCAACTTGCTGGTCCTTTTGCAGGAAGTGTTTGGGTAACCGGTAATGCATGGACTGTTTTTATTGATGTTACTGTTTATCCACCATTGTCAACTGATCCATATGAACCAACAGTTGGTCAATTTTGTAATTATACTCAATGTTTCAATGTTAAATCTAATTTGAATACTACATGTTCCGGTAGAGGTCAGTGCATTGATTATAATACATGTGTTTGCAATGCCGATGCTTATGGAGTTGATTGTTCAATCTCCAAGTGTAATGGCACATTTAGTAATGTATCAACTGTTTGTAATGGACATGGTTCATGTATCGCTAAAGATACTTGCCAATGTAATACAGGATACTATGGAGAATGGTGTCAATATACAACATGTGGAGGAATTGAAAGCACTTCACCATTGACTTGTAGAGAAAGAGGTACTTGTATTGCCTATAATCAATGTTCTTGTAATGTCACCAAAGGATACAATGGTAATGACTGTGAAATTCCTTATTGTAACAACATTTTGGGAAACACTTCAACTGTTTGCAGTGCTCATGGTTCTTGTGAATTGCCAAACACGTGCAATTGTTCAGCAAACTATTTTGGAACATTTTGCCAATATACCACTTGTGCAGGCATTGAAACATATAATTCATCAGTTTGTATTGGTAGAGGTCAATGTACACTTTACAATAATTGTACTTGTAACTCACCTTATTATGGATCCAATTGTGAACAATTCAAGTGTTTTGGAGTGAATAACAACTCTAGTACTGTTTGTTCTGGAAGAGGTATCTGTACAGATTATAACACCTGTGTTTGTAATGCTGGATATTTAGGATCGAATTGTGAAATTTCATCCTGTTTTGGAATTTTAAGTAATGTGTCCCTTGTTTGTAAAGCTCATGGAGTTTGTGTAGCTACGAATACTTGTGTCTGTGCTGCTAATTACATGTCCAGTGATTGTTCTGTGACTTCCTGTTCAGGAATCAATTCAACTTGGTCTTCAGTATGTCATGGAAGAGGTTCATGTTGGCCTTACAATACATGTAATTGTAATGCCAAATTGGGTTACACTGGAAATGATTGTAATGAGCCAATGTGTGACGGTCTTACAAACTCTGATCCTTATGTTTGTAGCGGAAGAGGAGGTACTTGTGTTTCTCCTAATCTATGTGTCTGTAACGATCCATCAAAATATTTTGGTAAATTGTGTGAATACACCTATTGTCGAGGTGTTCCAACCAATCTTACTGACACAGCACTCTTCTGTTCTGGAAATGGTATTTGTACAGACTATAATTACTGTTATTGTTTTAGTGGATATACAGGAACTGAGTGTGAGTTGGATATGTTTGCAGGTTACAGATTCGTCACCAATAAGAATGTTTATGTTTTGAAGAATCAGATTTATTACTTGCCTGCCAATATCGCCATAGGCCCAATGTTGAGTGCTGCTGGGCAGAAGACATACCTTCCTTACCAACAAGCAGTGAAAACCAATTTGAGAGTTGATGCTACATTGTTGAATGAGCTCCAAATGAGAGCTATGGGTTTAAGGTATAATTTCTTCCCTTGTGAACATTATATCAAGGACGCTTCAGTATTTGGAAAGAACATAGAATTGAGGGGAGGTGTGTACTGCATTCAGAATCCATGGACAATTGATGGACATAACTTTACCGTAATTGGTAAAAAACGAACCATTTTTACACTTCCACAGCTGATATATAAATCAGCAAAGTTCACCTACTATGAATGTGCATCTTATAGAGATGTAATATTTTATGCCGGTGAAACTACTGGCTACAGCAATTTCACAGGACCTATCGATGCAACCATTTTTGTAAATTCACCAGGTGCAGCAGATTACTACGTGAACGGTGATATTAATGGAGCAATCTATATATTTGGAAAACTTGGATCTAACGATGCTCCACCTACTGGTACTGTCTACACTACAGATATGAAATTTATTGCACCATACACATTTGATCCAGCTGTTAGATACATTGAATCCAAGTGTAATTATTTCACATGTTTTGGAATTGGCTCTAATATCAATACTACTTGTTCTGGAAAAGGAAAATGCATAGGCATTGATACTTGCTCATGTATTTCTGGGGCGTATGGGCCTGATTGTTCTCTCAGAATGTGTAATGGAACTTTAGGAAACTTTTCCAATGTTTGCAGTGGTCATGGTTCATGTATTTCCACTGATATTTGTCAATGTAATGCAGGATTTTATGGGCAATGGTGCCAATACACAAAGTGTTATGGATTAGAAAATACTTCTCCAACTGTTTGTTCAGGAAGAGGTTCTTGCTTGTCTGAAAATAATTGTATTTGTAATTCTACTTATGGATACGAAGGTTCACAATGTGAAACTCCAATTTGTGGTGGACAATTGGGTATTTGTGCTAGTTCAAGCAGAGGAAATTGTACAGCTCCTGACACTTGCTCATGTTTGGATCATTATAGTGGTCAATTTTGCCAATGGACTACTTGTAATAGCGTACCTTCTAATTCATCAAGTGTTTGTTCTGGAAGAGGAATATGTGCTGCATATAATACTTGTCAATGTAAAGCAGGATATATTGGATCGATCTGTGAAAAGGATGTCTTTGCTGGATACAAATTAATTAGTAACAAGGCAGTTCTTTTAGCAAAGAATTCAAGAGCTAGCTCTGTGCTGGCAGCAAGTATTGCCCTTCCTTCAATGACAATTAGACCACCAACATTTTTAAATCCAGATAAGGTCTATCCATATGTTGCAAGTGGTAAGTCTGTAATTACAAAGCCAACCGATTCCTACTATCAAACTTTAATGACCGAATTATCAAAGAAATTCGATGAGCTCATGTCCGCTCCTTGTGACTATGTAATTTCAAAACCAGATACTGAAATGGGTCAGAAAATTCTCATTGAGCATGGTGGCGTCTATTGTTTCCAGAATGGTTGGAACATTAATGGTCAAAAGTTTACAATTGTTGGAACTGAGCCAGTTATTTTCAAAGCTCCATATATCAAGTATTCTGGAGCTAACTTTGTATATTTGAAGTGTGCTTCATATAGAAACGTGTTTTGGGTCACTCAATACTACAACTTGACTGGCAGAGTAAATTGGGTTAACAGTAATTCATTTTCTGGAACAGTTCATGGCACAATAGTTGCTAGATATGGGTATGATTATTTAGTTTCCGATGATATACAAGGAGCTATTTGGTTTTATACTCAAGAAGATGGATATATCACTTTGAAAGATGCTAAACTTACAACACCTCCAACATTTGATCCTTACATGCCATATGTTACTGGATCTTGTGATACTTATACTTGTTTTGGTATTGATCCAACTTCGAATATGAGTTGCTCAGGTAGAGGTGTCTGTAAAGATTACAATACATGTACATGTCAAGATGATTCCTATGGTATTGATTGTTCCATTTCTAAATGTTATGGAATTTTTGGAAATGTGTCAATTGTTTGTTCCTCTCATGGTAATTGTACATCAAAGGATACATGTACATGTAGTGAAGGATACTTTGGAGACTTGTGTCAATACACTTCATGTGCTGGCATTCCAAATAACTCTACAAATGTCTGTAACCAGAGAGGTGTTTGTAATATTTACAATTCTTGCACTTGTAACACAACTTTGGGTTATGATGGATCGAATTGTCATGTTCCAATATGTAATCATCTAGTAGGAACATGTACAGATCTATTCAGAGGTAACTGTACTGCTCCTAATGCATGTTCATGTGAAAATCATTATTATGGGCCTTGGTGTGAAAAGACAACTTGTGGTGGATTTGAGTCAACTAATACACAATCTGTTTGTAATGGAAGGGGTAATTGTACAGCTTATGAAAAGTGTACCTGTTTACATGGATATGCAGGAGCATTTTGTGAAGAGTATAGTTGTTTTGGAGTTGTGAGAACTCTTCCGTCAACTTGCTCTGGAAGAGGAGCTTGTTCTTCAATTGACCAATGTGATTGTAGCGCAAATTATTATGGATCTAATTGTGAAATTAGCAAGTGTAATGGTAAATTTGGAAATGAGTCTACAGTGTGTAGTTCTAATGGTCAGTGTATTGAGACAAATATTTGTAATTGTTCAGAGCATTATTATGGAAATTGGTGCGAAAAGACGACTTGTTTTGGAGTTGCTTCCAATGAGTCAAATGTTTGTTCACATAGAGGACAATGTAAAGCATTCAATACTTGCCAATGCAATCAAAATTACTTTGGAGATAATTGCGAGTTGACTACTTGTAATAATCTTGCTTCAAACTCTGGTTTGGCTTGCAATTTGGTTGGCAATTGTACAGATTACAATACATGTGTTTGTCCTTATGGATATACTGGTTCATGGTGTGAACAGACTACTTGCTTTGGTGTAGCCACAAGTTCTCCAAGTGTTTGTAATGGACATGGTAATTGTACAACTATGGATATGTGTAGTTGTGATCCTAAATATGGTTATGGTGGAAGTAATTGTAACATTACAACATGTGATGGAGAATTGTCTACCTCTTCTCAGGTCTGTAACTCACATGGTACATGTATTGGACCAAATCAATGTCAATGTGCTCCACATTATATTGGTGACAATTGTCAAGTGACAACTTGTTTTGGAATTCTGTACAATGACTCTAGTGTTTGCTCAGGAAAGGGTTCTTGTGATGGATTCGATAACTGTACATGTGAACTTGGTTATTCTGGAGCAGAATGCGACCAGTACACATGCAGTGGAGTTTTCAATTCAAATCCCTTAGTTTGTTTCGGTAGAGGAAACTGTACTGAATATGATATCTGTGTTTGTGAAGCAAATGCCTTTGATTTTGATTGTTCTGGTGTTTCTTGTAATGGATTTATCAATGCAGATCCAATGGCTTGTTCTTCACATGGTTCATGTACCCAAAATCAATAGTGTAATTGCTCTGAAAATTATCATGGTGAATGGTGTGAGCTCACAACTTGTAATGGAATTGATTCGAATAGTACTGAAGCATGTTCTGGAAGAGGAAGATGTGTAGATTATAATAGTTGTGTCTGTTCGAATGGATACTATGGGGATGACTGTCAGGATTACAATTGTTATGGTATTTCACATTTTTCAAATTTGACATGTTCCGGATATGGTAATTGTTCCGATATCGACACATGTGAATGTTTTGAAGATTCTATTGGTTTAGATTGTTCCGTCAACGTTTGCAATGGTCTTCCTATGAATTCCTCATTAGTTTGTTCAGGACTAGGCAGTTGCACTCGACCAAATTATTGCAATTGTTCAGATAACTATTTTGGAAGTAATTGTGAATGGACCACATGTTATTCCATCGCATCATTCTCTCCATCCACATGTTCTGGAAGAGGAAATTGCTCTGATTTTGATAAGTGTATATGTAATTCTGATACATTTGGTTCCGATTGCTCTCTCTTCAAATGCAACCACACCCTTGGCAATGAAACTCAAGTTTGTAGTGGACGAGGTTCATGTATTGGCACTGATGAGTGCAATTGCACTGAGAATTATCACGGAGAGTTTTGTGAATTTACTGAATGTTTCTCTCAACTTTCTAATGAAAGTTCAGTTTGCTCTGGAAAAGGAAAATGCATTGAGTTCAATAATTGTTCATGCCAAGATGGATATTTCGATCAAGATTGTTCTCAATTCCAATGTAATGATACCTTCAGCAATGAAACCACAGTTTGCTCCTCAAGAGGTTTTTGCATTGATTCGAACAAGTGCAATTGCTCAGAAAATTACTTTGGACTGAATTGTGAATTGAGCATTTGCTTTACAATTCTTTCTAATGACAGCAGAGTTTGTTCTAGAAGAGGAATTTGTGTTGATTATCAAAACTGCTCATGTTATGATGGATTTTATGGTGAAAGTTGTGAGTTTGCTGTAAGTGCAGTGAACAATCAATCAAATTCCACTCAATTGAATAATCAAACTATTGATTCCAGTAATGTAACCATGAATAATAATTCATCGGTGGTTTTTAACAATACTGATAACAGTACAAATACTGATAATAGTAGTGTTGTGGTCACTAATCACACAATTTCAGAAGACAATACAACACGTTCTAATTCAAATGGAACTGTTTATAATAACAATAGTACAGACCTTTCTAATGAAACAATTTCAAATAATGGAACAGTTTCTGCTAACGCAAATGTTACTATCCCTGACAATTCTACTTCTTCCACTAATCAAACTGTTTCTCCAAGTACTGATTCATCAAATGGAACTGTTTCCAATAATACTGTAAATGCAACAGCTTCTGATAATACTACCACTGATAATTCCAACATTACAATTTCGGATAATACCACTTCACCTGGATCCAATAATCAAACTATTTCTCCAAGTGTTGATTCATCAAATGGAACGATTTCAAATAACACTAATCCTTCGGTAGTTTCGAACAGCTCAACTGTTTCAAACTCTTCTTTTACTAACGGAACAGTTTCCAACAGCACAGTCACTTCAAATAGTAGCACAATTACTTATAATACCACAATTTCATCAAACGAAACAATTTCGGTTAATGTAACAAGCAACACATCAAAAATTACAAATTCAACCTCAATCTTGAACGAAACTGTTCCTGTAATGCCTGAGCCTGATGTTGTGGTTGCTTTGCCGGTTGCAATTATAAAACGAATGAGCTCGAACGTGTTCAGCTCATGCGATGATATTAGAGTGGATGGCTCGCAAAGTTTCTCACAAGATTCGACCTATCTTGACTATTATTGGAATTTATTGGAAGCAAGCTCTTTGACTAGTTTACAAAGTTTGCCTAATAGTCCAATCATTGTCATTGACTCTACATTGAAGCCAGGACAATATGTTGTTTCACTAAAAGTTGGAAATGGAAGAAATAGTTCAGTGAACTATTCGAAACCTTTCACCAAGTCAGCAAATCCACTTCCAAAGATTTATATTGCTAATTCTTTGATTGAAAAGTATGGAAATCAATTCCCAGTAACCATCAAGAAAGTTATCACAGAATCAACTTGCCAAAAGGAAAAATCAGTAATTAGTTGGAGTCAATTAAGTGGACCAACAGTTAAATACTCAATTGACAGTTTCAGTAATCTTGCTATTGCCTCATTGACTACCTATGGTTTCCATACTTACATCTTCCAAGTTTCAGCTCATTACCCTTCAAATCCATTAGAAAGAGTTTCTGCCAATGTAACACTTGTTACAAAATCTCCTGAATTGCAACTTGAATTATTGACAACTGATGCAAATTCTAATTACACAACTATTGTAATTGGATACACAGATCCAGAGAGTGCTTATAATACTCTTTCTGAGGAATGGAAATGGACTTGTTTGAATAATACGAATCCAAGTTTAATTTCCTTCTTGGAATTGATTTCTAAAAACAAGCAAACTGAAGTTAGATTTGATGGTTCATCACTATTTCGTCAAAACATACCTCGCTCTATTGAACTATCTTTAAGAATTTCCAAGTCTGATAGAACAATCTCCAAGTCAATTATAGTTTACTTTGGATTGGTTCCACCTATTGTAAATATTATTTCAGTAGAACCAAGCACTTTGTACGTTCTTCCTGGAGAACCTCTCAGTATTCAGACATTAGTCACCAAAGGAAATGTTAATGTTACATTGAATGGACAAGTTGTTGAAGTATCCGATCAACAGCCAACCTTGGATGTTGACACTAAACTATTAGAACAAGGTTCTGAAAATACAATTACAATCACATCGACTGATCCAGTGACTGGAATGTCTAGCTCTTCAAGCTATACTTTCAAAGTTGCTACCTATCCGAAACCATGTGCTTGTTTCATTTCTCCTTTAAGTGGAATTGCATTAGAAAGCGATTTTGAATTCTATTGTACGAATTGTAAAAATTCAGAAAATAATATTGACTATCGATATGGATTTATAGATGACAGATCCGAAACAAGAATTCTATTATTCGATTCTGGTGAAATTTATGCTTCCAAGTTGCCATCTCCATTTTCTGGAAATACTGTCAAATGTTTCTTTGATATTGTCGATACAGAGACAGGTGCTTTTACAACAGTTTACAAAAATGTCACTATAGAAAAACCTCTCGTTACAAAAGTCGAACAAGTTCAAGGACTAGTCGAATCATGGACTATTGTGGGATCCAACTATTTCAGTAATGGAGATTTCAGTAAGAGTATTTATCAATGTGCTTCAACTTCAAGAACTGATTCAGTTTTATTGAGACAGATATTAGGAAATGAATATTTAGAAAGATCAGAAAGTATTGAATGTGAGAATGGTGTTGATATTTCAGGAGTGTGTAAATGTCATGATGGATATATTGGTAAACATTGTGATAAGGCGATTAGTGACTTTTCTAATATTCAAGGTACTAAATTGCAAGTACTCAGAGAAATGGTGACCATTGCCAATAGCACTGGTGAAATGAATAATCAATATTTGTCATTGCTGTCATTTGCCATTGATTCGATACTTGTCAATTATCAATATTTAGATACAAATACTATATCTGAATCAATGTATACTTTGAATATGTTTTTGGAATATTCCTTATCTGATGAAAGTTTGAGATTACCAACCGGGGTTGATAAGTTATTAGAATCTAGTCAATATTCAACATTTAATTACATTACTGATAAGCAATACCTTACTGATCAAACGTCAAATGCCTTAAAATTATTGAAATCTCTCAAATTGTCATCTCAGTTACAAGCAAGATCTGTTTCCATGTCAAATGCCAAGAGAAACATTAAGGGATCATTCTTTAGTATAGTTTTGGGTAAGAGCTTGTTAGCTGATCATCAAAATAATATTCAAGATCCCCATTCATCTTCGTCCATAAGTATGGAGAATGGTTTCTTTGCTTATACTGCAAGATCTAAAGTTTCATCTATCAAAAAGCCATATATTTACATCCTGTCTGTGACTGATGACATTTACTCATTGGGAACTAAACTCAAAGTTGTGGAAAAGAATAACAATGTTCAAAAGGTTTCAAATTTGGTTTCTCCAATAGTTTCTGTAGATTTTGTGGATGTTGCCACTACCATGAATCCAACAAAAATAATTTATTCGATTCCAATTAATTTGAATGGATCAACATTTGAATTGAGAAGAGGAACTTTTGATTTATCAGTCAAGACACTGGACCAGTATTGTAAAAACTTTGATGAAGGTTCTATTAAAGTTCTTTCAGACTGTACCTTAATTTCATTGACTGCAACACATGCCAAATGTCAATGCTCCAAATTTACAAATGTATTTGTTATTGAAACAACGACCATTTCAACTTATTCCTACACCTACTTGGCAGCTATTGGTTTCTCTCTTGTAGCTGTCTGTTCCATTGGAACCTTGGTAATTCTCTCAGTTTGCGTATGGTGGAAATTCAAGAAACCTAAACTTTCCAAAAAGAGAAGTCTTGTCTTTACGGATGCCTCTGAAAATGAGATTCAACTCAGAATTCAAGAAATTATTCTCGGAGACCATACATACAGTAATTCAGAAACTAACTCTGATGATTCATTGATTATTGATGTGATAGATGATTGTCCATCAGGAGGAAGCAGTGGAACAGGTTCAAATAATGGAAGAATGAGAAGTTATTCAATGCAAGAAAGACCAACCACAATGATGAGTTCATCCTCTCCAAGAGGTGGAGTTGGTGCCAATATACTTTCATCTTCACCAAGAGGAACAAGAAATCGTTCATCTTCAGTTGCTCCATTGATTATTCAGGAAAGCCATGAATTGGATTCGAATGCATCAAGTTCTGATGAATTATTAAAGAATCATTCAGAGGGAGGTGTTAAACGATCTGGAAGTGGTATTTGGGATTTGAGAGAAGATGGCTTTCTAGAACATGAAAAATTTTAAACTTTTTATTACAAGCTCAACTGGAATAAATTCCTTCAATAACTTTCTTTAAACGTTTTTCATTGGCCTTCGTTTCCCCCTTGTCCTCCTTCAAGAAATTAAACTCATCCTTCAAATTGCAACCATTTCTATTCTTACAAATGACAAGTGCACCTTCAATGACTTCTGGAATTGATTCCTTTTCCTTATAGCAAGGAGCTACCAATTCACAACCAAAATAATAATATTGTTGAGTGCATTTCTTAAAGATGGATCCACCTAAAGCTGAGTAATGTTTCATACAATTAACTCTACATGCAACACAATCTTTAGTTTTTGTAACTGTCTTCTTTTTGAAAAGATTCTTCTTCACTTTTTCTGTGTAAACTGAAGTGTAAGGAGTTCTGTTTTCTAGTTTGGCTTTATATGGACCAATATTTCCATTGAATACTGGTTTTGATTGATCATAGATTGATCGAATGACTTTACTTCTTGATCTGAAAACTCTAAACAGTCTACTTAATGCTCTGGGGATGGTTCTACCAATTCTTCTTACCACTCTACTTATTCTAATCATTCTACTCATTCTTAGTTGAGAATGAGTAATTGCTTCTAATAGTTCAACGTCTTCTGCTTGGAGAGTTGCTGTGGTGGATCTCTTGACAGAAATTGAAGAAACTGTTTGATCTCTTTGACATTCAGTGGAAGTTGCCTTGGTTGAGTGTGCAGTAAAGAAAACTAAACAACAAGCAATGAGCAAAAGAAGTTGTAATGTTTGTTTGGATGATTGGCACATTTTTTAAGATATAATGGTTGATGAGTTGTGTACGTCTGTCAAGTTAAGTGTGAGAAATTTTGGTCTTTAGAATATTGTTTCATTTATGAAGTGAACTACTTGATTTGCAAATTATGTGTTTCTGTTTATCCTTAAAAAAGAATGTGATTGTGATTGTGGTTTTTTGTGCTAGTAATGGTCATTTTGCTTTCTTCTTTGTTATTCCCAATACGAAACTGAGTATTAGAAAGAGAAACTTGACTGGTGAGTTCATACGAAACAATATCCACTCCAATGGAATGATTCCTATGTAGACTCTCATCTAATGCGAATTGGTGTGTTGAACCAATCGTTTTTGTTCAACAATATCTCGTTGCCTTCACATGGAAGAAAGTTAGAAGAGTTTCGAATTTGTACTCCAATTGATTTGTTGAATTACATGAGAAATACAACAGGAAAACACTTGAAAATTGGAGTGGATAAGCAATATGGTTTGTTGTTTAGAGATTGTTTGGATTTTCAGAAAATTGTGATCAATGAAGATTTGAAGATGACTTCTCATGTGTTTTTCGTATAGTTTGATTCCCTTTCTATTTTTTAAAAGAAACTGTAGACCTAGACTTCCAAGAGTGTCATTCAAATTAGAGATAATCTCTTCATGGAATAGAGAAAATAATTGAAGAATCTCGCTTCTTAATTTCACTGAACGATTTCCTTGTGGAAGACGCACCATTCAACTCAAATTTGGAGTTGATGGCACTGTAGTCATCTTCAATGTCTTGAAGAATTTGCTTATTCATAGTAGAGTCACCGAATTCAGATTTTGAGTTGAATTAATTTTTCATAGAATAGAATAGTTTCCAAACTAAATTCCTTTGTCGAAAATTCCTTAAAGATTTTCACAAAATTTTCATTGCTCCAATTCAGATATGTTATTCTCATTCTCTTTCTTCTTAGGATGGTGTGCAAGGTTTCGAAAAATAATGTAAATCCACCACAAATACAGATAAAGATGAGACTTTCTAAAAAGAAGAAAACTCTGATTGGTATAATCGAGACTTGCATGAATAAATAGATCAATTCTAACATTAAACGGATCATCAAATCTAAGAAAACTGATTAATCCTTTGTCTTTGATGACTTTCCAATTACACACAAAGTCAACCAATACTGTTACAATTCCAATCGTACAACCAAAGAGGATATAAATCACACAGCTGATGGTAACAAGTGAGTTTTTGAATTGGTACGAAATTTATGAAATTCCAACCAAGAGTGTGTTATAATGGAGAAGGATTATTAGCAGGGAGCAACTAGTAATGTTGCTGAGTAAGTTACCACAAAGGAATCAAGTTTACTCATGAAAAATTAACTCAATTCGGTATGTTACATCAAATTTGGGTAAAATAATGCTTCTCCAAGAAAAATCTTCAGTGAAATTAAGCGATCAGCTTACTCTTCAATGAATCAATAAGGTAAAGAGGAGATATCTCCGTTAATAGAGTTCTTATTTGTGGCAGTGAGATTTCATTCTAAAAAGTATAATAGCCCTAAATTTCAAAAGGGATAAAAATACTCCATCTGGACTGAGACAAAACATCCTTAATAGATTGGTTATTAATAAATATGAAATAACCAAGCTGACTTGGATTCAGAACAGAAGCCAATCATCCACATAGCAAATCTATTGTATTTTATCTACCTCACCAAGTTAGAAAATGAGTTTTAAAACACAACCAAGAAATTGACAGCTATCCTCACAGCCATTGAGAATTTCAATTGCTAGTTAAAAGTGAACTAGTTGTGAAAAAACGGAAGAATGTGAATAATTCTACTCACATTGCTACTTTTGTCTTGTTTCGTGTCGTGATTGATGGTTTTCAAAAGTTCCTGCATGGTCTACCACTCTGAGGAAGCAAGCGAGGAATGAGTACAATAACAATTTTTCTTATTGCCATAACAATCTATTGTTCTCTTGATTACGGTAATCTTTAAAAGGCTACCCGTATCCTAATTATATGCTGACATTTCGTTGTTATTGTTGAATAAGTAAAAGTGTGTTGCTTATTCGTTGAGATTATTTGTTAGGAGAGGCCCTAACATGTAAAGGGATACAGTGGTAAAGAAGAGTGTACGCTCTATTGTCCGATAGTGTGCCCTCTAAAACACAATTTTTTCATTGCTGCCCTCAACAAACAGTACAAGAAAACGTACTCGCCGTAGTCATGACAATATTAGGAAGCTCAAAAGGATTTGGATCCCTAATTACTAATCCAAAATGTTAAAATGTTGATTGGTGAAATAATATTATGTGCAATTTGTTTTAATTCAATTCTTTTGTATTTTGTTAACAAAGATTATTACTTTCTTTCCACCTGATTGTTGGTCAACCGAGTAAGACTCGTTACTTTTCTGAGAATTACTATTATTACTATGCTCTACAAGCACATCATGTACTAATATCCAAATGTTAAAGTATAATTTCAAGAAATCAATTTTTAAAATGATAAATGGACCTTTTCAGCCAAATTTCTGTCAACTTTTTTAAGAAATTTGACAAGACATAAAACAGAAAATATTCAACATGGATTTTATAAATTATATATCAAAATGTTGTACAAGATCTGAACAATTCAGTTATGTTGTTGATTTCAATATTTAGCCTATAGAAGCTGATCTTTGATGACATTTCAAAAATAGCAATATAGTTTTCAGAATTGTTACAAATCTCAATGTCAAGTAATCTAAAGTGTTTCAATATTGGGTGTAATCAAAACTTACAATGAAATAATCGAAATACATTGATATCATAAAATTCCTTGTATGACATATGTACACAAATCAAGCATTTGTCCAAGAACAGCATAAAAACACTAAGGGCGATAAATTTTTGAATATTGAACAATGTTGGGGCGTTTAATTGTGCGTATTTTATGTCTCTTCACGGGCTAGAGTCCAACGTGTACCGTTACCCTTATTCAAACAACTGTACCCTAATTAAAAATCAACACACTTTTACTTATTCAACAATATTGTGACCTTCACCTTTAATTTTCTTTCCTTATTGATGGTTCCTTGCGAAAATTATGTATGGACCAAAAACGCTCATTTCAAAAAAAAAAAAGATCACTCGACCCTTACCTCCTCTCACGCAACCACCGGAATTATCTTAATAGAAAACCTTAAGGAGGAATTAATTCTTCATCATCATCAGCGAGTCGATCAATATTTTTGTTATTCAATTGGAGATTTTTACATTGTATCATACTTTCTTAATTATTGTTGTTATTAATACAATTATGGGAGGTTTCTGTTCTGTATGTTTACCAGAGCATCAAGCACAACAAATCTATGATTCTGTTCAGGCTGAACCATCAACGTATATCCATCCGAGAATATTGGGAAGAAATCAATCGACAGGTTCGAGCTTGACAACCGTCTCCTCAATATATTCCTTTAGTAGCAAATCGAGTTTTACATCTTCATATAAGAGAAGAAGAATACGAGCATATAGAAGATATGGAGAAGGTAAGTGTTATTATTTAACAAAACAAGCAAGCTTAATTTGATTTCATTGACTTTTTCAAACTGTAACTTTAATCACAATAACAATAGAGGACACTGCTTCTTCCTTTGATGATTCCAGCAATCATTTAAAACCACCTTCATTCACTGGATCACAAATCCTCGAATTTCCTCCTTCAATGAATGTAAATATTGGATTAAAGAGAAGAGAATCTCAATCCTCCATTAACAACCTTTCCAATTCTTGCGATGAAGGAACTCTCTTACTAGGTGAATATTCAATAATCCGTCCAACAATCCCTTCATCTCCTGTAAATAATAACATTCCACAAATCACCACTTCCCCTACCCATTCAAAAGCGTTTGAGAATCGTTCAAGTAGATCATTTGAGACCAATGAATCTAGAAGAACCGCAGCAGTTTCATCTTCTTCACTTCATATTTCATTGTACGGTTCAGATTCTTGCTCCCAATACGGTTCACCTTCCCATTCTTCACACTCTCCATCCCATTCTCCTTCCCATTCTCCATCATCGAGACTCTCTTCAAATCCATTCAAACCAGCAAACTCAGATGGTGAAATGCTCATGTTAAGATTACCAACAGTGACAGACTCCAAATTTAAAAAATCAAAATCAACAGGTGAAGTTCAATACAATCTTGAAAGAAGAATGTCACTCTCTTCCAACATCATTGTTGATGGTCCTAATAGTAGATTAAATTCTCTCAAGAGTAGAAATTATCTTGTTCAACCAATAAAATAATTCATTCCTATAAACACATTATGTAATCATATGATATTATTAACTCTAAGGATAAATCATGGTATTAATAACTTTCCTCCGCTTATTCAGATCCATCCGAAAAAACATACTTAATTTGATCAGTTAATTCCTTAATAAAACGTTCCTCTGAAAATAAAAAAAAGTGATCATTTACTTGTGCTTTTGAATGAGAGCTTCTAATGTTTCTGGATCAGCTCCTTGAACTTCTTCAATCTTGGCACCATTCTTGTAGATTTGGAAAGTTGGCATACATTGAATACCACACTTGGCAGCAACTTCATTGCATTCATCAACATCAACCTTCAAAAAGATTGCTTCAGGATAAGTTGTACTCATAGAAGCAAAGAGTGGAGCAATAAATTGGCAAGGTCTATTGTACAATATTAAATTGAAATATTATAGTATAAATATTATAAGACAATAGACAATAGAATTAACAAACTTACCCACACCATTGTGCAGTAAAATCAACAACAACCAACTTTTCACTCTTCAAGTTAGTGTCAAATTCTTCTTGTGAGTGAATCTTGACAACATCACCCAATCTAGCCTTATCAGCAACAACTCTAATGGCTTCTCTGTCAGAACTGACACGGAGACTTTCCATCAATTTAGTTACCTTGTCAACATCTTCTTCTTCAATACTTGATTCCAACTCGGAAACAATCTTTTCCACAGCAGAAACATTTCCTTCGTCACACTTGGTCTTGAATTCCAAATCATCCTTAGCTTCTTGGACACTGCATTCAGCTTCAAGTCTGGTTGGGAAAAAGTCGTCATACTTTTGACAGATTGGGAGATACTTGTCCAAGTCAAACTTGTTGACACAATTATCGTGCAACCAAGTCAAAATACCAGCAGCACTTCTTTCGCCATCGAATTTAATTGGATGTTCCTTCAAATCAGCTCCAGCCTTGAACAATTTCATGTTTGGAATAGTACCTTCTGGGAAGAGTTTTTCAGAATAGTCATTAAGGTCAGAATTCATCTTGGAAATGACAATATTTGGTTCATCGGCAAGGACTTTGGCAACCTTTGCAATGAGTGGAGCAATCATTTGGCAAGGTCTATTTCCAATTAATATATAAAACGATAAGGAAGTATTAAAGAAGTATATTGAAATAGGTCAATATTATTCCAAATTAAATCGACAACTTACCCACACCAATCAGCATAGATATCAACAAAGACATCTCTAGCAGGATTCATAACAATTTCATCAAAAGCAGAAGCAACAAGCTTGGTAAGACCCTTCTTGTCTGGGAATTCATCATTTGAAAGTCTTTCTTCAGACTTGATGGAAGGTGTAGCAGTTCCATCTTGAACAGATTGCAACCAAGTCTTGAGAGCTTCCTTATCGAGTGGTGATTTAACAGTGTTTCCAAACTTTTTACCCTTTTCTTCCAACATGACTGCAAAAACATTTTCCTTCAAATTTTCAATATCAATACCAACAACAGCAGCAATTGATGCACCAACATAGTTGACATTTTCTTCTGGGTGAACACAACATTTGAACCAATTAGCATTTAAAAGAACTGAATCATCTGTTGAAGTCAAGAGGGAGGAAATTTCTTCCACAACAGCATCACCAGTCTTGTAATAGACCAAAACAGCATACTTTTCAGTGGATTCAAGTTCTGGAATATTGCTTCTATCAAGTTCAGTGAGAGTGGTCATCTTTATATCATTCCGAATAGAATTTCATCATTTCCAATTTTAATCAATTTTAATCCAATCATTAACAATTTGTTTTAAATAGCATACATATTCAGCAACAGCATAGACATTGTAATCACACAATGATGAAAACAACCAACCTTTTATATAACAAAAAAGTAGTTAGAGGGTTCAATATGTTGTTCTATTTTTTTCGTTTGTGTTTTGTTTCAAGTTTGTCTGGCTTAATTTAGTCTTCCAAATTGCACCTATTAATCGATGAAGGCGAAAATTGATTGTGTTGGAACTTGATGATATTAATAATAATTTCACCTTGTTCATATTTCAAATATTAAAAGCTATAGGGTAATATGAAGGTATTGAATGAACCATCAAGAAATTATTATTTTGATGATGATCGGAATAATAATCGGGAAAAGATGAAGATTAAAAATTTCTTTCAGAAAAAATATTACCAATTATTGGATAGGGGTTTTATGTTTGATTTTTCAAATATTACTAGATTATTACCCCTATCGATACAGAGATTAATGTAAGTGTAATGGATTTGATGACAATTTGGACTCTTACAATTATTAGAGAAAAATTTAAAAACAATCCTAAATATTCAAAAATCATGAATTTATTGTGGTATGCAGTGATTATCATCGGATTGGTGCCACTCTTGTTAGTCTTGTTTAAAAAGACAGATGAGGATCAACAGCAACCAGGAAATACTCAAAATGGTACCAACAACAATACATCCAATAATACAACAGTTTCTAGGAGAGGGGATTTATCACTGAGTGGAAACAAGGTTTGCCTAAATGCCAAGGCTTTCCTTCAAGAGGATGAATTATTTGAAAATAGAAACGATCAAAAGGAAAGTGGAGAAATCAATGATGAATTTAATAATGATGAAAGAATTAAATCATTGAAAGATTTGACCAAGTCAAATGATGTCTATCTTATCTGCCAAGTTTCATCGGATGAAGAACAAAATTATTATCAGGATTTATTAGAGACGAGATATGGATTTTTCAATCAAGTCAAGACACTTTTCTGTGAAACAAGCAAGGGTAAAATTGCATTCTGTCGTCAAATTAATCCACAATTATGTTTTGAAGTGGACAGAGAAACAACCCGAGAATTAATCAGATTCTATCAAAATGTTTACATGATCAAAAAACAAGCCAAAAACGGATTGAATGAAGATAAAGTTTTGGAATTTTCAACCATCACAGATGCTCTCACTAATGCATCCAAGAGAAAATAAATTTGTAAATAAATTGAAAAGTAATTTAATTGGCTGTCATATTTCTCATAATCATGATACTGTCATTGAGATACATTGAAAACAATTTAATTGTAAATATTATTAAAAAAATGGCTAAACATCCACCTTTAAAGATCAAAACACAGCATCGGAATCCCGAAGAAGTGAAAGCACTCTTTTCCGAGAATATTAAATACATTGAATCATTTCTAGATAAATTTAACATTTCACCACAAGAATCTGATTCAATAGTAGATAATTTATTTGAAAAAAACCTTTCATTGCCTCTCTTTGTTTCAATTTATGATGATACCAATAGCAAGATGAAATTTAGTAATATATTGACCTTTTTGAAATATTTATTAACTGTTGGATCTTCTGCAAAAGTTACAGGAGAGGATATTACCGAATTGATTGTAAAAGTTTCACCTTGCATTGAGTTTATTCAATATGGACTAGATAATGATATTGGAAATAGTTTTGATAAATTATTGAGTGGAAATGAACGAATTGATTTTTCATCCGATAAAATTGTTGAGGAATGGCTCGTATCAACTTACCATATCTACTTTTGCATGATTAAACAATTCATAGCTACAGGTAAACTTTCTTTGAAAATAATTCAATATTTTAGGAAAGCACTTCTTCATTTACTAGTTATTTTGAGACATATTGGTAATAGAAAAAGAATGGCAATAATGAATGGAGACACTGATTTCAACCTTTCATTCTCAGAAAAGTCATTTATGGTTTTATGTTCTAATTTACTCAAAAAGGGATTTAAACATGGTTTTTTGCAATCCAATTATGCTCATCAAAGAGTTTTCTTGGAGGGTATCTACTATTGTTTTGATAATAGGATGAATTATGCCAAGTTTCTACACACCTTGTTAGTGTCTACAGAAAAGAGAGGATTTAGAACGATGCGTTCCTTAATAAGAAATGATATTCAAGATATTGGAGAATTGACTGGAAATGATATTATTCCACATGGAATAAGTAAGGGTGACACTGCCACAAATGTTGCTACTAGAGCGGTCAAATTTCTATGTTCTCTGTATGGTAAAATGAAGGATATAAATATGACACTACTTCCAGTTCTCCTTGAATTCCTACCTTTCGTGTTGAAAGTTTTGAATTGGACCTTTATCCCAGCATTTTTAAAAGAAGTTGCAACACAAGTTTGTGCAGTACTCGTAGGAACATTTGAACATGCAGCAACACCAACAGTGGAGAATGAACATTATCTCAACATTATCAGAGACGCCCTTCCATTCCTATTTAACTATGTTTCAACAAAGATTCAAGACCTTTCTAGTGGAACGCAAGTACTGTGCTATAATATGATTATTTGGATTGCTAAAACACGAACTTCTTTCACTATCGAACAATTGACTCCACTGCTAGAGATTTATGAACCTAAATTAATAAGTAAGAAAGAGTACTTGGAAATGATCAAATCTGTATGGGTTCGTACCGTTGGTAGAGAACATGTTCTAAATCCATTTTTTATGAAACGATTGTCAGAAATGTCAGAAATTGAAATTCTACATGAGGAAGCCTTGCCAAGAGTGAAAATGATTATGCATCTTTTGAATATATTTTCACAATCTATTAATAATTACATTGATTTAAAAGTAGTGGCCGCTTTAACCATTAAGAAAATTGAGGAATTTCTGAACAAGACTGAAAGCACTACTTTACAGGACTTTGATATGAGCAATACCTTCTGTAAAATTTTAATCCATTGTATTGATAACATTACAGATGTGGAGAATATCTTTCCAATTCTACACGACCTCATTAAGGTAGCCATCAGTACTGAGCATATTCATCGAACTATCAGTTCTTCTGATATTTCTGATTTGAATGATTTTATCTTTAGACTTTTCAAATATGAAGAGGGATACTTTTTAGATTTGGTTCGTTTATTGCATGACAGAGGTTTATTGGAAAAGTGTTGCAAGGGAGAGGAATCAGGTGAACTCATTAATAACCTTATACTGCCCTATGTACTTGAACAATCAAAAGGTGGTGAGAGTCGTGTTCCAAGTCAAGCTACTTGGGTACTCATCAGTTTAGTTGTCTCTGATATGGTATCTTCAAGAAAACTAGTCGAAAGGATCAAGCATCACATTATAGAGAGCTGTTCCTTCCTTCGTGATGGCCCTACAAAGTTTGACTTTTTACAGAGACCTTACTACAAGGCCTTACTGAGTCTTGCCACTTTAATCTTTGCATACTATCCAGAGGAGATGATTGACTATCTACTTCCAAATAGTCAGGTTCTATTTTCCTCTGCACTTACATCACCTGACACTAGCAATTATTTCCCACTATTGTACAATTTTACATTGAGTGCTGCAGAGTATTTTTTGGATAATGATTTACTTTCTAAAAGTCCTGAGATGTTACTTTCACTTCAAGTGCTCTTTACATTTGTTCATTACATGCCACTGAATGTATCCAATATTATTCTAGTACGTCGAGTTGTGAATAAGTTTGATTTGAGTGTTAGGGAATTTTCTTCATAGAAGAATATTGGAATCGAATTGGATATTATGGCCAATAATGAAAAATAAGAGAATCATAAAATGATAAGAGAATTGAAATGAGAATTTTTTTGGAATATTCAATCTTCTCTTTAAATACAAAGATTCAACATCAAGAATTGTCATTACTAAGATATTCATATAATACAATGAACACTCCCAATAAAGTATTCTGAATGAAAATCTACAAGGAATTTCAAATAGAAACCAATTGCTTCATAGGCTTGTAATGGACTCATTCACTCCGCCTTACTGAAAGTGGTTGTTGGATTCCAATTAGATTCTGTTTAAATGAGCTTAAAATACCTCACCAACAGCACAATCCAATTCAATTCAGCCTGAAAAAAACAAATTCAAAACGCGTTGTTTGCGCAAACCTCTGTACAAAATACAAAACACACTCGAGATATGATGGGAAAGAAATTATTTATTGGTGGGATTATGATGATCATGATGAGCATGATGATCGTTGCTGTAGTGAGCGAGACCACAGCTATTGCTAGCTCAGCCATTGAAATTTACACCCAAATGGATAATGCTGAAAAATCCGCTGTTACTAGCACCACTGTTGCTGTCAATAATACTCAAACTGCCATTTCTCTTTATAATTATCAATATCTCACAGTCAATAGTCTTCCTGGTTATGCTTGGAATTACTATTATGTTGACTTGAATGCCAACTCTTATGTTTCCATTTCACATGCCAGTAGAAGTGGTGGTTCTATGGAAATTTTGATGAATCACTATGATCGTCCAACTATTTACTCCTACAGCAAGAAGAATTATCTCTACACTTATCAATCTACTTTGACCAGTGACCCAAAGAGCTATTATAACAGACTTTACATTGCTGTCAGAAATACTAATTCTTATGCCAGTAATGGTTACACTTTGAGCGTTAGAATTTATACCAATACTGTCACTCCAACCCCTACACCAACCACCACCACTATTTATAGAACTAACTATGGTTTGACTCTTGGAATGGGTGTTCCTGCTTTGGTTATTACTCTCATTCTCTTCTTTGTTGTCCTTTCTCAAATTAAGAAGATTAAGCTCTTGACCTCAAGAATTGAACAACTCGAAAAGAAGTTGCAATACAACATGCAACCACTCTCTGAACAAGAAATGCCTGTCATGATGAATATTCCACTCATGTCTGCCAATACTTTACAACAAGATCATGAAGAAATTCAACAAGTTCCACAAACTCAACCAATTGTTCAACCTCCAACTATCAATGCTGTTCCAGAACAACAACCAACTACTCTTCCACATTTCTTCCCACAATTTGTTCAACAACAACAATTGCCACCTCAATTCAGAAATGCTCAACCTTATCCATTCATGTATCCACCACAAGTTGTTTTTGCTCAACAACCACAAGTTCAACCTGTTATTGCTCAACAACAAACTACTGGTCAATCCAAACAATAAATTATTAACATGTAAATATTGCTTACAATTTGCGTCTTTTTCTTATTGAAATCAGAAATTAGGTTCATTTTAGTGCCAATTACCAATAAGATCTGATAATCAGATCGAAATCTGAACACTTAATACATTTCTGATCACAGAAAGGGCTGTGAAAGGTTTACCTTCAGTCCAAGCCACCATAATAAGGCCATCAATTTTTCAACCTTATTTTTACTCTCCGTTTCTCTTGTTGAAACTTCTTAACAATTTTCATAATTACTACCCTATCAGTGCCAAGTCAATATCCATTCTTAAACGGGTCCTCCTTTCCATTTTACAGAACTCGTTATTATTAATATTGTACTTTATTTAGAAAGTGGAATTGCTCAATAGGGACGAGGTACATTCATTTGCCAAACCCTTAAAAAGAATGGGATCAACAGCATCCACCCCAACTTCCTTCACTTCATCAAATCATAGAGTATCGACAACATCAACAGGAGAAGGAAGTACCTTAAGTGATCTATTGTCAGACTATAATATCACCACCAAGACAAGTAGAAGTAGTAACAATAATAATAATAGATCTTCATCACTCATATCGATTGATTCTGAATCATCACTACTGGGTAATCAATCATCATTGTCAGGTAGTGAATTTCAGGATGGAAAACAGAGCTCTTCCTACTCTTCACTTCACTCCTTTCCTCCAACAAAGAGAAGAAGTGCAGCAGCCAATCCCTTATTGTTGAATAATAGCACTGGCAATGCCAAATCGTATCCCTTATTACCTGCAGTTGGTACGAGAGTGTCGACAGCTTCTTCATCGAAACGATCGGCTGCTCTTCATCAATCAGCTAATCAATTGAATTCTAATAAGCCAAGTGATGAATGCTATGGTGCTTCTTCGATACATTTGCCAACTCTAAATAGCAATTCATCATCAGCGATGAATATGATGAATATTAACAACACAGCAGCCTCAATAGGTACTTCTTCTACAAATAATAACAACAATATTAACAGTATGATTAATAATACTGTTTCCACTGATGAAATGTATCACAACCTCCTCACCAAGTCCTCCTCTAAGAATTCCCTCCACAACATGATGATGATGAATGCAATGAGCAATGTATCAGCTTCATCAACTTCATCATCACCTACCTCCTCCTCAATAACAATCTATTCAACGCCCAATCAACACTCCTCTCCTAAGTGGTCCAATACTTCAAAACCTCATCATCATCAACCACGAAATCATCCATCCAATAATTCCCACTCTTACATATCGACGCCTCCAGAGGATTCCTTGCTTAATCATCCAATTACGCCAAAAGTTAAATCGCCACAATTCAATTTACAGAACAATTTCTCCAATAGTCCAATAATATCAAATCATTCAACATCGTCGAGTAATAATGATCAGAATGATGAAACAGGTTCTATTAAATCGAATTCAACAGCTTCGACACCCTCCTCAGTGTCAAATTCTCCAAGAAGAGGTGTTTCATTGCTGCAAGTGGCTGAACAAATTCATCCCTTACAAGACTTAATTTCAGTTCCACGATTAACTCAATCAAGATCATTGGGAATACTTGAAGAATATTTACCAGTAACATCAAGTACTAGTTCAGGTCAGTTACAATCATTGAATCCTCCTAATAGTTGTAATGGAAGCACATCTGCTCGAAGGAGTAAGAAAACTTCTACTCCCACACTTAAGGATATTCAAGATATGTGCTACAACTCTGAGAACCTTTCACAACAAATCGATATGGAAGAGGAAAAGAAGAGAAAGCTTGCAGCTCACAAGAAACGAACTGAATTGGCAGAACCGTATCGAGTTGGCACCACAGCCAACAAAACAAGAGAACCTCGTTATGGAGATACTCTTTCCTCTCAGCAAGCTAATAGAAGAAACCAATCTCGTTCGTCTTTAAGAAAAGGTCCAGACTCTGATCAATTGAAGTGTGAATTGACCAATTCACCAACAGGACTTGATGCAATCCTCTTGAATTCCTCCAGAACTCTCACCAACTTTGGTAATGAAGCTGTTGCCATTTATGTGACATGCCCAACATGTGCACCTGAAATTAAAACACCAGCCAAGAGTATTGCTAAGGAAAAGAAGAGAAGAGTCTTAATGTTGCACCAGAAACATTCGGAGAGAAAGAACAATCAACATCAGCAGACGAGGAGATCTCATTCGGTGATTGGAATTGTTCATCATTGATTTGCTTATTGGAAGAAGAATTTAGAGATTTATTTGCGAGAGAATTTGATTTTTAATTTATTATTAAACTTTGTAATTTTAAATTGAAAGTATTTAAATGTAATATTTAATATATTTAAAAAAATTGTATTTAAAAATTTAAAAAAAAATGTTCACCATATTCGAAGATGACGGTGCAGATGATAATATTGAAGTTGATGATCATCCGATACAATCACTCCAATATCGGGATACTAAAATTAAAGCAACATCATCATCGTTACAAATTCATCAAGACAATGATGATGAATTGGAATTGATGGAAGAAGGAGCAGGATCAATGGTAGGTGGTTTAAAACTATACAACAACCTCTATAATTTATAATTAATATTATTATCTAGTCAATTCCTTCGGATCAATTTTCATCATCATCAGCTTTTGGAAGAACACATCAACAACAACGAAGATTTAAAATTCATTCTGATGCTGATAGAACAGAAAATTTACCACCTTCATTGGTACAATCAGCATTGAATCAATCTGCTAATAGGAGAGTATTTGGAGCTGTTTTATCGGATAGTGGTAGCTTGGAACATTCAACAGTAGGATCATCATCTAATACTAGGCAATCTGTTGAAACTGCTAATAATAATACAACAGAAGATGAGGAGGAAAAGCCATTTGATAAATATTGGAATGTTCAGTTACCTTCTTCAAGGATTAGACCTTCGGTTTCTTCACAATTAAATACAACATTGAATAGGAGTTCGAATAGTGGTGGAGCAGTAGGAAATGGAGCAGATTTGCTTATGAAATCACCATTGGCAGCTCGATTATTGAGTCCATCAACAAGGAATGCCATTTCAAACATTTCATCAACAAGTCTTAATGAATCTGTCAAGAATGTTCAAGGAACAAATGATGAAAATTTCGAAAATTATGTGCATGAAACTTTCGGAACAAATTCAAATAAGAATAATCAATCGATTGTGAATAGAAAACCTGCAATTAGTGTATTCGAGGATGAAAATATTGAAAAATCTACCATTGAGGAACAATATTTATTTGGTGCTGAGGATGAAGAACCATCGATGGAAACTAATGTAAATAGAAACTTTGAGAAAAGACCTTCTCAACAATCCAACAATCAATTTTCTTCTCCTTTGAAAAAAAGAAAATTAGCTTCACAACAATTAATTTCTAATGCTGGTCATACGGAAGTTGAGGATGAGGAAGAAGATTTGGCCAATTGTTCACTTGTCATTTCACCACCTCCTTTTGATGAAGAGGAAACATCCTCTGCTGCCAATAACATGCTCTTTGGAAATGATGAAGAAAATGTGAGTGGACCAATCTTGGAAGCAGGTCTCTACACTGGACGATCCAGGGATAGAAAGAGTAGAATTAAAAGTAGTTACTATGAGCCAGGATCACCACTCAATACTGGCCTTGAGAATAATCCTTCAATGATCATTTCGAGTTCACCACTCTTGAAATATACAGTACCATCGACGGAGAGTGCCAGCAACAACAACATGCTGAATGATAGTATTACCAATAGAAGCTCTATTCTCAATGAGAGCCTCAGAGAGAGGGACGACATTATCGATCAATTGAATAATGAAGCTGAGGGAGAGAGAAGAAAACTCAAAGAATACAAGCTTCTCATCGAAAAACTTCAATCAGAGAATGCTCACCTCAAGCAACAAAACTCTTCAATCAAAAAGAAGAATGAGGAAATACTGATAGAAACAGAAAAGGAAAATAACACTAGGGAACTTGAAATTCAATCTTTGAAAGAGAAAATTGCCGAACAACAAACCACTATTAACTTACAAAATCTTTCCAAGACTCAAAAAGAATCTAAATTTACAGAAATCGAAAGTAAAATTTCTGGAATCAACAAGACTGTAGAGACTTTGAAAAGTGATATTGTACAAAAGGACATTACCATAGAAACTCTCAATAGTCAAATTGAATCAATGAACAAACAATTGGAGGAAGCATCAACTACCAATTCTGAACTAATGACCGTCTATCACTCTCAAAAACATGAATTTAATTTATTAAGCCATGAATATGAAATACTGACATTCAAAACTTCACAATATGATTCAAAGATTCAAGAACTTGACCAATTACAAGATGAAATCAAGACACTCAAAGCAGAGCTAAATGAAAGAAATGAGGACAAGAAAAAGATACGAATCTTGGAAGCGGAATTGCAAAAGGCCAGTGAATCTCTCCAATCACAAGAAGTTCTCAAGGAAGCCATCAAGGACTTTGAATCTGAGTTGACCAAGTTGGAAGTTCTTCGAATTGAAAATAGTTCACTCGAGTCCAAGTTGTACAATACTGAATCACTTTTAAAGAGCTGGGAAAGTGCCTTCCCTAATAATACTCCATCGGATGTAAACTACAATATCAAGTTACAAGCCAAGAAAATAACTCGCCTCGAAGAAACCATTCAAGAAGTGAATCAAGAAAAGTTTGACATTGCCAAGCATGTGGAACGTTTAACTGTGGAGTTGGAATCAAGGGAGACAGAATGTGCCGAACTTCGAAATGAAAACAAGCAACTCGAAGAGAAACTGGCCAGCACTGAAGTAAAGCTCTTCGCTGCCAAGAACCAATTGGAGAGCTCTATGAAATTTGCTCACATCAACGACAAGGAAGAGGCTATGAATGCTGCTGCCGATGAGGAAACTAAGGAAAAGATAGGCCATCACATGAGTAGAATAGCTGCCCTTGAAAAGATCATTGAGGAGAAGGATGTAAATACTCGTGAACTATTTGAAAGATTGGATATTTTGCAAAAACAAATAATTGACAAACAGACTCTTATCGAAAACTTTGAACATGAAGTGGAGAAGGTTAATGCTCAAAAGTTGGAAGTTCAAACCAAATCAGATGAATTACAGGTACGAGTTGAAAAATTGGAAAAGAACAGAGACGCTCTCGAATTGGAAATTGCAAACTATGAAAAGAGACTAGGAAAGGGAGAATACAATAAGGAGAAATTCAAAATTCTTCACATGAAAATCAACCCAGAAATTGAGGCCAAAAAATCCAGTGACAATGACATTGAACGATTAAAGACAGAAAATAAGCTCCTCACCGAAGAAATTACCTCCCTCAAAGAGCAATTACAAATCTCCTCCAACGATAATGCCTCCAGCTCAATTAACAATCAACGAGAAATTGAAAAGCTCAAAGAAGAAAATGCAGATGCCCAACGCAGAATTACCAAGCTCAAAGAAGTTTTCCAAAAGAGAATTAACGAATTTAGAAAATCAATCTATCTCTTATTTGGTTTCAGAGTTGATGTCATTGAAAATAATCGATTCAGATTGAGCAGCATGTATGCAGAATCTCCAGAAGATTATCTCATCTTTGAAAGTGATGGAAATGCCATGAAACTCTTAAACTCTGAATTTGCTTGTTCACTAGAGGAAAAATCCATGAGATTTTTAAAGAATTTCAGATCCATTCCAGGATTTTTATGTTCCATTACTTTGGATTTATTCAACAAGCAAACTGTTTTCACCCAATAATAATTTTGATTCATCATTATTATTAATATAGTTAAAACTTTCATCAGTAAACAATCCAAAGTTGGAAAAACTATAAAAACATGAATATTACACAACCTTACTTTATCACCACGACATTACAATACGCACGAACAAGCCACACAAATGATCATTGTTCTCGAACAAGAGAAAACAAAACAATTGGAAGAGAAACATTGATGCAGATTCAGAGTTTGATTCATGCGGAAAAAAGAGAAAACAAGATGAAGAATTGTTACCTGATGAAATTATAATTGAAATTGTATCATATCTTTCTAATTTTGAAGGATTCCGATTCATGTTTGTCAGTAAACAATTTATGAAAGCTTGCCGATTAATTAGAAAATGTTTGATCACTTCTTTGGATTGCACTGCCGAATTATTAAGCCTATTTTGTGAATCACCATTCGCTGAGCAAATTCACTCCTTGGTGATTGATGTTCCAATCACTTGGGAATTCTTCAATCAAATCAAACTTAATTTTACAAATTTGAAAGAGTTGAATCTGTACGAAGTAGCATTTCTCGATTTTTCAAATTATTTTGAAAGCAACCATTTAGAATCTTTAATAGTTCGAAACTGTAATAACATTAATCTCAATTCATTGCATTTATTCAATTTACAACATATAGAATGTCCCCTAAAGTCATCCATGGGGTCGGTAATATCATTCATTCGAATACTTTCAGCTTAAAAAGCATTACACTGCATGGGAATGGAAATGTGATTAAGGAGGCTCACTTGTTTAAAAATCTTCCAGCATTGGAATATCTTAAACTTGTCAGATTTAACATTCCAGTTTCACAATTTAAGGAAATATTGAATTGTAAAGGTTTAAAATCACTACATTTACAATTCATTACTAACACGAGTGCCATTCTTTTGGACCAAAAACATTCACAGTTGTTCAATTTGCCAACATTAGAAAAATTAGAAAGTTATCGAGTAGATCTTGACCTTATGCAGATTCTTATCCAATCAATGATTGCTCCTCTATTGAAATATTTATCAATTGGGGTAAATGGTGTCTTTAATTTTACACTTTCAAAAGCCTTTAGAGAAAATACATCTCTATCAAATATTGAAAACTTGTCTATTGAGAATCAGATAGAAAATATGGAAATAATTGAAAAAATTTGTGAAAAAATATCAAAGTTACCCTTAAACAAATTTGCCTTTTCTGGAAATTCACTATGTTTCTCAAAAATTTCAACATTTAATTTATCAAATTTAGTTCAGTTTCGTTACAATGCATCCGAAAATGTAAAATATTTGAAAATATTCAATTCCCCTCACTTTGAAAAGTTGGAAATTTTACAAATTAATTTTAACAATTATTCTGTAACAGATGAAGAATTAGAAGACTTTGCCAAATGCACTTCAATGCCAAATCTCACCAGACTTGAGTTTAAATATCATAAACGACACCTATCAAAATTTACAGAGATTCTGTCAAATAATCCATGTTTCTGCAAAATTGAAATCAATTACATTTCCATTCTCAGATGTGGATGCCAAACTTCTCGTCCAAACATCCAATTATTTGAAAAAGTGTCAAGAGTTATTGTTAGAGAGCAATTTAATTTCTGCTTTTGGCAGAAAGATGTTGTACGATTCAAATAGATTTCCTGTTATTGGGTATTTTAATTTGTAATCTATAAACAATTTATTCTCTCTGTTAAATTAAATTCAAATTTATTGTGTTAGTTGAATTGTAAGGAGAAGCTGTGCTTGTGAATTCTCACAAGTTGGATAATCTAATTGCTACTGATGCTGTCAATAAGAAGTATAGACAGAAATGTGTTCAGTTATGAAACATCCCTTCACAAACATTGCTGTTGACAATGGAATGTACAATCCGTCAAATTCCTTCTCCAATCTCTTTTTAATCCATGAATCGACTTGATTTCTAGAAACTGAAATAGATGGTCGAATGGTGAAAGGTAATTTCCCCTTACATGAAGAAACTGTGCATGTATGTTTCTCCACAAGATATCCAATTGACAAAGCTGCCAATTCAATTTCTTCTTCAGATTCCGAGTTTGAATATTGTGAAATTAGTGATTCCACATTATTATTTTGTTCAATGAGATTCCTTAATATTTCAGGAGAAACACCTTTGAATTTGTTTACCAAGTTTGGGTTTCGTTCAGCCAACTTGAGCATAAATTCTTCATCATTCAAGAATGGAGATAAATTAATGTTTGGTTCCTTCTCACAGGAAACATACTTTAAAATTAATTCCTTATCAGTTCCCAATCTTCGGCTCAAATACTTGAACATTTCAGGATACTGATCTAAATATTTCATGACAAATTCCTTGTCATCTTTCAATCTGTCAGAAGCATAACAAAACAGCTCTGGAACCTTAGATAATACAAATGACATAACCTCTTCATCATCTAAAAATTGCAATCTTGTTGAACTAATACATTCAGGATGATATTTCAAACATTTCAAAACAAATTCCTTATTTTCCCTAAGATATTTAGGTGCCAAATAGATTGCACTCTTAAATCTCGACAATAAATCCCAATCTTCTTCCCTACTATTTTCTAATGGATCCAATTCAATATACTCCAAATTTCCCTCCATATATTTGATCCATTTCACTTCCTTGTCAGTGAACATTAAATATTCAGGAATGAATTGAATTAGTCTTGCATCTTTCTTGATTAATTCACGTAAGAATTCCTCATCTGATTTAAGATGTTTTGGAAGGTATTTAAATAGCTCTGGATATCCATTCAAAATCAAATTGACTCTATCTTCTGCGGAATAGTCAATTAGCTCATTGTTTCCTAAAATTCTCTCAATCATTGAAACAGTTGCATATTGAAGGAGATTCTTATCTTGTGAAATGGCTTTCAACACAATTTCTTCATCATTTCTAAACTCAATATTTGCAAATTTCAAGGCATTTGGATTACATTCAATTGCCAATAATGTCAATTCCCTGTCACCATTCATACACAAACTAATATTCTTGCTTAATATTTCAATAACTAGCTCTCTATCGACTTCTTTCCAATTGACAAATTTGAGAATTTCTGGATTCAATTTTACGAAATAATTCACCAAATTTTCAGGAAAAATGTCTGAATTTTCTTTTAATTTCAGATCTGCATTTCCATATTTGAAATTAAACGAAACTGGTTCATCTTTTGGGAATAATTTTGGGAAAATTTGATGATTTGCCTTGATTGCCTTCACAATAAAGTTTGGATCTTGTCTCATCTTGTCAGGAATGTCAATTTTAATGCCAAATAAATGTTCCCTCGCTATTAGAAAGTACAAAATAAAGTCTTGATCATTTAAAATTGATAAATTTCGCAATAGATGGGGATATTTAACAAGAATGTGGCAGTCTCGATAATATTCTAATGGAATGTATCGTGGTTGATTCTTTAATATTTCGTCTCGTTTCGAACAATATTTTAGAAAGGATTTTCTTTGATTTTTGAATTTTGAGAAAAGAAGATTTGATTTGATATTAAAATCCAAATTGATCATCACACCAGATTCATCGTGTGTGAGATTATCAATATTATTTTCTTGCATTTTTTTACAATTTAAAAGCAAATTTCAAAAATATTAACTGTTATTCGTTAATTTTAGAAAGTTTATTTTGAAATTTACTAAAACGAATTCACCATAGAACAAGATTTAGAAACATCTCTATTCCATCTATTTTCCATTTTCAAAATTTTCATTATTCGAATTGTTTCTGATATTATTTGTGGAATTTTGAAAAGTTGACAAGTTTAAAAAATGTCTGAAAAACAAGTTAGAGTGCAACTGGTCGATTTTAACATTCCGAAAGGATCATCATGTGAATCCTTTCGAATATTTGAAAAGAAAGTTAAGAATTCATCTAATTAACTCATTTTCTTGCTCTTTCGATCCAGTTGCTTCTCTAGAACGGAAAAAGGGAATGTCCTGTATACAAATCGATAGGAATTATAATCTTTTAATGATATCAAACCAACAAACTTTATTATTTTACGAGTTGGAAACTAGACGAAAGTTATTCGATTGTCAATTTAAAAAAATTATTTATTATTTCAAAATACTTGATGGAGATTTATTTATATGTAGTTGTGAAAGAAATGCTACATCATTCCGAATTGAAAGATATAATTTTAAACTAATTTTGAAAACTAGAAAATATTGGAAATGTTTCGTTTGGGAAAGTCGACATTTTGGACAATTTTCTGGATTCGATCTTGGACCAGATCACTTAATTTATTTGTGTGATCTCAAAACGAACAAAATAGCCACTTTAAAATACGAAACTGGCCAAGAAATAGTTTCGTTATCAGGCACAGTTTCATATTGTTCGAATCTCACTTTTTCTCCCAATGGAGATTTGTATGTTTCTGGTTTTCTAGTATTGCACCATTTAATTAGAAATCACAACAATTTATGGCTAAGCAAGAATCAAATTGCAATTTCAATGTTAGGGAACTTTCGAATATCTTATCCTGAAGTTATTTTCTTTGAAAAATCAAGTGAGAGAATTTACCTATCCGATAGAGAAAGAATAGTTCTAATTTTTGATAAGAATATGAAAAAAATCAATTCGAAACTTGTTGGTAGTGACATTATTGGATTAACAATTGATGAAAGAACTGGATATTGTTATGTTGCTACTGGGAAACGATTGTTTATTTACAAATGAGATAAATTTCATTCAATTATTGATTTTTAATTTTGAATGTTGAAATAATCTTGTTTGGATTAATGTCACATGTCAATTTGTAATAAACCATTTGATTTTTTGATTGAAATGTCATGGTATACTGGCTGTGAAAGGATGACGTTGAAATCCAGCTCATCAATAAATTACATTCAATAAATTTTTATTCGAAACTAAATTCTAATCTACATATATAGTCAACAAACACAATGAAATCATTATTTTACAACAATTCACACTTTCCAGAAGCTGGTTTCTTCTCAGGTTCAGTTTGTTTAAACAAGAATGCTCGAATAGCCTCATCAAAAACTCCCTTCACACCTTGTTGAGTTTTTGCGGAACATTCGGCATATTTCAAAGCCTTGATTTCCTGTTTCAATTTCTCGCCTTGTTCAGCGCTCAATGGTTGTTTGCCCTTTTCACGCAACTTTTGAACGGTCGATTCATTTTCACGCAAATCGACTTGAGTACCCACCAAAATGATTGGAACATTCTTGCAGTGGTGCGAGACTTCTGGGTACCACTTCAAACGGACATTGTCGTAACTGGCTGGATTAACAACGGAGAAGCAAATTAAAAAGACGGAGGTACCTGGATAGGAGAGTGGACGCAATCGATCATATCTGTGTTGTTGTGCGTTGTGTGTATTGATATTAATATAGGGTGGTGAGTTGGAATATTTTTGTTGGATTTGATGGTGGTATGGTTTTCGATATTATTATGTATTTGATTCAATATTTTAAATAAATAATATTTTTTTGTTGTTGATGATGGAAATTTGTTTCATCACGTGAAGAAATATTTGTATTATTATTATAATGTGAAAGTTAATGTTCGAAACTAGAATAAATTAAATAGAAACTCACTCTTCTTGACCAGCTGTATCCCACAAACCCAAGTTGATAGTCTTACCATCAACCATAACGTTAGCAGAGTAGTTATCAAAGACAGTTGGAACGTATCTATTAGAAACTTGTTAATAAACTATAATTTTCTATTCGAAACCTACTCTTCAGGGAAGTGATTCTTAGCATAGACGTACAAGAGACATGTCTTACCGACAGCACCATCACCAACGATAACGCATTTAATATGTTGAACGGTTGTCTTGCTCATTGTATTGTTGGAGTGTTGACAATTTTTTTTTTAAAGTTTTAAATGTGACAAGTGAATGACAGCTTGACAGAGGGCATGACTAAGGATCCCTTAACGGTGAACTGTGAAGAATGACTTGATGAACACAGAAATTGAGAATTTAAATGTAAATTGAGGTAACGTATTTTTGTTTGAGGTTTTTAAATTGATGCCTGAAAGGTGGCAGCAGTTAATTTTCAACAATGGCACAGAAGAGAAGAAAAAGGATATTGGTGCTCTTCTCTTATTCATCATCTAGATTCCCAATTGGTGTTTAGATAACCAATAGGAAGCTAGAACATGAATTACATTCGTGAAGGGAGAAGGAGGAACTCTGAAAAAGTGTTGGACCTTTCAAATTGATTGTGTTGATTCATCAGGAGCGAAGATTGTGTTGGAAAATAAAGAGCAATTCAAGAATAAGATTTGGGTTTTGGTGTTTTGTTGATTATTTCACAAGTTGTTGCAATTTGATCATCGACAGTAAGTAATGTATAAAATGGATTGAAATAGAACATGATCATTGCTGACTAACTTCCTTTTAATGTTCTTGATATATTTCAATAGTTCAATGTTCTTGATCATGATTCGTTACCTCAAATTCAAAATCGCTGTACCCTTTGGCGCCAAAATGAATTGTTAAACCTAAGGTAACTTTTACGAACACTAAAAACAATTCAAAAAAAATATATTAATCATGAAGTTGATGAAGGAAGTAATGTTTCCTTACAACAACACATGGTATAATTATAAGCCTATTTAATCCTTAATCAAATTCTTCCTAAGGTAATATTCCTTATTCTTACTTGGCAATTAACTAATTGGAAATTGAACGAGGTAAAAACACCGATCTTAACATTTTCATATTTCTCAATAATATTAAGAATTATTTAAAATTACATTAAAGATGAATTAAATACAAATAGTACAATACAATCATCAAAAAAGTATAACAATATGGAATATTGCATCTATTGGACCTCAATATACAATAACCAAATATTGAAACGACAAATTAAAACATTGCCCTACTCAACATCCTGATTTGATCTCCCTTATGCAATTTCTTCCTTATTTATTCTTCATGTTATTATTTTACGGACCTTAAAAAAACACCACAACAACCTAGTACAGACATTGTCAATAGACTTTGTTAATGAGGAGCATACTAACATCAACAATTTAGCGATAAATTCCAATGAACAAACATAGTACCAAATATTAATAATGAAATAATGGGCTCTAGCACATCCATCACTCACACCAATCCATCCTTAATGGTGGTGAGGAAACATAAAAGACATTCAGCTCATCATTATGAAAAACACTCTCAACAACAAGAACATTACTCTGGGAATGTTACACAGTCCTTGAATTTATCCAATCCTTCAACTAGTTGTTCTTCACCACAACATTCGAAATATGTCCACAACAGTGTTGATGAGCTTGTCTTTTCAACGAATAAGCCACCCCTTCAGCTGAATAATACCCAACAATTAAATACCCATAGACTTCAGCATGAGGATGATAATTATCATTCTTCGCCCAATTATAATTTGCAACACATTAATCATTCACAGCAATCACAAATTGCTTCACCGACTAGTAGTAGAGTGATGCTTAATTCACCACCAACTCCCACCACCAACAAGAAAACACTCCTAACAACTTCTATTGATGATTGTTTGCCTGATGCAGACCTAACCAGAAGAGGGCACGTTGTGTTGCCTCAAATTCAAGCAACAGCAACATCACCACAACCACCTTTAAAAATTCAAAGAGAGAATTCTATACCCACTAATAGTAAGGATTCGAATTCGCCGAAATTAACAACCTCCTTATCGAATGAAACATTCTATTCAGAGAACCACAGTGAAATAAGTCCCCCTGATCCATTTCAGTCTTCACAAAAGGGAGCTCCCTCCAAACTTTCCTCAACCAATTCTAATCAACAAGAAAAAGATTCTTCACCACCTAGTAAGGAAACCTTTACTCCAGTAGTTGCTTTTAGTCCAACCGTTACTGATATTGAAGATGATTCAAAGGCAATTTACATGCATCCATATCATGGAAGCTTACCTCCCCGTAGTCCAAGCAATTCAACATGCTCTTCAAAGACCTCTTCAAGCAATTGCAGCGCTTTTTCATCTCCTAAAGAGAAGATAACATCCCCTTCTCATTCATCATCGTACAATACCACATCAGCTACATACTCATCTTCACCATCACCATCATCAACAACATCAGGAGTTGCAACTAGCTCTTCTCCAACTACACTCATCCAACCATCATCAACAACATCTGTTAATGCATCTAACACAACACCAGAAACTATAACATCCACACCAATAATCTCAAAAGAAACACCCAAACCAACCATTGAGATCAGTAAAATATCGAATGCTGCCCCGACTACGTCTTCGCCAATTTCTAAAGATAAATTAAAGAGAGCTAGACCTCTTTCTGCAACCAAAAATCCACTGGTTCAATCTCTTACATTGGAAAAATTTAAAGACGATTTAGCTATTGGAAGAAAATCCAAATCAAATATCATTTCAGATAATTCAGTCAAGGTAGCATACAGCTCTTCACTAACTAGATCAGTGGAAGAACCATTTAAATTCACAAATCCTATAAAAACAAAGAACAGATCAACTAGTGTCAACTCGAGAAGTGTTGCACTGTCTCCAAAGAAGAGTTCAAAATTGTATGATGAAGATGACATGGTAATGATGGACACACCACCGGCCATGTTCAATAGATTTGAATTACAAAAACAATTAATGAATACCGATCAAAAGAGTAAGGAAATGAAGATTGATTTGAGGAGTAGTGTCACTCTTGATAATCACCGAGACGTGTTGTCAATGTTTTCTCACAAACATCAACAAAAGGATAAAGGAGGTGTTTCATCTCCAATTACCTCTCCAACTAGACACCATTCTCCTTTGAATTCTAGTAATGACGATTTTGAAAATATTGGCAATGAAGAGATTCGAATCTTCGTCACACCACCAACATTCCTTCCAGACTTGAGCCATTTAAATTTGACTCATTTACAATTGAGAATGTTATCGAATGAAAGATCGCAAAAGAGAAAAATGGCAAGATCCAACAAGAGAGAAAGTACCTTTAGTTTGAATGGAATAAAGTTTGATTAAATGATGATTGTCTGACTTGGGAAAAAATCATTAGCCTTCAAGGGGTTTATTTAATAACAACACATGAATATTGATGATTAATGTGTAGGGGTCTTGGCGCAGTCGGTAGCGCGTAGGTCTCATAATCCTAAGGTCGTGAGTTCGATCCTCACAGACCCCAACTTTTTTCATTTGAGTTAAATTATTTATAATTTTTTAATTTTAGATCCCATGTCATCTAATTGTTTGTTTGCATGGTTCAATCTTTCCGATTGTCCTTTCAATCTAGAAGCCGATTGACTTCCAACATCAATCATTTCATTACTCATTGCAATCATATTGTCCAACATTTGATTATTCTTATTGTAAACATTTAATATTTCGTCCAGTTTATCCATTTGTTCCTTGGAAACAACACCTTCTTTTTTCGAATCAGAATTGGTTTTTGATTTGTTGGCACTGGTGGATGCAGACTTTTGAGACATTTTTTTTAAATCTATAAATAAACAAGCTCACGTTTCAAAAATCTAATTACTAGTATTCTTCAGTCAATTCCCTATTCTAAACCAATAAGGATAACCAGGATTCATCAATATCTTCATTCCAATTACCATTCGGAAATCAACAGCTTGCAATAAATTGTTGAATTTATTCCTCAACTCTTGAAAAAAATGATTCAACGTGAAAGTGAACAAGATTTTGCAATTTCTTCATCATTGACAACAACAACAACAGGAAAAAGACTACTATTGAACCATACAACAGATGCATCAACATTAATTAATTCTGATGATTCGGAAGGTGTTTGTTGTGATGTTTCCGAGTCTTTTATGGAAAATGAAGAAGAATTTAGTTGCATGAAAGAGGAGGAGGATGAAGAATTTGCTTGGGATAAACAAGTTGATGAAGAAATTGAAGTGGAGAAGGAGGAGAAGGGAAAGTTGGGATATTATGATTTTTGGAGGTCGATTGGTTCTCCGAAATATGTGGTGGCTCCGATGGTGGATCAGAGTGAAATGGGTATGTTTTGATGATGGAGTTTTTTGTGTAATTATTTAACAAATTGATTGGAATTGGGTGTGAAATTGGTGGAATTGACGTTGAATTGTGGAATTTTGAATGGAAATTGATGGAAATTTGATGGAATTAATAACAATTTGATTGAATTTGATTGGAAATTAATGAAAATTGTGGAAATTCTGTGTAAATTTGTGTAAATTTTATAGCATTTCGATTGTTATCAAAGGAATATGGAGCTACACTTGCCTATACACCCATGTTTCATGGCATGTATTTTGCATACCATAAGAAATATAGAGCTAGATTTTATCAATTTAATCCTGATTTGGAAGGACCAGTTTTTGCTCAATTCTGCACTAATGATCCAGAGACTTTTGTTCAATGTGGAAAACGTGTTTGGGATTTGAGTAAACAGAAAATTAGCGCCATAGATTTGAATTTGGGGTGAGTATTCAATGAATTTCAATGGAATTTTACCAAAAATGTAATTAATATTTTGGATTTTAATGAAATATTCGAAAGATGTCCACAAAGAATTGCCAGAAGAGGAAGATACGGATCATTCCTTATGGAAGATTTACAAACTGTTCATTCAATCATCAACAAGGCCCATTTGGAATTACCAATGCCAGTCACTGCAAAAATTAGAATTTTCGAAGATTTGGAATTGACCATGAATTATGTCAAGACAGTAGTTGATGCTGGTGCTCAGGTGTTATGTGTTCACGGAAGGACAAGAGAACAGAAAGGAGCCAATCAAAATTATGCTGATTGGACTGTCATTCGAGCCATCAGAGAACAATTTCCACAAATTCCAATGATTGCCAATGGAAATATTCGTACATTCCAGGACGTGCAAGATTGTCTGGAATATACTCGAGTGGATGCAGTCATGAGTGGTGAAGGCCTCTTAGAAAATCCAGCTCTATTCAATGGAGGTCAATTCGTCCATCCACTCGACATTTCAGACAAGTATGTCAATATTTGTAAAACTCATTTCCCACCAGATCACAACAATATTAAGAGACATTTATTTAGAATTTTGGATAAATACATCCCAGAAGATAGAAGTGACCTAAGAGGCATACTAGGAAAGGCCTCACTATGGGAACATTACAGAGAATTTGTGGATTATGCAAGGAAAATTGAAAATGAATTTGATTTTAAGGAATTGGAATTTGAACCATCGATTTGTGTAGTGACAGATCCAGAAAATCATCCAATTGTGAAGAAACCATTGAGAAAGAAGGATGTTGAGACGGATAGTGGAGCTGCTGATGAGGAATAATGGATAAATTTGTGAATTTTTTTTATTAGAAAGGGATTTTTTCTGGAAAATCTTTCTTTTCTTTTTCATTATTTAAATTGGTTTTGTATCCATGATTAATATCAGATAATTGTTTAACCAATATTTTAGTTTTTGCAATTCCATTTTGTTTTGGATAAAATAAGGAACTTGAAGAAACTTTATTGAAGGAGATTAATGTTGATTTCAACTGTTTTTCTTTTATTTGAATCTTGAATTCTAGTGTTGTGATTTACTTCTTCAAAAATTTGATTCTCTTAATTTCGTGTAGTTCTTCTTCGAAAAATTCTGAAGTCATTGAGGTTCTATGTTGAGCCAATTGTTGATTCTTGGATAATAGTGCAATTAATTTCAAGTAATTTTTCAATTTTGGCTGTTGAAAAGTGTTCGATTTGGTCTGCAATTCATTTAAGGTCAAGTGTGGCTCTTGTTGGAGAGTATTTAGCATTTTCTCTTCCTTTTCTCTTGATTTCTTTTTCAAAATGTCAGCAAACACATTAATGATTGGATCTGCATGATGAGCATCAGCTTTCAACATACCAGCATAGGTATGGAATGCTGGATTTGATGGAGAATCCAATCTTACATAATTAATTAATGCAAAAATTACAGTTTTCACAGTGCTGATTATTACAGCAGTCAAGAAACCGTAAAAATAATTGGCAACAATAAGTAACAAATCCATAAATCCAAAAACGTTGGTGTGAACAAGCCAAGTTCCCTTCTTTCTCAAAAAGATGAATCGTAAAACGAATACAGTTGCCACTGTTATCAGTTTACCTGAAAGGAAGGAAACAATTCGAAATATAAGCTCCAATCCGTTCTGGAATAAAAATCCAATACCGAAGAAAATTTCATTAATGAACAAGCATACAAATCCAATAATAAGAAGGATTGCATAAATGATGAAGAAGTAAACAGCTGTTGCTACTGCATAGTGAGCTGCTTGTGAGCCAGGATAACTGGAAGCTTTGACAATTGATTGAGATTTGAGTGAAAATTGAAGAGTTCCATTTCTATATGAATCCATCTGTTGAAATTTGGAATAATTATTAACAATATATTGTTAGAAAGAAAACTTACATGATTCTTATAATTCTTGGCAATCAATAAAGAAATTGAGAACATGGTAATGACTGTAATTACCACGGAAAGGTAATAATTTACCTCAATAACTTTGAATGCTGGAATCAGTATGTTGGTAATAGTAGCTTGACATGAATCCGAGTTGTTCGTAAACAAGACACAAAACAAGGTAGTCAACAATAAATAAATTATGTTAATGGCAGAATACATGACATGAACAGAGAAGGCAGAGAAAGTTCCCACAATGAGTAAGCTAATCAACAAGGCAGATGACATTCCAATAATAAATCTTGATGGGAAAAAGAAGTTAGACCACTTTTCTCTTGAATAATTTTCCAAAGCTCGTTTCAGAACTGTTTACAATATAATAAATAATCATGATTAACTTATTAAAGTAAAACCTACCAATCCATTTAATTTTGGCGTAATACTTTAGTTTCAGCAATGGAATTACAATAATTCTTCTGAAAACACTTCTTTTCTTATTTTCCCAATATCTTTCAATCTTTTCATCTAATCGATCTTTAATTTCATCCGTTTCTAGTGAGCTCAATGATGTAGAGATTGCACTAGTATCAGTTGAGCTATTCTTATTTGCATAGTAAGCAAATGATCGTTTGAGCTTTTTCTTTGAAATATTTCTCAACAAGGTTCTAACATGATAGTAATACCTCGACAATCTGTGTCGATAAAAATTGAACCAATCCTTCATTTTGAATTTGGTATAGACCTGAGCAATGGAAGAGATGAGTAAGAGAGCAATCATGAAAATTGATCCAAAAGCAAGTATCCATTGAAGAATTAAAAAACCAGAAATAAACTGGTATTGCGATTGTTGAATATTGTAAATCATATTCTTTGAAGTGGAATTGAGAAAATCGAGAAAATCTTTTGGAGACTCTATCATGTGTGTAATATTCACAAAAGTGAAATTGGTCTGTCCTGGATTCAAGTATGGATAACTTCTAGGTATGATTTCAATTGAGAACAAACTATTATGGTAGCAATTAATTGACCATATAGTTTGTGTAATATCACATCCTAAAGCAAGTATAACTATTAGAAAAGTACAAATTCTCTTCCAAAACGGCATTTGAACTGCATTATTCAATACTGTAACTGATAGAATAAATCCAGCCATTAATGAAATTGTTGCAACTCCACTGTTAAAATTATTTAAATAATTATTTTCCAAATTATTTAAAATAAATATTATTCGAATCCTGTCAAATATTTTGAAAACCTACCTAGTATCACCAATATAATCACAACCTACAATAATATTATCCATTCTATCATCAGCAAACCACTGCCAAACTCGTGTTACATAAATTGCACTAAAGTACAATCTTGCAAACAGAAACCACACCACAAATCTATAAAACACATTCTCATTAATCAGGTCAACCACTGGAATCCTCAAGCAACACGAACTCAAATGATAGAATATCTTCTTTGGTATACAATGTCCTACCAAACCTTCACATCCATTAAAACAAACACAACACATTCCATAACTTGTTGTTCTCCTTCTTCTATTGGTGAGATATTCCCGAACAGTAAAGTGTAAATCATCTTGTTCAGTGGAATGGGTAAGGAATTGATTCAGTGATGGACAAGGTTTTTGATGATCATCGTGATGATGATGGTGATGATGATTACTATCAATTATTACCTTGTTGTTATTACTGGCTGATTCGTAGTAGGCCGATGATGATGACGATGATGAATTATGATAAGTATGATGATCAAAAGGCTCTTGATAGGAATGATAATCAGTGTTGGCAATGGAGGGAGATACTCCATGAGGATTGGATGATGTACTATCCATCATCATCTTCTTGTTTCTTGTTTATTCCTTTATATGAAGAGTTTGATGATGATATTTTGTTTTTTTTGATTGGAAGATTTACAAATTGCCTTCCTCTTCGGAGAAGATTCTATTGGTTACATTATTTGAAATGTGCATTATTGTTATATGATAATGAAATTATCCACCACATGTAAGGAGCTCTTGAGGCGTTTTTTTAAGCGGTGAAACTTACCGTTACACTATTTGAAATTCTTAAATCAAAATTAAAGTTTTAAAATAAAAAAAGCCTTCAAGCTGTTACTATTTACACTTGTTTTTATTGCACATCATGATGTGATTGGAACAAATTATTCAATGGAAAGAACAACCTTGCCAATAGCTCTCTTCGAATGAACCATTTCGTGAGCCTTTTTAATTTCATCCATCTTGAACGTGGTAATCTTGATCAAATTAAAGCAATTTCCCTCCGATAACACTCTATTCATCAACAAGTCAAATTCCTTCTGTGCCTTACCCATATATTGTATCAGATTGTATTTTGGATACTTTTTAGAGCAGGCTTTCATCTTGTTAGAGCTGATATAAATTCCAGTCCTGATCAATGTAGAAAGAGTTAATTCGGCAGGACCTGGTGGCACAAGACTACTATAAACTACATGAGAGTCAGCTCTTCTACAATCCAAATGTTGGCAAACATCATCGTAAAAGTAGTATCCTCCAACACAGTCAATTACCAAGTCAATGTATTGATCTCCATTCTCACCCTTAATCAATTCACAAATGGATGGTAATTCACTGGATTCTTGATGTTTCTCTTGAGTGCCATCCTTAGCAGAGGTTTGTGTATAATCAATGACAACGTCAGCTCCCAACGATTTCACATATTCCACATTTCTTGTTGAGCACACTGCATAGACTTTGATATTGAAATATTTGGCCAAATAATGTTTGGCGAATAGCAAAGCAATACTTCCCGTGCCACCAGAAGCACCAATGACCAATACTTTGAAATCTTCCATTTCCTTTGGCTTTTCATTCATCTTTTCTGGATGAGCTATGTGTTTCTTCAACAAAGATTCTACGAGTGGATGTTGTCTGTAGGCATCGATTATGGTTCCACCACTTGTTGCAAAAGCAGCTGCCTTATTATAATCCATATCCTTTGGTTTCTTAATCAAATCATGATCTTCAAAGACGCAATATTCAGCAAACGTACCAGTCTTGGCTCCTGCCTTTCCACCACAAACCAAATCACCAACTTTGAATTGGGTGACCTTCTTACCAACTGCTGACACAACACCACTGGCATCCAATCCCAAAACACAAGGGAATTTGAGCTTGACAGCCATTTTGACTCTCCCAGAAGCCATATGACAATCGCCAGGATTAATACCAGCTGCATGGACTCGGACCAATACTTGATGATCCTTCAGAGCATCTTGCTTTGGTTTTGGATGATCTTGCACAATTTTAAAATCAGGAAATTCAGCATAATCTTCAATAATAATTGCCTTCATAATGTATTGTATATTGTTGGTACTACTATTCATACGAGTTTCAAAAGTTAGTTCTACTATCGGTTGTTATTCTTAGTTGTTATATGCCCACCACTACTACTATTAGAAGAGAGAGATGATAATAATTTTGTATTAAGCTTAGTGAGATATTAGTACTACTATGGGTGAATACTATTAATGAGATGTTGAGATGTTTTTTAAAGAGTTGTTGTTTGCTTTCTGTGCCATTTCTTGATTTAAATTGATACTCACTCGGGCAAGTGAGGGATTCATTGTTTCCAAATTGTGGCTCAGCCAATTATGGAATTACCTCGCGGGTTTCCTAATGGCCATAGGAATTTTTACAAATTAAGAACAAGTGCTACGGAGATCCAATTCTATTTTGTTTATCTCTTATTCTTCTAATGGTCAATGTAATATTAATAATATTACTAATAATATTTAATATTTAAATTATAATATTTAAAAAAAATGCAAACAAGTAGTACTAGTAAGAGAATTGATGCCTTGCCATCCACCATCCTTCCTACCCGATATAAAATTTTCTTAAATCCAGATTTGAAGAATTTTGTATTTGATGGTGAAGAAACTATTGAATTGAAAATTAATCCACAAGAATTATCATCAGATCATACTAATAGTATTGATAATCTATTAAAATCCATTGATCGTATAGTTACGAATAGTAAAGAATTAAAAATTGATCAAGCCTTTTTAATGATCGGAGATGGTCATGGTCATAGGGTTGAATTTAAATCAATTGATTTTCATGAAGAGTTTGGAATTGTTAGTTTTGTATTGGAAAAGTCGTTAGATGAAATTTTGAATCAGTTAAATATCAAGGTTGATGATTTGAGTGTGTTTAGAATGTTTTTGCACTTGAAATTCAGAGGAGAATTGAATGACAAGTTGAATGGCTTTTATCGATCAAAGTATGTCAGAGATGGTGTTGAATCATATGCTGCAGTAACACAATTTCAACCTGCCGATGCTAGAAAATGCTTTGTTTGTTGGGATGAACCAATTTATAAGGCAGTTTTTGAGATTTCACTTGTTGCTCCAAAGAATTACAAAGCACTGTCCAATATGAACTGCATTCAAGTGGATGATTATGATGAAAGTAGTAATCTTCACAAATTTTCTCCAACTCCTCCAATGTCAACCTATTTGGTTGCTGTTATTGTTGGTGATTTTGATTATGTTGAAACTATTTGTACAGAAACATCCAAGCCAATTCCTGTTCGTGTCTATACTCCAGTTGGAAAGAAGGAACAGGGTCTCTTCTCACTTGAAGTTACCTCTAAGGTATTGGCCCTTTTTGAAAAGTATTTCCAGGTGGAATATCCATTGCCTAAACTTGACATGATTGGAATTTCTCAATTGAGCTTTGGTGGAATGGAAAATTTTGGATTAATTACTTTCAGAGAGCAAATTGTTCTTGTTGATCCAATCAATACCTCTGCGGCTGCCAAGCAAAATGTTTCCATTGTTGTCGCTCACGAAGTATCACATCAATGGTTTGGAAATCATGTTACTCCAGCTTGGTGGGAATCATTGTGGTTAAACGAGAGTTATGCTACGTATGTATTAATGGCCTACTGTATTTAATATTTACAATCAATTATTTGAAATAATGTTTTATGGAAATTATAGTTATTGGGAATACTTTGCTATTGATAATCTCTTCCCTGAGTGGGGCGTTTGGGAACAATTCGTTTATGCTGACTTTTTGAGAGCATTCGACTTGGATGGAAAGAGATCTACTCACCCAATTCAAGTATCAGTCAATTCTACTGCAGAAATCGATGAAGTTTTTGATGCCATCTCATATAGTAAGGGTTCATGTTGCGTTAGAATGTTAATTGAATGGCTTGGTATTGACCAATTCAGAAAGGCAATTATTGCTTATTTGAACAAGTATGCCTTTTCCAATGCCAAAACTGAGGATTTGTGGACATCTTTGAAAGAATCACTCAATGTTGATGCAGCATCCATGATGAAGAGTTGGATATATTCCTCAGGTTATCCTGTTGTAACCATCAAGGAACATTTGGAAGGTAACGAAAAGGTATTAACATTAACACAAAACAGATATTTGGAAGATGGAGGTTTGGATAGTGAGGATTCAACCATTTGGTACATTCCTATTTCCTATGTTTTGTGCAATAGTGATAATTCAATTACAGAATTTAAAGAAACCATGAATGAAAAGAGCATGATTTTGAGAATTCCCGCCTCTTCCAAATGGATCAAATTCAACAAGAATCAAATTGGATTTTATCGCGTCAATTATCAAAGCTCTGAATATTATAGCAAATTGAAGGTCGCCATCAAGGAGAAGAAATTATCACCAATTGATAGAATGGCATTAATAGAGGAAAGTACAACCCTCTCAAAGAGTGGTCTTGTGCCAATTGAGCAAGTTTTATCATTATTTGAAGCCTATTCCTTAGAAGATAACTATACAGTCCTGACAACTGTTTCTTCCTGCTTGTCCACTATTGAAAATCTTATCAAACATGAATCAAGCCAAGCATTGGAAAAATTTGCAGCACTTGGAAGAAGTATTTTCCTTCATTTGAGAGATGATCTTGGTTGGACTCAACAAGAAAACGAAAGCCACTTGAGAAGCATGACCAGAAGTCTTGTATTCTCAAATCTTGTTAGTTACAATGACAAGGAAACTGTACAAAAGGCATTTGAAAAATTTGCTCAATTCAAGGTTGATCCATCAAGTTTAATTCCAGATTTGAGAAGTGTAGTATATTCAGCTGTTGTAAAATATGGAAATGAGGAAGATTTCAAACAAGTTTTGAATGTCTATTTAACATCGGATTTAACTGAGGAAAAAGTGAGAGTTTTGAAATGTCTTGGCCAATCTCCAAATGAACAATTAATTGATGAAACAATCAATAGAACTCTTGACGGATCTGTTCTCACTCAAGATATTTCGTACATGTTAATGGGTCTATCACAAAATCCAAAAGCAAATGAAAAGCTCTGGAGATTCTTTTTCAAGAATTATGCAGCAATTAGACAAAAATTCCAAGCAGGACTATTATTTGGAAGAATCATCAAATTATTCACTGAAAGTTCACTGAATCCACAACATGTTTCAGAAATTAAAGACGAATTAGACAAGGTTGCTACTAGTGCCATCTTGAGAACTGTCAATCAAGTTAAGGAAACTATTTCACTCAATAGTGCATGGAGTATTCGTTCAGCTCCTTCCATTGTTAATTGGTTAAATAAAATAGAATAAACTAGTGATATTTCAAATTTTAAAATATTTAATCAATATGGTGCCCGTCTTCTCGTGTACTATCTGTTTTTATCTTGTTGTAAAAACGAAAAATTATTCAGAACAGTTAGTGTAATATTCTGCAATGGATGAATGTGAAATGGATGCTACAAATTTGCCCAAACTCAAATCATAAAATTCCTTAATGGACTCATAATCTGCATCTTGTCCTAACCTGTTAATATTTGCATGTGTTATAAAGTGATGAATCAGTGAATCCTTCTCTAGAAAACGATGTTTGATGAAATCGTGAACTCTCCTCTGAGACCAGTTAGGTATTACATTGAAATTGTAATCTTTAGAATGAGAAATTATTTCAACATAGGGTAATTCGCTTAAAATATCCAATTCCATAAGATTGTCCATGAGTGAAAATCCTTGTAATGATAAACGAACTAGCTTTGGGAATCTCTTCCTATTTATACCACTAATAATGTTGTTCTCAATTGTTTTTACAAAATCCCAATAACTATCATCCAAAAATGTATCCATACGAATTGTCAAATCTCTAACATTTGGAAACACCTCTTGTTCACTCAGAAAATTAGCATATAACTCAGAACCCTCATAAAAGTATGATAATCTACCAAATTGAAAGCATAAGTATTGTACATGATCAGGTATAGCAAAATTCCTATAATTCCATTCATTTAACACTATGGATATTGCAATGTAATTCGAAGCTACTTGGTTAAACTGTGTAAAATCTTGATCCTGATTCATATCAATCATCAGGCCAAGAGCTTTCGAATCTGAGGAATCTTTTGAAAATAATCCTTGAGAAATTAAACAGCAATTTTCATAGGTATCACCTTCATCATAATATCCACTCCATTTTTCACTGTCAAAGTATGAAATCATATTCAGAGATAGAATAAGTGCTTTGTGTAGGAACAAATCATAGGAATTGAGGTGGGTTAGTGCTGAAATCTTTTCAAATTTCTCATTAGAAACTACTAGTTTCTGCATTCTCTTTTCGAATTGCTCATTCATCTCAGGAGTATCCACTTCATTCTCAATAGTATCCAAACTCGGATAAGGATGGTACGATCTATAACACTTCGAAGGATCAATTATTTGAGCATATTCACGATTGGAATTCATCTCTGTTGCCTCAATTAACTTTTGCATTCTCACCAAAGGAATTGCTTCAGTCACAGATAAATCACCTGTTGCCAATGAACATCCCTCAAATGATTCATAACGTTTCCAATAAATTACCAACTCCAAAACATTGGAAACTCTCCTCCAAAACTCTGACATTTCCTCCACAAACTTTTGATGAGCTTCCCGAGAGAGCAGACAAGTCAATTTATGAATGGTCCTAACTGTCGTTAAATCCATATAATTAATAATCATAGGATGGATTTGTTTTTTAAATTTCATAATATCATCATGATGATTCATATTCACTTGATGGATAGGTCCAAGCAAGAACTCAAAAATACAACAACGCCAAATCTCTGAAGGAAGGTTGAGTAGTTTCATTTTTTTTGTAATTCCACAAGTTCATCTTCATCTTTAACTATTCCAATACTCAAATATAGTAGTAGAAAATATTTACAAGTTTATAATTTAGTGGTGCTACTGGTTCAATTATGCAGAAACAGTAGTAACAAGACCAAATACTAAACTAAGGGTCAAATAAATAACAAATGTCAACCCAACACTCATGGCAAAAATAGTCCACTTGTAGATACGGTCTGAAACTTCGGTAATGGCGAAACAAGCAAATCCAATAATGAATCCACACATTAATCCTCCCAAGTGGCCAGCATAATCTACATAATCAGAGAAACTCCACAAAAGTGTAATTACAATAATAAATCCAACACTGATGCATTGCATAATCTTTGGCTGAGTTGGAATCTTCTTCCAACGAATGATAATATTAGCAACCTTGGCACCAATCAATCCCATAATTGCTCCAGAAGCTCCAACTGAAACACTATCTGGAAGGGCAACACAGCTCAATAAATTACCTCCAACACCTGCAATAATATAAATTGGAAGAACACGATACCACTTCCAAGTCTTTTCATAACCCATACAAATCATTACTTGAACAAATAAATTCATAAACAAGTGCAAAAATCCTGCGTGCATTATGAGTGGAGTGAATAAACGCCAAAGTTGATATTCCTTCTTGATCTTGTAAGCAGATTTGGCTCCTAATAAGAGAAGAGTTGAACTAGATGGCCCAATAGATGGATTAGAACTATCAATACCTCCAACAGATACCTCTACAATAAAGTAAATGATTTGTACAATGGAAATCCAAAAGCAAAATGTCTTGAGCATATTCTTGTAATCTTGCTTTCTGGTTGGTGAACAAGGTGGTCCAACAAAACAAGGACAACAACACATTAAACAGGTCTAATTCCGATTAATATTAAATAATAGTATACAAAACTTACATGATACCATTGTGGTGTAATACCATGCAAATTATAACTCCAAAACATGTCCTCATTCATATCATATTGTTGTTGATAAGGATCTGTAGGTCTATTTTGTGATTCAACATCAACTGGTTGACCTGTTGCACTATAACTTCCACCTCCTAATAATAATAATATTAATTTCCAATATTGTTATTATTATTGTTGTATAATTTTGTATATAATTCAATTGAAAAGGGTCAAATAGAAAAACCTACCAGCAGTACTACCAGATCCTTGAGAGAACATACCACCAAGTCTAGAAAACATGCCTCCAAACATTGATCCTCCTCCAGAAGAAGAACCTCCATTATCAGCAGCTCCACCAGCATAATTAGCAGAAGAAGGTTGATAAGAAACAGCTTCTCCCGAACTTAATACTCTTCCTGATGATGATGATGCATTGTTATTGTTGTTTGAATTGGAAGAACCATTACCGAGAGATCTTCCTCCTCCAAGGCTTCTACCACCTCCACCACCGAGGGATCTTCCTCCTCCTGATGATGGATTATTGTTATTGTTATTATTATTATCGCTTGGTAAATCACGAATTGTATGAACAGGCATGATGATTGAATTATATACAAAAATTATTCTACAATGGATACAAAAAAAACTAAAAAGACTCGAGAATTCGGTTAAGGTTATTAGAGTTTGATATTTTGTTTTTTAATAAAGTTGATGGTTGTTGATGGAAAAAGTTTGAGAGAAAAATTGTTGTTCTCCTCTTCCTTTGTTTTTTTTAAATTTTATTTTAGAATTAAAAACGAAGAAGGAATGTCGGGTGATGGCGCTGTTTTTGTGGGGTTGTGAGTTCGATTCTGGATGGTTGCTTCTACGATTTTTTCTAGTTTGTTTGAAGAGTTCGTGATTTGCCAGTTTGGTAATTGAGAAGTATGCAGTTTTGAACAGTGCATTGTCTAATTCAGATATTTTTCTCACGCAATTGAATTGTTCAGGTTTCGAATATCAATGGATGATTAGCTGTTATTCGATTCATTCTCATTGTTGCATGCGGCATGTTGATCCTTATCATTGAGAATAAACTTCATAGACATTGGATAGAAATCATCAAAGAATGAATAGTGTCGATATTCCAAATAATTATGTGGCCACTTGTCAATACCTAATTCGTTTCGAATAGAATAAAACTTTCTCTTAATGGTCGATAAACTGCATCCTAATAAGGTACATGCTTGTTGTTGAGTTAAATGCAAAATTCTAATCATCTCATCTGTGGTAATATTCTCAACTGTTCTCTTTCTAGTAAATTTGACATTAGAATCTATTTGAACAATTGAAACTCTTTGATCTTTCGAATAATTAAAACAAGTTTCACCCTCAGAAAAGTGTTTTTCTAATAATTCATTCATCGATTCACATGCATCCAATTCCTCATCATCCATAATCACATACGAAACTTTTGTTTGCGTTGGTTTCTCCACCTCATTCGAAACTGTTCCTTCCTTTCGTTTAAATTCATACTTTCTCTTTATCTTTTTCGATTTTTTAATTCCTGCTGTTTCTTTAAACATGTAATCCACAATAAATGTTTGATTATCTTTAGATTTCGAATCATTGACACCCTTGTTCGTTATTGGAAAGTTTACAATATTAGAAATATTGTGATTACCACTTGTGGAAGCAACTGCTACTGCTTTGATTCCTTGTGGATGAGAATTTGTTGGTGATGAAACATTTGAATGATGAGCATTCACATGTGATGAATGTAAACAACTTCCATGCTTGTTAAATTGGTTTAAATTATTCGAAACATCCACTTGTTGATGATACTTTACATGTGGACTAGAGACGATTGTTGTAATGGTAGAAGTGAGAGGTGAAGTGGTTGGTGGAGGAAGCACGACAATGCTTCTTTGATGTTCAAAGTTATTCGAAAGGTTGTGGCTGGAAGTGTGTCCATGATTTGAGTTGGATACAAGTTTCGAATAGTTTTGAAGTGAATTATTAACATGTTGTTGTTCATGTTTCGAAAAAGATATGTGTTCTTCTCCATGCTCATGTGGGGCGGTTGATATTATTCGATTCAACATGTTTGAAACTGAAACCCAAAGTGTGGCCTTTTTTTACGTTGTTTACCTTCACTGTGTTTGATTGTCCTCGGTCTTTCATCTCTGGGTAGTGTAATCTTGTGGGAGAAACTAGACGAAAGTTGAATTATTATAATAATGGGGTCTCTTTTTTACAACTTCAGAGGACTACCTGCTTTTGGTTGTTGCTTCCATTTGGAAAGCCTTGTTTGGTGCATGTGGAGCTTTGTTTACTTGTTACGAGTTGTGCTCTGAGATGTTGCGTAACAATTGACAAACTAAACTTGACAAAATTTGCCCTTTGAGTTTTGTTTCTCTATGAAAATTGAGATAAAACCAATTAAATTGGGCAGAGAGCTGCAATTTATTGATACAATAAATTATCTAGAGTTACAACTGTTGGATTGTTTACAATAACTTGTTCTAGACGAAAGTTTTCGAATAGTTTCTAGTAGGTTGGAAATTTGTCTTACTGTTCATTGAATCTTGTGGTTGCTGTAATTTGGAACTGTATTGTTGTAATACAATTCTGGATTTTTTACATTTACCTAAATAAAAATTATGCAAGTCAGTTTGAAACTGTCAAATGTTATCTGTGGCAACTACTTTGCACTTCACAAGTTAAGTAATCTAGCATACAATTTGGGTGGGTACTGAACTGTTATTTTATTTTGATATTTGATGATGGTACGTAGTTGTACGAAATCATGCGGTAACGAATTGCCTTATTCGAAATTTGGTTTCTTTACATTTTTTAAATAAACAATTACTTTCAAATACAATCATCTACAATTGCATTGGATATGTTGCATTCTCTAAATTCAAGTAATTTCTTTCCAAAGTTGTTATTTTTCAATGAAATGTATTTCAAATGTTTGAATTTTTCGTAATTTTCAAGGATTGAAGTGGCACCCTCTATTCCAATGAAATTAATATCCAATTCAATAATGGTCAATTGAGATAGTAATTTGGAATTGGAGAGGAGAATCATTCCCTTGTTAGAAATCTTATTGTCATTCATTTTGAGAGTTTTTAAACTTTTGAGACAGTTAATGGTTGGATTGACCAATGCTTCAATGAATTCCCAACCAAGTCTGCACTCTCTCACTGTTAAATTTTCCAAACTTTTTAAGGATTGGTTTCTAATGACGGATTTGAAAGCTTTCTCTCCAATTTTCAAACCAGACATGTCCAAAGTAATCATATTGTTGAATTTAACTCGAGGAGAAATTGCAAAGGGTGAAAACATGTTCCAACCCATCCTTAATGATTTCAATTGTGTAAAATTCAAAGTTTCTGATAATTTAACCTCTTTCATATTATCAATTGAATATTTGAAACTTTTTTGAATATTCAAATAGGTCAAATTGCAAAGATTCGAATTTGGAGCAACAAGTAGTTCAAAATCTTGATCTGTGAATGAGCAATCAGATGCTGAAAGGTAGGTTAAATGAGAGGCATATTTCCAATTTGCAATGGATGATAATGATACTCTTGCTTGGTCGATAATTAATTTCTCAAGCTTTGTAACTTTGGAATTTTCACTGAAAAGTGAACTCAAATTTAAAGAGGCACATCCAGAAACATCCAAAACCTTCAAATTTCCAATTAAATCCCTCTCCATTATTGTCAACAGGTCATGTTCAGCAAAGGTATAACTAAAATTGAGGTCAATCTTTAATTCTTCCAAATTTTTGAAAACTTGCATTGTTCCAATTCTATCAAACGGAAAATAATCATTTCGTATAATGAGTTTTTTCAAATTTTCACATTTCAATTCTTGTATTAAATACAATGGCACAATTCCATTATCTTTCACTTCCAATTCCAAATATTGTTTCGAAAATCTATTCCCACCACAACCTTTATACGATTTAAAATGATTCGAACTAATTTCTCTTAACGAAACCTTTCCCACACAATATCTAAACTGTCTACTCACCACCCCACAAACCCTCATCACAAAAACTCCCTCCAAATACTCGAAAATATTCATCACCATTTCATTCAATAAAAATTCATTATCCGATGCTAAATTAAATTCGCAATACACTTCATCATCATTTAAATAATCGAGAGAGTGATCGTGATAGAGAGGTGTTTGAGAAAGTGGTTTTTGATTGTTGTTATTGTTATTTGGAGGAGGAGATTTTTTGAATAGTTTTCTTGACATTTTTTAAAGTTTAAAACTTCAAAGTTCAGAAAAAGAGTTTTGGTGGGATGCATTTCAGAGAATGTTTGATGAACCTGAATATGCATAAATTGAGATTGTGGAAGACATCAGTCAGTAATCAAAAATTAATATCACTGAAATATTCAATTTCTGAATAGAAGATCAATACAAAGCCCCTCAATATTTAACTAGAACACCAATTGTTCTAACTTCTTCCTCTTCACTGACCGATCCATCAGTCAAACGCCAAATGTCACTGAAGATCTAATCATTCATCAACAAAAAACTCTCCCAAATTAACTCAAAACAACAAAAAAAAAATGGGTCAATCAGCATCTCAACCAAACAACATTTACGTCTCCAAGCAATTCTCCTCTCCCTTCTCACTCACAGAAAAAACTGTACAAACCTTCTCGGATTCAGTTTTTTCGGTTGCACAATCTGCCGCCTCTTCTGGTTCTTTTTTGGAGGGAAATTTTTCATCTGCACCGTTAAAAAGAGGCGGGAGTTTTAATATTACCTCATCATCAACAAGTAGTAGTAAACAACATAGTCCAGGGAGTAGTGGAATTGGAGCAATGTATTTGGGAGGAGCAAATAGTACGGGAATTGGAGAATTATTGTATGGTGGAAGTGCTAGTGTTCATAGTAAGAGGGAGAGAAGGCGAAGTGTTTGTGCTAGAGAAGTGAGAGTTGAAAAGTATTCGATTCGTCATGAAGATTTGATTAAATCGTATTCATTGAGAGGGTATTTTGTGATGGATAGTGCTAATGTGTTTGTGAATGATAAGTTGGTTGTGCAGTATTGTCATATATTTGGGCCAATTTCGAATAAGAGCCATTATATGAAAAGATATGTTTCGACCCAAGTGGAAGAAACACTAAATTTGGGAAATGATTCTAAATGGGTAGGAAAGGACTTTGATTTTATTATAAAACATGATTATAAGAGGATGATTACTGAAGAGAAACTAACCCTACCTGACAGCATTATCGTTTCAACAGTTGAAGAAATTAAGTGTTAATTTCTGTGCCAATTTGCCAAAGATTTTCAATGAAAATTACAAAAATTCAAAACTACAGTAGTGAGCCCACCATCCAAACTCTTGAGAAACCTTCAATTCAATTCCGAATCATGCATACCGTGGTCAATTCCGTTCAAAGAGCAATGCAAGGTGTAAAATCCCAGTATTCATTGTAATGCGCATAATCCTCAACATTTGTGCGCTTCAACAAAACAATAAAGGCGGACACAAACTAAATCTCAACACTTTCAATTAAAACGCACGCTTTGCATTTTGATAAAACAACCAAACAAAAAAAACAAAAAATCGTTTAGCCTCAATATTTATTAAATATCTTCATCAACATGTCCACTACTACAATTGAAGTCCCACAAGCATTCGGATGGGTCTTGCTTATGGCTGTTGCTCATGCCTTTGAACTTTTTGTATTTGGAGGAGTTGTCGGAAGCTATAGAAAGAAGCACAATGTCAAGTATCCTGATGTTACTGGACCTGAGGAATTTAATCGTGCCATGAGAGTACATTACAATGCATTGGAAGGTGCTCCATTCTTCTTTGTTACCTTATTAATTTGTGGATTTTATTGGGCTGAATTAGCTGCCCTTGCTGGTTTCATTTACATTGTTGGTAGAGCTATTTATTGTGTGGGTTATCTTAAGAGTGTTGAAGGTAGAACTACTGGAGCAATTATTTGTCATTTGGCCGAATTGATGTTGTTGATTGGTTCAATTGTTTTCATCTTTAAAATGATTGTGTAAATATACAAGCGAGCTCAATGATAAAATTCATTTTCTTTTAAATTCGTATACTTTTGTTTATTATTAGTGGACTAAGAATTGCATTCTATTGGAAGTTTAATACAATGGTTAAATCACATAATCGTTTAGCTAGTCTTGTTTGTTGAAGTTTCCTTGCAAATTGGTCCAGTTTGGTATTCCTCTTTCTTGTCCGAGCAAGTAATTTCATTTCTCTTTTAGTATTTCCAATAATTTCTTCCGTTTTCATAGATTTCAGTATTGTGAAATCCGAAAATATTGTATCATTTAATTTGTAAACTGGTGTAATATCCCAATCTCTAAACTCATCAAAATAGGGATGTAGAAGAGCTTGAGACACTGTCATTCGATTATTTGGATTGAATTGTAAAAGGTTTTCCAATAAATCCAACTCATTACTATCCAAATAGGAGAATAAACTAGCTATCTGTCTCTTCTTTGGCTCACTTCCAATTACATTTTGAATGCAATCCTTAATCATTTCTGGTTTCGAAGAAATAAGTCCAATCTCTTCATCTGTGGGCATTCCTAAAATTTCAATCATAGTAATGATCATATCAATAGTACTATTACTCCTTAACAATGGTTTTCGTAAAATAAGCTCAGCAAGTAGTAATCCAACACAGAACATGTCCATTTTGGCAGTGCACGAAAAATTAGTAGAAAATAACTCTTCAGGACTTCGATGAGGATTATTCCAAAGATACACTGTAACGAAAGTATCTCCTTCCCTTTGCCAATTAAGAAACCCTTGCAGTGTAATTTCGCATTCAGTATTGACCATAATATTGAATGGCCTGATTCCTAAATGCACAATTCCATTCACATGTAAAATTCTCAATCCCACCAATAGCTGAAAAATTATATATTTTCTATGAATTAATTCCAAAGATAAACTCCTCAACACGGTATGAATATCAAAGAATTCAACATAAGTGCTCATAATAATCAGATCTTTTCCGATAACTTTCAACCTGCTTCCTAAATTCAAAGCTTTACAATCGGAATTATTTACACTCAAATTAATCATCAACATGGCACTCCTACAAATCAGCAAATGGTAGGGATGTTCATCCTCCTCGGTTATTTCCTTCTCATCAAACAAATTACAATATTGCTTGATAAATAATTTATTCTTCCCTCTGAACCCTTTATAACATTTCAAATACTTTTTTGAGAATTATAATTCATTCCAATTCGTTTTTCCAATCATGATGAACCTACACTTTTGTCGGTTATTTTTTCGAGTGAATGAAAGGATTTCTCCAGGTAGCTCAAGCTATCTTGATTCATTTTTTTTAAATTTTAAGGAATCCAGTTGAAAATTATTCTAAATAAGATTATTTCATTAGAGAATCAATGCATTCTTTGAGAACTAATTTGTGGATTGGCTTTGTGAGTAGTTGATCAAAGAGTGGTGATTTCTCTATCAATACATCTCCTGTCAACGCTACAACCTTAATATCTCCTTGATGTCTATTTCTAAGAATTTTGGTTGCTTCAACTCCATCTAGAACTGGCATATTCTATAAAGAAATATATTATTTTCTTTTAATTTAAAAGAAACTTACCAAATCTGTAATAATAAGCTTGTGCCTTCCCTTATCAAATAGTTCAATTAATTCTTTTCCGTCATTGGCAGCATCTACAGAATAACCAAGACTTTCAATAAGTTTTGTAATGACTCTCCTGTTCACAGAATTGTCATCAGCAATTAGAATTTCAGCTTTCGAGTTGCTTGCCTTATTTTGACAGCAAGTTGAAAAGAGACGAATATAATTTTCTTGAATGGCTAGTTGTCTCTTGATGGAAGGATCAATTTCGTGTAAAGATTCGCTACTATTCTTACTTCTCTCTAATTTGCATTGTACAATTTCCAAAGGAAGAATTACAGTGAATTCTGCTCCACAATTTTCATCAGATTCCAATGTAATATCTCCTCTCATGGCTTGAACATTGTGTTTTACAGTTGAAAGTCCTAATCCACTCCTTTTTAAAGGATTAAAAAATGTTTAAGCTACATCTATACGTACCCAGGAATGATTGACTGATTCAAATTATGTAACTGTGCAAAAGGTTCAAATATTTTGGCTTGTTTTGATTTTGGAATGCCAATTCCGTTATCTTTCACTTTGAAAATGATATCTCTTTCAATAACTCCATTCACCTGTCGTTCATCTCCTTGGACAAAGCATTCCAAATCGATGGAATCTCCAATTTTTGATGCCTTTACGCCATTGGTCATAAGATTTGATATTACTTGATGTATTCTAGTTTGATTAGCTCTCACAAAGAGGTCTTTCGCTTGTTCATCAATTGAGACGTTCACATTGACTTGAAATTGTTTCGAATAACTCTTAATGATATTTCCCATCATTTTCACACAGTTATTCAAACTAAATATTTTGAAAAACTTGGTAGCCTCTGAAGATTTATCATCTGACTTCTTTTCATGTTCAATTTTCACAAGTGTCAGAACATCCTCAATAAGATTGAGTAAAATTCCATCCGAGGAGGCAATTGTCTCAACTAACTCTCTTTGATATTCTGTTAGATTTGTCTCTCTCAACAATTCAACACTTCCCAAACTACTCAAACAAGGAGATCTAAACTCATGACTGATATGGCGAATAAAAACTTCCTTACTTGACAAGGCCATTTCTAACTCCTTTGCTGTTTGTTCCAATTTTGTTATTTTTGATTGGAGAGCTGAGGATGTTGACAATACATAATAGCTCAATAAATAAATACACAAAGCAGTTGCCAAATTCTCGAATATTAACTCTATCGAATTCGAAAAGATCAAACTATGAACTATTGTTCCACAATATAAGAAAAATGTTACAAAGAATGGAGCCAACGTATAATGCAATGAAGTCATCGTGTTTGATGACATGAGTATCAAAATATACATTGGAGAAAGGAGAGCCCGATTATCTGCCACCAAGAAGTACCTAAAACAAAACAAGAGCAATGAAACAGTCATTCTAACCTTTTCCTCTGCCTCTGTAGATCTCACAAGGCCCACTCCAAGCATGGAACGAATAAATTTTCCATTCACTATAACTCCAAATATAATACTACTCGTCATGATGATTAAATGTTGCCATCCCTTACAAAATGAATAAGCAATCAGAAGGGCATACTCCATTATTAGTACTTTTAAAATTACGTTATCCTTCATAGGAAGCGTAAGTACATGTTTAAAGAAGGGTCTTAGTCTCGGATGTAAACTATCATATATTGCTTGATCCTCCAAATCCAAGGCAAATCCTCTCAAGGGATCCACTACTAATTTTCCCACCATAATATTTATCTACAGTTCGTTGTGTTGTTGTTTGTAAAAAAATTCTCTGCACAGGCAAACTTGTGTGATGAGGAGGTTTTTTTGTTCTCAAGCAAGCAGTAAAGTTCTTGATATTGTTGGTGGGGTGGTGACATGTTGTGAAGAGAGAGGGAGTTAATGAGTAAGAACTGAACATGATGAGCTCTAAACCTTAATAAGGACATGGATGGGAGATAAAATACAGAGGTCCAGATCCTCAGGAATTGAAAGATAAAAAGGTGGCCAATAAGATGTACTGCAATGGATAACACTATTAAAGTTAAATATTTTACAACACTTCCATTTGGTCTAGCTTTCCTTTATGTAAACAAATACAGAATTGCCATTAAATATTAACCCAGGAAAACTTCACATTTACTGTACATTTTTCCATTCTTGTTGGAGGTGGCGAGGAAATGAAGCTTATCGACTGTGAATCTGATTGGTTTGGTGAATAAGGTTTCGAGCATTTTCTTTCGTTTCAATAGATCTTTCTGTTGAGTAACATATTAAATAATGACAAAATTAAGAGTTTACCCTGATTTTGTAATGTAAACTTACAGTTTTAACATAGGAAATTGAAATATGAGGAACATATTCATGATTCTCTACAATATTAAAACACTCTACTATTAAATCATGCAATTGAATCAATAATTCATCTTTCCTCTCATCTCCAATCCAAACTTTAGGTTTCATTACAATAATTGAATTAATTGTATGTTCGAAAATATCCAACTCATCAAGTTCAATATCAAATGGTTGTATATCATGCTCCTTTAACAGTTGTTTCAACTTTCCTTTCGCCACACTGAATCCTGCCTGAGCAACGAAAGGGTAAGCACTGAAATAAAATCCGAAACAGTTATAACTCATCTAGATCTGTTGAAAAACTACATACACATTGATGTGTGCTGGCCAACAGGATTTATTTCCCTCATAGTCCAACACTTCATGTTCGGGATGGTGAGGAAATAATTGTGGCCACAAATCGAGTGGTGGAATAATAGTACAAGCAGTGCTGACAGTTGTGTAAGTAGAAGAACTTGTTGTTGGTGCCTCGTCAGAAGAAGAAGAATTATCAGATGATGATGCTTTTTGTTGCTTTTTCATTGTTGTTGGTGATGGTGATGAATTGTTTTTTTCTTGCTGTTTGTTTAATGCTACTGGACGATTTTGAACTTGATGAAAATAGTTTCAATTTCAAAGTTGAAACACAATTTTATGTAATTAATTGACTCTGCTAAAATGTCTAATACTGATTATATTTAAACATAATGTAAAGTACCAAGGCACTTTGAAACCAATTCAGAAAAGTTCCCTCCGTAATGGTTCTATTCTGTTTGAGCTCTGCCAGAACAGAACCGACATCTAGAACAATCTGATTACTACTTGCTAATGAGGCGGCAATTGAATCATCCTCGAATGGATTTTCCAAATCTTCATCTCCTTCATCCAATACATCCTTTATAATTAAAATGTCTTGACCTAGTCCTCGTTCGCCCATTACTTCTCTCAAATGTGTCAATAATTTATCGAATTGACTTCTTGACATTGTATAGCAACTTTCCTCGACGTTAAAAGTTTTTGCATATCTATAGAACACATATCTTGAGATCCAATTATCTGTTTCATCAATTGATAATTTAACTTCATGAGGTTCAACATATTCCAGTTCAGAATCAAAATCTGCATATAAATCTCCACTCTTTTCACATTCTACCAAATCACTCTTCAATCTATCAATTTCTATCAATCCTTTATCCATCAATTCATTAATTTTAAGAATGGTGTCAACACAACAAGCCACAATATTCCGTTGATGAAGTGATTGTTTGAAATTATTACAATGTACAGTATTTACAAGTTTTTTCTTCTTTATAGAAGTTTCCTTCTTCTTTTGCTTCTCCTCCGATGAGGAATCATAATTCAATGCAGGAGGACCCTGATACAAATGATTAAAACTTTCTTCTTATCATTTGCATCATCCTTTTCCTCATCCTCCTCGGCTACCTGATTAGAGATTTGATTCCTCTCAAACAGCACTGATCCATTCAATATAAGTCTATCAATGATATTTAAAATTGATTGTCGTTGCTTTAAAAGGGTATCCTGATCAAGCATTGATAGAGTATCAGCTCCACCACCCATCAAATAGTCATCACGATAAGTCCTCCTATGATTGTTATTATTATTTAGGAAGAGACAGAGTCCATCATCATAATCGGACAACATTTTCCAGCATATTAATAAATTAAATTGTTGTTATTATTATTTGTATTATTACTATATTACTATTATTGCTAATATATTAAATACTACTAGTATAATTATTGTTGTTGTATGAAGATGATGTTAAAGAGTTGAAGTGAAACTGTCTTTTTTCAACACCAATAGTGATAGGCAATGAATGTTGACAATTTTTTTTCAATTCGGAAAGTTTGTTTAATGATGGTGATTGGATTTATTTGTATTGGTTGAGGTTTGATGGGAGTTGGACAATCGGAAATAGTGTAGGGCTTTGGCCTCTTTACATTCGATAGGTCCAAACAGAATAATAATTATTATCAGGGGGGAACAATGTTGATGTCCGCGTGTTACTGGAAAATAAAATAAATAAAATTATGGGTCAAAAAACTACTACCTAACAGCTGATTTTTAAAAAATATTACTGCACTCTTTTTTGGTTGATAAAAGTAGTCATCGAATACTGTGGTATTATTTACAATAGTGGTATTATTACATTTAATATAGATTGAGGATATGATACAAGCCATCATCTTGTAGTTACACTCAATTTTTTGAACAATTTTAATGGTTATTAATGTAGTACAAAAGAGGAGTGTAGTTGTTAGTTTTGATGGAGAGGAATTTTGACTTGATGTTGACAGTCAAGATTAAAACCATTGTAACGTAATAAATATATAGTTTAAGGATACCATTGTTTCGGAATCAGTGACACACTATGTAAGTGTTCGTATCATGTCTATTTGTTAAGTATAATCGTGTTTTGATTGTTTGTGAAGGCAAATATGGTATCCCTTTATTTATATTGATGATTTTCTCTTATAAAAACCATCTCCTATAATCAAATAGCTCATTCTAGATATATGTAGATTTCAAATGCATAAGGTTCACTATAACAGTAGAATACATTGCTTTACGTGAATGCTGTGATTTTTAATGTTTTATGTGCACTAGTAAATTAGTTCTATCTTCAAACGAATGACAGTTCAAAAATTGTATCTATTTTTTGGTGAAATTTTTGGAATAGGTAGTCAAAACACTCATACATACCGTATGAGTATTATGACTGTATGATAATTAGAGAAGTGATACAAAACCGTGATGAGTGCAAACTGTAGAAATTTCAAGAGATGAGTTAATCGTGCAACCAGATTAAGAACTTAACTAAATTAGAACATTTTTTAAACCAGTAAAAATTAAGAGAAATCTCTCTACCAACTTTAGACAAGCTCATTTCTGATAATTAAGAAGATAGACCATTCAAGATTTATAGAAAACGTAGTAATACATACACTCTCCAGAATTTGAGGAGATGAAGCTTTGGTACGACCGTGCAACATATGAACATGTTGTTAGAAAGTTTAGAATGTTATATCTTTTTGTATACACGGTAATTTCCCTTTGTCTTTTTACAGTAAATTGCACGAAATGTGATCATGAAGGAGCTGTCTATTCATCAAATAAAAACATGTATTTATTAATTCCGAGCACAAAGTCTGGGACTTTTGGTCAGTAACACTACTTTCAGGCCATTTTTGATCACTATGTTCTCCCCTGATTATTATTAAATATTAATTAATTTATTAAATTATTATTATTATTGATTTGTATTTCCAACTTGGAAATTCCAACAATTGTTGGAGAAACAATAATACTATTGAAGAAAGAAGATGTTATCTGTTGGGTAAATGCATAGCAGAAGAAAGTTTGATTTGATGATTCCGTAATTTAGTCCTGTTTGTTTATTATCTTGTACTTCAATAATGAAGAAAATCCAATCTCCAAGATTCACCACATTTTGAACAATCTAATTGGCAGTTTTGTCATCAAGATTGATAAAAATTTCAAACAATAAATTTACTATTCTACTATTTTGATGAATATCCAAAGGTGATGTACAGTCAACATCAATATTTTCTGTGTTGAATTGATGAAGAAAATCAGTAATGATTTTGATGAGCCACTCTCCAATTCCAAATACTTCAAGTACAAAGGAGCTGATTATCAGCTCATAAAGTTATGAAATTCTCAGAATTTCCGATGCACTCAAAGACACTTCAACACACACCAAGCCAATTACCGTTTTGCTTGTTTGAATTTTAATATTTTTAAAAATTCAAACTTAAAACAACATCATGAGGAATCAATCAATTGGTGTTGTTTGAAGGCGGCTGCATTATAGAATCTTTTTACAGTACAAATGGTGATATCTCTAGAAAACTTTTGCTTGACAGGTGCTGATTTCTTCACTAGAAAAGCAATATCTAAGTTTTACTTCTAACGGAGCCTCTATTTAATTTAGATTAACTGAAAAAAACAATCAATTTCCATCATTTAATTATTTAATGATGATCAAAACGACAGAGTTGAGATCGATATTAGTATCCGCATTATTATTCTTCTTCTTGTTAATCATAGTATTTTGTGGATCGATATTTGGGTTGAGTGGATTTACTTTCGATCAGGATGCATACAACAAGATTTGGAATGATGAAACGGAAATTTGGTTTGGTCAATCGACAGCTCTTACAGGTCAAACTAAAGAGTGAGTAATCTTTTCTCCAATTATTATAATGATGTAAAGACTAGGATATCCAATGATGACAGGAGTTCAGGCAGCCTTTAAAGAAATCAATGAAAATTCTGGTGGAGTTTGGGGAGGTAAAAAACTGAGGTTAATTACATTGGATGATGGTTATGAGCCAGCTAGAACTGTAAATAATACGATTCAGCTCATTAATAATAACACAATATTTGGATTGATTGGATATATGGGGACAGGTACTTCGCAAGCTGCATTTCCATATCTTACTGAATCAAAACTTCCATTTATTGGTGCATTCACGGGAGGATTGTTTTTGAGAACACCTTTTGTTTCTAATATTGTGAATATTAGAGCTAGTTATCAAGACGAAACTGTAGCTATGGTAGAATATTTAGTTACAGTAAAAATGGTGAGGAGAATTGCAATCTTTTATCAGAATGATGCATTCGGCATGTCAGGGGTTGATGGTTCTAGTTTGGCATTGACGGCTCTTGGAATGAGTTTAGTTTCAAGAGGTTCTTATGAAAGAAATACTATTGTTGTCGCGAAGGCAGTTTCAGATATTGTTGCTGGAAATCCACAGGCAATTATCTGCATGTCAACATACAAACCAACATTGGAATTTATCAATACAGTCAAGAATAGGACAGATTTTGACCCAAACATTGTTTTCATGACTGGCTCTTTTATTGGTTCTAATATTTTACCATACAGAGATAGTGTTGTCATTACTCAGGTATTACCTCCACCAACCAACACAAAATACCCAATTGTTCTAGCCTATCAGAGAGCTATGAAAGCATCCAATCCAAATTTCGTGCCTTCCTATGTGGAATTGGAAGGATACATTGCTGGAAAGATGGCAGCAAATATATTGACTCAAAGAGTTTCTGGAGATTTGACACGCAGTAATTTTCTTCAACTTGTCTATTCCACTAGTACCTATATTATTGATAATCAAGTTATTGGACCGTACAAGCAATGTAGCTCTTCTAGATCCTTGCATTACTTTTTTGATGATCCTCAAAATCAAGATGCCTTTCTCTATCCAGTTTTACAACCACGTACAAGATTGATACCACGAAAAATTGAATCAACATTTGTTGCGCCTTGCTCTTGTAATCAAGGTTTGAGATCTATTTGGAAAACTTCTCAAAATGCTGATAGTTCATTTAGTGAAATTTCAGATCCAATGGTTTGGGATACTACTAGTACTACTAATTATACCTGCTTCTATGATCCAACAAAGACTCTCCCACCAATTGTATTTGGACACATATCATCTGGAGATAAGTATGATGAAGATTTTCTAGTTGGAGTGTTATTAGCATTCAACGAAAAAAACAATCAAAAAGGTATACGTGGAAGCGTGCTAAGAATTCTCACAAAAACCCCATCCAATAGTTCTGCTTCTGCCCTTATTGATACAGTTAATTTGTTGAAAAATGATTTTAATGTACTTGGAATTTTGGGTGGATTTTTACCAAGTTCTAGTTATGCTCAATTCGTAGATCAGTTTAAAACTCAATTACCTAACACATTGTTTCTATCGCCTTCCACATCATATGACTCTCCAACATTGAGAAGTGTATTTTCTCCAAATATTATTCATATTGGATTATCTATTCGTGAAAAGTTGGCCACCTTTTTCGATTTTGAAATGAATGCAAATGGGCATTCCAGATTTTCTGTAGTATATGGTAAATCCACTGAAGGGGCAGCAGATTGTAAAGAGTTCAAGAACCAATTGAGCCAATTTGGATTAACTGTTGAGAGTGAATATGAACATTCATCATCTGTTACAGATTACAAGTTAGTCACACAAGCACTTGTTTCAAATGATGGTAACCCTCAATCTGTTGTTGTTCTACTTCCTGAAAATATATCCTCATTCTCTTATTTGAGTACTGTAATCAAGGGTATTGTGAATATTGGAAAGAGAGATGACTTGTCAATATTCTTTTTGTACTTTAAATATACATCTTGGGTGGCAGATGTTTTTAACTTGATGGCTAGTCTTAATACCAAAAATAATGTATATCTTATTCAAAGATATCCTCATGTTGTGGACACTCAATTACCTTTAGTTGCAGCTTACAATAATTTGTTCAGCAAGTATTATTCTTCTTCTGTTTCTACAACTGGATCTTTAGAAGGTTTTTTGGCTGCAAGCTTTTTAATTGAAGTTTTGGAGAATATTTCTCCATCTGCAGATATTAATGGACCAAGTACAATTTTCACAATTTACCAAACGCAACAATTTTTGAAATATTCCATTCCATTTGGTAATTTCATTAGTAATTCTTGCAATTTGGGCATGAGAACAACCTATTTGTACAAGCTGGACGGATCGACCTTTACAAATGTCAAAATTCAATCATTTGACAAGACTAAATGTGGTCTTTCAGAAGATATTTTTTCCTCTGAAAGTTCCATTGAAAAACAACTTTTATTTGGTAGATTACTACCCGTGGAAGATGCTTCACTTCCATATGATGATTTTAGTGTTGGTTTGAATGCATTATTCACATCTTATAACACTAAGGGAACACTGGATACTGCAACTTTGCACTTAAAAACTCTGTACTATTCAAGCAGAGAGGAAATGACCAAGAAGGCAGAGGAGCTCATTCTAAAATACAAAATTTTTGGATTTTTAGGATCTAGACTAGTCTATGATGTTACTGAACTCAAGGCTATAATGGAAAATTACAAGATACCAATTATAGGTCCACTTTCTTCTCAGTTAGCTTTGAGAGAACCTTACTCAAGGTTTGTGGTCAATTTAAGACCTAGCATTGTTGAGGAATCTGTAGTTTTGACAAGATATCTGACCTCTGTTATTACCTCAAGAAAACCAACAGTTCTCATTCTCAGCGGATCATCTTACTATTGGCAGCAAAATAGTAATAATGTTGTTTCATTTTATTCGAAGAGTATTGAAGGAGTTTCGATTTCATCAACTAGTATTTCGTCAGTCTCTTCCACTTCTGGTAGAGCTGTAGAAGGTTCTAAGCCAGACTTGGTTCTTTTGTTGGCCTCTCCAACAGAAGTTTCACAATTTCTAACCAACTATCCCACTTTTTCCTCTCTAATTGGAATACCTTCAGAAATTTCATCTATTTCTAGTTTCAAAACACTCTTAAATGATATACCTTCTTCAGTAATAATTAGTCCTCAATTTTTAGAAAGGTATGATAAGGCTTCATCAACAAACTTTATGGCCAGAGATTTCTTGATAGACATGGCCAAATACTCAACCTCATCAAATACCTCCACACTAATGTATGAAGCTTATGCAGTGGGTTATATGACAACAACTGTTCTCAAGTTCATGTCCCAAGCCAATATGGATTATAGCAGAGAAAAATTTGTTTCCACATTTTTCGAGAGGTCTGTATTTGAATTAGGAAATAATGAATTTGGACCGTATGGCGATGAGTGCTCCATACAATCCACTTTTGTAGTGAAAGGCTCTTGTGAATCTGTTTCTGTTTGTAATTGTAGTCAAGGCGTGAGAGCTCTTCAAATCAATTCTCTAACCTCATCCTCGGATAGTATTTTATATGAAATGAATTTCAAAACATGTGGATTGCAAGCTATTGAACCACTTCTTTCAGATGGAGCCATTGCTGGTGTTGCTGTTGGGGGTACACTAGCTTTTTTAGGTACTCTATTTGTTATACTAGTACTGATTTTCTGTGCAAGAAATAGATCCTCAGTTAAGAATGCTCCCAAGTCAGGAAATATCACTTGTGCATTTACGGATGTTCAAAGCAGTACAAAACTTTGGCAAAATAATGAAAAGGCTATGAGAAATGCATTAGAAATTCATGACAAGATTATGAGGAAAAATCTTGAATTATTCAGAGGTTATGAGGTCAAGACAAATGGTGATAGTTTCTTTGTTGCCTTTAAGGATCCATTTGATGCTGTTTTATGGTCTTTAACAGTTCAATTAGATTTATTGAATGCGAATTGGCCTTCAGAATTATATCACGAATATGATTGCAGACAGGAATGGGATGAACGAATCAAGAAACCTTATTGGAGTGGATTGAGAGTGAGAATTGGACTTCATTACGGAAAGGGAGATTGCAAATGGGATAAAACCATGAAACGCTTCGACTATTTTGGAACAGTTGTAAACAAGTCAGCACGTATTGAAGCATTAGCACATGGAGGACAAGTTTTGATCAGTGAAGAATTATTGGAAGTAACTAAAGACCTCTTCCAAGATGTTAAGAAAATAGCCAGTTGTGATGAATTTCCAGCCTATCAAACCACTACAAAAGAGGAGAAGAAACTAGCTGTGGACGACAAAACCTCAACAACAGCTAGTCTCAAACATCAAAATTCTCTCTCTAGTGTATTGGGTAGGAGAAGAACTAAAATTCTAATTGATAGAACATTCACAGCCGCTGAGTTGGGAGTTTATCCATTGAAGGGACTATCTGAATCGAGCAGACTTTTC